GGCTGGAGCTGGGGTTTTCTCTTCCTGTCCCTGCAGTCAGAGGTGGGGGCTGGCTTAATACAGCAGAAGAGATGCGGGTGGCACTGTGGTCTAAACCACTGAATCTTTTGACCTTGCCAGTTGGAAGGTTGGCAGTTCGAATCCCTGCAATGGAGTGAGCTCCTGTTGCTCTGTCCCAGCTTCTGCCAACCTAGCAGTTTGAAAGCATACCAAGTAGATAAATAGGTACTGCCATGGCAGGAAGGTAAACAGCATTCCGTGCGCTCTGGCTTACATTCCCAGCCCCCCTTTTTATTTATAGAAATTTGGAAAATACATAATAATTCAACATTTCAAATTTAATATTCAATCAGCCAACCTAGGACTTCCCCTCCATCCCTCCATGGTTTCCCCAAATTCCAACTTTTGCTGCATATTATAATTACTCTTCTTCACAAAAAAAACCCCTCCATGATACTTTCCACTGCTGTTCTTAGTCAAATCCAAGTTGTTTACAGAGTTTTTAAATAATCCACAAACATTTCCAGTCCTACTTAAAGTCAGTCTCTTTTTTATCTCTATTTTTGCAAGTCAAACTTGCAAATTCTACATATTCTGTCAGTTTCAGCTGCCATTCTTCTTTAGTAGTTACTGCCTCTTCATGCCATTTTTGTGCATACAGTATAATGTTTGTGCTGCTGTTGCTGCATAAAAAAATAGATTTATCTGTTTTGTGGGGACATCTGTTCCCGTTATCCGTAATAAAAAGGCTTCTGGTCTTTTTGGGAGGGACACTCCCAGCCCCTGTGACGCTTGGGCCTCCAGTGACAAAGATGAATATAGGAGCACTGCAGACGACGATCTGTTCCTTCAGGGCTTGTGCAGGTGCCATTCGCAACAGGTCGTTTAACTCCCAGACCTTGAAAACCTCTATGTCACAGAATCTCCAGAGTATCTGGATTAATGTTCATTTTCTTGGCCCTCATCCAGCTCATTAAAATGACCAGATAGTGGCCCAAGACCTGCATGGCTTCCCTTGGCTCACATGACAGAGGGATATAGCTTGGCATCATCTTGCTTACTCTAGACTCTAGGACATGCCTTGGTGTGAGAGAGGGTGAGTGGCAACTCCCAGTTATTGGCCACGTCCACCACTTAGCGCACAGCCCCTGAAGGAGCAATGATGGAAACGTTTAGTCACCCCTGCTCTAGAGCAGTTTCATTAAGATCAACAGGGCTTTTCTGGAACAGATGAGCTGTGGGTTGCAATTGTAAATGGAGCTAAGCATTTAACCTAGCTGTCAAGTCACCTCAACAGCTCACACTTTTGCATGTCAGGTAGAAAACCACAGGCAGCTAGAATGATGTTACCAAGAGGTAGTTTATTTGTCCTGGCCCTTGAACTTCCTTCAACCACCAGTTGTTAGACTCAGGGCACCATCTACAATTGGCAGCTTCCTTTTGATCATCCATGAATAGCACCTTGTAACACCCATGTGCAGATGACTGAGTGAGCATGCAGGTATGCAGTGGTGCACATCTTTTCATGGATGCGCTCAGTGATGTCATTTAGTTCCTCCGCAAGTTAAACATCTTCAAGCTACTTACTCCTAAGTTAGCATGAATAAGACAGATGCAAAAAGAGCTTTCACGTATATTATCTTATTATGGTATTTGTCGCTGTGCTGCCTGGTTCTATGAATGTTCACTTAGGAGTACTTTTCAGTGGGGCCAGTGGGTCTCATCCCATGTAAGGGTACATAGAATTGCCATTTCTCTGCCTTCAGAATGTTCATCTGTGTTGCTTCCTGTCCTGGGCATCTAGGATAAAACAGTAGAAAATTCTAAATAAATGGATAAATCTCATTGCATTGATGTAGCATCATGGCTCTTAATTATTTCATTTTTCCTTCAGTTGACTAGTGAGACTAGCCTGCTTACTAAAGCCTCTTGTAAATGTGGAGCTAGTTTTTTTTATTTTTTATTTTTATGTGGAGCTAGTTTTAAAAAATAACTTCACTTTGTGTGTTAACAAAGAAGCCTGAGCAGAATAATTTATTGGAAGAGTTCCTGCCCCTCAAAGTCCTGCATTTATCACCAGTTTTAAATTTTCCTATTTTTTTTTATTTTTTATTTTTTTATATGCAGATACCAGTTTATTAAGTTTGAACAAGAACTCTTTAAAAAGTATTTGGAAGGCTTTGCCCTGAAAGCCAATGAAGCACAAACTCCATTGAGATGGCTATGTTGCCAGGATATGACCACATCCCTTGTGCTCTGGGTGCATGTGTGTTTAGCAGGCTAGGGAGGTTATCAGGAAGTCCAGAGCCCACATGCTGTTTTTAAAGTTTTCCAAATAACATATGGAGCAGCCTAAATTCCAGCAAGTCCTTTGCTGCTGAAGGTTAGTTCAAAGAAACAGAACTGAAGAATTTACAATTATACAAAAAACAGGTAGAGGAGAGGAAGACAGTTGGCCAGTTCACAAAGCATAAACACCCTGCCATGAACTGTTCAAGTACATTTCAGTTGTAACAAAGTGCTACTTCACATTTCACGTAAAAAAAAGAAAGGCAGTAAAAACAAGATGAAGGAGACAGACAAGACAGATTAGAGAGGTTGAATGCTGTGTCACACGGAACAGCTAGAAGTTGAACGCGTTGGAAGTGTCCTGAATCTGGAAATTGTATGCATCGGTGCTGGATTCCGGGACGACACTCTCATCTTCTCCTTCCTCTGCCGAGAAATACTTTTCAATCAGGTTTGCCGCAGACTTGTACACCTGCTCGTTTTCATGGGACTGTAGAGCTTCAATCTTATCCAAGCCACCATACTCCTCAACCATGAGGCAAAGCTTCTCGGTCTCGCCTATCTTCTCAGCTGCCGCAAAAATATTATTAATAGCATCCAGGATCACTAGGATGGTTTTGCTATCCTTAACCACCAGCAGGTTCAACAGTGGTTCCACCACACCAGCCTGAACAAGGTATATGATCTGGCCAATGGTTCCACCACTTGTGAAGTTGGTCACAGCCCACACCGCTTCTTTTTGAGATTTGAAGTCTCCCTTTGTCAAGATGCCAACGAGATATTGGACAAGCCCGTGGTCCACAACCTTCTGGATCTGGTCCTGCCGGCCGGCAGTGATGTTAGACATGGTCCAGGCTGCTTCTTTCTGGATGTTGTTTTTGTGGTGAGTAAGCAGGCTGGGGAAGACAGCGAGTGCTCCCGAATCTATTACAATCTGTGTCTGTTCATCAGTCCCCGTGACAATGTTCCCTATGGCTCTTAATGAAGGCGCCATTATGGGAATTTCTCCACATCCCAGGAGCTTCACCAGCTGCGGCACGAGCCCTGTTTTCACCACCACTTCAATCCTGTCATTCGAGCCATCCGTCAAGTAAGAAATAGCCCAGCACGTATCTGCCAAGACTTCATGGTCATGGTGGTGCAGCAAGCGAACCAAAGTGGGAAGGATCTGTTCAATAGCTTCTATGGGCGGCGCAGGGTTCTTGTTACGGCAGAGGTTTGACAGAGTCCAGGTTACGTTGCGCAGGTAGCCAAGAGCGATAGAGGAGAGATCAGGTACAGCAAGCAGAGCCAAAAGCGGTTCGAGGGCACCATATTTAATGACCAGGTCTCTGTAGGCAGAACCATCACCTGCAATATTTCCTAAAGCCCACACAGCTTGCTCACTGATGTGCATATGGGGGGAAGCCAGCAAGGAAATAAAGGCAGGTATTGCTCCACCATCTACGACAGCTTTTGTCTGCTCTGATGTGCCGGAGGCAATGTTGGTCAAGGCCCAAGCAGATTCAAACTGAATAGGGCTGCAATCTACCCTTCCCAAGAAGGTCACAAGCTTTGAGATCAAGCCAGCTCTGATTATCTGGTCTATAGGGGGCTGCTTTTCTCGGGATAGGAGCTTCCTGGCAGCCTGTGTTGCCTGCAGCTGGCATTCCACATTATTGCTGTTGATGCCTTTAACTATTTCTTCGACAGACCAGTGGACAGTGGCTTGATTGTTCCGGTTGTTCTCCTGTAGAGGGGATGTGGCATCGTCAGGAAAAGTGCTAACATTTCTCCTTTTAAGCATCTGATCATCTTTTTTGGCTTTCCTCAGCTCCACGTTGACTTCCACCCGCCGCCTCCTCATTTCATTAGAATCCTTTCCCTTATTCTTGAACCTGTTGAGACGGGCAGCATTCTCATTGGCAGACATCTCGATATAGGCAAGATTTCAAATCCGAAAAGGGAGCCCCGGCTTCGTCGCGTCGCAGCAGCAGCAACAAGCAGCACCAGCAATTTTCCTATTTTTTCTCTTAAACAGAAGCATCACATCAGTCTAAAAGATGAATTACTGTTTGCACTTAATACTAACCGCAATGAGTTTATATTTGAAAACCAACTTGTGAGAGCTTAAGTAAACTTCCGAGGAGAGCGCGGGGTGGAATCAGAAACATTATTTTATTAAGAAACAGCCTCTGGCTTCTCTCTCGGTTGGCGGGCGCTGGTGACCTCTGAAAATGATGTATAAAAGAGCACACGAGTTAGAGAGAATAGGCGGAGAGGACCTTAGGGGCTTCCCAGCGCCGACTATGCGAGAGGATTCGTGCTAAGAAACGCCTAATAGCACCTCCTGGCCTTTGCTTCCCGTTACGGGACCTGCGAGCCAGACTCGTCCTGCGCGTGTTTCTCTAATACCCCCGTAACGTTGCATTCCGCGTCAGTGCTTATTATGTGGCTTGCCAACAAGTTCCAACTCTCCTCAGCTTAATTTTCCTCACACTGTCGCTAGAGATATACTGGTACAGTATATCACTAACCTTAAATTAAACTAAATTGAAACGCCCGTTACAAAAATGGCGGAGTCGTGGCCTTCCCTTCGTAGGAGCAGCAACGTTACAAAGTCAGAAAGCCCTGCCCACAACAAAGATGGAGGCTCCGTCGCTTCCCCTTCCTCGGAGAAGCAACTACTACAGTGCAGTATACGAAACTGCCAACCCCTGCCCGGGACAAAAATGGCGGGTTCGCGCTCCCCTCACTAATCCCTCCAGGGACGTAGCGACGCGAGCGCCCTTCTCAAAGATGGACGTCGCTTGCGCGCCGCTGCCCGTTTGCCGAGGCGGCGCCTGAGGAGCCGCGCGGGAGGTCGAGGGAAGGCGGCCGCCTCGGGTGCGTCGGGGGCCGAGAGGCCGGTTTCTCCGGGGGTGGAGGAGGCGAGGCGGGCGCCTCGATGGGGGACAGGAGCCCGTATGGCGGGCTAGGGGTCGGGGCGAAGGAAGAGGAGCTTTTCCCGCTGCCTCCGCTGTTCTCCGCCGCCGCCGCCGCCGCCTCGCGTTTCCGCGCGAGGAGCTCAAGGCGGCGGGCCGGTGCCGGGGGGGGGGGCAAGCCGCTCCGCGGGTTTCGGGCTGAGCAGCGGCCTGCGCCCCCCCTAACTTGATGCCACGCCAGGCCGGGTCTCCCCGGGGATTCAGGGTCGTCGCAGGACCAGGCTAGGAAGAGATTCAGGAAGGAGCAAGTGCTCCAGGCATGGTTGAAGTGCGGAACTCACTGCCACAAGATCCAGTGGTGGCCACCGGCTTAGATTGCAACTCTTCCTGCAACTCTTTAAAAAATAGACAAACTCTGTGCTCCTCACCGTGGTGCACCCAAGGTCAATTTATGAATGAAGGGCAACCATTCACGTGGAGGGGGATGGCAGCCATATGCTTTGAATGCAAAGGTCCTCTGTTCGATCCCTGGCATGTCCCGGGAGAGTTGGCCTGGCAAAGAGACCTGTTGTGAGCCATGGGGAGCTGCTTCCAGTCAGGGGAGGCGAGGCTTCCTCAACCTCGGCCTCCAGATATTTTTTGGCCTACAACTCCCATGATCCCTAGCTAGCAGGACCAGTGGTCAGGGATGATGGGAATTGTAGGGCCGAGGTTGAGGAAGCCTGGTGTAGGCAATGCTGGACAGACTGTGTAAGGCAGCTTCCTGAGGTAGAATGTAAAGGAGTCGGGGTGAAATCGGGGGATACTGCTGAGATGGGGGCAACTTTGCTGTCTAGCCCTGATAATCTCATTGATGGATGAGAGACGAATGGGAACATTGGAAGCTGCCTTCTGCTGAATCAGACTGTTGGGCCATCTAGCTCAGATTTTCAGACCCAGGACTCACCTTTTAACTTAGCTGCATTTGGGGATCCCTTTCTGAATTCCGTATATTTGTACAGTGGCACTGCTGCAACCTGGAAGTGGGTCCTGACCCACCAGTTGAAGACCAATGCACTCAAGCATGGCAGAACTTTGTTTTTTTGACTCCAAGGGTCGGTGTTTCTGTGTCTCGCATAGTTTTATGTATGTGGTGCTGCTGTTGTTACATCAGAATGTTTTACTCATGTCACTGCCTGAATGGAGTCTGTGAGATCCCCACTGTGCATCTGCTGCCATGTTCTGGATGTGGTCTTTGTATCAACTGGTAGCCCTAATTTAAGAAGCTTTGGTGGCTATATGTTAGAAATGAAAGGCAGCAGCTGCACACAACTGGTTTTCCATAGGCTGAAGCAGCCCAAAATCAATGCAGACTAATTTTTTCAGGGGTCACCCACATACTGAAAGCAATACTAGCCCTTGATGGACATGAGAAGTAACTTAAGTTCCAGGAGTATGTATTGTAGTAATGTTTACTGAGGCCTTGACTCATAGATACCAACAGACAGGTCACGAAAGGCTCTAAATCAGGGGTCAGCAAACTTTTTCAGCAGGGGGCCGGTCCACTGTCCCTCAGACCTTGTGGGGGGCCGGACTATATTGGGGGTGTGTGTGAACGAATTCCTGTGCCCCACAAATAACCCAGAGATGCATTTTAAATAAAAACACACATTCTACTCATGTAAAAACACACTGATTCCCAGACCGTCAACAGGCCTGATTTAGAAGGTGATTGGGCTGGATCCGGCCCCCGGGCCTTAGGTTGCCTACCCTTGCTCTAAATATATTGGATGTGTAGCAGTTCAGGGGTGTTGGTGTTGTTTTGAAGCTATTCTACCTGTACGTCATCACCCCTCACCCCACCTGGAGTCAGGGGATGATTGGCATTCCCAAATAACATCAATGCAGAACTTGCACTGATCATCCAGTCATAATTATGGCAGACGGAGGGAAATTGTGAAGATCTCTAATGAGGAAAAAGAGCACTCTGTTTCCATTGCTACTTGCTCATCCATGCATGCGAAGGCACCAAACCAGGAGCATAGAAAACTTAAGTGCTCAAAGCTTGTCAAGTATTTTATCTTTATGCTCATATTCTAGATTGAAGGGCTGAGGTTGACACACAATGATTTCCTTAAGGCCCCTGTAAAACTCATGTCCAAGGTTAGATTTGGCATAGGATTTTCAGCTCATAGCTTGCACTCTTACCCATTGCACCAGCTTTGTAGTTTGCCAAAGGCTTCTTCTTGAGGGCTTTGGTTGCATTTAACATTCTGTTGCTTCTCCCTTGTTCTCTCAGGTTGCAATTCAGGTTGCCATTAGAAATGAAACTTTTGTTCAACAGTATGGCATGGTTTGGAAAGTGTCATGGGTTGGAAATAAGAGTTAAGAAGAGCTTTTGTTGACTTTTCCTCTGGCAGGTCATTCAAGATGTCAGAAGGAACCTCAGGTAACGATACTGGGAATCCTGGTGGCAGCATCCGGCCTACGCTTAGTGCTGCACGAGGGTTGATAGGGAGAAGAACCACTGCCCCAATTACCCCAGGCCGGCTGCCCTCCATTCGCTCCAGAGACCTGACTCTTGGTGGAGTTAAAAAGGTAAGTGTTTAATGTTTAAGGAAAAACCCTGTAAGATACTCTCTTTTCTACACACACACACATTTCTAGGATGCAGGTATAAAAGAGAGACTGAAAAATGTTCTTTTCTGATCTGGAATCGAAATTCCCATGTTGTTAAGGGATTAGGGCAGAGGGCTAGCAGTTGGAACCCTTGATTCTAATTCATGGCACAGTGTTCCCTTCTGGCCTTCAGCAAGTTATTGATTCTTACTATGTTTTGTTTCCTTATCTAGGAAGTGGGAGTAATGTGTATCTACCTATTTCAACAGTAGGTTTAATCAGTCCGTAATTTAATGTTGAAATTCCTACCTAATGGAATTTTTATTTTTTTTTTTATATAATTTTTTAATTGATTTTACAGACAAGTTTTATACAATACAAACAAATAAAAAGACATACAAACATGTATAGTTTCATAACCTTTTTTTTCATAACCCTCTCTTCTCGGACTCCCCCAAACCTCCCCTTCCTACATCCCAATTTCCAAAATTATTTCAGCAAATTCTAAATAATTTTATCAAATATATTTTTCTTATTTTTTTTTCTTCAACTTAATCTTATGTCGCTGTAATCTCCTTTTCTTTCTCCAAACCTCGACATTTTAACATTCCTCAATTTTATGATAGTTCTTTAGATAGATTTTAAATTTCTTCCAATCTTCTTCCACCGTCTCTTTCCCCTGCTCACGGATTCTGCCAGTCATCTCCGCCAATGTCATATAGTCTATAACCTTCATCTGCCACTCTTCCAAGGTGGGTAGTTCTTCTGTCTTCCAATACTTTGCGATGAGTATTCTTGCTGCTGTCGTAGCATACATAAAAAAAGTTCTGTCTTTCTTTGATACCAATTGGCCGGCAATGCCCAAGAGAAAGGCCTCTGGTTTCTTCAAGAAAGTACATTTAAGTACCTTTTTAATTCATTATATATCATTTCCCAGAAAGCCTTAATCTTTGGGCACGTCCACCAAAGGTGATAAAAGTACCTTCAGTTTCTTTACACTTCCAACACTTATTATCAGGCAAATGATAAATTTTTGCTAGCTTGACTGGAGTCATGTACCACCTATAGATCATTTTCATAATATTTTCCTTTATGGCATTACATGCCGTAAATTTTATACCGGTGTTCCACAACCATTCCCAGTCAGCAAACATAATGTTATGACCAATGTCCTGTGCCCACTTAATCATAGCTGATTTAACTGTTTCATCTTGTGTATTCCATTTCAGCAGCAAATTATACATTCTTGACAAGTTCTTAGTATTGGGTTCTAACAGTTCAGTTTCTAATTTTGATTTCTCCACCTGGAAGCCAATTTTCCTGTCTTGTTTATACACCTCCATTATTTGATAATAATGGAGCCAATCTCGTACTTTGGGTTTCAATTTCTCATAGCTCTGTAGCTTCAACTTATCTCCATCTTGTTCCAAAATTTCCCGATACTTTAGCCATTCGGCTTCCATATTAAGCTTTTTCAACGCCGTGGCTTCCAAAGGTGACAACCATCTAGGGGTCTTACTTTCCACCAAATCTTTATATCTTATCCAAACGTTATATAATGCTTTCCTGACAATATGATTTTTAAAGGCCTTATGCACCTTGATTTTATCATACCATAAATATGCATGCCAACCAAATGTATTGTTAAAACCTTCTAAGTCCAAGATGTCTGTATTCTCGAGGAGCATCCATTCTTTCAGCCAGCAAAAAGTTGCTGCTTCATAATACAGTTTTAAGTCCGGCAGGGCAAACCCCCCTCTTTCTTTTGCATCCGTCAGTATTTTAAATTTTATTCTGGGCTTTTTGCCCTGCCAGACAAATTTCGAAATATCCTTCTGCCACCTCTTGAAACAGTCTATCTTGTCTAGAATTTGTAATGTTTGGAACAAGAATAACATTCTAGGCAATACATTCATCTTAATAACTGCAATTCGGCCTAACATTGACAATTTCAAATTTGACCATATTTCTAGATCTTTTTTAATTTCCGACCAACATTTTTCATAATTGTCTTTATACAGGTTCAAATTTTTAGATGTCAAATAAACCCCTAGGTATTTCACCTTCTTTACCACTGTCAAACCTGTTTCATTCTGAAACTTCTCCCTCTCCATGACTGTTAAATTTTTTTCCAAAACTTTAGTCTTTTGTTTATTCAATTTAAATCCAGCTACCTGGCCAAATTCTTGGATTAGCTCCAACACCCTTTTTGTACTAGTGTCTGGCTCTTGTAAAGTAAGTACTAAATCATCTGCAAAGGCCCTTAACTTGTAATGTTTAGCTCCGACCTGTACACCTTTAACCTGCTGGTCATCTCTAATCATATTTAGCAACACCTCCAGAACAGAAATAAAAAGTAATGGGGAAATAGGGCACCCCTGTCGTGTCCCTTTTTCTATTTTAAATTCTTCAGTTATCACATTATTTACAATCAATTTAGCTTTTTGTTCAGTGTATATGGCACCCATACCATTCTCGAATCCTTGGCCTACCCCCATCCCATGAAGATTCTTTTCATAAAACTCCAAGAAATATTGTCAAAGGCTTTCTCCGCATCTACAAAGATCAGAACTGCTTTAGTGTTTATATTCACCTCTAATAATTCCAAAATGTCTATTATGTTCCTCACATTGTCTGATAAATGCCTTTTTGGGAGAAAGCCTGCTTGGTCCTTATGAATCTTCTCCATCAACACTCTTTTCAATCTTTTTGCCAAAATGTCTGCAAAAATTTTGTAATCCACATTAAGTAATGATATTGGGCGGTAGTTCTTAAGTTGATTCTTTTCAATCTCTGTCTTTGGTATGAGTGTAATGTACGCTTCTTTCCACGATTCTGGTGCCCTTTTCCCCTCTAAGATCTCATTACAGACTTCCTTTAATGGTTGTACCAACCACTCCTTCAAAGCCTTATAATATCTGGAAGTCAGTCCATCTGGTCCTGGAGATTTGCCCAGTTGCATGTTTTGAATGGCACCCTCTATCTCTTGATCTGTTATTCTCTGATTTAGATCCACCTTACTTTGGTGAGAGATTTTTTTGTAGTCCATACTTTTAAGAAATTCTTCTATATCCTCCTCCTTCTGTGGTCCTTGTGAATATAGTTTTTAAAATAACTCAAAAACAATTTCTTATCTCGTTAGGTTTAGATATATTCTTTCCATCCACTTCTAGGCTTGTAACTGTGTTTAGTTTCTGCCTTTTCTTCAATTGCCAAGCCAGAAGTTTACCACATTTATCTGCAGATTCAAATGTCTTTTGTCTCATTTGTTTTATCTTCCATTCAATCTCTTGATTCATCAATTCCATGTATTGTGTCTGGTATAACTTAATCTCTCTCAAAATCTCCTGGGACTTTGGTTTTGATCTCAATTTCTTCTCTCCTTCTTTTATCTTTTCCAAGATCTTGTCCTTCTTCTCATTTTGCTTTCTCTTTTTTACAGAATTTTGTTGAATTAGAAATCCTCGCATCACTGCTTTACTTGCGTCCCAGATCACTCTTTTTCTACATCAGTTTTTAGATTTATTTCAAAATAGTCCTTTAAAATTTTTGGGCCTTTCTGTGGATCTCCTCATCTCGAAACAGGGTGTCATTCATCCTCCATCTGAATTGACCAGTTGTTGTAAGTTTCATTTCCATCTTCACGGCGTTATGGTCGGAGCAGGTCTTTGGGCAGATTTCCACTTTTTAATCTTTGGAGCCAACCCACTAGTAATCCAAATTTGATCGATTCTGGTCCAGGTCATCATTGCTTCAGAGAAAAGGTTCCCTCTCTCTCGAGAGGATTCCTTGTTCTCCAAATATCAATCAAGTCCATATTTTCAGTTATTTCAAAGAAAGTCTTTGGTAGTCTCCCATCTCTGGTGATTACCTGTCTTTGTGCTTTGTCCATATTTGTAGATACCACTCCATTCATGTCTCCCATCATGATTAATTTGTAATCCAAATAGTCCAACAATGTCTCATGCAACTTCTTAAAAATTCTGACTTCCCTTCATTAGGTGCGTAAATCCCTAGTATCAAAAATTTTTCACCTTGAATTTGCACTTCAATTGCCAAATACCTTCCTTGTTCATCTTTAAATATAAACTTTGGGGAAAGTTTTTTCTTTTGCATAGATTACCACTCCTCTTTTCTTAACTTTATCCGATGAAATAAATTCTTGACCTAATCTCTTATTGACGAGTAGTTTCCTATGCAATCTTGTTATATGAGTTTCCTGTAAACAAATTAAGTCCAACTGCTCTTTTTTCAATAAATGAAATATATTTTTCCTCTTTCGCGGAAGGTTAAGTCCGTTACAATTCCAACTTAGAAGTTGCAGGGCCATCCTGAAGCTATTTGCCTCCTGTTGCTCCGAGTAGTTGTTCTTCTTCTGTTGGTGATTTCAGTCCAAACGTCAAGTTTAAAATGTCTGTTGCGTCTTTCGATTCTGGTGTTATTTCCTCTCCGACTGTTCCTTTCAGAAGGTCTTCCCTATAGTGATTTAAAAATTGATCTCGATCTTCTACTGATCTTATCCTTATTTTCCTACCTTTGAATTTAAAAGATAGGCCTTGCGGGAATTCCCACCTGAAAGGTACTTCGTTCTTCTTCAGCAATCCGACCAGTTCTTTATAGTTTGTTCTTGCGTCTAGAATTTCCTTTGGAATATCTTTAAAAATCTCCACAAAAGAATCTTCGATCTCGAGTGTTCTTTGAAAATGCAGGCTCAATATTTTATCTCTCTCTTCTCTTGATCCTAATGTTATTAGGCAATCCCTTGGCTTCTTCCTGCCTTGTGCTCTTCCCAGTCTAAAGGCAGTGACTATTTTAATTTCTTCTTTCTCTAACTCCTGTTGCCAAAAATCCGCAAATTCTTTAGAAAGGAAGTTCGCCAAGTTATCTCCTTCACTTTCAGGCACCGCTCGTAGTCTTAAATTTCTGTCTCTTCTCTGCAATTCAAGCATAGACAGGGCCAATGTGTGATCTTCTAACTTTTTGCAAACTGGTACAATTTTTTCCTGTGTAGCATCCGCCGAGACTTTAGCCTCATCAGCAGAGACTTTGGCTTCTTCTGCGATTTTACGTATATTGGCAGAGTCCTCTAATATTTTATTAATAGATTCTGTATTAGATGTCACCCTTTTCCCTAATTCATTCACACTTTGTGTATTCTGATCAAGTTTAATTGAGAGTTCTGTCAATTTTCTGCTATTTTCCACCCCCTGCTTTGTCAAAGATTCCAAAGACTCATTTATTTTAACCAAAGCTTGTGTTACAGGATCTGATGACATTATTGTTCTTGTCTGACCAGTTGCAGCTGGTGCCACTGGGATGCCTGGGACTGAAACTCTTCGCTGTGAAGATTTTACTTTGTATTGTCTCCCAGACCTGGTTGTTGTCTCTTCTGGTGCACCACTCATGCCTAGCCAAGGTCACTCTCACAGCTGTTAGTTGTTTTTCAAGGGAAATTTCCACTGCCTTAGTAGTTACAATCCAATTTGCAACAATTATCAAAGTGCCCTCTAGGGGAAGAAAGTTTCCAAAACTAAACAAAATGTCTTACAGCCAAAAATTCCCCTGAGGTTTCCCAGTAGTCAATTGTAACAGTTCTTATATTTTCAGAGTTCAACAAACCTGTAATTTAGTATCTCTCCTGAGCTGAGTAGTTTAAAACAATGTAACAATCCAAGTGACAGTTCACTGACAGTTCTCTCTCTCCAGGTTCCTTTGCCCCGGCAGTCCGTTTCAGGGGTGTTTGACACAGTGGTGAAAAGTTTTTAAAGTCCTTTTCTGGCAGGTTCTAATCACAGTTTCCTCCCCTTTTGCTCCTGCCTACCAAAAGGGGGGAAGTTCACAGTTTATGTCTGGTTCTCTTAACTCTTTGCGATCTCTCAATGGTTACAGCTTTTAATCCTTCTTTGCTTTATCCTTATGCAGTCCGGGAAAGGCTGACTTCCTTACTTTAAACCAATCCCGTTTTCAGCCAAATTTCAAAAAGATAGTTGTAAATCCCAATTAGGTCTCAGTCTTACTCACGAGTTTTGCTTTATAATCCAATTTTCAGGAAGGAATCGGCGCTCTCCGGCTATGGCGATGCGGCTTCGCTTCACAAGCTAGGTATCGGCTCTCAGCACCGCTTCTCCCCCCGCTGCCGTTCCGGAGCCTTTAAAAAGGCTCCCTTGCGATTTCGGGGGGGCGCGATGGTGCCCACCGAGCCTCCTTGTTCACAGGCTTCCGCGCCTGTAATTTTTGAGGGTCCCCGCTTCGCCGTAGCGACAGGACCCGAACTTGTAAAGCAGACCCCCTCCGGAGCTCGGAGGGAAATCCGCCATTAACCGATGGCGCCGACCGGAAGTCCCCCCTAATGGAATTTTTAACCTTTCTGGTTGCAGGAAACTCAGAATAAACAATAAACAATGTGTGGTTTACCCAATAATGTGGTTTACCTCCTCTGAGCCATCAGATTCCAAAGAATGCCAGACCGCCTTTTGGGTTTCCTATGCAGTCCAATACATGCCTACTGAGAAGTAAGACCAATTAAGTTCAATAAGGTCCAGATAAGTGTGTATAGGCTTGCAGCTGTAGTGGATGATTAGCACAGTCTGACACAATACAACTTTTGTTCTTAAATATACTGAAGTAGTTTGATAAGAAGAGGTTATACATACTACATCATGATCCTTGCTGTACTGTTGTTTTAAATAAAAATATTTTTTGTTTTGTTTTTACAAAATATTATACAGGTGGTTTTTATGTATAGGAGGTTAAATCATATTAACAGGTCATCATCACTGTTGGAAAATGTGACTCAGATTTAAAGCAGTGGTTTTCAAACCATGTTTCAGGAACCCTGCAGTTCCTTGGGAACTTATCAGGGAAAAATAGTTTATTGAAAAAAACATTTTACCCACCATGATCAGTTTGCCATAAGTTGCAAGGGAATATTGAGCGTATTCTAAAGTGCACATTTACTTTGCAAAGAGTGGTGTGAGGTCTGGTTTGCCAGGCAGGGCCTATTATCAACCAATTGTGCATGTTAGAACATGCCTCAGACTCTTCTACAGCATGCATGGCTTCTGTGGGAGATGACTTAATGTGGAATTTTCTCTGAAGGTGAAAAGTTTGAAAACCTCAGGGTTGAAACCAGAAGTGCGCTTCCAGCAAACTCTAAAACTTGTGGGTTATCTGAAAGATCTAGCTCAGTTCAATCTGGAATTGATAGTGAATGTATTGACAAAAAAAAAAAAGGAAAAGAGATTTACATATTGCCAACTAAAACATAACCATTAAGGCAAGTTGGAAGGTCATTATGATGGTTAAAATGACCTATTTGGCAAGAGTTTTATGAGGGAATTGTATGTACTGTACTAATAGCTTCCATATGAAAGGAATTTGGTTTGATTACTGGAACTGATTTATTGCATACCAAGATGTTTTGTTAAGATTAATAACTTTGTCGTTTCTCTCTCTTGATTTGAATGTAATGAAAAGGAGGAGTGTCAGGTCATGGCTGGTGCAGTAATTCCTGTATTCACTTACAGCACTCATTGCACTCCAGAAAATTTTCTGGAAATGTGCATAGGATTATTTGCATCAGAAAAGAAAAATCAGTTTGCATTTTCAGATGCCCAAGAGAGTGATCTAATTTAGCATGCTTGTTTTACTTTTATTTAGTAAACAAATCTAAAAACTTTGAAACTGTCAAGCATGCCTAATAATTGTACTGCAATTGGCAATACAATTTATTGTTAATAATGAACTTATGAAATGGAAAAATGTCCACAGAAAAATAAAGCACTGGAAAATTTTCCACTCATTGGTCCTGGAGTGTGAAAGACAAGTTGCTTTTTAAACCTCCTAGGAAGTTGTATAGCAGCCTTCCCAAATCTGTGGTTTGGACTACAAATTCCATCAGTCCAGCTATGTATTTTCTGAGCTTGAAATGCTGTCCAACTAGTTCCATATTGCTTCTCAGCACACCTTACTATTCCTGTTGGTACTGTTTTTCTGGGAGGTTAGTTAGATATTTTGGTCCTTCTGTGTAGGGTGGTGTTCAAATGACAAACCTACATGGAACACCTGTTGGGCTGTGATAAACCAAGGAAAGGGTGCCAAGCAAGGTGGGAAGAAGATTATCTAGGAGCCAAATATTTGGAGTGCCTTTCCAGAATGTAAGACTTAATTAGCACACCTGCCCAGGAAGCTGGCAGATACCTGAGTGTCTTATTATAGTTCATGCTGTACTCAAGCCTTTCTTCTGAGAGCCACAACACCAATGCTGGTCCCCATGTTATGCAGGACAGCATGCTTGCTTTACTACTGTTGCAGACACTCACTGCTGTTCCCATCTTGCAGATGAAGAGAACTGAGCACATAAGAGGGTGACTGGTCAATGGCTATATAGTGATTAATTCTCCCATTTGGCCCTTGGACTACAGTACACTGTATGTCAGTACCTCCTGAGGTATAACACCATGATCAATATTCACCTCTAACTAAGGTGTAAATCCTTGGTCAGGAAAAATCCCAGACACTGCAGCAGAATATTCCTGATAAGTATTCTCTTTTTTATATGCTGGTGTCTTTGTCCATGGAGTTTTCTTGGCAGGGATACTGGAGTGGCTTTCCAGTTCCTGCTCCAGGTGGATCACGTTTAGTCAAAACTCTCCACTATGACCTGTCCATCTTGGGTGGCCCTGCACAGCATAGCTCATAGCTTCTCTGAGTTATTCAAGCCCCTTTGCCACGACAAGGCAGTGAGACATCACCTTGCCGACAAAGGTCTGTATAGTTAAAGCTATGGTTTTCCCAGTAGTGATGTATGGAAGTGAGAGCTGGACCATAAAGAAGGCTGATCGCCGAAGAATTGATGCTTTTGAATTATGGTGCTGGAGGAGACTCTTGAGAGTCCCATGGACTGCAAGAAGTCCAAACTATCCATTCTTAAGGAAATCAGCCCTGAGTGCTCACTGGAAGGACAGATCCTGAAGCTGAGGCTCCAATGCTTTGGCCCCCTCATGAGAAGAGAAGACTCCCTGGAAAAGACCCTGATGTTGGGAAAGATTGAGGGCACAAGGAGAAGGGGACGACAGGGGACGAGATGGCTGGACAGTGTTCTTGAAGCTACCAGCATGAGTCTGACCAAACTGCGAGAGGCAGTGGAAGACAGAAGTGCCTGGTGTGCTCTGGTCCAGGGGGTCAAGAAGAGTCGGACATGACTAAACAACAACAATTCTCTTTTTTATTATTATTTGTTTTCCAAATTATTACAAATCCATCCAAATTACTTTAATTTTATATAATTTATTAAAATCAGGTTTCCCACTCCTGTTGCAGACATATGTCCATCTCTTCCTCCTGTTTCCACATCTTCTCATCTTTTATTTCCATTTCATCTATTACTTGTTGTTGTCCATTCTTGCAGCAAGCCATATTTTCCTCCTCACAGGCAGCACCTCTGTCATCTCTTATAAATATTAAATCTATTTAACGTGTGCAGTCCTGCATAATCTTCATGTTGTCTCAGACCTAGTGTGCTGGGAGAGTTGAATATTGTCTATCCATTCTTTGCTGCACAATCAATCTAAGGTCCCAGGGTGCAATGTTTACAAGACCACGTTCCCACTTCCGCTGTTGACCACTTAGACACAGGCTGTGGCTATAAATAACTTGCAGAGAACAAAGCAACTCTTACAATTAAAAGTCCACTCTGGAGTTCTTCCTCAGCGGACAGTTACAGCCAAAACCTTTTTCCAAGTACAGCCCTTTATCAGATCTATGCAGCAGCTGCTCAGTCTTCTTACTCAGCATTTTTGCAGGGGGGGACAAGAGAGAAAAGAGACCATTTGAAAGCCATATAAAAGCATAAAGCGCCTTGTCCTCCCTTTCTAGCTGTTGTGAGGAATTTCAAACTTTAGAAAAAACATTCAAATACCTTCAAAGAACCAGACCCCGTCCTTTCGGCAGCTGATTGATTGCAACCTGTTATCATATGTTGTTTCAGGAGCGCCTTTTGAGTAAACGCCAATATTCCAGATTAATGAGGAACCAGTCACAGACAATGCCACGGGTGGAGGCTTGTCCATGGCAGGGACACACTCCCAGGTCGCACCCGTTCTGCCTTTCAAATTGGCAGACACGGGCTTAAGTGGCACAGCGGGATGCAGTGAACTCCCCAGAACCCACTGGGGGGCATTGCCAGGAATTTCACCTCATAAATCCTGGCTTACCCCTGCCTGAACCTCCCCACAGCCCTGGAGGGCAGAGGAGAGCTAGCGCCATGAATCGTGACATCAGCAAGAACCCCTCTGATGCGTATTCTCATGCTTTTATCTTTCTCCTTCCCTTTACTCCCCCCGCCCCTGCCTTACTTTGGAGACAGATACGCTGCCCAACATGTAGCCACCTGTGGCTGCACAGCTATATTATACTCCAGGGCAGTGGCGGAAGAAGGCAGGTGGGGGGGTGCGGTGCGCCCTGGGTGTCAGCCATGAGGGTGGGTGACATTGCCGTGCCACCCCCCACCCCAGCCCACACTTGCTGCGTGGGCTGTACCCCGCTAGGGACAATGCTGTCACGGGCAGCTAGCGGCGCCTGCCACCCGGGCGCTCGCTGCGCAGGTGGCAGGCGACTAGGGACGCTCACTGCGTGGGCGGCTAGCCCCACCCTCGCGCCACTCCGGGTGCTGGGGCAGCTAGCTCCGCCCCTGCTCCAAGGATGGGGAACCTGTGACCCTCCAAACATTTTTGGCCTTCTGTCAGTCCCAGCCAGCATGGCTAGTGGTCAGGGATGACGGGCATTGGGAGTCCATCAGCGCAAGGTCCCCATCCCTGTCATAGTCCTAGCTCTCTGCCTTCCATCAGTGTGGCATATTTGCTTTTCATGATCATCTGGTCCAGTATTTTGTTTCCAAATGCATGGGCACAACAAACTTTATTTTTCCTCTGCTGCATCTGGTATTTGTAAAGGTTCTATTTATCACAACCAGTAACCATTACTTAGCCTTATGCTCCATGAATTTGTGGAATCTTGTTTTAAAGACAAGTAGGTTAGTCAGTGCTTGCTAGCAGCATCCTACCTATATACCTGTCATCAGTTTTGTAGGGCCCAATAGGACTTAGCTGCTGATTTGCTTATAGTTTGTCTCAAATTCCCCCCGGTGGGCCTGGCAGACCACTTTGGAAACCTGTTCTTTGGCACAGAGCCCATGTGGTCTGAGTGCTGGTCAACTAAGTCTTATTCAAGGGAGGCCTATTGAAATTAATGGACCTAACTTAGCCTTGTTCATTAATTGTAGTGGTTCTACTCTGAGTAAAACTTAGCTGAATTCCACCTGAGTTCAGATCCCTCTGAATTTGATGGGTGGTTTACAAACCTCCATTTTGTAGTAGTAGGAAAAACAGAGCTGCTGCTCTGCTTTTTTACAATAACAATTCAGCAGCTAGACAACCATAAATCTCTGTCAAAATCTGAATCCTTTTTCCTGTATACATTACATACAGTTACAGATCTCTGTTGTCTGCAAAGTTTATTCTGTTTTTGCTAGCTATGGGAATAAAGGGAGCAAAGAGCTACAAGGAGCGCGAAGGACCTCATGGCTGGAATCCTGCTCAGCCCTCCTGACTTGAGAGACTGGTTTTAACCCCACCCCACCCCCTGTTTCAAATTACATTTTTTGGTAGCAATAACAGTTAGGAACCATACTTGAAAGGGAGAACTGTTCAAATTCCAGACTTGGAAGATGTGTGGCAGGGAGGGGAGGCGACGGAATATGGGCTGGGGATAACCTTGACAGATAATCATGGAAGAATAGATCAGAGGTGGCAGAGTATAAAGAAGATAATTGAGGGTCTGGACTGGCAGTGTTGTAAGTGGATTGTACTAGACATCGTTTGGTGGAAGCATAATGGCCCTGCTGTTTAGATGGAGCTAAATTATCCTGCTATATATATGAAACTAGGTATCTTTTGTAAGCCACCTTGGGAGGATTTTCCCCTCAAAGGTGGCATACAACGATGGTACTTTAAATATGTAATAAATGAATTTGCTTCTGCAAAGAGAAAGCAATCCAAGACTTCCAGGATTGCAAATACTGTAACATGTGGGGGATATGTTCCAGGGGCTCCGTGTGCATAAGTGAAATCACATAAAGTGGGTAGCAGCCTCCCAATGCCTGTTTTTTCCTGCTTTCCAGCAATCTCTCCACACAACTCTCTCTCCAACCAGAGCTGAAGCTCTGAGGCTGGCTGGAGGATGTGTAGAAAAGCAGTGGCGGCGGCTGTTGCGCTGCCCCGCATGTCAGCTGTGGCTGAGCAGCCCAAACAAAGCCCCACTGAGCCTCCGGTCCCTTTGGGACTTCCTTGGCCCTCACTGACGTCCTCTTTGGGCTCCAGAGAGGGACTCCTTGCGAGTCACAAGGACTCTCCAGCCCTCCCCTGCCATGATTCTATTTATTTAATTTATTTTCCAGCACCACGCATATATGCGGTCACACACAAGTAGAACGCGCATAAGTTGAGGGGATGCCTGTACAAAACGCCTCCGTTTTGGAACGTTTCAGCTCCCAAATGCCCAAAACCTGGAAGTAAGTGTTCAGTTTTTGAACGTTTTTCGGAAGCCAAATGCCCAACGCAGCTTCCACTTGAGTGCAGGAAGCTCCTGCAGCCAATCAGAGGCCGCGCCTCGGTTCTCGAACAATTTGGAAGCCGAACGGGCTTCCGGAATGGATTACATTCAACAACCAAGGTTTGCCTGTGTTGTAGCTTTTCTTTGCTTGAATAGAATTGTGGAATATGTACAACCACAACTGTAGTGAGCTGCACTTTGCAGAACTGCTTGGAAATGGTGAAGTGTTTTGCTTCTTAAAAGTGCTATAGAAAATGAGTAATCCTAAAGGTAAGGTTACTCTGTGCTGAGGAAATGGAGTGACACAAAGTTACAATAATGGCCAATTTTGCATACTTGCTTCTGAACTTAATACTAAGGTGTTTGAAGATTTTGGAAATTCCTTTTGGACAGAGAAAAGGAACATCTCAGTAATAGGCACTCAAGGTAGGAGGAAATGGAAAACATTGTCAGAAACCAGAGAGGGCCTAGTAGCCATGCAGACCAGAAAACTTCCACCCTCTCTGCATGTTGGAGCTTTTGAAAAGGCACATTATTTCCCTTTTTTCGAGATATAAATTTTGCAGCTTTGAAGTCTAGAAACTTGTCTCCCCTTCACACATACACAATTTTGAGACTCCTAAGTATATTTTGAGACCAGATTTTGCAACACTGTTTTCTGTGAGAAATTTCACACACTGTGTTTTGCAAACTGAAGTACCATATACACCTGAGCTGATGACTTGCTTACCTTTTTACTTTTACTTTTTACAGAAAACCTTTGCTCCCAACATAATTAGCAGGAAAATCAAAGAAGAGTAAGTAGCTTTCTCATGCTATGTTGTCTGTGAAGTGTGACTATAGAGGTTGTAAATCCAGATCTGGGGGAAATAAGGATTGTACCCAAAGTAGGGTTAAGTAACTTGCTCCCTCAGCACAAGGGTTTATGCTTGTGCAATAGAACTCCCCCCCCCACCTCAGATGCACCCTCAATCTGTTCTTGGGGTTCCTCCAAACCTCTGGAGCAGATGTGGGGAGAGCAATTGCAGAAGGTTGAGTGGAGTAAAGGTTCCATTGCAAAAGTGTAAAGCCTTGTGCTAACAGAACAAGTGCATTGGATGCCGCCCTAACATAATAATTTAGTGCAAATGTGTAGTTTTCCTAGCTTCTATCTGCAGTCTATCCTATGAGCCATATTTACAGGTGGGGGATCTGTTAAAGAGCTTGGCACATGTGAAAATGGTCTTGGAGTAGCTGTCTCTGACATATTTCCACATGCAGGAATTTGTTACATTGAATTTATTTATTTGTATTTATTTAACAATTTGTATACCGTTTAATCGCAAAAACCTTGTAAGTTATTCATCCATGGGTTTCCCCCCATCTTCAGTATGAAAAGCTATATTGTGCGCTGTTTCTGCACATTTGACTTGGCTCATATTCACACATTAAGGCATCAGACGCTCCTGTAGCTACTGGTGAGAAATTGCAGGAGTCTTCTGGATATATTGAAGCACATAACAAGGGCAGGCTGCTTTTACTTTCTTGTGATTCTGTTTGGTCTGCTTTTTCTTAGGCCAAAAGAGGAAATTAACATCAAGAAGGAGAAGAAGGAGCGTGATCGAGACCGGCAGAGAGATGGTCATGGACGAGGCAGAGGGAGGCCAGAGGTCATCCAGTCTCATTCCATCTTTGAGCAAGGTCCAGCAGAAATGATGAAGAAAAAAGGTATGTGGAAGATTAATGTGAACACGCCTCTGTGGCCCAGCATCTAGCATTTGGGCTTGAACCTGAGACGCTTATTTCCAAGTCCTTCCTCATCTCTGGACTCCCAGGGATAGCTTTGGCCAAGTCACTGCCTCTCGGTATGAATTATCCCAGTCAGTAAAACAGGAATATTTCTTATCTACCTCACAAAGATGTTATGAGTAAACTGTCACAGAGTACTCTGTGAATATTAAATAGTGTTTCCATAGAAATTAAGAACAGTGCTCAAAAATACCAGCAAGAGTTGATACCTTTGGTTTCTGCTTTCTGTTGTTTCATATCCTCTTGAGAGTGATATAAAATATTTAAAACTGGCTGCTGTGGAAAATAAAGCAAAAGCTGAAGCCATGTTGGCAGTGAGCAGGCACACAGCAAAGAGGGTGCTTGATTTAAATGCATGTGAGTGAACTGGACATGCAGCAAAACCGTTGGCCCACGTCTTTGTCACACATCAGCCATGGTGGATGTTATCTTGGTGAACTTGAAAGGTTATATAAGCTGTCCTTTTGGGCAGAAATTATTTCCATCTAGCTGCCACAGAGAAGGGAAATGGGCCTATTCTGCCTACTCTACTGAGAGACCAGATCCATCAGGCCTTCCCTCCCACAACTGTCACCTGAGAGCAACCATTTGGTCAGAGGGAAACACAGGAAGCAGGACCACTCGATCTTCCCTGCTGAGAGGCCAACTCTGTTGGGCTTTTTCTTTTCCTGGTGGGCTTCTTTTCATCATAAGTGTTGCTGGTTAACTTTAAGAATTGGTTCCTCAATTTGTCCTGTTCCCCCCCCCCCCAATCTCATTTTCTTTTGTGTGTTTTTTTTTTAGTTTGTAAGCCTGCAGGCAGGGGCCTTATTGTTTTTAGTTTTAGCCTTTTCATCTGAAGTGGAGTGGGAGGTCAAAATGCTTTAAAAAAATAATGAAGTTCAAAACCTTCACACCTAAAGCTCATCTTTAATCCTAACCTGCACCATGAGACCCAGCTCTATTTTTTTTTTACTGTACTGTATATGTTCCATCTTTCTCCACCACCCCCCTGGGTGTCTAGATGCAGGGAACTCGGGGTTCTTGAGTATTTCAATAGCTGTATAGAGGAGTTCATTTTGGAAAGTGGTTGCCAAGGTAAGCAAAACTGCTTGAACTGTGTTTCTTGCTCTGAACATGCCTTTCTATCTTTTTTCGTCCTAGCCCTCTGTTCTTGTCTTTTCTCTCTGCTTGTACAACTGAAGGCATAGCGGCACGCACCAGGCCTCGGGCTTCAGTTTTAAGGAATGGCTTGAGCAGTCGACTTCACCACACAGGTTGCCCTCAATTGTGGAAATTCAAGCTTCAAGGCGCTGTAATAGCCAAGTTACCACTTGCCATTCGAGATATGTTCTGCTTACAGCCATGCCATTCTCTCTTTCGGCACAGGCACCTGGGATAAGACTGTGGATATGTCTGACTTTGGCCCATCCCACATCATCAACATAAAGAAAGAGAAAAGGGAGACAGATGAGGAAACCAAGCAGATCCTGCGCATGCTGGAGAAGGATGATGTGAGTTAGATGGTGGCTGCATTTTGGGACAGCCGTGTCTATGCTGAATCTTTTAAGGACAAAAAATGGCATGTAGCCCATAATCTATGTCCCAGTTATAGATGCTGTCGTCTTTCCCATTTTGAGGCAGGGAACCTTGGAATCATCTTTGACACACTCTTTCTCCTACCTCTCCTTTTGGGAAAGGACTGCAGCTTCACGGGAGGGCTATAGCTCAGTGGTAGACCTTTCATGCTGAAGGTCCCAGGCTCAGTCCCAGGTTCAGATCCCCACCTGAAACCCTGGCATAATACTGCATGGATAATACTGTGCTACTTGGTACCAGGAGCTCCCTATGTTCCCCGCTAACCTCCTTACCCCATTTCATTTTTAAAAAAAATCCACTCACAGTTGGCTTCCTTTTGTGTGTATCCCTTTTTGAGAGCTTTGTTGGAGCACCAGATGAGGGAAGGAGCTCTTAGGGAGGGTTGTTTAGGAAGCTTGTGATAATGAGACCCCCGTGCCAGTATTGTTTAGCCCTGTTTTGCTGTGAGGTTTGTTTGTTTTATAGTGTGTATGTGCAACAGGTTCACTTTTAAATAAATGTTTTGTTCTCTAAAACTAATTTCGCTACACAATTATGTGTCAGTTGTTGATGAAATATTAAGAAAAATCAGAAGCTCAGCAAGCCTGTTTACTGTTGTATTCACAACAGGGTGTGGGTATGTATGTTTTCATGTGTCCCCATCCATATTAATATAAATATCTCCTCTCTATTTATCTGTCTGTCTATCTGTAGGTATGGGTGTCTGGCTACACACCCATACACCCCACCACCAAGAACAGCTCCCTCAACATTCAGTATTTAATTCATTTTTTCTCTCCTGTTCCTTTGGTGCCAGTTCCTTGATGACCCAGGCTTGAAAAATGACATCCGGAACAAGCCAGTTCAGCTTCCTCTGGCCCATTCAGGCTGGCTTTTCAAGGAGGAGGATCAAGAGGATGTCAAGCCTTTGAGCTCAAGTGCCAGGGAGGAGGACATGGAAGTAGACACATCTTCAGTAAAAGGTAGATGGTTCAAATGGATCTGCTGTGTCCCTCTGGGGATTATACCACTGGATGTCACTACTACAGTCTTGTGGTGTCCTCTCGGACAACAAAGACATAAATCTGAAAAGTCACAAATTTGCTTAATTTAATTATCATCTGTCAAGGGAGAGCTTGTATTTGAGTTCCAGGTTCTGGGAGGGCAAACCGTGGTGGATGGCTGTTGCTGTTTTGCCCTGCATGTAGAGTTTATGAAGACGCTTGAACTCAGGACAAAAGGAAGCACTTGGCAAACCCTCGTGATCAACTCCCGCCCTGAAACCTATGTCTCCACTGTGGAAGGACGTGTGGATCCAGAATTGGACTCAGTGTTAAAACTGTGTTTATGGAAGACAATCTTACTCGACTATGAGCGATCGCCAAAGAAAGAAAGAAGATAGTCCAGGAGAACCTAGGAAGTGTTTTTTTCTCCCAGGTGCCAGGGATTGAAACGGGGGCCTGCATGCAAACTCTCTGCCACTGAACTGTGGCCCTTTCCCGTCAGATGGTCCACTATAGGATACAGGGTGCTGAAGCCAGCAGGACTTTCCTTATTTCTCTAGGCTGTATGCCTTATGTTTACTTCTGTGTAGAGGAGCTTGCCCAGGATGCACTTAATCAAAAGCAAATATCCTTTCTTCTCACAATGCATCTGTTCTAGCAAATCTTGCTTGCTCTTGATTTCTGCTCACAGTATATTATGATTGCAGTTTGCTTTTACTTTATCTTATACATGCAGTGTGATGGTTGCTAGTGAAAGTTGTAGACTCTCATTTCAAATCTCAGTAACCTGGTGTGAGGCAGGAAATTGGACCAAGTGACTTCTAATTTGTCTTTATGGTTTTATAAACTACTCATATTATAGAAATATCAGAGCAGTGCATAGAACACCAAAACTAAGTATAAAATATGCATCAGAAATAATCAAGTTAAAATAGCAGTAGAAGACAACACCAGAAGACAACCACTGGACAATAAATAAAAGTCTTAAACATGTGTCTGAAAGAAGAGATTGTTGGAGCATGCCTCATCTCAGAAGTCAATAAATCATCCATTAAAGGGACTGCAATACTGAAAGTCCTGCTATTGGTAGACACCATTTGAATATGAGAAGCCCTCAGTACCACCAGGAGGTCCTCTCCCATGGAACATAGTGACCAGGTAATGGTGTAATCCCTTGCAGCTCTGATTTGAATTGTTACGTCTCATTTCAGTGAAAGAGGAGCCCCATGATGAAGAAGAGAACCCACTGGTCCTCAGACCAGCTCCTGCAAAGGCACCCCCTCCCTTCCCCCAGGATGTGTCTGTTGCGGAGCTGCTGCAGCGGCTCAGCCTCTGCAAGGAGGACGAGTTGCTCTTTCTACAGCTACCAGATACACTGCCAGGACAGCCGCCCACCCAGGACACCAAGCCCATCAAAACTGAGGTGCAAAGTGAAGATGGGCAGGTGATGGTGATAAAGCAGGAGAAGAACCAGGTATGGGAAGACTTGATTCCAGTTTAGAATAAGAAGTAGCAGGGGGCAGGATAGGATGCCGTTGCTTATGTTGCCAAAGAAGGGGCCATAGGAAGGGATGTGGAAGTGTAGAAAAGTCACCCCATGTGTGGAGTGTAGGGCACATGACTTCTTCAATTTAAAAGTTTCTAGTCTTTCTGGGTGCTAAGATGTACTTGAAACTGTATGGGCTACACTTCATGATGCATCAGAAGCCAGAGGCCTTATTGCATAGAATTTCCATTGTTGCCTACTCTATAACCAGCAGAGGTAAAGTATGTAAAATGAGAAATGGGTCAACATTGTTTAATTTGCATAACTTTCACTGGTTTCCTGAGGTTCAGCTTATTCAGTTGAAGGCACTAGCTCTTGGTTCGTGAGAAAACAAGGGTGGTTTCTGAATACTCCAAGATTGGTTTTCCCAGAAGGATGGGTGATGTTTGTAACTTTGTGCTTCCTTTTCAGGAAGCCAAAGAGGCAGAGAACATCTGCACCCTTGGTGACCTCTCTGAAGGGCAGGTGGGGAAGCTGCTGATCCGCAAATCAGGGAAGGTGCAGCTAGTTCTGGGCAGGGTGACTCTTGACGTGACCACAGGGACACCCTGCTCCTTCCTTCAGGTATGGCTTACTCGGGAAACCTCTCTTTTACTCACCCTAACAGTAGATGACCTTTCAAAATGCACATTCCCTGCTAGCAAGTGAAATGGAAATGTTCAAAGGCAGTGTGCCTCTGAATAGCAGTTGCCAGTGTGGCCAGTGGCAGAGAAGAGCTATTGTCATGTTCGTTGGCTTGCCTTTGCTGGTCTGATCCAGTTGGGCTCATATATTCTTACGGCTCAGTATAGGCTTTGATAGACAGGGGAGGGGAACCTCCAGCCTGCAGGACAATCAGCTGATGGATTGAAGGGTAGAGTTAAATCTAGCATTGGTTGTAAACACCTGGTTGCAGCAGGGGATTCTGATGAAAACCCCTTTCTGAATCAGAAAGAAGGGAGAAGGATGATGTGAATTAGTTTTAACAGCACCCTTAATCTGACTTCATTGTGCCATCAGGTGATTGACAGATGGGCAACCCCACTCACCTGTCAAATCAGGGTCACGAGGCAAATCCTCATGAGGACTGAAAAGGTTCTCTATCCCAGCCTCAAGGGGACACAGGCATCTTCATGAGATGGAGTGGTATACAAAATCAACCATACTCAGAAAAGAGCTGTTGAAATTATTGGATATGACTAAATTAATTTCATTGGGCCTTCTCAGAGTAAAGCTTAGCTGGATTCCCCCCACCCATGGTCAGCCTCTGTGCTGGAACCAGAGTGTGATGTGTCTGAGGGGCTGCACCTAAAACATGCGCAGGGCACTTGTCAAAAAGGTGCTGTCACCAGGAGCCCAGCATGGGGTCCAGCTCCTTGTCCACTGTCAGTTTGGAGTTTGGGTTTCTTAGCGGTATAATGTCTCTTTCCATATATTTTGTCCTGGGGTTCCCAGGGCAGAACACAAAATATGCACACACAATATGCACACTATGAAGGTCACTTTTTTGGATGAAATCTGGGTTTCCTGTCAAGCTACATGCAAGTGAGGGATGAAAAAGTATTTGTACATGTTTTTCTGTGATGGCAACCTCTATTTTAAAAACAGGGAGCCCTTCGTAATTAAGTAAAATAAGTATGGATTTATTTGTTTTTAACTTAGGCATCATAACTCGGGTACAAAATTGGAGAGAGCTCCAGGTTTTTAGGGATTGGCAAAAGAAATTCCCCCACAAAGCATATTGTTGTCCCCGGTAGTGACAGTGGTACTTTCTCTTCTCTGCTGGACTTCTGGTCCTATTTCTGTCTGAGTAGGAGGGTGGTAGCTGAAAGCCGCTGCCATCACCTCTCTGGCAGATCGAGGGGGATGGGAGACTCAGTAGGCAGCAGCAGCACCAAAGCACAGAGGATGAAAGGAAAGAATGCGTCTGCCACTTCTGTAGGGGGAATCAGAGCAGTGGTGGGCCCAGCCTCTGCTGTTGCCTGATGCCAACCCCTGGTTGTGGTCCTGTATAAAACAGTGCATATGAAGTGGCTCAGAGCATCACTCTACTGGTAATTGGAACAGGTTTGAGCATCTCAAACTCATTCTGTACCGGAGCCACCAAAGGCTTCAATAAAGGATCTGGCTGCCTACTTTCCTAGATAGCTGCCATTGGGAATCCTCCATTAGTCTTCTAGAAATAATAACCAACACCTTGACTCTTCTTCCCCATGAATTGATGACCCACAAAGTTGGTAGAGAGCACCCTCTTAATGCTTCAGTCTCAGAATGTCAAGGGATTTTTTAAAGCTAAATTTGTTTCCCCATATCATAGCTAGGAAGGGACATGGGTGGCGCTGTGGGTTAAACCACAGAGCCTAGGACTTGCTGATCAGAAGGTTGGCGGTTCGAATCCCCGCGACGGGGTGAGCTCCCGTTGCTTGTCCCTGCTCCTGCCAACCTAGCAGTTTGAAAGCATGTCAAAGTGCAAGTAGATAAATAGGTACCGCTCCGGCGGGAAGGTAAACGACGTTTCCGTGCACTGCTCTGGTTTGCCAGAAGCGGCTTAGTCATGCTGGCCACATGACCCGGAAGCTGTACGCCGGCTCCCTTGGCCAATAAAGCGAGATGGGCGCCGCAACCCCAGAGTCGGTCACGACTGGACCTAATGGTCAGGGGTCCCTTTACCTTATCATAGCTAGGGAACAGTTAAAAGACTTGGCTAAGGAATTAGATGAGATTATTAACTTTCAGCATTGCATTTTCTAATATCACAGTGCTTCCAGCTGTGAACCTATAGGACTACGATCATGGGTAGGCAAACTAAGGCCCGGGAGCCAGAACCTGCCCAATTACCTTCTAAATCCAGCCCGTGGACAGTCCAGGAATCAGCATGTTTTTACATGAGTAGAATGTGTCCTTTTATTTAAAATGCATCTCTGGGTTATTTGTGGGGCATAGAAATTCATTCACCACCACCCCAAAATATAGTCCGGCCCCCCACAAGGTCTGAGGGACAGTGGACCAGCCCCCTGCTGAAAAAGTTTGCTGACCCCTGTTCTAGATTGTACAGGGCTGACCCCTGACTAAGACAACAGGCATATATATATATACCTCCATTATTGTGCTATGTTACTATTCTGTTAGCAGAAGGATTTCCACATTCACAAGAAAGCTGACAATCACATCTCCGATACTAAAATGTATGCGGTGCCATCTCTGTCACTGAATGAAGAAGGGTGTTGAAGGAGTTGAATACAGGCAATGACCAATTAATGTACATTCAGAGGGCACATGACGAACCCACCAGTGACCTGAAAACGTCACTCAACATGTCACAAAAAGGGAGGAATGGGGCAGGGCGCATTTATAGGCACTCTGCTGATGTGGGGGGTGGGAGCGAGAACGGAACCTCCATGCGAAATGGTTGTTGACTTTACTGCCCTTAGTTCTGAATAACAGAGATGGCCAAAGACATCTTAGTATCCGAGATGGAAGATGTTAATGGAGCACAATCTACCAGGAAGTTCTGCGCAAGTCTTAATTAAATGAATGAGCGCTGTTGACGTTTCAGTAGGAATTAGCTGCTCCCCCCTGCCTCATCTGCAGAAAAATGTTCTTGATGAGCTATGGGGTTAAAGAGGATTTGGTGTTTTAACCCGCTTGTGGAGACTATCAGAGGTCACAAAGAGAAAGGAAAAATATATGAAAATAACAAGAAGAGATGTTGAAAAACAATAAGAAAGGACTGGATAGTACTGTGAATATCATATGGTCAGATTTGTGGACATTAAAGCAGCAGCAAGATGATGATTGGATCCCCTTCGGAACTTGAAACTTGAAATATGGGTACCCCCAACAAAAATTTAAAATTCGGCTTTGTAATTTGGAATTTATGTAATTTGGTTTGGTTTGATTTGATGTGATTGGTCGGTTAATAAAAATTATTCTTAAAAAAAAAAAAGAGGATGTGGTGGTTAACAGCTTTTTCTTTTGCCCTTGGAAGGAGCTGGTGTCAGTGGGCATTGGAGACAGTAGGAGTGGCGAGATGATCATCCTGGGCCATGTGAAGCACAAGCTGGTCTGTGCCCCGGATTTTGAATCCCTGCTGGAACAGAAGCATCGGTAGAGAGCATGGGCTGTGGCAAAGGCCTGTGGACAGGACTGCTCGCCCTTCCTCGAGGTTCCTTTAGAAGCAGCAGTGACTGGCCTGTCCAGAAGAGCCTGGTTCCGAATCTGGAGAGTGCAGAGGTCATCCTAAGACAACCTCCTAGACAAGACTTTGCAGTGGAGCAGAACTGTGTGACCACTTGCTGCGTTTGGGTCTCTGAAGCCATAAAGTGTTACGTTGGAGATGCTCCAATGGCCTACCCTTCTCCACAGGTCTAATTTACAAGCAGCGTATAGCAGACAAGACTGTGTCACAATCCCAGGCACCAGAGTCCTAGTAGGGGATTTGTCGTGTGGGAGAGGCTTTTGAGCAGAGATTTGGCTGTTCAGCCATTACCTCCAGATGAAGAGGAAGGGTGCTCCCATTCCAAATGGTTCTTTGGATTCTCAGGATGAAGCCAGTCCTCTCTGAAATTGTTCATATAGTTTCCCCCTTATTTTTGAACAGCTACAAAATGTCTGTGCATTTTTTAAAAAGGTATCTGGTTGCCAGGGCTTGTGATTTGACGTGCCTGTCAATACTACTTCATGTATGCCAAAAGCAGCAACAGGTTTCTTTAGAGAGGCCAGAAAATGGCATGAAGGGGGGCACCGTCCCTCGCCCAGTCTTGTTTTTGGTTTCCCATCGCCTGCCGTGTTGCTTTCCTTGATGAATGTATGGTGCATGTGATGCTGATAGTGAGTTGGGTGTATTTTGTCCCACCAGCTGTGCATCTTGCATATATAACATATTCAATTAGCCTTTGATGAGGGAGAGCAGTACAGGAGATGGTGCCGAGATAAAATGAATAATCACCCCTAATGGTATTTTTTGAGGGGAAAGTTTGCCTGTTAAGAGTTTGATTTGGGCTCTGGAGTGTCCTGATTTCACCCTCTACCATACTTTTAGTCTGCAGGGATGATGAAGCTGTAAATCATGTGCTGTTTATCGTGTCTGGGAAATGCAGGACAACAAGGTTGTAGGGCAGGGATGAGGAACCTCTGGACCTCCAGATACTGTTGGACTCCCACTCCCATGGCCTAGTGGTGAGGGATTATGGGATCTGCAGTCTGCCACCACCTGAAGGGCCACAGATCCCCCATTCCTGCTGTAATGGTTTTATAGAGCAGGAATTAAAACCTGTCATCTTCTAAATGTTTATTTTTAAATTCAAGATGTGGAAGTTATAAAAATCTGCTGGAAAAAAGCTAAATGTTAATTCAGCTGGACCCCTGCTCAAGCACTGCTCTTAGATAAGGACAGACTTATAGGATTTCTTAAGGAAAACTCATTGCCGTGGTGCCATGGCACAATTGTTGAGCTCCATCTGGTGGCTGTGTATCTATAAATAAAAATGAGGAAGTGGCTTTTGCATCGTGTGGAAAAAGTGGATAGAGTGTTTTTCTCCATCCTGATACTAGAACATGGGATCATCCAATGCAGCTGAATAGTGGGAGACTGACGTACTTCATGCCACACACAGGTAAGCAAGCACTTTGGAATCCACAGCTTTCCCTATTTCTTCAAAGCTTGTATATATTTTGTGAAGTGTTTGTATGTCTCCGTTTTACCTGTTCCTCTGTTCTTTGCAGCTATGAGACCAGGAGAATGCCTTTGAGAAATATTTTATTAATGAATTAAACTGAGCTTGTTTAACTGCTGCCCTCAAAGCCACACTGCTTCATCGGAAGGCAGCCCTGTTTAGCGAAGCTTTTAATGTTTAATAGACTATTGTATTTTAATATTCTGTTGGAAGCCGCCCAGAGTGGCTGGGGAAACCCAGCCAGATGGGCGGGGTATAAATAATAAATTATTATTATTATTAGCGGCTAATTTGATTTCAACTGATTACTTTGGTCCAAGAGCATTTCATGTACCTTGAAGGAAAGAGACAGTTTGCATTGCACTTCAGCCTGGATGGGCATCATCCGTGGCAGATATGCCATGACTTGCTTTCTTTCTAGACATAAATAGAGAGTGCTGAATTGCCTCCTCCACCTCACCATAAGCTTTATCTCCTCTCATCTGATTCCTGATGTCACTGATGCTCAGCTTTATTTGAAGTGATGACAGTTCTGGATATCCAGCGGGACCTGCAAATGGCAAAATGAAAAATACCCTGGAAGGAGAAAGAGACTACTAAATTGGCAATATTATGGTAGTGATGAAGTCCTGCTGTCGCAAAATTGTCATGCCCAATTAGGTTCTTTTAATTTGTTTCGGTGTTTTAACCTCCCTTCTTGACATTGATGTGTGTATGAGTGCATATTCCCTGTCTTGACTTTACTTTTTAAACAATAATACACTATTATAGAGAAATCTAATATTGGTTGTCTGAGGTTTATTTGTGCCTTCCCTGGAGCACACTGGGTCTCATCTAGGTTAAAACACCTAAACAAATTAAAAGAACCTAATTGGGCATAACATAATTGGTGTTTTTTTATTATTATTTGTGCAAGGTCTACTATTTATTTCTTCTTTAAAAATCACATTAAAAATAAGTCTTTATTTTACACATAAAAATAAGTATGAAAAACATTAACACAGTTTTTTGGGGGGGGGTTCTTAAAAATATTTATTGGTGCAAACTGTAGACCTTCACAAAGGACTTGGAACGCTTGGCAATCTTCCTCTTGCCCATGCTGGCTGTCACTTTGCGTGGGTAGCGATCAATGCCAGCCACCAGGATGTGCCAACATCAATATTCTTAACAATAACAGCTTTGCTTCCAGAGTAACGCCAAGCAAGGACAAGGACGACTTTTCCTCTTGGAGCTGCAGCAGCGATGGCACCCACGCCGGAAGAGCAACATAATCACAATTTGATTAGCAATAATGCTGACTTGGAAATTTATTATTGTGTCATGCATTCAGAAACGTCCTTGTATGAGTCTTCTGCAAGCCAGTGCTTTATAGTTTTCTTTGTAGTCTCTGCTGCTTTGTCGGTGGACTGGACACCTAAAGACTTTGTGTCTGCAGTCACCTCCTGCTCTTGTTGCACTCTGTGAAGTTTTTGTTTTCTCACCTTCTCCTCTCTGTGCTCTGCAAGAGCTTTTGCATTAGCCAGTTCTCGATCAAAATATTTGCACTGTTTCATTCTCGCCATGTCTGCTTTAGCAAGCCAAGTTTTGAGGTCCTCAATTTCATCCTTGTTCGATTCAGCACCTTCATCAAGTTTGGCCTTGAGAGTTTGCTTCTCTGCAAGTGCACTTTCTAGGCAGTTCTCCTCCTCTAACACAGCCTCAAGGCGGACCACCTCATTCTTGGAAGCTCGCACTTTAAGCTCCGTTGCCATCGTGTTTTATCCTTTCTTTATCCTGGGAATTTCTCCTCAATTCACTCATGGCATTTTCCAGCTCTTGGTTTTTCAGCTTCAAACTCTCTTGCTCTCTTTCAAGAGCCACAAACTCATAAGTGAATATGTTCTCCTTCAGCTCTCTGAGCTCACATATCAGCTGCTCTTTCTCTAGTCACAGGTTTTCTAGTTCTACTTTTAAGGCTTTTTGTCCTGTGAGAGCATTATCCCTCTCATCTGCTAGGATTTCACAAAGCATGACAGAATCTGCAAAACTCTGGAAGAGCATTTTTTCTTTTTCTTTTAGTGCTATATGTTGACTCCTGAGTAATGAAGATTCTCCCTTGGAATCCAGTGCTGCTGCCTCAGCATCACTGAGAGCCTGCTTCATTTATTCCATTTCGGCCCCCGAGTTATTCAAAATCTTTTTTAGCTCACTAACATTGTTTTCCAGTGTTTCAATTTTATTCTTTTGCTCCTTGATCTGCAAGTCTTTTGACATTACTTCCTCCAAACCAACCTCAGACCTTGGAATCTGTTATTCTTCAGGAATTGTAACACTGGCTGTCATCCATTGATCTTCATATTCGGAAAACTCTGAGGATATAGACTCTCAACTCTGCTGGACAAGGCAAAGACCTTTTAAACTGTTTGGCTTTTGGGGAAAAGCTTCCCGGGAGACATTCCCCCTCCTTCCTGGTTTATTGTTCTTGGTCCGCAGGTCACTCTACTCCTCTGTCAAACCTTGAACTCTTCCGATGATGCAGAAGTTGACATCACCAGCATCTCAGTAAGAATCCTTACTTTCTCCTCCTCCTCCTTTTGAAGAGCATTCTTCTCTGAAACAATCTGTGCCAGTTCTTTTATGCGTTGTTTCAGGTTCTGCTTGAGCTATCCGTCTCTTTGCTTTCAATTCTCATTTGGAAGATTGTATACGAATGGCTGCTTCCTTTATTCATTTTCGTCTCTCCAAAGTTGTGTGCCAGACGCAGACAGGATCCCGTTGTCTGGTCACCCAAGCTCTTACTGGGTCTGATCAGTCCAGTGAAGAGTGGTGCATATGGATCTGTGTGCATGGATGTGTGTATGAGTGCATATTCCCTGTCTTGACTTTACTTTTTAAACAATAATACACTATTATAGAGAAATTTAATATTGGTTGTCTGAGGTTTATTTGTGCCTTCCCTGGAGCACACTGGGTCTCATCTAGGTTAAAACACCTAAACAAATTAAAAGAACCTAAATGGGCATAACAAAATCAGTGGTTAATTCCACTGCTTTACTGCTTGGCATTTTGCAGTGAGAATCCCTTCTCCCACTGAAAACTTGGGATGAAAGGTTGCAGAATATTCTAAGCTATCTGTCTTCAGCTTTAAATTTATAGATCTGTTTAGTGTTGTGATTCTAGTTCCGCCTCTGGCTGTGCAAGATGCTTTGTGATTGCCTGCTTTGGCCTACCCAGACCCCCACAATTTCGCCAGCACTTCTGTGGGGCTTCTGCTCCTCTTCCAGAAGTTGCTGGCGCTTTTCCTTTCAAGAGTGCCTCAAGAGAAAAAGGAAACAGTCACCATTTGGAAGTTGCAATGGTAAAGGAGGTATGTGCTGATCACCCATAGGACACATTTAATGATGCAAGTTGTCTTTGATATACCGTGCGGTCTGAAGAGCCTTCATATTCAGCGTTCCTCCCTGAACCCCTTTCCGGCCAATGAGTATTAGGCATACAGGGTTGACCAGGACTACAGTGATGGCATGGGTGCAGCTGTCTCCATTGTCCCCATACAGCTTGGTCCGGAGATCCATGGTGTATTGATGGGCATCAGTATAGAGGTTGTCACGTATGACCAGACACTTGAGCCCACCAAGGGTCAACCCTTGTGTGAGGAGGATATCTCTGCTCCTACCAAGGAGAGCTTGGATCTCTGGCTTGGTCACTCTGGTCAATATGCCACTTCGGTGAGCACCTAGGAGTTGCTGTTGAGCTATAGAGACAACTGCTGCATCCCAGCAAATCCCATCTCTCATGATGCTGTTGATATACCTCTGCCAGACAGTCATTTTGTGATTTAAGAGTCTGTTATGGTAAGATGTATCCTGCAGCCAGTTGAGCAGGAGGGATAAAGACAAGCTCTCCTTTTAGGGGTAGGTTGCTTCTTTAGAATCTCTAGCTGGATGTTGGTCATTAGATGAGCAGGAGCTGTTATGTGTCCTTTCTGTCCATCGCATGTGCTTGGGAAGACGAGTGTTGTAGGCTGAAGCAGTAGGATGGTGATTACTTACAGAGAGTGTTTCCTTCTAGCATTGATGTACGTGTCTTTTGGTGTCTCAGCCAAGGATAGCTTGCGATCAAGTTTTTGGGCACAAAAAGTCTCCTGCAGCAGTCTCCTTGATACCACCTATCAGTAGTCACTGCTGGCAGTAAACACCTCCTTTTCATAACCTTTTTGCTCCTTGCTCTAGAACTCTGGAAGCAGTTAGAGTCTTTCTGGTTGTGATGTCATAATGTTTGTGTCTCCTGGACAAATCAGGTTGGCCTGTCTTGCTTTACTGCTTACATATTATAAATATTAAGTGGTTTAGAAATCCTTCTAAATTAATAAAATTAAATATTCTAGGGTCATTTGTTGTTTTCTATACATCCCATTGCATTTTGCAGCCAGTGAACACTTAGAGGCAGCCATTTTGCTGCACATCTGCATTCAATAACCTGTACAGTGGGACCTCGGGTTACAGACGCTTCAGGTTACAGACTTCGCTAACTCAGAAATAGTACCTCGAGTTAAGAACTTGGCTTCAGGATGAGAACAGAAATCGTGCTCCAGTGGCGCGGCAGCAGCAGGAGGCCCCATTAGTTAAAGTGGTGCTTCAGGTTAAGAACAGTTTCAGTTTAAGAACGGACCTCCGGAACGAATTAACATTTTCCTTACCACTTGGCAGAATGATACAAGTGGCTTTCCCTATTCTGATTTACGTTGATTTTAATCTGATTCTAAGCTGTATTTCAGTCAATTGCTGGATTTTATGTTTTAATGTATTATATATTTTAATGTTAGCCTCCCTGAGCCCAGTTTGGGCGGGATATAAATAGCATATTATTATTATTAGTATTAGTATTATTATTATTATTGATTGCAAACCATGGTAAGCTGCCTATATGTAAAAGGTATTAAGTGCAGTGGCAAAGTACAGCAAGCACAGGGGATGTGGCCTTCCCCAACTGCTTACATGCTGTGGTGCATAATTTGTCAGCTATGAGCGCTTGAAGCATTATCTAAAGTAAAAAAGCAGGAATAATCCAGACTCCACACCCTTCATGAGGCACCAGATTTCAGTGTGAGAAGGAAGCAGCCAAGACAAAAAAAGGCAATGAAATATTTCCAGTTCTGTATTTCTAGGTTTTAAATGCTTTTGTGTATGAACCTGTAGAGGAGATGAGCTACCTAAAAAAAGACTTCTTTTGTAAAGAGCCATGTGCACAGATGTTCAGGATGGCTCAGCCGGCAAACTTGGAACAGAAATAAATACTTGCTTAGTCCTAGGCATTTGTTTTAGTGCCCTCTTGTATTATGAGCAGGCCTATTTTATAAGCATACCTTGCCACTCACTTACACAATAATAGCTCCAAATTGGGTTTTAGTGGTGGTTGTCCTTTCTCACTTGTATTACACGGCTCCCCTCATCTTACAACCTCTAGAAAAGCTGTGACACGCCCCTCCCCCCACAAATGTTAACTGCGCTGACTTCTTTCTTTTGACATGAGTTTCTCCATTCCTACCAAGTGTCTGTTCTGTCCCACTCCACCCAAGGTGGGTGTGCTTGGCCCAGATTCCCTTTCCTTTCACCTTTCCTCCTAAGTGCTGAGCCTGTGTTCTGCGACTATCTCTCTATCATCTCACACATATACATATACAGCCTTTGCCTCCAGCCTAGTAAAAATACAGTGAACAGTCAATCGAATCTCTGGGCACCCTATTCTAAGTTGATGGTCTCCAGTCTCTCAGCTGCGTGGTCCAGCAGCTTAGTCCAAAGCCGGTTCTTTTAGTGTCGGCACAGCAGTCGACGCACCCTTGGACTCCTCCATCTTCTCTAGGGCAAACAACAAGTCAAGCTGGGTCAGTGGCCGCAACCGTTCCTCTTCCAAGTCACTGGATGCAAAATAAATAAGTCAACTGCCTGTTGGTTCTTTTGTCTCTGCCCACAGTTCTTTGCTCCCTAAAATGCCTGCCATCATCTTCCATTGTATCTTCAGTGTTTTTCCCAAGTTTATTGAGTGTGGGTTATAGATTAGTTTTATTTTACACTTTTTGGTTTCAAATTGCCTTGATTTAGGAACATAGGAAGCTGCCTCCTACCAGGTCAGAATATTTGTCTAGCTGAGTATCGTCTACTCTGACTGGCACAAGGTCCCAGGCAGAGAGAGATGGTTGTCATCTCCTGTCTCCTGATCCTTTTAACTGCAGGTGCCAAGTGTGGAACCTGGGACTTCTCACATGCAAAGCATGTGTGCTTTACCATTAACCTATGGCACCTATACTATTTCTTGGTGTGCTGTGACTTGGTTCTGTTTTGCTTTTTGTAAACTGTTTCTGAATAGAAATAAATGTTATAGAATGGCAGAGCTGAAATGACCATTGGACTCATTTCAGCAGTACCATTCCAAGCTCAATGGCAATAATGGACTCCACCACTAAACCTGGGGCCCCTTCTAACATTGACTGGTTATTAATGGAGGTGCTGTAGGAGGAATAAGAAACCTGTGTCTCTAGAAGCTGGCCTCCATCATCTTTATTACCCATGCTGGTGGGGGCTGATGGGAACTGGAATCCAACAACATCTGGAGGCAGTGGCGTAGCGTGGGTTGTCAGCACCCGGGGCAAGGCAAGTAATTTGCGCCCCCTAACCCGTGGATTTTAGTAGGGGCAGAGAGCTACGAGTGCGAGCGCCCCCCCCAGATGTTGCGGCCGGTGCGGCCGGCCCCCCTTGCACCCCCCACGCTACGCCACTGTCTGGAGGGGCACAGTTCCCCCCTCTCTGGGCTAAAGCATGGCTCCTCTTGCCCTGCTTGATAATAGTGAGCAGAGCCCTAGCTCAGTAGTGCCTATGCTTTGCCTGCAAAAGATCCCCAGTTGAGTCCCTAGCTGTAAAAGACACCTGTCTGAAATGCTGCTGCCACGGTCATTGTGCCCTGTAAACGCAACAGAGCTAGATGGATAAAAAAATCTGACTGGATTTCAGACCATTTTCTACGTTTCTAATACTGCCCAACGTGCAGGTTTGTTGTAAGGATCCTAACACAACTCCTGGGTTCCTCCAGATCTACGGAGGAATAACAGCAGCATGAGAAGGAACTGCAGCAGAGGCTTCTCCTACATGGCCTCAGATTTCCACAGGAAGCAACTTTTATATAGGAACTGCTCCTGCACTGCTGAACGTAATGTTGAAAAGAGCTCTATAAACAGTTACCGTATGTTAATTTAAAGTCACCTTTTCATAAGTATGTCACAAATGAAATGAAACCAGCTTTTTATCAACTGATGGATTATCCATGAGAACTGGTGCCTTATGGAGATTGGCATGGAGTTGTCTCCCCTACACAGGATAGGATTTCAGAGGAAAAGATTACAAGTTCACAAGGCAAACAGCCCAATTCTTTTCAAAAATTGATTGAGAAGTTAGAACTTGTAGATATTTGGAGATATAAGAATGGAGATGCTAAAGAATTTACACACATGAAGGATACAGATCACATTCAAGACTGGACATGGCTTGGTTATCTAAAACGTTGACCACAGAGGTGTATAAAGTCAGCATCTTACCAAAGACATTTTCAGACCATAACCCTGTCATTTGAGACTTTTAAAAGATTAGATTAAGTAGCTGTTTTATTTCAGTGTGTTATAAAAATATACTTCATAATGGGTGTGAACTTTTGTATATTTTTGAATAAGTATTAATAAATAAATTTTAAAAGGGGGATCACCTTTTCAGTCTTCTGCAATTTAGCCCTCCTCCATTGCACTGATAGACTTGCTTAGATGTATGGATTTCATTTGGACAATTGGAGTTTAGCCCATATTTTCATACTTCTGAAAGTCCATGGCCCAAATAATTTGAGCCCAGAACCTTCTGGTTATTAATTCATTCTATTTGTATAATTTAAGTTCTTTTGTAACTATACAGATAAAATTCAAAACTGTAGACAATAAAACACTAAAACTTGGATAAGCACAGCAGCTAAAACAATTTAAAATGAATATAAAAACGGGATGTGCAAGGTTTTGATATTCCAGATAGATGTATGTATTAAAATTAAAGGATCTGGGAGAACAAAGGCTACATACATAACATGCATTTAAAGCTCCTCTCTCCTCTCCTCCTAAGCTTGGGAACTAGTTTGGTTAGATACTGGGAATGGTAGCTCTGTGATGGGTAAACCATAGTTCCCAAGATTGGGGGGGGGGGAGAGAAGGAGCTTTAAATGCATGGTGCATATGCAGCCAAAGGCTTTACCTGGCACAAAGAAAACCACCTCCAAGGTGCCAGGTGAGCCTCTCTGAAGCCTGCATTCCCTAAGTGGGAGGCCAGCAAGGAAGGGCTCACTCTGGTCATGACTCAGCTCACTTCTATCAGGTGGGAAAACCCAGAGAAGTGCATCCGATAAAGATCTCAAGACCTAGGCATGTATGCATGACAAAAAAACCCATCTTTCATTCAGAGCATTCTCTGTTAAAACGTGCAAGGCAAATGAGGCTGAGAAACAGACCCAGAACTATGAAAAGTTAGAAGCAAAGAGGAACGGGAGTTGAGTGAAGCTTGTACCTTTCTTCCCCACTGTCTGTATCATGGAGCATCCGAGCAATCTGCTTCATTTGTTGCTTGCGGACATAATCACGCACACGATACATGGCAGCATCCCGGCACAATTCCCGCAGGTCACTTCCTGAGTAACCTTTTGTTTTCTCAGCCAGCTCTTTCAAGTTCACAGCATTGCTCATCTGTTTCAAAGGCAAAGGATCCCCTCTGGGTTAAATATGGAGAGTCACACATGCTCCCTAGGCAACTCTGTGGTAGTACTGGCAGCTACACAGCCTTGAATCTGTCTGGGTAAACATCTATGACTTGGCTGATCTTAATAAATTTAGTGTTATGCTGTGCTGCTGATTTGGGGGGGGGCATGTTTGCATACATGTGTAAATAGGAATTAACTGAGCTGCTTGCATATTTGGACTTTCCAAGAGCATATCTGTGGGGTTTATCACAATGAGCTCCTGCACTTAAAAATTATCCCACCTTCCCCTAATCACTGTGGGTTAAACCACAGAGCCTAGGACTTGCCGATCAGAAGGTCGGCGGTTGAAACCCCACGACGGGGTGAGCTCCCGTTGCTCAGTCCCTGCTCCTGCCAACCTAGCAGTTCGAAAGCACGTCAAAGTGCAAGTAGATAAATAGGTACCGCTCCAGCGGGAAGGTAAACGACATTTCCGTGCGCTGCTCTGGTTCGCCAGAAGCGGCTTAGTCATGCTGGCCACATGACCTGGAAGCTGTACACCGGCTCCCTCGGCCAATAAAGCGAGATGAGCATCGCAATCCCAGAGGCGGCCACGACTGGACCTAATGGTCAGGGGTCCCTTTAACTTTACCTTTAACTTTAACTTTACCTCAGGCTGCAATGGGGGGGGGTATGGCAGGGAGAGAGGGAAACTTACATTTTCTCCAGCAAGGATGAGCTTCAGAATATCCTGCCGCTGCCTTTGTGTCTAACAGAAGAAACAGCAGAAGAGAATGAGACCAGTATGCTTTGATCTGGAGGTGGACCTAAGAACTGGCCAAGGCACATGATACAGCAACCTTACTGAAGCTAAACAGATCTGGGTCTGGTCTGTGCCTGGATGGAAAACTCCATGGAAGCCCAGGTGTGCCACGGTGGGTTTCATGAAAGGCAGGATAGGAATTAAGAGGGAGGTCTTTGGGGACAAACCAAATTACATCTCCAGAAATGTACTGTCGCTGACAAGAGAGTGATCTGTACTTGTATAGTGCTTCCAGGTGTTCAGAGCACTTTACAGGGCTTACCTAGTTGTAACCTGTGGCCCCAGATCTCGGACTCCAGCTCCATCAGCCCCAGCCAACATGGTCAGTAATTCAGCCGCATCTGGGGAGGCCACACTTTCTCCACCCCCTGAATTAAATCAATCCTAATTGATGATATTTTGATTGAATACTGGAGTAAATAGCCTCATTTTGCATAGGAATAAACCAATAGTTTTTAAGAAGGAAGTGTACTGGTATGTATTGCAGCAGATGTGATCCCAGAAACGGCATTTCCTCCTGGGTGTCAGAGAAGGAGGCAATGCCAATGGACTTAACACCCTGGCTTCTTTCTGAGCCATTAATCATATTCCTGAGTTTGCACATAATGGGCAGCTTTGGTGAATAGCTGAGTCATGGCTTGTGAAGGAAAAGGTACATGAACCTCATGCATATCCTGCCTTATGAAGCAGGAACTAGTCGTGTCATGGGTTGAAAGCCAGTTAAGGTATACATGCATCTACTAACAGTGCAATCCTGTACATGTTGACTCAGAAGAAAGTCTCCACTGAGCTTAGTGGGTCTTTTTACTCTCAAGTAATTGTGTAGAGGTGAAGGCTTTATGCTTGTGCTTGCAATTAACAAAAACATAAAATATGGGCGGAATATGTAACAGTGTGTCTAGAATAGAATGCTGAGCTGATATTTGAAGTACATTCAGAAAGGCCATGCGGATTTGGAAGAATCTGAAAGGGTGTGTGTCAGGAAGAAGTCAAGATCACAATGGGTGAGGAGGGAGATAGTCAGATATTCAAAAACTAGGATAAAGATCATGGCTTTGTCAGTGGCAGACCTTGGGGTCTCAAATTTCAGTGGCATCCTGCATGATGCCAAAATTCAGTGCCCCCCATGCTCCATTCTAAATAATAGCTTCAGCGAACACAGTGACACCCCTGAGGCTCCGTGCCCAGTGCACTCCCCATAATCTGCATCCAGGGCCATCTTTACCTGGGGGTGCAAGGGGTGTGGGGCACCAGGCACTCACTGCTGAAGCCGCCCAAGCTCTTAACTAGCTACGTGTTATGAAATAATACATAATTTTGATCAAGCTAGAAAAACAAAATACATATATACCTAGGTATTACCGAAATGTATACCTACTGTTTCACTAAAGGACTTCGACTTTGTGCGCTCATTTACCAAAGATGCGCCGTGCCAGTGGTGGTGCTTGTCATTCACAATGGCAGCGCTTGTCAGACAAGCCAGCGGCAGCACTTGTCATTCTCAACAGCGCCGTGCATGCGACATTAACTCTTACAAAATATTATGTTACGTATTGCACCGAGCTGCTATGCAGCACCTTTGACACGACTGATCTCGCGCTGCCTGCCTGCCGGCTGCAATAAACACACAAGACGTAACCGGCTGTACGTTTGAAAAAATAATATATACTATTCATTGTATTGAATTGTAGATTTCAACAGAAGTGACTCAAAGTTCAACGAAAAAAGTAGAAGACCCAGTGGGTCAGTTCATTCTCTAATCTGTTTATGCATAAGGTCCATATATGTGAAAGTGTCTATTCCACCTACCTGTTCATAAAGTCCAACAATCCACACGAAAGGTTGTTGCAGTTCCACAGAATCCTTTCACAGAGTCTAAGACAAGGATTTCTGGAATATTTGGACAGTGGATCTTATAGCATAGTCCTGTATAGCACAGCTGCTGTCCTGTGATATCATATATGAGTTTGCCCAAGACAGCGAAACAAGGCTAATATTCCGGAAATATTCAATACAATGAATAGTATATATTATTTTTTCAAACGTGCAGCCGGTTACGTCTTGTGTGTTTATTGAATATGTTTCACGTAACCAGAGGTTGTTGTTTTGTGCCTGCCGGCTGCAGGCAAGCCGCTCGAGATCAGTCGTGTCAAAGGTGCCGCTGACCCCGAGTGAAACTTTTTAAATTGCATTTTAATTTCATCACTTACAGTTCAAATTCGTTTGGAGAAATTGTTTTTAAAAAGTGTGGCATCTGGCATTAGCATAATAAAAGTTAATTTTGGGGCTAAACTATATTTGGGGGCGCTGGGTGAATCTTTGCACCCTGGTGGCGCATATGCTAAAGACGGCCCTGTCTGCATCTGGCTTTGTTTTGTCTTTTGGGGGAGACTTCCTTTTATACAAGGGCATTTTATTCAGGCATCATACCAGCTGGGTAGCTGCTATGATGAGCTAAATAAATAATGCAAGTATATCAGCCAGTTTTTGCAAGCACAAGAAGATTCTAGCATATGAAGACAAGAAGATCTATAGAAGATAAGACTTTGAAGATTTGCCTGCACTGCAAAATTGTCTGCCTGCTTCAGTGGTCAAGCATTGCCTTGGACTGCTCAGAAAAGACTCACTTCTGCCACTCCCCTTTCCTGAAGGTGTACTTTAGGTTGCAATGAGCCATCTTTGAACAGCAATTGTATCCTCTGTTGTGGATGAAGCATTGTACCTCAGTAAAATGGAGCTGCAACTTTCCCTCCTTTTGCAGTCTGGATTTCACTTCCTGAACTCTTATAAAGCCTCATACTGATCTATGTTGATGCTTACATAAAATTGCAGTCTTAAGTGATCTTTTGTGGGGCTGTTGCATCTCCCAGTGGGGACACTGATCATTTGGAAAAGTTAATTTATTTTTTTCATTTTTTATTTTTTACTGGAGGGACTTCTACTCTGTCCTTCAATACCATTCCTAGACCAGCTGGACACATGTTTAATTGCCTTGTTTTCTAGCACTTGGACCAGGAAGCAATTCTTAATTGTGTTCTGGCTGTTATGCAGTGATTTCTCTGGCATCTTCCTCAAGCATAACCCAATCAATATTGAACTGGAAACCTCACTGTGCAATAGCAGAGGTGGACATGAAGCAAGTGTGAGCTGGATTTATTAGAAGGGAAGGTTTGCTTACAGGCAGGCCAATCTGGAAGGTAGTTGGCATTCTCCTCAGGATGGCTGGATCTACATCTTGTGGTCTGTTGGTTGCTCCTAGCACCATTACCTGAAACACAATTGGACCGTGATGGTCATTGATTGATCTTGTGTTTTAACTGATCAGTTAAATTTGCGTATGATTGCATATGAATAAAACTATATGAATAAAACAATGTTACTCATACTCAGAGTAGACCTATTGAGGTTAAGTCACAGGTCCATTTATTTCAGTGGGTCTACTTCAAGTTAAACTTACTGCAGGTGTCCCCCACTTGCCCGTGATTGACTCATGTGCAAATATGTATTCACACGGTGCCCCCAAATAAAGAAATAAATAAGTAATTTGATTCAAACCTGGAAATGGCCAGAGAGAGCTGGAGAGTCTTTGTGACTTGTAAGAAGTCTCCCCTCAGAGCCTGAAAAGGACTTCAGTGAGGGTGGGGGAAGCCCCAAAGAGACCGGAGGTGCAGTGCGGCTTTGTTTAGGCTGCTCAGCCTCTGTGGCTAGCAGCTGACATGCGGGGTAGCACAGCAGCCACTGCAGCCACCACTTTCCCCTGCATCCTCCAGGCTCCGAGCTTCAACTCTAGTTGTGGCTATTTTTAGATACAGTATTTTTTGTCTGGATTGGAGAGAGTGTGGCAGAGAGGGCGTTTAAAGGGTGTTTAAGGGTGTTCCCCACTTATGCAATTTTTGCTTATGCACACAGGGGCCCAGAATGTAACCCCAGTGTAAGTGGAAGGAACACCTGTACTCTTTTTTTAAAATAAGAGAGCATACTTTTTAGGTGACCCATGCATGGAGCAGGCATCACCTTAGAAGAGGCAAATGTATAACAGGAGGGAAGGAGCACTGGTTGCCCCTGGCTTGTTTGCATCAACTGAGCTAGGTGGTGGTACCTGGCAATTGGTTCCAGTCTCCAGACCATCCCAAAGGCTCATAAACTCTGCTTTCATCATGGCAGTGGCTTCATGGTCAGCTTCGGAGCGGTTCCTCAAGAAGGCATCTGACAGGAGGGAGAAAAAGAACAGTTTAGCCAAAAGGACTGGGCTTCTGTTGTTTTCCCTGTGCTGGTGTCTGTTTTGACACCCATCTCTTAAATTGATATCTTGGCAACATTTTCATTCATATTATAAAGAATGCTGAAATGCAGTGGAATTCTGGTTCTTTCTAGGTCATCAGTGATTTCATTTGGAAGGTCCTACATGTTTGCAGATCTCTCTGCCCTCTTATGAATCGTTGCTGGCAAGAGCAAGAGGGAGAAGAACATGGTCAGTTGAATCGGGAACCTGCTACCAGTGGCTGCTGGGTATGATGGCTATGCTGTGCCTCTGCTGCAATATGTCTTCAAATACTAGCTGCTAGGAGCTGCAGGTGGGGCGGGTGTGTTGCACTCAGAATCCACATGCAGGCCTCACCTGGGCATCTGGTGAACCATTGTGAGAACAGAGCGCTGGAACAGATGAGCCTTTGGCCTGAGCAAGAAGGGCTCTTCTTACGTCCTTATGCCACCTTTAATCTTGGACAGAATCACCCCAATCCCTCTTCCTTCTAGGAACCACAGAGAGGAAGCCCACTCTGTCCTGGTTTAGGGGAGTGATTAGTGCTTTTGTGAAATCAGCCATTACACCAATATTCACCAGCCTCCATTCTGACCAGTTTCCATACCTAGCAACCAACATACTTCACCATAAGGAGAGTGGCAAAGACTGGCATGTTTAAGAGATGTACAACTGGGTGATCAAGTATGGATGCGAGTCTGGAGAGGTGAGCAATAAGCAGCCGTTGTTCACTGCTGCAGCCCATATTAATCCTTAGCATTTGGTGGACATTTTGATAGTTTTTCAGGAGTTCTTGCTAATATTTCCAGTTGCAATTAAGGAGATGGGAGATACAGGTTTCTGTCTTGTTTTTGTCTTCTGCTTCAATGGGTATCTTGCTTCCTTACACCATCAGTTGTCCCAACTATGTAAGCAGGACACTGGGAACCACTGATGAGTTTTCCTAAAGCCTGATGAAATCTGAGGTTTACAAGCAGTGGTATCTGCTGGTTTTAGCTACATTGGGTACATTTATTTAGAAGAAGTGTTTGTGCTAGAAAAATCCCAGCCTCCTACCACTGAGCTACACCCCTTCCTCCTTCTAGATCACGGGTAGGCAAACTAAGGCCCGATGGCTTGATCCGGCCCAATCGCCTTCTAAATTCGGCCCGTGTATTTTTACATGAGTAGAATGTGTGCTTTTATTTAAAATGCATCTCTGGGTTATTTGTGGGGCCTAGGAATTCATTCACCACCACCCCCGAAATATATTCCGGCCCCCCACAAGGTCTGAGAGACAGTGGACCGGCCCCCTGCTGAAAAAGTTGACCCCTGTTCTAGACTGTACAGCGCAGACTTCCGGTCTGTTGCAGACCAAGAAGGAGAGTGGATTTAGGTCTCCGGGGAAAGTCCGATTTCATAGAGAAATTGGGGTCGCGCAAAGGTGCTGCGGACTCCTAACAACCCTGAAAGGTTTGTTTCAGGTGTTGGGTACCCAGCTGCGCTCAGGAGCGTTCTCTCCACCGTCCGAATCGCTCCTTAAAGGAGTGGAGAAGACTGGTGAGATTGAGATGCGAGCACTAAGGAGTCATCTTCTAACTCTGAAACGAAGCCTCAGGCTCCTATGGGATAGAGTGACAGATTTTCCATGATATTTACAATTGAATCTAAAATTGAATGAAGAGTGAAAGTAGTGGACTAAATTAGTGGAAGATTCAGCAAAGTGGTGAGGTGAAAATAAGGAGGTCAATCCCGCCTCAGAGAGACTTTAAAGTGAATGACTTTACTTCCAAAGTGTAACGTTTGTATAAATTTCCCTACAGCGGGTCCTGATCGTATTGGGATTTAATACGGACGTCCTGCCTATCTGACACTTAAAGACTTATTCTATTGGGGGGGGAGAAGACCCCTTTGAATTACCGTATTTTTCACCCTATAGGACAAACTTTTTCCCCTCCAAAAATGAAGGGGAAATCTGTGTGTGTCCTATGGGGCGAATGCAGGCTTTCGCTGAAGCTTGGAGAGCAAGAGGGGTTGGTGCGCACCGACCCCTCTCGCTCTCCAGGCTTCAGGAAGCTATCAGCAAGTCTGGGGAGCTTGCAGGAGTTCCTGCAGGGCTCTCTAGGCTGCGGATAGCAGCCTGCTGCACGGAGCACGGGGCGCACTGAAGCAGAGCGCCCCGCGCTTCGGGCAGATATCCACAGCCTAGGGAGCCCTGCGGGAGTTTCCGATAGAGAAAAAAGTATGACTGAATCAACCAATAACATACAAGATACAAGCAGCAATGATGGACTTAAAATAGGAAAGGCACCAGGACCAGATGGATTCACGGCAAAATATTATAAAAAATTAAGTCAAATTTTATTGACACCTTTGATTGATCTGATGAACAATATCTTTGAAAAGGGAGATATCCTAGGTACATGGAAAGAAGCATTTATCATGTTGATACCTAGCAGGAGGCAGACTTAACCCAGGTTAAAAATTATAGGTCTATCTCACTGTTAAATAATGATTATAAGATGTTTGCAAGCATCGTAGCAAATTGAATGGAGTTCTAAAATGTATGATACATGAAGACCAAGCAGGCTTTCTTCCTGGATGACAGATGAAACATAATGTACTAGACAAGGTTGCCCTCTTTCACCGTTATTGTTTATAACTGTCCTGGAAGTTTTGTTGAGAAATATGAAAACAAGAGAAAAGATAAAAGGAATTAATATTGGTCGAAAAGAATATAAATTAAAAGCCTTTGCAGATGATCTAGTTATAATAGTAGAACCGTTATCTAGTGCAGTAGAAGAACTGGATAGTAGTGCTTCTGGTAGAAGTAGGAGCGAATAGAACAATTTGGACAAGTAGCAGGATTTAAATTAAACAAAAAGATAACAAAATGCTTGTTAAAAATACGGAAGAACATGTGAAATACAAACTGCAATGCAAAATAGGTATGTTGTTGTTTAGTCGTGTCCGACTCTTCGTGACCCCATGGACCAGAGCATGCCAGGCACTCCTGTCTTCAAAATAGGTATAGAGATGGTAAAAAAGGTAAAATATTTAGGAGTCTGGTTAACACAAGGGTCAGCAAACTTTTTCAGCAGGGGGCCGGTCCACTGTCCCTCAGACTTTGTGGGGGGCTGGACTATATTTTTGTGACATGTTGAGTGACGTTTTCAGGTCACTGGTGGGTTCGTCATGTGCCCTCTGAATGTACATTAATTGGTCATTGCCTGTATTCAACTCCTTCAACACCCTTCTTCATTCAGTGACAGAGATGGCACCGCATACATTTTAGTATCGGAGATGTGATTGTCAGCTTTCTTGTGCATGTGGAAATCCTTCTGCTAACAGAATAGTAACATAGCACAATAATGGAGGTATATATATATATGCCTGTTGTCTTAGTCAGGGGTCAGCCCTGTACAATCTAGAACAGGGGTCAGCAAACTTTTTCAGCAGGGGGCCGGTCCACTGTCCCTCAGACTTTGTGGGGGGCTGGACTATATTTTGGGGAAAAAATAATGAAGGAATTCTTATGCCCCACAAATAACCCAGAGATGCATTTTAAATAAAAGGACACATTCTACTCTACATGGACCGTTCCTGGGCCGGATTTAGAAGGCGACTGGGCCGGATTCAGCCCCCGGGCCTTAGTTTGCCTACCCATGGGTTAACATCTAAATCTAAAAATATAAATTTATTTAAAGACAATTACACACCGGTTTGGAATGGAATCAAAAGAGATTTAGAAGTGTGGGGAAGAATTAATTTATCAGCAATTAAAATGAATGTGCTACCCAAAATGATATTTTTATTTTAGTCAATACCAATGATAAGTGGTGTAAGTATTTTTAAGGAATGGCAAAAAATAATAACAAAATTTGTCTGGCAAGGGAAGAAACCAAGAATAAAGAATAAGATACTTACAGATGCCAAAGAGAGAGGGGGTTTCTCCCTACCAGATTTGAAATTATATTATGAAGCTTCTTGTCTTTGTTGATAAGAGATTGGATATTGCTAAAAATACAGATTTATTAGATTTGGAAGGATTTAATAACAATTTGGGTGGCATGCATACTTATGGTATGAAAAAGTTAAAGGTTTTCTGAACCACATACTGTAATCCGAAAAATCAATCTATGAGGTTTGGAATAGATACAAGAATTTATTAGAACGGAAAACAACTTGGTGGCTTTTAACGCTAGAAGCGACAACTGTTAAAAAGTTAAATATGGAGGATAAGTGGGCCACCTATGGAGATTTGTTACTAGAAACAGACAATCAATGGAAATTGAAACCCTTTGAGGAGATAAAAGAGTTAGTAAACGGTTGCATTATTGTCAAATAAATGAAGTGTTTAGAGAAGATAAAAATAAAAATGGATTTGAAGCTATAAGATCTAGATTTGAAATAGATTTATTAAGCAATAAAGTAAAAATATTGTAAAAAATGTGTAAGTTACTGTTGGAATGGCATACAAAAGATGAAGAAAATCTGTAATGATACACTGATGATACATTATATATTGGTGATACACATTGATGATACACTAATGATACATTATATATTGGGCATAATATAATGCTAGAAGATTGGGTAAGATTGTTGAAAGATGAAATAAATTTAACTGCTTGTAGCTCATTAAAAGAGCTCATTAAATTAAAATTATGTGTAGCTCATTAAATTAAAATTATGTGTAGATGGGACCTAACACCAGGGAAATTAGCAAAAATGTATAGAACAAATAATTTATGTTGGAAATGTAAAGGAAAAGAGGGAAATTTTTATCATATGTGGTGGGTATGTAAGAAGGTGAAAGCTTTCTGGGAAATGATATATAATGAACTTTTAAAAATATTGAAATATACGTATATATATAAAAAAGCATAAGTTTTTCTATTAGGTGTAGTAGATAGGGAAATACACAAGCAGGATAAAATATTATTTTTATATGCAACAACCGCAGCAAGAATATTAGTAGCCCAAAGATGGAAGCAAGAAGAGTTACCGATGAAAGAAGAGTGGCAGATGAAGCTGTTAGACTTTGCAGAAATGGCAAAGCTGACGGGAAAAATCCAGAATCAGCAGGACCAGGCATTTCAGAAAGATTGGAAGAAATTTATGATATATTTGGAAGACAACTGTAAACAGTTAACATCGCTAGTAGGGTTATAAGAAATTCAGTAAGGATGAAATTATCATTTATTGTTAAATACAGTTAATTAAGTAATTTTAAAAGGATATAATTTAATAACAAGAAGAAATACAGGAAAATGCAGTATATTGAGATTAAATTTGAAAACCAGTTGTCGGGGAGGAGGGAAATCACAGGCCCATTAAGCCAAATGTTTTATTTGTGCAAAATATAGTGTCATGCAAGAAAATATTTGTAAAAACCAATAAAAATTGTTTTATAAAAAATAGATTGTACAGTGCAATCCTATATAAGTATGTCTACTCAGAATTCAGAAGTCCTACTGAATTCAATGCTATTAACTCTAAGAAAAGTGGGTATATCATTGCAGCCTTAGCCTGTTGTAGCAAAAACAGCAATGTTGCAACACTTTAAAGATTAATTTGCTTATTTATTTATTACATTTATATATCTCTTTTCCTCCCAAAGGAGCCCAGGGTTCCAAACACACAAGGGATAAAATAAAGAATCTAAAAATAATTCCATTACAGACATGGACTGGGAAAGAGTTCTACTTAAAAGGCTTGTGAAAGGATCTCTGCTTACCTGCCCCCCCCCCCCCGCTTTGGCGGCACCGCTGAGGCAACTACAGAAACCCTAGAGAAGTTCTTAAAACACAGGCTAGAAGTGACACAAATGACCACCTAATCCAAACGCTCTGTAAAAGCCACCAGCCAAGAACGCCTGATCAGCTCAGCAACCCAACAATACCCAGGAATCACCACTGCCACAACTCCTAACCACCACACACCCTACTCCAAGAGGATGCCAAGCCAACCTCAAACCAAAACCATCAGGGAGACTGAGATGACACCAAGCAAGGAGATGGCAAACAATGCTAAGACGGTAACTCCCCTTCAAGATGATGACCACCCAATAACGAAACGAGATTTGAGGGAAATGGAAGCAAGATTAGAAGCACGATTAGAAGAAACACTGAAGGCCACAATGGCTCCCATGCAGGTACTAATCAACAATCTAACCTCCAAAGTGGAAGCTCTAGAGAACAAGAACCAAATGCAAGAAAGAATAATAGAGCAATACCGGGAAGAGAATGCACGTGTGAACAAGAAACTGGACGAACTGGTAAACCAAATGGAAGCAGAACACAGAGAGATGAAAATTAAGCAAGCCGACCTTGAAGACCGCAATAGACGTTGTAACATCCGCTTCCGCAACTTTCCTGAAAAAACAGAGGAGAAAAGCCCAGCAGACCTAATTATACGCTGGCTGAAAAACACAATCCCAAGCCTGAAACTTGAGGCAGATGACTTGGAGAGGGCTCACAGAGCCCTAAAACCTATGCCAAAACCCAGCGCCCCCCCCCAAGAGACATCATTGTATGCTTCACACGCTACAAAAAGAAGGAAGAGGTATGGAACCACCTCAGAAACTCAACCAACCTTCGATATGGAGAAATCCCCATTCTTGCCTTACAGGACGTATCTCAGGATACCCTAAACCGGAGGAAAAGCTTGCGCCCATGCACCCAGCGTCTCCAACAAGCAGGGATCAAATACCGATGGGGCTTCCTCTTCCGCCTCATTGTAACAACCAATACAACACAACACATGGCTACCAACATACCTGAGGCCCTGCAACTACTAAAGAACCTTGAACTCAACCTCCCACCGGAATGGCAACCGACAAACCCACCAAGTGACAGCCCCAACCAGGAGGAAACAACAGCAAACAACTGGATGACGGTACAGAAGAAAAAGAAACAACAGAAGCGGCACAACAATGCAAACCAATACAGAGAAGCATCACGCTCAGAATCGTCCCGCCAGCCATACGACACAAGAAACCAGACCAAGATTAACCAAGCCAATTCATCGCAGATGGACAACCCTACAACAACAACAACAACCCCAGCTGAATGAAGCAACCAGGAAAAAAACACAAACTGAAGGACTGGTGATTCCCCCCCCTTTCCCCCTCTCCCCCCCCCACCATAGATTTAGTTAACACCATCAACATCCCCCCCCAGCCCCGCACCCCCACAGAAATCCCCACCCCAACACCAGTCCAGACGACCTCAACCACATTCCCCATCACCCACACCTTCAACATCCCCATACTCCATACTAAGAAAAATCAACTCCTCCAACCTTAATAACACAACCCACAATCAGGCTAAAATCTGATACCCAACCAGCACTATGGTGGCACCAGAGCATACCAGCACCCACATCCCCACCCCAACACACCAACAATGTTGCTCATAACATTGGCAACATTGCTTATGAACCTTATACCTGACAGCGACGTTACAAAGTCACTTCACACTGGCTCACTGATCACCCCCTATCGCAAACAACAGGGGGGATGGCCTGTCCTTGAACACGGCCTTCTACACCAGCTGAGACCTAGGACCAACCGGCTAAATGCCAGATGGCCTAAAATACCCCAAACAAATACCTATATGACTACATATAGGAAACTCTCTACAACTTACCCCCTACTCTTTAACCCAAATCTTACTCTAATCCCATTAGCCCCCCACCCACCACACCCTAGGTCAGCGCAACCCCACTGGTTCTTTAAACAACACGAAGAGAGAGATACAAGACAACCCAAACGGGTTGGCAGGGAATCGCCCCACATAATAGATAAGCAAGATGGCTAACCTAAAAGCAATTACATTAAACGTGAGGGGCTGGGAAACCCCATCAAAAGAAAACGCATCACCTCATACATAAACACCATGAAACCACACATCACCTTCCTACAAGAAATACACAACCCACCCAAAGGCAGCAAACTCCTGAGCGACCCCCGCTTCAGTCAACAGTGGGTCGCATGAGGCTCAGGGAAAGCTCATGGTGTAGCCATAATACTCAGTAGAGACCTGAACTTCACTGCCACAATAGTCCTCAAGGACAAAAAAGGCAGATTCATTTTCGCTAAAGGGACACTAGATGGCAAAATCAAACTGATAATTGGCTCCATATATGCCCCAAACACGAAACAATTAGAATTCTTCCAGAAGACACTAAACAAATTCCTCTCCGTCTCTGAAGGGGAGCAATCCTAGGAGGGGACCTCAATCTAAATATGAAAGGTATATCCCTGAAAGATATCCACCCTACAACCCCATGGGCAACCTTCCTCCGAAGGAAACCCCCAACAACTAGGAACCCTTACAAGTTACTAAAAATGCTAAAAAACAGGGGTCTCTACGACATTTGGGGTGAGCAAAACCCGGGAGACATCAGCCATACATTCCAATCGGGACGCCATGATACAGTATCCAGATTGGACAGCATTCTACTCACACAGGGTCTGATCCCCTCAGTGGAATCAACAAACATAGGTAACATTAAAATCACAGATCACGCCCCAGTAGAAGTCATCGTTAAAATAGGAGAAGGAACACAAACCACCCCATCATGGTCCTTCAGTCCCATCCTAACTACAAACAAACAAATTAGAGAGAATCTCACAAAAACCCTCCAAAACTACTTCAAGGAAAACGATGTAAACAATATAACAACCCCCCTCCTATGGGACGCAATGAAAGCGGTCACCAGAGGAGCTTGCATAAAAGAGAAAATATTCCTTAAAAAACAAACCTCCTCAAAAATTAGCAAAATAGAACAAGACATCACAGCCCTCTCATCACGCTACAAACAAACAGGATCTAAAAAACTCCTCAAACTTATAGAACAAAAAAGGAGAGAACTAGACTCCCTAGAAATTAACAAAACAATGATCAACATTCTATACTCTAAACAACGTTTCTATGAATATGGAGGGGAAAAACTCCAGATTACTAGCAAATAGATGTAGGAGAAAAGCACTCAAAACAAGAATACACTGCATCACCAAAAAAGACGGCAACATAACATTCTCCCCCGAAGAAATAACCTCAGAATTTGCAGAATTCTACTCCAACCTATACACCTCCCATAACCCACCAGAGAAGGAAATCAGAACATTTCTAGCAGGACTGACCATGCCTACCCTAACTGATGAGGAACAGGAATTCATGGACAGCCCTATCACCCTAGAGGAAATAGATGCGGTCCTCAAAAACCTGAAACCACACAAAGCCCCAGGCCCAGATGGCTTCACAGCAGAATTCTATAGGAAATTCAAAGAACCCTTGATGCCCTACATGACCCGCCTATTCAACGACATCATAAAAGGGGGGCCCCATCCCCAAAACCTGGACCCACTCCAAAATAGTCTCCATCCCAAAACCGCTAAAAGACAGCCTCAAAGTAGAATCATACCGCCCAATCTCATTAATAAACCAAGACTACAAGATATTCACATCAATCTTGGCCAACCGCCTAAAAATCTTCCTACACAAGTTAATAGCCCCAGACCAGACTGGCTTTGTCCCTGGCCACAATATAACAGACCCCATCAGGAAACTACTGAACCTGATTGAACACAGCAAGGCAACCAAACTCCCATTGACAATTATGTCCCTAGACATCCTCAAAGCCTTTGATTGCTTAGAGTGGAAATACATATTAGCAGTACTAACTAACATGAAATTTGGCCCCAACTTCCTACAAATCCTCAAACAAATATACTCCCAAGCCTCAGCAAAATGCAGAACTAACAATATGGATTCTAATACTATAGCTATCCAAAGAGGCACGAAACAAGGATGCCCACTGTCTCCCTTCTTATTTATCCTGGCTCTGGAACCCCTAGCAATCCGCATCCGAGCAGCCACAGACATCAAGGGAGTGGAAATAAAAGGCAGAACCTATAAATTAGGGCTCTTTGCAGATGACCTAGTGGTCACAACACCAGACCCCATAAGCACAGCAACCTCCCTAATCAGAGAACTCAACACATTTGCAATGGTGTCGGGCCTACAGGTAAATTTTACAAAATCAGAAGCTATGTGCTTCAACACCCCTCCTCACACCCAAAAAGAACTCACGAAGGTCACCAAAATAAAACTTTGCCACACCAAGTTCAGATACCTAGGGGTACAAATAACCAGAAACCTCAATAAATTGTACCTCCACAACTACAAGCCCCTGTGGCGACAAATTAACAAAGACCTAAAGAGATGGAATAACATGAATTTCACTCTCTCAGACAAAATAGCCATGATCAAAATGATCACACTCCCAAAACTAACCTACCTATTCCAAACCCTCCCAATCTGGATCCCCTCAACCCAACTTCGCAGTTGGCAGAGAAAACTACACTCTTTCATCTTCTCACATAAAAAAACCAAGAATAAGCCTCAAATACCTGCACCTCCTCACCTCAGAAGGAGGATGGGGAATCCCCAACATAGAAGCATATTACAATGCCAACCAAATACGCCATATAATCCCATATATACTAGAAGATGAGACAAAACAATGGGTACACCTAGAGAGGGACACAATCGAAAATACCTGCACCACAACATACCCACTCCTCCCAAACAAACTAAAGAAAATTCCCACAACACTTAACAGGTACACACAGACCATGCTCAAAGCATGGAAAACACAAATAGGCAAACTATCCCCAACCCCATCCCCACTAATCCCCCTGGCGTACTGTCAGGGAACTGACATCGGAGCTAGAGGCGGAGGGAAGGCTCTCAAATGATGCTGGAGAAGGGCCCAGCAGGGAGAGAGGCAGCTCAGCAGATGGGGAAGCAAATCAGCGCAACACCAGGGATAAAGGGGGGCAGATGGGGGAATCGGCGAGAGGGCTCCAGGACTCTTCACCGGACACCAGCGGGGAGAGCACGGGTCCTCCGCTACCCATGCCCTCCCTGCGCAGAAGGCTTCCGTGCAGGGAGAGTAGGAGGAGACTTGGCGTCAAACAACTTTTATGTTGGAAAAGGTTTAAGAAACGCCCACTGACGGATTCTGCTAGCGACTGAGGCAGCCACGAAGTGAAGGGCTGTCCAGACAGAAAGGTTTAACAAGGCAACATAGCCAGGAGAGGCGGCAACTTACGCACGAGCAACCCATACTCATTACACGTACCACCCATTATTCCATCATGCAGCACAAAACCTCCAGATAAAAACCTGGCAAACCAAAGGCTTATATCGCCTAATAGACTTTTATAAAAATAACAAACCCTTGTCAACACAAGAAATACAAGACAAACTAGAAGACACCCAAATGCCCTGGTTAACACAACACCAACTACATGCCCTCTTAAACAACCCAACAGTAAAATCAGCAGCAACTAGGCCCCTGGTAACCTTCAAAAACCTCCTCCTAACAACAAAGGGAAACGGTAAAGGGACGGTATCCGCAATATACAAAATACTACTCCAAAATCCTGCAAATCCCCTAGATGCAATCAAAAAACAATGGGAGAATGACATAGGCTCTGAGATTAACCCCACTCAATGGACCAGAATGTGGTCTAAACCCCCCTTTAAATCCATATCAACGAAAAGAAAAGAACTCACACTGAAACTCACCTACAGGTGGTACCTAACACCAAGGAAACTAGCGCTAATACACCCAGGAACCTCACCAAAATGCTGGAGAGGGTGCACCTCCACAGGCACATACCTCCACATGTGGTGGGAGTGTCCCCAAATCCAACTATTCTGGACAACAGCCATACAAGAAATATGTAAAATAACTAAGCAAGTAATAGACATCACCCCAGAATTGGCCCTACTAAACATCTTCCAAGACAACAATGCCAATTTACACCACAAAGAACTCATAACCCACCTACTTTCAGCAGCCAGAAACACCATAACCAGACACTGGAGAGACCTGTCAGGAGTAAACATGGACCAATGGTACCAAATAGTATGGGAAACAGCCCTACTAGAAAAATTAACTAATAAACTGAAACTGACACGGGGACAAACAGAAGAAGACACCTTCACCCCGGTATGGCTCCCCTTTATCACACACACAGCCCAACAGGACAATGACAATAATCCACCAACAGCATACAAATCAATATGGCTAACCTGATCCAAAACACCCACCCACCTCACTCACACACGAAAACAAAGATCAGCACAGCCAATCACAAGCAAACAATCACACCCTAGGCCAACCCCAACCTCTCTCACCACCAAAGGAACACAAGTGAACAACACAAGCAATGCTGACACCAAACTCTACATACATTAAACATAATAGAAACACCGCCACCCGACCCCACCCCATCCATCTTCCCTCTCTCCACCCCCCTTTCTTTTTTCCTTTTTTTCTTCTCCCCCTAATGCCTCAACAAATGAAACAGATTTGTAAAAATGTTACATGGAAAAAAAAATACGAGGCATTACACTTACTTCTGTAAAACAAGAAAATCCTTAATAAAATATTTTTTAAAAAAAAGGCTTGTGAAAGAGCAGGGTCTTTAGTAGGCACACAGTAGGCAAACACATTCTTTATTACAGTCCAGAGACCTTCTTAAAGCAGGAATACATAGAAAATATTCCAGGAGAGTCACTGTGTTTTATCCGGAGCATGTTTATTTCTAATTCTTATTACCTCCGAGAGAAATTTTGCCACAGCCAGGGTAATAATTTGTCATATCTTTGAGTAGATACTTGAGATAGTAGGTTTCAGAATTCCCAGGTAAATTTGCCATTAAAATTTTAATTAATTGATCCCTGGCTTGTTTATACAGCCCGCAGTGTAGTGAGATAAACTTCATAAAATCAACAGCTTCTTGGCCTTTTGACTAAGATCAAGTGTAGTCTTCAGTAGGCATTGAAAACATGGATAGTCTGTGCCTAATATTTAACAGGAGGGAATTCCAAAGGGTAGGAGCCGCAACACTAGAGCCTGATTCCTATATTCTGCAGTCTGAACCACTGGAGAAGGTGGTATCTGCAGGAGGCCCTCACCTGCAGAGCACAGTGACTGACTGGGTAGAGAAGGAGCAAGAGGGTCTTTTACTCCTTTTCCTTACCTTCGCAGGATGTTTGAGCATTATTAGAGCTATCTAACCAGTGGTTGTTGGAAGAAACAGAACACTGGCCCAGGTGGCTCTTTAGCCTGATATGACAGAGCAATTCTTACCTTTATATGTTCAAGAAAGGAAGGGAAGGAGGAATTGGCTGGGAGACTGAGAGTGTAAAAGAGATCTAGAAGTGACTTAAGAGTAAGGAGAGGCAACCATGGCAGAGGACGCTGATGTTGGGATATGGGAGGAAGGGATACAAACATTACCTATTTCATCTATGAAAATGATGCAGGGCTGAAGCTTGGTTGCCAGTGAGAAGACGGCAGCTGTGAGCTTCTGTGACTCTCCATACCATTTGTCCGTCAGCGTAGATGCTTGCAGGTTGATGAACCTGCATCCTGAAGCCTGGGCTGTTGCTTTGGCAAGAAGGGTTTTCCCACAACCCGGAGGGCCATAAAGCAAGACACCTGGTAGCAAGGAAAAACCCATCAGCACAGGTTCACAGTCTACCTCCCTTTTTTATGTGAGAAGTTCATCCCCACTTTCTGATTGTATTATAAAGCCCACCAGGAACAATTTTCTAATTCAAAGATTGCCAGCCCTCTGGGGCTCATGGGCAGATGTGCAGATCAGAGAAACTTGTGGGCATTGTACATACCACAATCATGCACACATGCACTGCAGCCACACGCATATGTCTACACAGCAAATACTTGCACACTCCCCCAACCATTAGGCTTGGAAAATGTGCTTCTCTCCCCACCCCACCCCAGCCTAGTTAGAGAGTGGTCTTCTTGCAGAGGGCAGCTGGGGAGGCAAAAGATAAGCATTCCTCCCCGGCTGCCATCTCCAGGAAGATCTCTCGCTCCACACACAACAATCAGGCAAGGTGAGGTGACCATCTCAGGGCAGCAGATCCCGATGTAGATCTTCATTCACCCTTTCTTCCCTAGCAGGGAGGGGGACACTAGTGGTTTGTCTCAGGTGCCAACATCTGTTTTGTGAGGTGGGCGTTTCAGAACAGGAGAAGGGAGAGTTGACACCCCCCTTAGAAAAAGGCTTCTCTTGTCTATAACAGAATGCTTCTTTCAAGCCTAACTCCAGCATTGCAAGGAAAGGGACCCTGCAGGCTTCAGGGAAACCTCTGCAGGCACATTTGTGCCCATGTGCACTGCACCAACAACTCATATTCTAACTACAGTAACCATTTTAGGAAAGGGACAATGGGCACAACTTGTGACCCACCAAGAAAAATTCAGCCCCCCCCATCCTTCTATGTACTGTAGTTTGCCAGTGTCTCAGAGGTGTGTCCATATAAGTTCTACTCAGAGTGCACCCATTGAAAATGATGGACATAATTTACTCTTCTTCATTATATTCAGTTGGTCTTCTCTGAGTAGGACAAGCATTGGATACAATCCTCTGTTTCACCATCTCAGACAAGCAGCAGAAACAGAGGCGTCGTGTTTCTGTCATCTTGCTGAGCACTCGCACCCCTTACAGCTTTTGGCTCAGGATATCCAGAATGTCATTTTATTTGGAGTGCTGACTGACACAATTTGAAGGAAGAATATTGGAGTGTGGTGGGCAGCCTTTTTAAAAAACAGAATCACATGAGACTTAGAGTTGTAAGGTACCTTAGAGGCAATTTAGTCCACCTATTAGTGTAATTGACCGTGAATGTGTGCACTAATCGGAACTTTAATTAAAGTAGCTTTGATTTGGAGGGATTTGTTAAATTTAAACTGAGTAGAGCATTTAATTTAATTCTGTTGGAATAACGCTTTCAAGCTGGGGGAAATGTTGTTTTTGTTGTCGACGGAAAAATGCTAATGGAAGTATTAATGTTTAATACCTAATGCTGCTCTTGCTGCTGCCCAACTGACTGAGGCAATTCCGCGTTGATGTATGTTCTGTTTGTGTGCATGTGTGGTGCCAGGTCCCCAGAAGTGGTTCCTGGAAACGGGGAGCAGCTCTTAGCCGAGCCCCGCCATCCCTCCCTGCGTGTGTCAGCTGTGGAAGCTCCACCCCCACCCCCACCCCGGCTTGCGGGAGATGAAGGAATGGCAGGCCGTTTTATGCAATTTTGCTTTTGTGTGTGGGGGCCCAGAACAGAACCCCTGGGTAAATGGGGAGTCACTTGTACATACCCAGCAAGTTTCTTAAGTGGACAACAGGTAGCAAACTAACCCTCTGACCATAATAACTCATTTGATATGTAGGGTTTGGCTAAATAATGCAGATTTTAAAAGGAAGGAAACACTTTCCTTAAGTCTCAAAAATGATATTGAGTAACTAGTAAATTGCCCCTTGTTCCAAAATAAATACCTCTTGGGGGCTGGCAGAGCCTGGAGTGCTGCAACAAGTGTCGCCGCTGGAATGGGAGGATCACAGTGTCCTGGAGTTCGCTGACCATCTCATCCAGGCCTGCAATGTCCTTCCAAGTTACCTGTAGGTGGGACAAGCTGTGAGCAGTTGGCAGATAACAAAGGGACTAACAAAGGTTAGAAATTTGAATCTAAATGTAACTGCACTATTTTCCTGTTATCCTTGGCTTTTCTATTCATTCTGTCACTGTTTTTCCTCCATTATAACCAACCATTCAGACTAAGCTCTTTGGGGTAGGGACCTTTTCTATCTATTCTTGGTTTAAAGGGTTGTCTACATCAGCAATTTTCATCCTTTTTAAAGAACTGACCCAAACAGACATATGGGGCCCATGTCTTAATTGTTTGCCATTTGTAGAGTGGTATTTCGCCTGGTGGTTGTGCTGCTGTTGTGACCCATCTTGGATCAGGTCATGACCTGAGAGTGGGTCCCAACCCACCAGTCAAAGACCCAACAGTCTATATTGATGTGCTGCAAAGTGCTAAAGTTCCAGATCTGAATTACTAATTCTGGTGTGAACCCACACAATCTCATTTCAGAACTAAGATATGTGCAACTTTTTTTTCCCTGTCCATTTTTCTTCAGCAGATTAGAGAGCCTCAAAACTCTCTTGCGTTTTGTCAAGAGGAGCAGCAGCCTGGCCACCTACCTTGATATCCTTTGGAACCACCAGGTGAGCGGCAATGATCATCTCATGCTCTGCCAGCTTTACTCCTTCCACCCCAATCTGCTTCATCAAGCGTTCCGCCTGCCGACAAAACAAAGAGGCCCAGAGTTGCAGTCCTCCCTTTATCTCAGAGATTTAATATAGGACTCTGCTATTGTCATGACTTGCTATTGTCATGACTACACACAGTGACTTGCACCTGGCACTTTTAGAAGAAGAATTTCATTTATAAAAGATAGAGTGAGGAAAAGGAATAAATAAAAAAGTGAGTGAGAATGGAAAAAAATACTGTTACATAATAATAATAATAATAATAATAATAATTTATTATTTATACACCACCCATCTGGCTGTATTTTTCTTATCCTAATACACATATAACTGTCAATAACCTAATATATTATGGTTACAGCTGGGAAGCCGTGTTGGTCTGCCATAGTCAAAACAAAACAAAAAATTCCTTCCAGTAGAACCTTAGAGACCAACTAAGTTTGTTATTGGTATAGCTTATACCAATAACAAACTCAGTTGGTCTCTAAGGTGCTGCTGGAAGGATTTTTTGTTTTTGTTTCGACTAATTTATTATGTGTAAACTCATTCAAAATATCATTATATTTATTCAAAGAAAGTGTGTGTCTGTTCATACATTGCCAATGTTGTCGTGTTTTCAAGCCGTTGATTAAGGGGAATTGTATCGCTATTCTTCCAGTTCATCTGTCTCTTGGCCACCATTAGGGTATGTAGAATCCATTTCCTCAGTCCTGTTGCCAACAGAACTAGTATATAGTTCAAGAGCATCTTAACATTTCCCGCTGTGTCTTGTTTATATAGTCCAGCACTTTCTTCCAAAATTTAGTAAATGTGGGAAATCGTCTTCTTCTTTCTTCTTTGGTGATCATTCGTAGCCAAGTAAGATTGTCTTCCATAAACACGGTTTTAACAATGAGTCCGTAAGTGACTGTGGAGGCCAATTATGGATCCACACATTCTTCCACAGTGGGGACATAGGTTTCCGGGTGGGAGCTGATCATGGTGTGGATTTGCCAAGCATGCCTTCCTCTTAGCACATTTCTTCCTTGCGTCCTGAGTTTGAGTGTCTTCAAAGCCCATGACACCTTTGGTAAAGGCTGTTCTCCAACTGAAGTGCTCGCAGGCCAGTGTTTCACAGTTTTCAGTGTTTTTACTACATTTTTTAGATTTGTCTTGAGCCAGTCTTTAAACCTCCATTTTTAAGTTTGGAATCGAGTAGTTGCTTTGGAAGATATTCATCAGGCATGTGCACAACATGACCAGTCCAATGAATTTGATGTTGAAGAATCATCGCTTTGACACTGGTGATCTTTGCTTCTTCCAGTACACTGATATTAGTTCTCCTGTCTTCCCAAGTGATGTGTAAAATTTTTCAGAGACACCACTGATGGAATCTTTCGAGCAGCTGGAGATGGCTTTTATAAGTGGCCCATGTTTCACAAGCATATGGTAAGGTTAGTAGTACAATAGCTTTGTAAACAAGCATTTTGGTTTCCCTGTGAATGCCCCAGTCCTCAAACACTCTGCACTTCAATAGGGAGTGAATGTCCCAGTCCTCAAACACTCTGCACTTCAATAGGGAGAAAGCCGCACTCACAGAGCTCAGGCGATGCTGGATTTCGGCATCAATGTTGGCCCTTGTGGAAAGATAACTGCCTAGGTAGGAAAAGTGATCGACATTTTCCAATGTTACACCATTGAGTTGGATTTGTGGTGCTGCAGAGGGGTTGTTTTGTACTGGTTAGTGCAGCACTTTGGTTTTTTGGATGTTGAGTGATAGGCCAAGCTTTTTGTAAGCTTCTGCAAAGATATTTAGGATAGTTTGGGGGTCATTCTCTGAGCGTGCGCACACTACGTTGTCATCATCATACTGAAGCTCTATGACAGAAGTCTTTGCTTTCAGCCTGCTCAGATTGAAGAGCTTTCCATCTGTTCGATATATGATTTCTACTCCAGTGGGGAGTTTCCCTTTGACAAAGTGTAGGATCATGGCAATGAAAATAATCAATAGAGTTGGGGCAATAACACAACCCTGTTTAACACCTGATCCCACTGTGAATGGTTCACTTTGAGAGCCATTGTTATCTATGATTGTTGCTGTCATATTATCATGGAGTAGAACCGAAACATGAGTGTAGAATTTCACTGCATCTTCTCAAATTTGGAAATTTCTGTATAGGCACAAACTCCCAAAATTCTTCTTCTTTTGCATGGGCCCTCATAAAAATGTCATTTTTCAGAGTTAATATATCATTTTCAAGAGATATTTTGCACAATGAGTAATTTGTACTGATAATGACTGCAATTTTTTAAAAGTCCAAATCAGATTTGAATGGAAATGACATGTACTCTACAATTAATTCAATTTTTTGGAAGTCACCAAATCTTTTTTAACTACAGAATAACAGAACCAATTTTGGCCACATACTTCTCTGTTTGAAAAACAAAGTCAGGATTTTTTCCCAGATGGTCCTGCATATTAGGAAAGTGATCAAAAATTTTGATTGTAAAGTCAGCCGTCATTAGCTTAAATTTTGTTTTGTAGGATGAAACTATGATAATCATCTTGCCAATGCCTTTACCTTTACCTTGTAGCTCTAGGTTCATATCACTAAGTTTACCTGTGAAATCAGCAAGGAAAGCCAGATCAAATAACCACTCATCATCTTCTAACTGAGCGTACTCATCTCCCCTCTCCTTCAAAAAGGATATTATTTCTTCCTACAAACTACGAAATCTTACCAAAAATTTGTGCCTACTGAGCCACCTTACATCTCTGTGTAAAATTAATTCTAGCTGCCCTTCCTCAAGAGTGAGATTGAAAAGCCGCCTTTGAAGTGCTTTTCCACGAATTGAATTTACAATTTTAAAAGCTATGTCCATGATATGCTTTGTGTTCAGTTTCTTGCTTGCCAAAACTTGCTGGTGAATGATACAGTGGTACGCAAGGAAGTCAGGGAAATCACCATGTTGTCGAAAAAGGGCAATAAATCCATTAACCCGACCTGTCATGGCTTTTGCTTCATCCGTAGTGATGGCAACAAGCTTGTGTAATGGAACATTAAGCTTGTTTATAAAGGAATAGAAGGAATTAAATATTTCTTCACTGGTGGTTTTCTCTTTTAAAGAAACTATCCCAAGTAGTTCTTCTTTTGTGCTGTAATATTTAAAAACCATACAAATAAAAAACTAGTAGCTGAGCTGTGTCACTGATGTCTGTAGATTTGTCTAGCTAGAGTGAGAAAGCAACACAACTGGACACATCTTTCAACAGCTGTTCATCAATATTTTTACACATGTTTTCCATTCACTGTATGGCTGTGTTTCTTGATAATTGAAGACCTTGGATAGCAGCTATGGTCTCTTTTTAATTTTTAAACCCTTTAAAAAGATGTTCAGCTGCTGCAAGAAAACACTCTTTTACAAACTCCCCTTCTGTGAAAGGTTTGCACTTTTTAGCAATCAGGTTGAAGGATGACATGGTTGCATTGTTAGAATGTGAGTTGGATTTTACCAGTAATTGCTGCTGAGAATTTTGCTTTGAGTTCTTTGAGCTTAAGTTTATGAATTCCACTTTTGACTGGAAAATTGACATCAAATTTACTACGGTGGAAAGCATTATAATGGGGTTCCAAGTTACCCTTTTTTGGTAAGGACACAGAGGTGTTACAAATTAAACAACAACACTTCTCTTTCACCATCACAAAGAAATACTCAATTTCCGATTCCTTATGAAAATGATAGGTTTTGGACTTCTTTGGAGCACTCATTTTTTTTTACAATAGGGACTAGAATCATAGAATCATAGAGTTGGAAGAGACCACAAGGGCCATCGAGTCCAACCCCCTGCCAAGCAGGAAACACCATCAGAGCACTCCTGACATATGGTTGTCAAGCCTCTGCTTAAAGACCTCCAAAGAAGGAGACTCCACCACACTCCTTGGCAGCAAATTCCACTGTCGAACAGCTCTTACTGTCAGGAAGTTCTTCCTAATGTTTAGGTGGAATCTTCTTTCTTGTAGTTTGGATCCATTGCTCCGTGTCCGCTTCTCTGGAGCAGCAGAAAACAACCTTTCTCCCTCCTCTATGTGACATCCTTTTATATATTGGAACATGGCTATCATATCACCCCTTAACCTCCTCTTCTCCAGGCTAGACATGCCCAGCTCCCTTAGCCGTTCCTCATAAGGCATCGTTTCCAGGCCTTTGACCATTTTGGTTGCCCTCCTCTGGACACGTTCCAATTCTTCTGAAAGAACAGATTTAAAAACTAACTCAGCAAGACAGAAGACTGCCTGCTTTGTAAAGTGTGACAACCTTTAAGATACAAAACACCCAGACAAGGAAAACCAACTCAGCTAAGTAGTTTACACAGATCTGAGGAGCCAGTAGATGCGTGCTAGGCTTTCGATTTCACATATGGCGCCCAAACAACTGTACCCACACCACACTACCTCCAAAGCAAACCAAAAAGCTAAAAGCAAATGCAGTAGCAAACCTCAGAACTGAACTTAAAACAAAAGCTGTATTCCCCTGCAACCGCACAGCCAAAGCTGCACACAAACCACCTCAAAATCAAACCTTGCTGCAAAACAATGCCACCCCAATGGAGGCTGGGACCTGCCCCACATCAGGAACCTGCGGCAAGCGGAAGCACCAGTGGCTCAGTTACCCTGTTTGTTAACTTAAAATGCACAATGATTATTTTAAAAAATTATTTATTTATTCCTTTTAATTCATTTTCATTTATTATTTAAAGCAGTAGCACTGGAAACTTCAGCAAGAGCACGCCCACCTGGAAGGCACAGGAAAATAACAACCCAACCAGCACCCGCCCCCTGGCCCCACATGGCTTCAGTCTTAAAATGCACCAACAATCAACAAAGACCCCAACAGTGCTGGTATCCAATTCCTGAATTCTTTGATTACTGAAGACCACATTATGTAAGCAGGAAACAAACCAGCCTCAAAAAACAGCTTTTTAGCCAACAGAAAAACTTTCCCCCACACAAACACAGAAAGCCCCAAATGGCTGGAAAACTCAGTTTCCCAGGATCCTCAGCCCTCGCAAAGAAACTACTCAACATGCAAGGGAACTCAGTTTCCCAAGCTCCCTTGCAACGATGAATCCTGGCAAATGCAGAAACCGGGACAGACGCCTGTTCCTCTCTTGCCTGCATGATGCAGCGTGGATACAAAAAGCAGGCGGGCAAGGAAGGATGAGATCCCAGGCGAGGTCTAAGACTTTCCTAGTCACAATGCAGGAGACCTACAGAGATCCACACTGGAAACCGGCAAGGGAAGGAAGAGGGAGTGTCCCAGGTGTGGGCTGCTTAAATGGGCAAGGGAAGCCCATGGTCAGCCCTTGGATTTGCCCCCTGGCACTGCCCAAGTCTCAGCCTGCATCCCCCTTTGACCAAGCAGGGTGCAGGCTAGGATCCGGTCTCTGATAGGCACAGGGCAGCATCCCTGCTACATCCTCGAGGGAAGGGGAGCCATCCCACGCACACATGCAAACTCACACACATACTGGCCAGCTCTTTGTCAGCATGAAGGAGGGGGAGCCATCCAGCCATCCCGCACAACACACTCACACACAGACTGGTGAGCTCTCTGTCAGCAAGAGGGAAGGAGCTCTCCATGCAATTGCCCATGGTTATTGAGCTTTTTGGGGGGGGGGGGGAGAGTTGTTGAGCTTTTTTTACGGGGAGCTTTTTTTTCCTTTTAGGCTGGCGATCACTAAAGAACACACAATCTACTGGCAATTTACCAGAAACTTCCTGGCGATCAACCAGTAGATCGCAATCGACCTGTTGGACATGCCTGGTCTAGGTAATCGTGAACATTCCAACTCTTTATTCCAATCATTTCTTAAACTCTGTATATCAAACTTACTTGTTGATAATAAATACCTATAAAAAGTAATTGCTGGCTTTTTTGTTTCAAATGAATTATCCAATTGCTCCAAATTTTGGGTGTCTCAGATGCTGAGCAGGCCACCAGACCAAACAAAGTTACTAAAAGATGTAGCTGCAAGTATTGCCATAGGGCCACCTCTGGCAGATGGTATTTTTCTCTCAGAGCATCATGCCTATTGTGGGAATGTTCAGGGATGCAGCAGAGGATATATTGTTTGATTATATCCTTTCCAACTTGTGTTAACAAGTTCTACAATTTAGTAGAGTGACAATTTAGTAGAGTAACATTTAGTAGAGTAACAAGGACACTGACAAACTGGAACGTGTCCAGAGGAGGGCAACCAAAATGGTCAAAGGCCTGGAAACGATGCCTTATGAGGAACGGCTAAGGGAGCTGGGCATGTTTAGCCTGGAGAAGAGGAGGTTAAGGGGTGATATGATAGCCATGTTCCAATATATAAAAGGATGTCACATAGAGGAGGGAGAAAGGTTGTTTTCTGCTGCTCCAGAGAAGCGGACACGGAGCAATGGATCCAAACTACAAGAAAGAAGATTCCACCTAAACATTAGGAAGAACTTCCTGACAGTAAGAGCTGTTCGACAGTGGAATTTGCTGCCAAGGAGTGTGGTGGAGTCTCCTTCTTTGGAGATCTTTAAGCAGAGGCTTGACAACCATAGGTCAGGAGTGCTCTGATGGTGTTTCCTGCTTGGCAGGGGGTTGGACTCGATGGCCCTTGTGGTCTCTTCCAACTCTATGATTCTATGATTCTATGATTCCCCTTTTTAAACTTTCGCAGAGGATGTGTTTGCTTAGGCTTGCTAAAGCCTCTAAAATAAGTTTCCTTGGTAATTTCCCCTTTAGTCCGTCATAAAAAGATAGATGCAACACAGTCTTCTATAAAAGTATAAAAAGAGTTTACTCACACATTCTGTTCACAAATGGATCCCAGAAGGGAGACTTAAGTTACGAAAGTAATATACACCTGGAAACTATCCCATAAGGAGATAGCTCCTTTGTCCTCTCACACAGATATTTTTAAATGTTAGCTATCTAGTATTTAGTTAGTTCATTTTATATTTATCTACTGTAAACTCATATAAAAATATATCTACATTGTGTACAAAATCTCAGTTAAAACCAAAACAACAAAAAATAAAACCAGGAGGGAGGTTGGCTGGGGCCCTTGCCTTCTTTTGCTTGTGTTTCATTTGCTTTGCATGTGGGTGTGGGTATCAATGTGAAATGTGTGGTTTTTTGGTGCCTGCAACAGTTCCTTACATTCTAAAAGTGATCCCGGGCCCCAAAAGACTGGAGGCTACTGTCCATTTGTTGTTGAAAGATGAGCAGAGACAAAGAAACAGGAAAAAAAGAGAAAGATAGACCAGCCTGTCATTGAATGCTACAGTGATGCTAAGTTGTGCTAAAGCCATGCATAGGACACGACCCCCCCCCCCCCGATTATTGGCATGTGGATGTGCTGCTATGGAAGGACATATGAGGTATTCACCACAGCAGAATATCAGTGATCAAGATCTGTGACCATTTTAGGATTCCAAAATTATAGCCCAATTGGTGCACACACACAGTGGACTTTGTGGGTAAATTCCATGTATATACCTTTTTCTTTAGCTGTATCCTTTGCTTACGGGTTGGGTCCAAGGCATCTGATACCCACTTGATGCTGAAGTAGGTGGCAGCCCCAAAGACGGTCAGGCGAAGGAGAACAGCAAACACTTCATTCCGGGTCAGTGGCCGAGTCAGAAGGTCTTTGGAGACTTCCCCTAGCAACATCTCTTCTGTGTTTCAGGCAGCCAGACTACAAGCTGAACTACATTAAAAAAGTAAAAAAAGGGGGGGAGGCGACAAGGGATATAAATGAATTAGAAAGGAAAAACTGCAGCCATTGTATCAGCATTTTGGATTGTCACAAGAGAGCCAGTGTGGTGTAGTGGTTAAGAGCGGTAGTCTCGTAATCTGGGGAACTGGGTTCGATTCCCCGCTCCTCCACCTGCAGCTGCTGGGTGACCTTGGGCCAGTCACACTTCTCTGAAGCCTCTCAGCCCCACTCACCTCACAGAGTGTTTGTTGTGGGGGAGGAAGGGAAAGGAGAATGTTAGCCGCTTTGAGCCGCAGGAGGGTGAAAGGCGGGATATCAAATCCAAATCCAAACTCTTCAAGATCACAAAGCCAAGTAATGAAGTCACATTTCAGCCAAGGAGAGACAATGCTGGTGCCGTGTAGTGACTAAGGAGCTATGAATCAGGAAGATCTCCCATTACAGTCCCACCTCTGCTATGAACTTTCTGATCTCTATAGGGGAGCAATTCTTACTCATCCTCAACCTCCCACCTCCAGTATGGGGAAAGACTGTAGCTCAGTGGAAATATCACTCCCCCCCCCCCCGGTCATAGCAGTTCAAAAGCATACCAGCATGAGTAGATAAATAGGTACCGCTGCAGCGGGAAGGTAAATGGTGTTTCTGTGTGCCAGAAGCAGTTTAGTCCTGCTGGCCACATGACCTGGAAAGCTGTATGTGGACAAACACCAGCTCCCTCGGCCTGAAGTGGGATGAGCGCCACACCCCATAGCTGTCTTTGACTGGACCTAACCGTCCAGGGGCCTTTTACCTTGGTGGGACTGTGCAAGGGGCTAAGTAAATATCCAGGGGTTGAAAGAGGGTCAAAAAAGGCCTGGGGTGGAGTAAAGAGGTTAAATCAGTAAAGAGACAATGGGCAAGAGATTTTGGATACAATATTCAAATATGCTTATAAGACATTAGGCAAAAGCATTAATTCAGAACAAAGAGCCTTACGAATAAAGGGCATTGAGAAACTTCCGTATGGCAACAGCTGCTGAGAGTGTGTGGGTCCTGCTCATGCCTCTCTCTCTAGGCCTAGGGCCCCTGACAGACTACAAAAGGACTCCTGCAGCCCAGCAGAGAGTTCTGTTTGCATTCTTTTAAACTGCTTTTTGATTGTAGTTTTTTAAAAAAATTGTTTTAACTGTTCTTAAGTGTTTTGGGGGGTTATTCAGCTGTTTCTGTTTATATTTTGATTATGTATTTTGTGTTTTTATATTGTAATTTTATCTTGTGAATTGGTCTGACCTGCGGGCATATGGGGAAGAATATCGGTTATAAAAATGAATGCATTGCCAAGAATGTTGTTTTTATTCCAATCAATACATGTTATCAGTGGGACAGGTCACTTTAAAGAATGGCAGAAAGATATTTCTAAATTTATCTGGCAGGGGAAGAAACCAAGAATAAAATATGTAATTAACAGATGTTAAAGAAAGAGGTGGCTTCTCCCTGCCAGATCTGAGGTTATGCTATGAGGCGTCCTGCCTCTGCTGGCTTCGAGAATGGATAGCATTGGAATTTAACAAATTTAACAAGGACTGGGAAAATTTTGTAACATACTTAAGAGAACATTAAGTACTCTTAAGTAAACTTAAGTAAACATTAGCAGGACTGAAGTAACACTTGCAATGTGAAAAGAACCATGGATATAAATAGAGTTTTAAGGCTAAATAGAGGACGATATGATATGCAGTGGAAAATGGTTATTAGACTCCACAGAGGGAAGGGAGGAAGTCCGAGAATTTGGAGAATTCTACACTTTTTGATTCTATTTAATGTGTGAATGTAAAATTAAATTGTAAAACCAATAAAAATTTATTTTTTAAAAAAAGAGACCTGCGGGCCTAGGACAGTATATGAATTTAATAAATAAATAAATAAATAATAGTTTCTGCTTGTTTTACTTCCTTATTTTTTCACATTTTTAGATCCCTAGCAATGGTGATTGATAATTAATAAACATTTAATATATATTGATATTTCTTGACTTTCTGTCATGGCCTGGGAATCTGATTCAGAGGCTGAACCGGAGGAATCTCAGCCTGCACAGGAGTCCCCGCCTCCAGGGCCGGCTGAGCCGGGGCGGGGCCTTGAATCTGAAGGGCCCTCACCTGTGTCGGATCCTCAGGAGCAGACACCAGATGAATCCACTCTGGCTCCAGAGGTGATTGAGGACCCATTGCCTGCAGGTGCTCCTCTTCCAGCCCTGTCAGGGGAAGGTGAAGCTGCCCCTGGGTCCAGTAACCCTCCAGCCTCTCCTGAGCTGCAGAGGCTCAGGGCAGAGAGGCGGAGGGAACTAAGTTCTCTCAGGAGGAGTGCTCGCCTTAAGGCCAGGAGAGGCGAGTCATCTGTGGGCCGGGACCGCCCTAGGCCCCAGAGGAGATAAAGGCCAGTCAGCCCAGTCCCAGGTTGCAGGAGCAACGTCGTTGGAAACCTGTTTCTGCCAGCACCCAGACCTGTTCTTTTGGAGTTCCCGTCCACGCCCGGCTTCTTGCTTTGGACCCTGCTTCCCCCTTGGTGGATAGTCTCCAGACCCTCAATCCAGGACCAGACACTGACCACGCCTCACGGTAACCCCCCCCCAGGACCAGCACACTTTCTTTCATTTACTTTTCTAAGAATATGGGTCAGGGTCAATGGCAACTTTATATGTTCAGGGGTGTGCATGTGTGAATGAACTCAGATATTTGGGAAACCCTAGATAATACTTTAGAATGTACTGTAGTACTACTTTAAACTTCAAAATGCCTCAAACTAAATCCCTTCCACCTCTTTATAGTCACTTGCAAGCAATATAAATTTTCCAGAAACATTAAAGCCATGAGGAAGACCCTTCTTTTCTCGGCCCTGTATACCTGAAGGAGCATCTCCACCCCATCTCTCAGCCTGGACATGGAGGTCCACCTCTGAGGGCCTTCTGGTGGTTCCCTCACTGTGAGAAGTGAAGTTACAGGGAACCAGGAAGAGGGCCTTCTTGGCAGCGGTGCCCTCCCTGTGGAACACCCTCTGTTCAGATGTCAAGAAAATAAACAACTATCTGACTTTGGCAGCCCTGTAACAGGAGGTTTTAAATATTTGATGTTCTATCATATTTTTACTATTCTGCTGGGAACCACCCAGAATGGCTGGGAAAACCCAGCCAGATGGGCAGGGTATAAATAATAAAATTATTACTATTAATAATAATTTCTTGCACAAAATGAAAATTTTGGGGTGTGGGCAAATGAAATACATGTAATACTTATTTACTTCTTAAACTGCAGCTTATTTTACTGCAGTGATAACATAAAATACCCTATTTCAAATTTAGCATATAATTCAGGAGTATTAAAAAGATCAAGAAGAGGTTTGTTTTCATATTCCTGGGTGGCAATGGGAGTTTTATCTACTTCAGTTTCTAACAGTAAGGTTTTCTCAGCTGGTGTTCCTTCAGCTGGTTTCTCCTGTTCAGAAACGCCCTTTTCTGTTTTTACAGAAGAGTTCTCTGGTACTGTTTGTAATATTTTAGAAATTTACAATGCACTTGTATGCGTGTTTATGCAGAAGGGAGACCCACTCTTGTTTAGCAGGTCCTGTCTAAGCTATTATTTCTCCTGCAACATCTATTCCCAGTGTCCACACCTCTTGTGCAGATAACAGAGTTGAGGATAGGAGGCAGCTTCAATCAGGAAATTGGTGCAAAGAGCTTCCTCCACTAGTGGTCAAGTCCAAAGTCAAACTGGGTTCCCTGCAGCTGTTCTTAACCCTTTGAAAACTGGGATATCTATCCATGGATCTCCCTGCACCAGGGGAGAAGATTCTGTGGCCCTCCAGATACTGCAGAACTTGTAAGAAGCCCTGTTGGATCGGACTAAGGACCTATCTAGTCCAGGACTCTGTTCTATCATTGGAAAGCCTGACAGCAGAACTTGAATGCAACACCACTCTCCCCATGTGACAATTGCACTTCCCCCATGTGTGCTTCCCAGCAACTGGCATTCAGAGGCATCATGCCTCTGACAGTGGGGATAGAAGATAGTCGTTGTGGTTACGACCTGCTCAGTCTCTGACCATTGGCTATGATGACTGTGGCTGTTGGAAATTGGAGTCCAGTAACATCTGGAGAGCCAAAGGTTAGGCACTTCTGCTTTAAGCAATCCAGCCTGAGCTTCCTATTGGCTCTAAGGGGATGACAGTACTGCAATGTCAGGTTGTAAGATTTTTAATAAGCTCAGGGAAGGCAGTTGCAAACATCGGGAAGGTGCTGCAGAAATGCTAATTGTTGTCCTGGTTGTTACTATTCCACTGTTGAGCCCCAGAGGCCTGTCGGTAGTCGGCACGGCGCTCTCCAGATGTCTGGGAATGAGCCAGCACGGCCAACGGGCAGGGAGGCTGGAAGCTCAGGGGTCAGTCCTCTGGCGAGGGAGGCGGACCAGGGATCCGGCTCGGACCAGGGCAGTGCCAGGCCACGTGGTCCAGCCTTGCCTAGCAGCGGCTCCGCTTCTCTCTCGGGGCCGGAGGAGCCCTTGCATTCGGCCCCGGACTGAGTCTCCTCCTCCTCGGGGCTCGGCCTCCCGGTCTCCTGCCGGGCCGCGTCGCTGGCCGTGGTGCTGAACGCGGCCTCGCCAGCCGAGCCGAGCCGAGGGAGGGAGACGCGGCAGCCCCACCAACTCGCCGCCGGGGAAGGAAACCTTTCCTACCTGGGCCGCCGCCTCCTTCCTGGGGCCCAGCATGATGCCGGCCAGAGTCGGGCAACGCGCTTGCTGTGCTCACCGCCAACGGGAAACAGAAAACGCCGGAGGAAGCCTTTTGCTTCCGCGTCCTGGCACCGAAAAGAGTCACGTGTGCAAAGGACAGCCCACTAGGGCCGGAGCAGGACTCCTGGGTTCCTTCCCGGCGTAGGTATCCGAGTGAGTTTGCTTGTCTCTCCATTGGAGTTAGGCGCAGATTCGTTAATGAACAGCGCAATGCTGTCCATGTTTAAAAAGGTAAACTTACCCAGAAGTAATTCCTATGAAGTTTAATGCTACTTCCGCCCAGGTAAATAGGTCTCATGGGAGTCGGAAGAACTTATCTCTTAGTAAACGTGTATTGGCTTCTGGAGTAAGAGCAGGTAAAGGTAAAGGGACCGCTGACCATTAGGTCCAATCGGGGACGACTCTGGGGTTGCGGCGCTCATCTCGCTTTATTGGCCAAGGGAGCCGTGTACAGCTTCCGGGTCATGTGGCCAGCATGACTAAGCCGCTTCTGGTGAACCAGAGCAGCGCACGGAAACGGCGTTTACCTTCCCGCCGGAGCGGTACCTATTTATCTACTTGCACTTTGACGTGCTTTTGAACTGCTAGGTGGGCAGGAGCTGGGACGCCCCGTCGTGGGGATTCGAACTGCTGACCTTCTGATTGGCAAGCCCAAGAGGCTCAGTGGTTCAGACCACAGTGCCACCCATATCCCAAGAGTAGGTATGTTGCTGCATTAATCAATTAAAAGTTGCATTGTTCTTGTTGTTTAGTCGTTTAGTCATGTCCGACTCTTCGTGACCCCATGGACCAGAGCACGCCAGGCACTCCTATCTTCCACTGCCTCCCGCAGTTTGGTCAGACTCATGTTTGTAGCTTCGAGAACGCTGTCCAACCATCTCGTCCTCTGTCGTCCCCTTCTCCTTGTGCCCTCCATCTTTCCCAACATCACGGTCTTTTCCAGGGAGTCTTCTCATGAGATGGCCAAAGTATTGGAGCCTCAGCTTCATGATCTGTCCTTCCAGTGAGCGCTCAGGGCTGATGTCCTTAAGAATGGATACGTTTGATCTTCTTGCAGTCCATGGGACCCTCAAGAGTCTCCTCCAGCACCAGAATTCAAAAGCATCAATTCTTCGGCGATCAGCCTTCTTTATGGTCCAGCTCTCACTTCCATACATCACTACTGGGAAAACCATGGCTTTAACTATACGGACCTTTGTTGGTAAGGTGATGTCTCTGCTTTTTAAGATGCTGTCTAGGTTTGCCATCGCCTTTCTCCCAAGGAGCAGGCGTCTTTTAATTTCGTGACTGCTGTCACCATTTGCAGTGATCATGGAGCCCAAGAAAGTAAAATCTCTCACTGCCTCCATTTCTTCCCCTTCTATTTGCCAGGAGGTGATGGGCCCAGTGGCCATGATCTTCGTTTTTTTGATGTTGAGCTTCAGACCATATTTTGCGCTCTCCTCTTTCACCCTCATTAAGAGGTTCTTTAATTCCTCCTGACTTTCTGCCATCAAGGTTGTGTCATCTGCATATCTGAGGTTGTTGATATTTCTTCCGGCAATCTTAATTCCGGCTTGGGATTCATCCAGCCCAGCCTTTCGCATTATGAATTCTGCATATAAGTTAAGTAAGCAGGGAGACAATATACAGCCTTGCCGTACTCCTTTCCCAATCTTGAACCAATCAGTTGTTCCATATCCAGTTCTAACTGTAGCTTCTTGTCCCACATAGAGATTTCTCAGGAGACAGATGAGGTGATCAGGCACTCCCATTTCTTTAAGAACTTGCCATAGTTTGCTGTGGTCGACACAGTCAAAGGGTTTTGCATAGTCAATGAAGCAGAAGTAGATGTCTTTCTGGAACTCTCTAGCTTTCTCCATAATCCAGCACATGTTTGCAATTTGGTCTCTGGTTCCTCTGCCCCTTCAAAATCCAGCTTGCACTTCTGGGAGTTCTCAGTCCACATACTGCTTAAGCCTGCCTTGTAGAATTTTAAGCATAACCTTGCTAGCGTGTGAAATGAGTGCAATTGTGCGGTAGTTGGAGCATTCATTGGCACTTCCCTTCTTTGGGATTGGGATGTAGACTGATCTTCTCCAATCCTCTGGCCACTGCTGAGTTTTCCAAATTTGCTGGCATATTGAGTGTAGCACCTTAACAGCATCATCTTTTAAAATTTTAAATAGTTCAGCTGGAATACCATCACTTCCACTGGCCTTGTTATTAGCAGTGCTTTCTAAGGCCCATTAGTAAAGTTGCATTAGTAAACTCTTAATAATATTTAAAAAAGAAAGAAGAAAGAAGAAGCTTTGCACTAGGGGAAAATTTAATCAAGATGTTTTATAGATGGTACTTAACACCTCCCAAAATAGCTAAAATGTATAAAACAAAAGCAAACCTGTGTTGGAGGTGCAGTACAGCAGAAGGGACACTTATACATATCTGGTGGACCTGTGAAAAAATCAAAAGCTTCGGGGATATAGTATATGATGAACTTAAAAAAATGTTTAAATATAATTTCGTAAAAATACAGAAGCTTTCCTATTAGGAATAACAGACACAGGTATAGCAAAAGAGGATTGGAAAATATTCCTGTATGCCACAGGCACGCGAGCACCTTAATTGCCAGAAATTGGAAAAAAGAATTTGTGCCAGCAAAAAAGGAATGGCAGGATAAGTTATTAGATTATACTGAATTGGCCAGATTAACAGAGACAATTAAGGGACAAGCTAGACAAGAATTCCAAAAAGAATGGGGAAAATGCAGAGAATACTTTACCAACCAGTGCCCCAAAATATACACCTGGACTTGTTTCGTTTGATTTCTATAGGAGACTTTGCGGTTTTTTAAGTCATCATTAGGAAAAATTGTAATAATCACATATAAAATAAACAGTACACAAGAAGTAAATAAGGAGGCCATTTACAGGATAAAGGAAGTCTTTTATTTTTATGTTTTCTTTGTGTAAGGGGATAGGAGTTTAATTTTGATAATTAAATTGTCAATGGTGGTGGGTTTGTTTGTATGTATGAGTTGTTGTGGACTATGTTGTAAATAAAATAATAATAATAATTTTTTAAAGAAGCTTTGGAGCAAAAAGCACAAGGCTTAAAAACACATGTGACACAGGTTCTAACATATATATGAGAGAATTAGAGAATCATAGAATTGTAGAGTTGGAAGGAACCCAAAAGGTCATCTAGTCCAATCCCCTGTAATGCAGGAATCTCAGCTAGGGCATCTATGACAGATGGCCATTCAACCTCTAATTTAAAAACTCTAAGAAAGGAGAGACCACCTCCTGAAGGAGTCTGTTCCACTGCTGAACAGGTCTTACTGTCAGAAAGCTTTTCCTGATGCTTAGTCCTTTCTTGTAATTTGAAGCCATTGGCTTGACTCCTACACTCCAGAGCAGTAGGGGGAAAAACTTGTTCCCTCTTCCATGTGACAGCCCTTTACATAGTTGAACATCATGATCCTATCTCCTCTCCATCTCCTCTTTTCCAGGCTAAACATACCCTGCTCCCTCAACTGTTCCTCATAGGGCTTTGTTTCCAGACCCTTGATCATCCTGGTTGCCCTTCTCTGCACACGTTCCAGCTTGTCAACATCCTTCTTAAACTGTGGTGCCCAGAATTGGACACAGTATTCCTCGTGTGGTCTGACCAAGGCAGAATAGAGTGGGACTTCAACTTCCCTTGATCTGGACGCTAGACTTCTGTTGATGCAGCCTTGAATAGCATTAACTTTTTTGCAGCTGCCTCACCCTGTTGACTTATGTTAAGCATGTGGTCCACTAAGACCCCTAGAGCTTTTTCACATGTATTGCTAGTAAGCCAGGTATCCCCCACCTTATATTTGTGCATCTGGTTCTTCCTGCCTAAGTGCAGAACCTTATATTTGTCCCAGTTCTCCAATCTGTGAAGGTCATTTTGAATTCTGCAGCATTACCCTCCCCCCCCCCCCCGGTTTGGTGTCATCTGCAAATTTTATGAGCATCCCCTCAATTCCTTCATCCGTTGTTTATGAAGATGTTGAACAACAATGGGCCCAGGACAGAACCATGTGGCACCCCGCTTGTCACTTTTCCCCAGGATGATAAGGAACCATTAATGAGTACTCTTTGGGTTCAATCAGTCAACCAGCTACAAATCCACCTAACAGTCACCTCGTTCACCCCACATTTTACCAGCTTCCTCACAAGAACATCAAAAGCTTTACTGAAATCAAGATACACTACGTCCACAGCATTCCCCTGATCCATGTAACTCCATGGAAAAAAGAAATGAGATTTGTCTGACATGACTTATTTTTGAGAAGCCCATGCTGGGTTTTAGTAATCACAGCATCCTTTTCTAAGTGCTCACAGACCAACTGTTGAATTATCTGTTCTAGGACCTTTCCTGGTATCGATGTGAAGCTCACTGGTTGGTAAGTTACCTGGGTCTTCTTTTTTCACATTTTTGAAGATGGGGACATTTGCCTGCCTCCATTCTGCAGGGACCTCACCTGTTCTCTAAGAATTCCCAAAGATCACAAACAAAGGCTCTGAGATTACATCCACAAGCTCCTTAACTGAAATGCATTCCTGTTTGATTTAAGCCGCTTTGAGCATGATTTTTTTGTGGAAAAGCAGCATACAAATCAAATGAATTAACAAAACAGAAAACAATATACAAAACAAAAACAAACAATTAAAGATGTAGCATGGGTGTAGCCAGGATTTTTGTTGGCAGGTCATGCTTTTTTGGGGGGTCAGAACCTCAGATTTGTATTGATTTTGATTGATTCTGATTGATCTAAGGGGGCAGCTGCCCTTGGCAATGGCCCATGAACAGTCACATAACCTCACAGGAAATTATTTCAAGATTGTTAGGAGGAATATATTCCGGTCATCAAATGCTTTGGTGAAGAGGAATGCTTAAAATTTATTTCTGAATATAAATAATGAAGAAGCCAGATACAACTCACATGGAGGGCATTCTATAACAGAGAATTATTACCCCAAATGCCCCATTGCAGGTCAGTGCCCATTGGACAGCACCTGGAGGCAGCAGCACCAGCAGTTCCTCCCTTGCTGATTTTAGGGCCCAAGACGGTCAGTATTGAGAGAGGTGCTCTTTTAGGTATAGTACTTGTGTCTAAAGCAGTTTATGGCTTTGTATTGTAGTGATAAGACCCAGTAGTTCACTGACAGCCAGGGCAGTGCTTTCAGGATGACACATGGTGCCATCAGGCTGCCCCTCTCACCAATTTTTTCATTTGTTGCAGCTTCTGGATCATCTTCAAGGGCAGCCCCATATAGAGCATGTTGGTATTTGTACTGTATTTGTTAGGAAATGTATTTTACTATACACACACACATACTGGGGAAAAGAAAACATATACAGCATGGGTAGGCAAAGTAAGCCCTGGGGGCCAGATTCTGGCCCAATTGCCTTTTAAATCAGGCCTGTGGACGGTCCGGAAATCAGTGTGTTTTTACATGAGTAGAATGTGTCCTTTTATTTAAAATGCACCTCTGGGTTATTTGTGGGGCATAGGAATTTGTTCAGGTTTTTTTCTTCAAAATAAAGTCTGCCCCCCCCCAAGGTCTGAGGGGCAGTGGACCGGCCCCTTGCTGAAAAAGTTTGCTGACCCAATACAGTATAATGTAAAAGCTGCAAAAGTGACTCCAATCAAGGTCACAGAAGCGCTGAATTATTGCTTTGTTAACTTGTTAACTGTCTGCCTGAGAAGAGTGGGCGAGAGTTGGTCTGTCTGTTTTGTTGCCTGAGAACATGGGAGTGTGAAGACTTCAAGCAGACTCTGTTCTGAGGAACTGATGAAGACAGGAAGCGATGCACTCATGATTTATGCATTGCTACGAAAGAGGGAGTGTTTGGAGCAAGAAGACCAAACCGTCTCTTGGGCTCGAAGGAGAGAAACAAATTCTATTGAACCTGATCTATCAATACAGCTTGTTCAATTACTGCCATGGCAAGAGGCAGAGCAGAGGCCCCTCCCAGAGAGGCGGGGCTGCAGTTCAAAATCAAACCCCAACGGCTGCTTGGAGCCTTATGAGGAAGTCGCCCTTGAAATTGACCCCGCCCTACGGACGCGCTCCCGATTCCCCCCTCCTTTCCCAATGGTACAGTACCATTAAACTGTACCATTAGACTGTACCATTAAACGGTGGTGGGTGAAAGACAGACTGAGGCAGGGATATACTCCTAATAACCATTCACTGGCGAGATTTCCTAATGAACTTCTTGTCGTATTTCTGCACGAGTAAGTTCAAGCTGGCGCCGGACGTGATGGGCCTTTCTTACTCCTTCTGGCCCCCCCTCTGCTTTGGGAACTTGGGCTGCTCCCAACCCGCTGGGCCAGGGCGGGGCGAGGGGCGGGGCCGGCCACGTGCTCTAAAGGCGCGAAGGCGGGGCTGGCGAGGGCGCTGGGCGGCGTGCGCGTGCGTGAGGTTTCGGCGGCGCGAGGAGGGCGCGCTGGTCTCGCCAACCGCCTCGCTGGGCTGCGCTGCTCGGCCGGCGCCCTGAGGGGACGGGCGGTAAGGAGCGGGTCCGGCGAGGGGCGGTTTTCTGAGGGGAGCGCCGTCGTCCCGGGTCGGCAGGAGGAAGGCGCGGGCTCGCTTTCTGAGGCCGCCTTAGCGGGGCTCCTCTCGGGCGGGCTTGGCTGGGGGCGCCTTGCCCTCGCGGAGGGCGGAACGAGCAGCCCCGAGGCGTGTCCTCCCCGCCGGCCGCTCCCAGGTCGGAGGGTCGGGGGACCCCAGGCTCCAAGGCCCGCAGCCGCAGCTCGACTGGTAGCGTTCCCTGGGAGGCGGCGCTGGGTCCTGTGGGCCTTGGGCGACGATGGGTTGGTGCGGATATCCTTGGCTGCTCTTGTATTTTTGCTCGACTTTTGTTTTTGTGTCGGTTTTACTTAGTCTTTATTGAACTGTCAGCATCGGCACATAGGTGTGTGTGTAAGAGAGAGAGGTAATAAACTGATCCAGCGTGTTCACCTACTGCTGGATAAATAAGGCCCATTCACAAGGCAAGCAGATGGTGTACAGGTGGCAGTTTAGGAATTGCAAGATTGCCATGGGTGTGAATTGTGAATATACAATATTGCACATGTATGTGGACAACCACTGCCGTGAACTGTACACATGGTTTTAAAAGAGGGAATCTGCACTGGACAATGTTAATCTGATCTTGAAGGAAACGGTTAAGAAATAACTTCAGGGCTGGATGGACAGCAGTTAAGTCCTCTGAGAAGACCCTGGATTCATGAGACTTGGAACACCGTTTCAAAATGGAAGCAGATACATTGATTTTCCATTACAGGTTCTCATTTGGTTGTATAGTTTAATAAGTATCAAACTTGCTTTCTGCAAAGTTACAGAAGAGCGCCCAAGGTTGTTTTGGTTAGGAGGTCCAGCAGGTTCAGATAAGGTAATGGAAGAACAAGGGTCATTCTTGGGCCCATAATAATTCAAAAATTGGCCTTGCTGGAGTCCTGTAAATAACATTCATGTTGATAATAGGAATAGAAATGGCCTTACAGGGTTACAGCTATTGGTTCTCACTTAAGCTGTTAGATGAGGTTGATTTGAAACACACACACCCCATCGCCATTTCTTGCTGATGTAGATTTCACTCCCTCCTTCCCTGGAAGAGGAGGTGGCACCATTTTGTGGTTCACGTCAGGTGCCAAAATGTTTTGGGCCACCCAAAGTAATATAGCTTATTAGCTGTCAATTCGTAGCACTTGTTAAACTAGCTGATGGTTTTTATTACACCTGTTCCTGGAAAACTGGTGGAAAGTATTGTAAAGAACATAGAAGAACAAACCCCTACTAAAGCAGAGCAAGCATGGCTTCTGCAAGGAAAGTCCTGTCTCTCAAACCTTTTAGAATTCTTTGAGAGTGTCAGTAAGCTTATAGGTAGAGGTAGTCCAGTTGACATAGTGTACTTGGACCAAAGACTCCTACATAAGCTTGACAGTCAAGGAAAAAGAGGAGATCAGGAATTGGTTAAGTTGCAGGAAGCAAAGAATAGGAATAAATAGACCCTTTTCCAGTTGTTGTTGCCACCAACGCTGCTGGAGCAACGCCACCTCCACCTCCTTGTGCCCGGAGCCACGACCCCTGTGGCACCCCCTGTTGTGCAGTTCAAAAAGGTTCAGGAAAGGGCAACTAAAAAGGGATATAGTGACTCCCCTATGAGGAAAGGTTGTTTGGACTTTTTAGTTTAGAGAAAAGGTGAGTAAGAGGTGACATGATAGAAGTTTGCAAAATTATGCATGGCACTGAGAAAGTGGAACGAAGAAAGTTTGTCTTCCTCTGTCAGAACACTAGAACTTGTGGATATCCAGTGAAGCTGAATGTTGGAAGTTTCAGGAAAGATAAAAGAAAGTACTTAATTGAAAAGCCTGAGTTCAGTATTCATTGTTTACTGATTCTTTAAAGATGTCTAACTCCTGGCACTCCCTTCATGGATCACTGCCTTGTCGTGGCTCAAGTAACTCAGACATCCATGGGGTCACGAAGAGTCGGACATAACTAATCGACTAAACAACAACTCCTGATGCATCTCTTTACCATTCTTATTGTGAAATAAATCCTTTCTCTTTAACTTTCATAAGACTCAGAGTGGCAGTTTAAAAGGGACAGGGATGATATTAAATAAAGGCACATTCTGCATCTGTTCCTGAGCAGAGTTATATACCCAAAAGACAATATTTCCGGGAAGGTGGGAGAGTACAGTATTTTAAACCAAGCCTAAGAAATACACACACTACCACAAGGCTACCTCAGTCTTGGGGTGCGGCAGGACATCCAAATCACCATTGCTTCAGGTTTTCTGGTTCCCTTGTATTGGCAATAAAATCTGCCTCAGGTAGGAGGAAAGGTGTAGAGTCCACCTCAGCCACCAACTTGGATGGCTTTAAAGGAGGATTTGTTGCCCACCTATCATCTGACATTGGTGCTCCCAAGTCCCAAAGCTAGTGCTTCAAAGCTAGGTGCTGCTGAAACAGAGGAGAGGGACGTTGTTTCAGCAGAAGTTTCAGTGCAACCCCCTTCATTATCAGAAGTTGATATGTGCAGCCATGAGGATGATGATCTGATCTGTGTTGCTGAAAAGGTTCCTCAACCCTGGCATATGCACTGATACAACTCATTCAGGGCATCACCCCATAACCAACAGTTTCCCTGAATTTGTGGGAAAGTACAAACATTTTATTTCCTCTCAAAATCCTCTCTAATTGGTTATATAAAAGTTTCACTTTCATGCCTTCCCCCCCTCCCCACCCAAAAAAGTTGGAATTTTAGTTTGGTGAATATGCAGAGGGTTCTCTTAGAATAGTGTCTTTGAACACATTAGCCAGTCACGGAACTGTATCCCAAGGCTCTATGGGGAGAGGGAATGGTTGTTTAACCAGTTTTAAGTCTGGTGTATCTGTGCTCATTAAGGTCTACCATTGTTGGTGCTTAGGCCGTTGTTGGTCTGTGTGGGCCATTTTCTTCTGCATTATTCTCTGAGGGGGGGAGGTTTTCATGGGGGCGGGGAGTTGGAAGTACATTGTAGAGTGATGAGAACCTAATTCTTGCGAAGGTCTTTCTTCACTATTTAAGGAGAGTGATAGGAGACCTAGGGTTGGGGGGTGGCAATAAAATGAGATGTTGATGGTGGTAGAGGTGGATTGTGCTAGTCTTGGTAGATGGTTCAAGGGCATCTTTGTAGTCTTGTTTCAGACTTAATTTGGCATGGTGAACTGGGATCACTATAGAGAGCCCCTTGCTGTATGCTTCTGAAATGTGTTTTTCCCTCTCAAACAGTATCATGTATCCCACAAGACCCCCATTTCGGGGTGGTGCATCTTTCCACATGCCTCAGAGTGGCCATGTGCCTGAATCTCCACCACAGCTGCTTACGATTGAAGATAATGTATACAGTAGAGGAAGGTCTATTCCTTCAGCTGGTAGGATGCAAAGAGTATGCGAGATGGTACAGAAACAACCAGGACATTTGCAGCAGGTAAATATACAACTTTTATAATCTCCAGCAGTGATACTTTGCTGGAAAGTGGTTGGCCAGTACCTGCAGGTTCATGCTAAAACTAGATCCCTTGTTCTTTTGGTACACAATGCTGTACAGGGAGATGTTACATGGCATACTTGGGTTCACTATAACTGATAGGAGGAATGTTTCTTCTCTATAGCGAATTCTGCTGTGTGTCCTGCATATTAATAGCTGTTGCTCAATCATCACTTAGAACACGAGAAAAGGAAAATGATTTTAAAGGACAGGATTTTTCTGTTAAGTTAGCTTCCCACTACCCCTTTACTCTGGAATTGCCATACTTTGATTGCTCACTACTTTTTTTATCTTTTAAATATATTTTATTGAAAATATTGCAATTAAAATAAAGTGGAGGAATATCTGAATGACATGGTTGCTAGCTAATTGCAGTCTTTGCTGTCCTGTTCCCCCACTTTTGGTAATAAAATGCAATTGTAGTACAGTGGTACCTCAGGTTACAGATGCTTCAGGTTACAGACTCCGCTAACTCAGAAATAGTACCTTGAGTTAAGAACTTTGCTTCAGGATGAGAACAGAAACCAAGTGGCGGTGACAGCAGTGGGAGGCCCCATTAGCTGAAGTGGTACCTCGGGTTAAGAATGGACCTCCAGAACGAATTAAGTTCTTAACCCAAGGTACCACTAGTTATACCTCATGTTGCGTCCGCTTCATGTTACGTGTTTTTGTGTTGCGTCCTGTGGCAACCCGGAAGTACCAGAACGGGTTACTTCCAGGTTTCGCCGCTCATGCATTTGCAGAAGTGGCGTTTCGGCTTGCATCAGTTCCATGTTACAGACGGGCCTCCAGAACGGATCCCATCCGTAACATGAGGTTCCACTGTATCTTTTTGCTTGTTTTCTTACCCTCCCTCCCTTTAATAAAAAGGGAGAGATTGGTGAGATGAGGGCTTTGTTGGGGTGGGGGGAATGGAGGGGAGAAGATTTCGTTGGCTGCCTTAGGCTGAAATAGGAGGTTGGGTACCATGTGAGAATGATGGGGAGGGTGTTTTTCAGTAAGCAGTGGAAGCAAATGCGTGTCAACTCACAAGCAAGCCGTACTGAACTCAATGGAGCTTACTCCCAGGAAAGTAGAAGTAAGTTTAGTTGAACTCAGTGGGGCTTATGCATGCACGGATTCCACTTAGACCTCTGAGTGGGGAAGCAGATGCAACCTAAGTAAATCACTTAAACTACTCGTAAATTAGTTGAAAATATACTAAATATAACGTATGGAAGTTTATTTATTATTTTTATAAAATCTACTACTTCCTTACATTTTAAGGCCCTCCTTAAATGTAAAGCGCGGCACACCCTCCACCGCTGCAGGGAGGTACAGCGGCATCCTCTGCCTCCACAGGGAGGTGTAGCAAGGCCCTCTGCTACTGCAGCGAAGCGTGGCGCACCCACTACTGCCACTGGGAGGCACGGCAAGACCCTCTGCTGCTGCAGGGAAGCACGACACACCCTCTGCCACTACAGGGATATATATCGTGATATATCATGATATTTCGCTCGTGATAAATTGTGATGTTGAAAACCAGATATTGCCCAGCACCACTTGTGAATCATGTTCTAGGAGGATCTCACTACAGCCTAGGTCATTACTGAATAGTATGGTGCTATTAGGGCTGGATGATGCCAGCTTTTCAACATTGCGATGGTCTCACCAGCTAAGCATAGCGATGTAGTGATACAGTGTGATGTTGAAAAATGGAGGGAGAAACAAGCAGCACCGGCCCTGGCCCTGCAAGGTTCCTGGCTAAAGCCAATGCCGCTCCTGCCAGTACCTGGCACAGGGAGGAAGGAGGCAAGTAAGGGGCAGGCAAGCCCCACCCGCTGAGTGAAGGCGGCATTGTGCTCTGGCCCTGAACGATGTTTCAATACATTGCCCAGGCCTACATGTTATATTAAATTGCAGTTTGGAACATTCTAGAGAAATGTGGAAAAGCAAGGTTTCAGTAAAACTAAAGGGTTCTAGTGTAGAAACATTGTTCAAGAATACATTGTCAGTTTGGAACATTCTAGAGAAATGTGGAAAAGCAAGGTTTCAGTAAAACTAAAGGGTTCTAGTGTAGAAACATTGTTCAAGAATACATTGTCAAGTGTAAAAGTGAATCTTTTAAAACTGGCTAGATTTTCCTACCTCATTCAGAAAGGGAGATTTATTTTTATTTTATTTTTTAGAATAATGGGCCTTCTCTTTTGTATTTGTATTTTGTGTGTGTAAAAATTAATTAATTAAAATTTGTATTTTGAAAAGACATTCAAGAAGAACCTTAAATAAAACATGGCTAGAAAACTAGCTGTTTTCTGAATACTATAGTTAGAGGCTTGTGGAACTAATTTGTGTTGGGCAGAGAGCTTATCATGCTGCTGCTTGGGCCTGTTTGAGAGAGGGTTTTGATGTTTGATGTTTTATTGTGTTTTTACTATTCCTCTGGGCTAGGGCAACATATAGGCAGCATACAAATAACAAAATTATTGTTGTTGTTGAGAAACTTCTAGCTTAGTTTTAGGTTTGCAACTTAGATGCAGAAATTTCCTTCGTTTGCAAAACTCTAGTTAAATTTTCAAGAGTTATCATTGGCAGTTGTTCCAGTTGGCCTTATGCTTAACCAGTAGGTATAATGGGTAGAGTCTCTCTGTCCTCCATTCTATTTTAGGAGCATTCCACATCTACCTCGACCTTGGGTTCCATGTTCCGGGGACTTGGTTTTGAGACTGCTCCACAGCCTGCTTTGGGTAAGTTAGACCTATCACATAGGAGCTTCTTTCTTGTACTTCAGTAATGTGTGTCCTTAGGTAGTACCTACACCTGTAACAATAATGTTGCATGACGCTCCAATCCCTGAGCAGTGTGAGATGCCAGGGGTTTCAGGCGTTTACTCAAGGTTCGTGTGTTCCTTTGGCATGAGGGACAGCAGAGAATGTGGTGTCTTTATGATATATGGTTTATTTACACAAATATACAATCTGAGCCTATGATGGAGGGGTTCACAGCATTAACTTCCCAAGAAGGCCTTGCTTCTCTCATAGCCACAACCTTGGATCCAAGCAGAAATCAGACAGGGCTCTGGATCTCTGGTTTCCCAGCGTGCTTCATTGCTTCCAGCTTCTGACTCACATAACTGCAACTCTCTACTCCAGTCTTTGTCTTTCTAACTAACTGTTTGTTGAGGGAGGGAGCCCCACCCATTTGTCATCTGGCACAGAGCCCTTTGTTACCGTAATGGCTGATTACTTCACCAGGAAGCCAGCCTGGCTATTCCAGCAACTTTTCTTAGATTTTAACATTTGCTGGATCCAGGGACTAGAGGGGTCTCTGCATACAACCTACCCCTCCTCAAAGCTCATAATGGTTCTAGGGACTTGGTTTTGAGACTGCCTCAAAGCCTAATTTGGGTCAGTTAGCCTTACCACATAGAAGCTTCTCTCTTATACTTCAGTAATATTTGTCCTTGGGTAGTATCTAAACCTGTAAAAATAACTTTTCTATCTTGTTTTTTATACTCTATTTAGGCCGAGGCATTTTGGGTGACATCAGTATCAAACCCAAAGTGGACTTGCCAGCACAGCATGGAGAGTTTAGAGGAGGGCCAGCTGGAGACAGCAAGGTGGAAAGGCAGCTTCTGGGACGTGGCAGGTGAGTAAAGTGATCCTGAGGTGAATATAGTAATTTATTAAAATTATTTATATACCCCTCTTCATTATAAAAATCTTAGGGTGGTACAGAGGGATACACATGCACGTGCACACACATATCCAAACTTAGATTAAAACACAAAATTACAGTAACAATCCACAGCAGAAAAGAAATCAATAGAACAATCAGCACTGAAAGCCTGGATTTAAAAGTTGGCAAATGTTGATGAACAAATGTGTCTTTATTTATTTATTTTAAGTAAATATTATAAAGTTTAAATTTCATAGAGTTTGTAAAGAGAAATACAAAACTTAATATCATTTATCTTTTTTGTCCACCTTTAATCTAAGTAATATTAAAACATGATGCAAAAAGAAAGAAAAAGAGATAGCGACAAGAAAAAACAGATAGAAAAAGGCTTTCAAGAGGAAATAGATAATCTATAGTTCAGAGATTGAAGAATTTTCAATTCTTCATCTCTCTGCTACTTATAAACAATAATCACTTCATCCACTCCAATATAACACCCAACAAAACCATTTTATATAAACAAACATTATTTTCAATCCCCAGATCCTAAGGTCATTTCATTTTCTTTTTCACACAAAAAGTCTGAGAGATTTCCAGTCTTTAGTACATGTTAATAAGGACTTTCCTCTGATTAAACATGTCAGTTTTGCCATCTCAGCTAATTTCATTAATTTTAACAAGCATTGTTGGTAATGATGAATCTTTGTGCATATAGTCTCGCTGCTGTAATGTGAGGATGTGAGGGCGATCTGGCTGCGACATCTGTCACCCCATTGATCGCCAGGGTTGATTTGGCTGATCTGGCTGGCTAGGCGGGTGTCCCCTTCCTCCCTCACAGCTCCATGTGCATCCCTCCCGAAGCTGCGCGCTCGGTGGAAGAGGACGACCATCCCAGATAGAAGGAGTGTACCGTTCTTCGGTCAAGGGTATACAATAGCTGCGCTCCCCTGCTAGAACCTCCAAACAAGCTGTAATCATATATTGAAACAAAGTTCCATAGTCCTTTTCTAATTGTACATCCATAAGTCCAAGCAGGAAGAGTTCTGATTTCAGTTCAAAGTAAATTTCAAAATTCACTGTATGTGTATCCAATATTGTTTAGCTTTTTAAGATGTCCACTACAAATGTGTTTCTAAAAGGTATACATGATACCAGAAATGCCACTTGTCCTATCTTGGGCAAAAATGACATGCTTCATTTAGCCAGCCAGTAATTATTCAATGATGATCCATTAGATTTGTATATCTATCTGGCTCAAGTGAAATGAGCTCAATGATCAGTTTTCAAGTAAAAGTTCAAAGCCATTAGTTTCTTTCATTAGTTTCAGTTGAAAGATGCTGTGGATCTGATCAGTCCCTCTTTTATATAGATGTGAAATTTCACAGATTTTATTATGAGAACCATTGATCACAAATCATACTGCTTTTTTGTAAGTTTTTATTCACTTTCATCTTTAAACTGTTTAACATAGTTGCATTGAGATATATATTTACATTAGGGCATATAACTGCAACACTTACATAAAAATAAAAAAAAATAAACACTGACATTTCTGAATAAATTAACAAGTTGTGTCGGCGTGTATGTGTCATAATTATTACAGTTATTACAAATATGAAATGATGTATGTATTGTTTAGATTAGTAACCATAAGTAAAAGGTATTATGTATCAATAATAGAATTTAAGATTAAATAAAAATAAAATTAAGATACAGTGGTACTTTGGTTCCTGTACAGCTTAGTTGTCAAACAAATCATCTCCCAAATGCCGCAAACCCGGGAGTGTTCTGGTTTGCGATCGTTTTTCGGAAGCCAAACGTCCAATGTGGCTTCCACGGTTTCCAGTTGAGTGCAATAAGCTCCTGCAGCCAATTGGTTTTCCTGCAGCCTTGGTTTTCAAACCGTTTCAGGAGTCGAACAGGCTCCCGGAATGGATTAAGTTTGAGAACCAAGGTACCACTGTACGTACTTCATGCATGCCAGAAAATCATATTTTTTTCCTGTAGCCTTGTAGCCCTGGAGGATGCTGCTTTGAGGGACAAATGGACAGAGTATAACAATTCCAGATTATTGGAGACTCACTATTTCTATTCTACAGTGGTACCTCGCAAGACGAATGCCTAGCAAGACAAAAAGCTCGCTAGATGAAAGGGTTTTTTGTTTTTTGAGCTGCTTCGCAAGACGATTTTCCCTATGGGCTTGCTTCGCAAGACGGAAACGTCTTGCAAGTTTGTTTCCTTTTTCTTAACACCGTTAATACAGTTGCGACTTGACTTCGAGGAACAACTCATAGAACGTGGTGTGGTAGCCTTTTTTGAGGTTTTTAAAGACTTTGGTGATTTTTGAAGCTTTTCCAAAACTTTCCCGACACCGTGCTTCGCAAGACGACAAAACTCGTGGAACGAATTAATTTCGTCTTGCGAGGCACCACTGTACTTCTGTACAGAATGTGTTGTACAATTCCTACCTCATTTGTCCATAGAACAGCTCTGTGTGGTAGCCAGACTGAGTGCGACTTGCCCAAACTGAACTCTGGGTGATAGGAATTGGAACACAAGTCTTCTGCATCTAAACAATGTACTGCACTTCACTGGTGTTGAGTCTGGGGAATTTCCATTGTAAAATATGTTGGGTTCTGAGCTTTATTTAAAGCCATCTCGCATGCTGTTTGAAAGCTGATAAGGAAATCATTGTGCTATGTATTTCTTTTTATTCTCTTTTAAGTTTATTCAGGGTACCTGGTCTTGTGGAAAGTGAAATTCCTTTTGTTGGTCTTGGAAGAGCAGGTTTGGGACTTGGTAGGGCCTGTGGAGACTCATCTGCTGTAAGTGCAGGAGTTCTGCAGAAAGCACCAGTAGAACCTCCTAGATCAGAGATTTCTTCCGAAGTTTCTAACAAGCTTGTGGAGAAAAAGTAAGTGAAAGCTGATACTAAAAATCTATACATTTTATACATGTTTATACAATACACGAAACCCTGGTGTGTAGCATGATAAGTGTGAGCGGGAAGCAGCTGCCATGAGCCTTGGACTCATTCACTTCCCCTTCTGCTGTGATGAGGATGTCAGCCGCTTTCCCCTTAAAGTAAGCATACGTTGTCCTCCAAACCAGGGATTTTGCTTTATCACTAGTCAGTTTCAGAACAAGCGAACTGCTCATATCTCTTAAATTAAGCATGTAAATTATTTCAAGTATGCTTTCTTCCTTCTAGAGAACCGCTAATGAAGCAAGGCTCAAAAGGAGTACCTGTTCCCTTGGCTTTAAACCTGATAAAAATCCATTGTCAAAATGAAGCTGTGTATCAATATCATGTGACATTCAGGTAGTAATTTTTCACCATTCATCTGAGCTGTTGAAGGATTGTTGGTTTTATTTGTCTACAGACAAGGTACTTGGAAGTAGCCATAAATCTCTCTCTCTCTCCCCCTCTCCCCCTGCCCTCCACTTTTTATATGCCTATAATGCCGCTGTTCTCAAAAAGTAGGCCATGTGACATTGATTGATTGGTTCTCAGGATTCTTCATGTTACAATTCTAAACTGGATTTGAATTTTCAAATCTTTCTACTTGCTTTTTTTAAAAAAATAATATTTATTGAGGATTTTAAGATTACAAAGAAACAAAGAAAAAAGTAGACAAAAAGAGAAATTAAACAATACAAGTCAATAAAAACAAAAATCAAAGAAAAAAACAAATCACACAAATACATCAAAAGCAAAAAGCAAAAATAAACAAAAAAATTAAAAACAAATCCAATATTCCCAAATCTTTATCTTTCATTAACTTGTTTCATGGACCTCCTCACACCTCCCTTTTTTGTATTCTAGTTATTGATTATCACAGCAAATCCTTCCCATTTTTCATGATATTCTGTCATTAAATTACCTTAATCTATTTTAACCTTATCTTACTATAAAAAACCCTAAAACTTAAAGCTTGAGTCTTATCTATACCAATTTCTCCTAACCATGACATATTCTTGCATAGTTCTTTTTAACATTTCTGCTAAAGCCAAACAATTTCGTTCCAACATCTTTTTTAATACTCATTAATTTTAGAAAACATTCCTAAATAGAATTTTTGAAACTTTCTCCAATCTTCAACCAGCGTCTCTTCCTCCTGGTCACGGGTTTTGTCAGTCCTTTCTATCCCATCCATCTAGTTCATTAACCTGGTAACCTTATGTCCGAGGCCCTTAAGTCTCTTCCATGTCCCTTCCGCAGATCTTCTTCATATTTATACCCGTACTTTACTTTGTCTTCTGCACCTTTCACACGTGGAGACTCCAGCTTAACAGTATTTTTATCCCTTCTCGACAGATCAGCCCCTTTTCCATAGTCCACACTGAACTCCATGTGGTATTTAAAAACATTTTTCAAGATCCCTCCAAAGTTGAGGACCCCCACAACTCCAAACTCCTCCCGACCCAATGCCAGACTTGAAAAATCAAAACATCCCTGCATAGGGGGGTCTATCCAGCCCCCCCCCCCCATCTCCAAACCAAACAAGACACTATCTCTCCAAATCTGGCTTTTTCCAAGTTCATTTGTCAAATCCAACAGCTCATGTTCCTGCTGGGCCGCAGCTCCCTCCATCTCTGCCACCCGAGGTCCAACAACAATCTCCTCCTTCATCTGATCTGTCAGAGCACATTCCTGATTTGATTCCTGAGTGGGTTCTATATAGGTACCCACTACCTGTCCAAAATTTCTGATCGCAACAGTCATCAAATCCGTCTTCTCATGTAACTGTTCCAATAGAGCACTTGTTTTACAGAAAGCACGCACCAGAGCCTCTGAGCACATTGTTATACAAGGTCAGAAGTCTATTCCCACGATCTTAATCTGTTGCAGCTGCTCCCCAGTTCAAGTTTAGTAACAGTTTCACAAGCTCCCTCTAGGGGAAGAACTTCTCTTTGTATCCAACTCTTCTCTTTTTTTTTTTTTAAACATCAGATCTAACAAAAAAGTTTCCTTTTTCAGATATTTTGTCAATATTTATTCCTTTAAATTGCGAAAGAGCACAATGGAATCACTATGTTTCTCTTCTTTTAATTATCTATCAAAAACATTTGTCTATAGTCAATGAACTTCCCCAAAAACATCTGTCCTGACACCCCGCTCCCAGGTTCAAGACGGTGGAAAATTACTTTTCTTACACTCTCTTCTGCAGGTTTAAGCAATCCGGAAAAAATCCCCCCTCTTCTCCTGCTTCCGAAGGGGGTTCAGTAATTTTAGATGATGAAAGTTGATCCTTTACAAACGATTTTCTACACTCTAGTTTGCCATGTCTTTGCTTTAATCTATCTACAAGAAACGGAAGGCTGACTTCCTGTTTAGACCTTCCCGCTTCAGTGCCAAATTAAGAGGAATTTCTTAATCCAATTTTCCATTCTACTCACAGATCGTTGTTTAAAGTCCAATTGTCCAAATTTGATCTGCTCACGGGTAGTTGTTTTGTAGCCAAATTGTCCCAGGAAAAAGGTAGCGCTCTCCGGCAACGGCTGTGCGGCTTCGCTCCACGGAAGAAGCAGTTGACTCTCAGCACCGCGCCACTTGCCCCTCTTCGCTCCGGAGCCCGTAACTGGGTTCCTTTACGAATTGGGGGGGCGCAAAAGGTGCCCGCTGAGTCCCATGGTCACAGGCTTCATCCTGTGATTTTTTAAAGGGTCCCCGCTTTGCCGTAGCGGAACAGACCCGTTTTCCGTGGAGCCAGTCCCTCCAGATCAGAGGGAATCCGCCATTACCGATGGCGCCACCCCGGAAGTCCCCAAATCTTTCTACTTGCGTTCCTACCCCCACCAACAAATGGAAGCTTAAAAAGATGAAAGTGGTTTGTCCGTGAAGGGAGAGTTATGAGCCATGTAAGCTTGTAGTAGAATTTGTGATGCCCCTCTGTCTTAAATTTATGATTGTGTGACTGTTCTGTAAACTGTAACTGTTAACCAGCATCCCATTCCCTTATTTTTTATATGGCAGCAGGTTTTTGTTGCAAATGCTGTTGCTATTCATCCAAAGTTGTGGGTGAGGAGCAGATTAGCCCCCCTCCACACCATGTGAAAGATCATAGAATCATAGAATCATAGAGTTGGAAGAGACCACAAGGGCCATCGAGTCCAACCCCCTGCCAAGCAGGAAACACCATCAGAGCACTCCTGACATATGGTTGTCAAGCCTCTGCTTACAGACCTCCAAAGAAGGAGACTCCACCACACTCCTTGGCAGCAAATTCCACTGTCGAACAGCTCTTACTGTCAGGAAGTTCTTCCTAATGTTTAGGTGGAATCTTCTTTCTTGTAGTTTGGACCCATTGCTCCGTGTCCGCTTCTCTGGAGCAGCAGAAAACAACCTTTCTCCCTCCTCTATGTGACATCCTTTGATATATTTGAACATGGCTATCATATCACCCCTTAACCTCCTCTTCTCCAGGCTAAACATGCCCAGCTCCCTTAGCCGTTCCTCATAAGGCATCGTTTCCAGGCCTTTGACCATTTTGGTTGCCCTCCTCTGGACATGTTCCAGTTTGTCAGTGTCCTTCTTGAACTGTGGTGCCCAGAACTGGACACAGTACTCCAGGTGAGGTCTGACCAGAGCAGAATACAGTGGCACTATTACTTCCCTTGATCTAGATGCTATACTCCTATTGATGCAGCCCAGAATTGCATTGTCTTTTTTAGCTGCCGCGTCACACTGTTGGCTCATGTCAAGTTTGTGGTCAACCAAGACTCCTAGATCCTTTTCACATGTACTGCTCTCAAGCCAGGTGTCTCCCATCTTGTATTTGTGCCTCTCTTTTTTTGCCCAAGTGCAATACTTTACATTTCTCCCTGTTAAAATTCATCTTGTTTGTTTTGGCCCAGTTCTCTAATCTGTCAAGGTCGTTTTGAAGTGTGATCCTGTCCTCTGGGGTGTTAGCCACCCCTCCCAGTTTGGTGTCATCTGCAAATTTGATCAGGATGCCCTTGAGTCCATCATCCAAGTCGTTGATAAAGATGAAACTAGAGGTGTAAAAAATCAGGAAATTTCAAAGCTATAGGACTGTGTTTGTGTTTCCCATGGGCTTCTGGAGGATGTGGGATGAGGAACAGAAGTTTTGGGATAAATGGAAATAAATGTGATACTTACCAAACCTGTAAATATTCTGCTGCTTAACGACATAATATGTAACTTGGTTAGTATATAAAAAGATACTATTGGAGACATGAAATATGCAGAGCAATTCTATGCATGTTTACCGTATTTTTCGCTCTATAGGATGCACCGGATACAAGACACACCTAGTTTTTAGAGAAAAAAATATTATTTCCCCCCCTCCCCCCAGCACCAAAGAGCAGCGGACAGGCCCGCGTTTCGCCCCCAGCCCCAAAGAGCAAAGAAGCCAAGACAGCGAGCGGGATCCATCCCACTGGCTGTCTTGGCTTCTGCCATAGCTGTGCAACCTCTCCAGCCAGGAGCTAAACCTCTCCAGCGCGGCTAAAGAAGCCAAGGCAGCGAGCGCGATCCATCCCGCTCTGGAGAGGCTGTGCAAGGCTAAAGAGGAAGCCAAGACAGCCAGCGGGATGGATCCTGCTGGCTGTCTTGGCTTCTTTAGCCTTGCGCAGCCTCTCCTGGCTGGAGAGGCTGCACGCGGCTATGGCAATTCCCCCACCTCCCGCAAAAGCCCACAGGAGCCGTGCACCCTTTAAGGAGCGTGCAGCTCCTGCGGGCTTTTCTACGAGGAGGGAGAAGGGACTGACTGGTCACGTCAGTCCCTTCTCCCTCCTGGGGAAAAGCCCGCAAGAGCCGTGTGAAGCTTGTGTGTGGCTCTTGGTGGCTTTTCCTGCCTGCTTCCCCCCTGCATTCGCTCCATAGGACGCACAGACTCCCCGCCCCCCTTAGTTTTTAAGAGGGAAAAAGTGCGTCCTATGGAGCGAAAAATACGGTACTTGGAAGTGAGGCTCTGCTTTGTGATGCTTACTCCCAGGTTAGCATGTTTAGAATTGCAGACTGAAAAGTAGAAACCAGCTTAAGTTATACTAGGGTGAGGGTTTTTCCACTGACTCATTAATCACCATCTTTCCCACCCTTATTTGCCTTATGTTTAAACCCCCCCCCCCAATGAATATACTGACAGGAGAATATACGACATTTAAACTGAACTATTCCTTCTGTAACAGAATGTTTTTGAAATCAAATCAAACACTATCTTGGAACAGAAGTGTATAAATAAATTACTGATCTGAAGAATTCACTAGACAGCATAACAGTAAAGATTGTTGCTCTGCTTGTGGAATAGAATTGTGTCTGTCATCTCAGTGACATTGGGTAGTTTCCCCCCAGTACATGATTTATTAAACTTTACTGGACTCTTTTCTACTGACTTTCATTTCATGTGTTCAGATGTTCTTCAGACTTGATTGATCATTCTGTGAGTTTTGGTTTTTGAATGTCTTGGCCAGGAGGAATGGAAATACAAATTCCTCTCCCTAGTGAGGAAATTTTGTGAGCTCCATATACTGTGACTCCTCGTTTCTCTTCTACATGCTTGTCTTCCAGCCCCAGTGTAGAATGTAAGAGTATGCGTTTTGGGATGTTGAAGGAGCATAAATCAGTGACGGGAGAGGTTACAGCATTTGATGGCTCTATTCTCTACTTGCCTATAAAGTTGCCTGAGGTAAGCCATGATACAGGAGCCAAAGATGTTTTATGTTCTGATGTACCACCACCTGCATTTCCATTTTCCCTCTTGTGGGTTTTTCTGTGTGGGACAATAGTCAATAAAAATCCTCTTCCTTAGGATATAGAAGCTGCCATATGATGCAGAAATGAGAAAACGTGTGACCAGTGTTAAGCTTAAGGTGCAGTGTGTTTCCATGAGAGTTATAATGAAAAGATGTTGGGGGGAGTACTTGGAGTACTTGAGTGTATGCTAGGGATGTAGCTCACAGTAAAACATACAGAAAGGATTTTGTATAAATCGTCTCCGGAACAGGGGACTGTCTGGCACTTTTTCTTTTTAGAGCACCTTCTGCATCTTTCAAACCATCTGTCAGTTTAGAGGTGAATGGTGAAGTTTCCATTTACTACTTGAACTAAAATATATGCAGTGAAACTAAAATACACTTAAGGACTAGACCACGTTTCCAAAATAAAGCAAGGCTAGATTTTTTACTTGGTAAGGTTGCCATCTTGAGTAATGATCATCCGATTTTTATATTTTTAGTTGCCATCTTCAGCATTAAACCTATCAAGATTTTTTAATGTCAGATATTTTGTACTCAATACTTAAAGTACCTTATTGGCCCAAAAATAAGCCACACTCCCCCCCCCCCCATTCTGACAGTGAAAAGTTAAAGTGTGGCTTATATTTGTGACCTTTCCTTTCCCCCGATGCCTTCAGGGAGGCTTGGGAGTGGCTGGTAGGCTCACAAGAGCAGCCTGGGAGCGCGGGGCAACACCGTGCAGCCTGCCTGCCACTCCCAACAGCGCAGCTCCCCCGCAGAGCAGCCCAGGAGCTGCCGGGGGGGTGTGCAAAAGGGAAGGCCATCGGCAAAAGGCAAGAGCAGCCCAGTAGCACGGGGCAACGGCTCACACCCCACCTGCTGCTCCAACACCTCCCCTGAGCCGCCAGAAATAAGGGGTAAGCGGCATAGCAGGAGCGCAGGGGAATGTCTTTTTTTCTTTCCCGCCCTCGAATTTTGCAGGTGCGGCTTATATTTGGGCCAGTACAGTACTACCTCTCCCATATGAACCAGTCCATACCCTGCAATCACAATGTGTGGCCCTTCTTTGTGTGTGGCCTCCTTGGGAGGTTTGGAGGGCAGCAACACAAGAATAGGCCTGTTTTAGTGGTGGCTCCTCGCTTGTGACATGCTCTCTCCAGGTAGACTTATCTGGCCCCATCATTACATGCTTTAAGCACTAGGGAAAAATAACTTCCTTTTTGTCAGGCTCTTAATTGACTGGCCTTGAGTGGTTAGAATGTTTTAATCCAACCTTTAAAAAATAGAATCATTTCTTAGGTTTTTATTAATATTTCTCTTTTATGCCGGTATGTGTTTATATATTGGTAACATGTGTCTAATGGGAAAAGGGTTGTAGTTCAATGGCAGAGCAGCTGTTCTGCATGCAAAAGGTCCTGGGATTTATCTCTGGAATCTCCAGGTAGGGCTGGGAGAGAGCCCTGTCTGAAACCCTGGTGAGCTGCTGCCAGTCACTACCAGATACTGAGGTAGATGGGACCAATGGTCTGACTCATTATAAGACAGTTTTCTGTGCAACTTTGTACAACTGGTATATGTGAGGCACTGCATGCTTTCTGAGTGGGCTTTCAAAGATTTTGGGGGGAATTTTGTAGATAACGTTGCAATAACAAACAGGCTATTTTTGCTGAAAAATGATCATTTTTTAAAGAAAGCAGTGAAATTAGGTAGAAGGAAATTTGGCTGTGTACATTTTCAGGTGCAGTTTTTTTTAAAAAAATCAAACTTCAGTTTGCCACTGGCTACTCAGATGTTGGCAGCGAGTTTTCTGGAGGCTTTTCGGGATTTTGAATCTGAAAATAATAAAAGGTACACTCCAGATTTACTTCTGATATGTCCCTGAATGTACGAGAGGGAATGACCTGATTTAGCTCCTTACTTCTGGATTTTGTAAAAGTATTGCATTAGAGACACTAACGTACCATGGTTCTTTCTTCACAGTCCATGCAGACATTGGGAAGACAGTGCAAAAGATGAAGCAAAGTAATGTGTGTCTACAAAAGACGGTTACATTGGGACATAATTTTAAATGGCAGTTGGTTTAATATGTCTGCCTTTACTTTGCATTCATTTACAGCAGCATGGAAATGAGCTGTTTGGAAGAGCAAAGCAAGAGAAGGGCTGTGGTTGAGACGTAACTTAAGATTGCCACATCATACATCTTTTGCTGAAAGTAGTTTTTAATAAGCAACTTAGAAGCATTGAAAACTGTCATTTGGATATTTTCTTTAAAGCTTTTGAAGATCTTCTAGCAGACAAGATACAAAGTCATGACTTAGTGATCTCATCTGTATATATGATCTCATCAATATATTTATTTCTTATGTAGGATGTAAATCTGAAGTGTCAGAGAAGAACAGATGGTGTGGAGGTTAGTGTGACAATTCAGATGACCAAAATTCTGGAGCCCAGTTCAGATCTGTGCATTCCATTTTACAACGTTGTTTTCAGGAGGTAAGTGGCTTTTTAAGCTAGGAATTCTCATCATTCTTTCAGTCCTTGAATTGAATGTGCTGCAAAGGTAATGTTAAGTACGGGTAAGTGTTATGGTAGTTGACTGGTATCCATACATGAATTGGAAATCCATCTGTCTCAGGAGACAATGGAAGAGTGTACCTTCAGAGGTGAAGTCAAACTGTTGGAAGAGTTACAGGGCCTGCTGTGGCTGTAGAGACCAGTACTGTAGCAGCTTGTCAAGGGAGGGAGGGACATCCAGCTCTTGCAAGACTGAGTCTGGACGCTGTCAACTGTTGTGTCTGTCACCATGTTTTCCCATGAGTAGTGGTATCTGATCAGTGAGACACAATGATCTCTCTCACCAGCGTAGGCAACCTGCAGCACTGGTAACTTACGCCAATCAAGTTGAGCATATATAACTATTAACTACTGCTGCCTGCATTGTTTTTGCTCTGTTAGCAGTGCTAAAGTGACCTCTCCAGGGAGAAAGTTAAAATAAATGACTTGAAACAGTATTTTTCTTGTGATTAAAATAATGATTAATATGCCTTGTCCACTCTGGCAACATGTCAACAGTTCAGCCAGCCATATGTTTTACAGCAGAGTATCCCAGTCTGTCAGCACTCTGGGTCAGAGGCCAGTTTTGTGGAATCTCTCTTGGCAACATAGAGAAATAGAATTTGAGGTTCCTAATTTAATATACTGTTGGGATTAGGAAGAACATCTTAATTGTTAGAAAAGATGAAGAAGATTGATTTCAACTGTAGCAGTGATTTTCAGTTGTGGATTGGAGTACCAGAAAGTTAGCATTCAACCAAAGGTGAATTTATACATAATGTAGCCTGGTCTTAAATGACAGATTACATTTCCCATGGGGAAGGGTACCCTGGTGGGGGACACATCATGCTCCTTCCGGGGTAGTTTGTCCACCTTTGGTCCCCACCTTGTACTTTGCTCTCACCTGTGGCTCCTATAAGTTGTCAGCATGTAACCGCAGCCACACTCCAGGAAGTGGCTTCGACTGACTGGCTAAACCAAGGGAGGGTAGCCAATAGGTCTCAAACCCTCAGTGAGTTAGGAATTTCCCCTGCATGCGAAGACAGACTCTGGCGGATTGAGTGGACGAGACCAATAGTGGGTTCAATGGTTAAGACGATGGTTTCTGCATGTACTGTAGAGGGGGGTGGCAGGCAGATCTGGCTTGTCAATCTGGGAAGGTAACCCATCTAGGACAGCCTTAGGACAGCCTTCCTCAACCTCGGCCCTCCAGATGTTTTGAGACTACAATTCCCATCATCCCTGACTATTGATCCTGCTAGCTAGGGATCATGGGAGTTGTAGGCCAAAATCATCTGGAGGGCCAAGGTTGAGGAAGCCTGCATCTAGGAGAAGGAAAAATCTGATCCTAAACTGCCTTGCAGGACATCTTCAGGAGAATCTGGAACGGAGTCCCTAAGATTGTTGGATGGCACCTTGTACGCCTCCTTCCAGCAACTCCTGCAGCCAAGCTGGTGCCAAACGTCTTGCTCTGCTTTCCTTTGGACCCCATCATCAAGGCCGAGAGGCGGGTCTTGTCGTCTGGGCAGCCCAGGACCTCCAGACACACTGCCCAAGCTTCTGTTCCAGGAGGTCACTTAGATGCTGCTAATGCAGTGATTTGACTTCACCTCCGGAGGTGCATTCCATTGTCTCCCACGACAAATGGATGCCAACAACAACAACAGCCTTTTCTATATAATTTTTTGCAATTTACTACTTTGGCTTTCTATTTTAGGGTGATGAGAATTTTAGATATGAAACTTGTTGGGAGGAATTTCTTTGACCCTACCAGTGCTACTGTGCTGCAGCAGTATAGGTTGGTATACTTAAGTGTTTTTCCTGTTTTTTACCTGGGCACCCTATCATTTGTAGTAGCCATAGGAGAATTATTATTATTGTTTGAACTAAACTTTTATCTTGCCTTCCTCCAGCTACTGTACATATTGTAATCCTTAGGGATAAAAGATCTCCCTTGTTTTCCTATAAGGGAGGAAGGTATCCTCAGATGGTTTTCTCCTGTTTGGCAAGGCCATTCAAATCAGACTTGAAGTGCCTTTGTTTTATGGGAGAGAACCTCCTCCCAGTTCAAGTCATGCCTCACTCCAAGGGACAGGGGGTTGGTAGAGCTTTGCAGAACTCTTCAGTTTGCCTGGCAACCTTGGCTACACAGCCACAGTGCTAATTCTTCTTCATCTAAGTTGGAGATTTACTAGTCAGGTCTTGGAGAACATGAAAGGCCTTACTCCACTGGTGTAGACATAAGTGAGTATCTTAGGTGTATGGAAGCATTGGTTAAGTCCTGTTTTTCCTGCGCACTAACTTTGCTCAGGAACTTTAGTCTTACATGCTAAAGCATAATTGTTTATTACTATTATTTACTCAGCTTATATACCACCCTTTATTAACACATTTTACGGAGCATCAGTAATAAAGACATAATAAAAAGCATAATAACAAACAGCATAATAATGAAATAATAATCTCTCTCCCTCCCCCCATCTTTAACAGGCCATAGATTATTTAATGGTTAAAGGCCTGGGTAAGGAGGACTGTTTTTGCCTGGTGCCTAAAGACATGTAATGATAGCGCCAGGTGAGCTTCTCTGGGGAAGAGCATTCCACAGGTGGGGAGCCACGACAGATAAGGCCCACTCTCCTGCTGCCTCCTTCTGAACCTCTCTGGAAGGAGGCACATAGAGAAGGGAAGCTCAGATGGCAAGCTCAGGGTCTGGCCCGGTTTGTATGGGGAGAGGCAGTTCTTAAGGTCCTGAGGTCTTGAGCCGTGTAAGGATTTATAGGTCAACACCAGCACCTTGAATTGGGACCGGAAACTAATTGGCAGCCCGTGCAGTGCTGCAGCCCCTTCTACTGTTTTTACAAGGTTTTTTAGCCACAAGTTTGCAGAAATGTTTACAAGCAAAAAGTACATTTATGGTGGAATGCCCTTTGGCCTTATTCGGGACAGTATTGTTAAAGAGATGGTGAAGATTATTGGACAAAATATTGTCGAAACCTCAAAGGTTGTTTCTTTTCAGTGGCATTGACATGGGTATCTAGTGCAGCTCTAAGTAACCATCCCATCAGCACAAGGATTTATACTTAAACAATGAGATGTTCCTCTCTTTCTTCCCTGCTATGCTCCCTAAATCTGTTTTGGGGTTCTCCTCAACCCTCAGGAGCAGATTTGGGAAAGTGCATGTGGAAATGAGTGGCAAATGTCCCATTGTAGAGTCATAAATCCTTGCATTGATAGGATAGTTACTTAGCACTGCATTGGATACAAGACTATTATTATGCATGTGTGTTTGTGTCAGACCCCTCTAATCACTGCCTCATTGGCAGTCCCCCCCCCCCATGGAGCGCCCTCCCATCAGATTTCAAGGAGATAAACAACTACATAACTTTTAGAAGATATCTCAAGGCAGCCCTGTATCAGGAAGGTTTTTTTAATGTTTGATGATTTATTATGTTTTTATATGTGCTTGAAGCCACCCAGAGTGGCTGGGGATAATAGTAATAATAATAATCATCATCATCATCCTTGGATCCAGTAAGTGTTAAAAGCTGTTCAAGCATTCTGATTCTGGGAAATAGCCATGCTAAATTCCTGGTGTGGTGATGGGGGATTAAGGGGCTCAGTTTGAGACAGCAAATGGGTGAGGCCTTCTCCCTCAACAGAAAAAGCCAGAACTGAGAGCAGAGCTTGCAGTGATGTGACCTAGAGCAAGCTAGAGAGAGTGAGAGCGCGTGCAACGTTAGATTTCTGTTTGAATCCAAGGCTACAGCTATGGGAAAAACAAGACTCATTTGTGAACCCCTCAGTTGCAGGATCAGGTTGTATATCTACAAGTAAATCATATATCATAAAGATACCAGTGTCTTCACTGTGCCTCATTTCCTAAAGAAAACATGGTAAGTGCCTGGAACCACTGGAATCTCGCACCGCTAGAAGATTGGGGTGGCGTGCAACGCCAAATATTGCACTATTGCTAGCAAATATCTGTAAAAGTATTAACTATTAAGTCTAAAATGTCATGTATGTTACTGGCTGACATTGGATTTTTGACAACACATTCTGCTTACTACCTCGGTCTTGTATACTATTAGTGCATTTCTAATACAAGTGCTGATGTCATAGCTGAAACTGAACTTTACAAATAAGCGTCCTGTTTTGTGTAAAATTTATTTCCCTAAAGATTGCAGATATGGCCTGGCTATGCAGCCAGTATCCGGAGAACAGACGGGGGACTATTCCTGTTGGCTGATGTTGTACACAAGGTTATTCGGAATGATTCTGTCCTGGATTTCATGTGAGTTAGAACTCTGAATGACATTTTGAATATTGGGAAGCATTGCATGAAATTGGGCTACTCAGTATCTCAAAGCCAAGCAGTCAAAATATTCCTGAAATAAGTCCATGAGAGAAACTCTCAATGTGTATACTTGCACTGGTTTGGTCCCAATGGAACTATGACAATGAGATAACCGGATTTCAGTCTCTGTTTCATGAATCTTCTTTTGGTCAGCCCAAAAAGGGACTCTAAATTATATATAACATGCTTATAAGAACCTCATTCAATACAAGCCTCATACAATGACAACAATTCTTAACATAATAAAAACTCAATGCATTACACTTGTATACATATGTAAGTGTTATGCATTGTAATCTGCCGACCAGTAGTGTAAGGTGAGATGTCGGATACAGCTGCCAGGAGCTGGATTCTAGACCTACTACGCTGCTTTTTCACCTACATGCATATATACATACATGAATAGGCTCTCCTCCAATCAAGAATTCCATTTCAGACGTCACACCTATCAGTCCTACTCTATCTGTGAGATAACGTATGTGTGAGATTATGTATCTGCAACAAACCTCTTTGGAGAGGTTGATTATTACAAATATGTAAGAACATCATAGTATGAATATGCTTTGCTACTATAAGGAACTGGTTTCAGTCACATCTGTAAAATATATAAAGTTCTCATCTAATAATTATACTTGTCTATAGCAGTTTCAAGTTTTCAGAGAGTTTCACATGTGTTATCCAGTTGTAAATCTTACAATACTGTAAGGTAAATCATCGTTATGGTCTCATAATGCACTTGGGGGGATTCGGAGAGAATACAGTAGCTTGCTGAAGGCCACCTCACAGGTTTGTGATAGAAGTGAGATTCAAGCTCAGTACAGTAGGCTCACAACTTGTGCACATTTAACTTGTGCACATTCAGCTTTACATGTGTGGCACAAATTTTTAATGGAAAGGGTGTGGGATTCCAGGGAAAATAACTTTGGCAGTCCCACTCCATTGAACCCAATGCATTTTGGCTATATGCAGTTTTGGCTTTAGCTGCAATCCCCGGAACATAACCTTTATGTAAGTTGCGGGCTTACCATACTTCCAGCTGCAGTTCTTCACCAGCTCCAGATATGTCAGCTCAAAGTGCATTCCTTTTCCCAAAGGCATGCAATTTACCTACAGAGTCGAGAGAACTTCCAAGATGAGTGTACAAAGCAGCTAATTGGCAACATTATAATTACCCGTTACAACAACAACACTTACCGTATTGATGACATTGACTGGAACAAGACACCAAAGGACAGTTTTACCATGTCTGATGGAAAGGAGATCACCTTCATAGACTATTACAGGTAAGAGGTGCTGCTTAAACACTTGAAGTGTTAGCAGGAAACGAAGTACTTAAGGTTAAAACACCTGTTGTCTTCATTTTATATGATTCGTGTTCCTTTCCTCTGGCTTAATGACAATTATTTTTAGTTTGTTATTTTTGTAACTTACATTTGGTTACAAAATGAACCTATTGCTCTTTAATCTGCATAATATTCCTCTTCCAGTAAAAACTATGGAATAACCATCAGGGAAGTCGACCAGCCACTTCTGATTCACAGACCCAATGAAAGAAAGAATCCTTCAGGGAAGGTGAGTTGTTGACCTTGCACTAATGGCAGTTCAAGTGCCAATGTCATGGGACAACAAAGTTTTCTATCTGCAGTTCTCAGAAGTAGGTCATGTGATAACTAGCTTATACAGGGAAGGACTTTCAGTAGTTTGAGAGGTGTTTAGACTTCGCTCAGGTTGTCAAAGGGAAGTAAACCCAACCCTTACTAACATATTACCTGGTTGTTACTATACCATTTCTGATAATGCTTGTCATTTGTAACCTAAATCAAATTCTCCCTTGAGCCATTAAATTTAACTGTTGCTTTGGGAGCTATCAAATTCTTTGAGAATTAAAATAGGGAAATAGTGATTTAGCTCTGTATGTATAAGATACCTAATATGCCATTCACCATAAAGCCCAGGGCAGTTACACCAGTTTAATCATACAATTAAAAAGAGGTAAAACTGATTATACATTTTTAAAAAGAAATCAATTTCAACAGAAAGCAACACAGTATGTTAAACCTATCCTGTAACCAGCAGCCTTCTCTTCACAACTTTACAATCTGACTGGGTTTTGGCCCCGCATGCTGTACTAATATTCATTGTCTCTAATTATCCTGCAGCTGCAAAAGGGTGAAATCCTCCTGCTGCCAGAGGTCACCTTCCTGACTGGAATTCCTGAGAAAATGAAGAAAGACTTCAGAGTCATGAAGGTGGTGTGAGATTATTTGCTGCAATTGAATAGAATTGAATTTTTTTGCAAGTCTCCAATTTCTTACTTCAAAAAGCTTACCCAGAAACCAAGTTTTAGGGCATAATCTGATATTTTGTTCAGTGTCCCAAAGCATAGTGTTCAGAGCTCTTCTATTCTTCATTAGCAGAAGCCAGAGTTCTGTGTGCCTACTTTTTTCATTTGATGATGGATAGAGATTGGACTCTAGCAAGATGGCAGGAGGTTGGGCATTTGATGACCAGAATTTTTGGCTTGGCTAACAGAGCCAAAACAATTGTAGATCACTTTGCTAAGTTAACCAATTGGTGGTGGTGTTTTCTCTGCAGATACATTATTTGATTATTTTTATTTATTTAACAAAATTTATATACCACTTGATTGTAATAAAACCTCTAAGTCAGAGCTTTCCAAACTTTTTATGTTGGTGACACACTTTTTAGACACGCATCATTTCACGACACAGTAATTCAGTTTTACTAGCAAGCCAGAGGTTTAACTAACCCTTTTCTAGCCCTGGGACGAGCATGGGGAGCGTTCGCACGACACATCTACACACTGCAACTGACACACTAACGTGTTGCAACAAACAGTTTGGAAAGCTCTGCTCCTTTTATTTTATTTTTTATTTTGACAAAGTAATACTAATAAATAAAATGTAAATAAAAATGTGCACCCCACTGCTGAGACCATTCCATTGTAACTATCCAGCCTCCCAAAATTTCAACACCTCTTGCGATGGTTTGACCCCTTTCCATTTTAACAGTACAAATTATACAAATACCTTCCATATTTCCTCAAAATAATTTCTCCTGCATATTCCCCGTCTTACCTTAATAGCACATGTTAATTTATCATTAATGGCTATATCCCACACCTCTTTATACCATTCTTCCATTTTCTATTCTGCTTGCCCCTTCTATTTCCTAGCTATAATAAATCGTGCAGCTGTCAATAAATTTGTGAGCACGTCATTCATAGCCTGTGAACCTTCCACCCCATTGTAAATTTATAATAATGCTACCTCTGGACTTTTGGTCAGCTTTAAAAGCTCTGCTCTAAGTGGTTTGAAACTACCCATCTTGGTGTCACAATAGTTTATGACATGGTCAGCCATGGTATTCTTAAGGGGTGTCTCACTAAGATAAATTGCAGCTGAGCGCTGTACTTATATGGCTCTCACCAGTCATTCCTGAAAGGGAGGTATTTGCAGGTCGTGCTACTTATCCATGTTACTAGTGTAGTGCCACAATAATATATTAAAACTTGACTTTCATCTGATCCTAGCGAGATGATGGAGCCCATGAATCTGATGGAATGGGATTAGGTGGGGTGAATAAACTTAATTTACAAGATAGAATTATTGATTGAATGTGGGAGCAAGTTTACAAGGGAAGTAGATGTATATGGGCTGCTACAGTTGGGGTTGCATCTTTAAACATCAGTTTGTCAGCTTGAGTGCAGTTCTGAATAAAGCACTGCTTTTGGGTGTCCTCTTGGCAGCAGTGGCCAAGAGTGCATTTTACCACTTGTTCTTTTGGCTCAGCTATGCCCTTTTTGTGGAGAAAGCAGACATGGTCATGTTGGTGGCCTGGAGGCTGCATGCAGACCTCATTTTACATGCCCCGCCCCCGAAGCTGCCTCTTTTCATTTCATCACAGTTCATTCCTTTGTTCCTTCTTTACAATCTGATTTTTCTTTATTTTTTTTAGTGTCTCCCCATCTTTCTATGTAGCCTCAGAAAGCTATATTTGAAAGGGTAGCATTAAAAAAAAAGGGGGGGAATGTATGGATTGTTTGCTTTTTCCTGTTTGTATAGTTTGGGGAGGAAGAGAATTTCCCCCTGCAATCTGTCTGAGAACAAGTTTAATAGGCTTGCTCTACATATGTGGTGCACACTAAAGTCAGAAAGGAATTACATTCATCTGCTCTCTAGAACAGAGCAATATTAGTTTTTGTACTAAAAAAATAATAATTCTCTGTACACTTACTTGAGAGTAACCCCACCAGACTTGACAGAACTTACATCTTTATAGACCTGCATAGGATTGGGAATTCTAATCTAATAAAATTATGGTGAAAATTGAAGCAAGGCAGTTTGCGTTCCTGATTTAGTTAACCCACAGCAGTTTTTCCTGTGGCTTGGCCCCTCATTGGCTCCAGCTCTGCCCACTGCCAGCTTGTCTGCCAACAGATTATTGCCCACGAGAATACGACTCTCAACAGAAAACAGGTTGCCCACTTTTTCTTTTAACTGATAAAAGTTGCTGGTTTGCTGGATAGTGTAATAGCTTCTCTTGACATTCCTTCACAAGCTTCTTCGTCCTCCTGCTACAGGATAGTGTCCCAGTCTGTCCTATGTTTTGTTCCTGGCACTCATCTGCTATAAATCTTCATCTTCATGAATAAGATAATTTTGTAGTTAAGGGCATGCGAAAAAAGACTGTGTATGATTTACTTGTCCTACAAGGTATCCCCCCCCCCCCCGCATTATTTGAACCTTCTTGTTGAATCAGAACTTTCAGTGCAGGTGGGTTGTGACTTCTAATCTGAATATAGCTTCATTAAATGGTTCAAAATTACTTACATGAGGTACGTCTTGTACTGATAAAAAAAAGAAACATAGAAGCTCAGAAGGCGAAGAACCACTGTCTTCCAAGCAGTTGATTTGCCTAAATCTCTTTAAAAATACATGGTGAAGCACATGCAGATACAAATTTCATTTTTTCCCCCTCCCCACCTACCACTTTGGTCCCTCTTATTAGGACCTTAGCCAGCAGATCAACCTGAGCCCTAAACAGCACTACCTAAGTTTGAGACAGCTTCTGAGCAGAATTGAGAAGAATGAGACTGCCCACAATGAATTGTCAAGATGGGGACTTCATTTGGACAATGATGTGCATAAGGTATTTGAATCAAGGAGCCTCTGTCTTTACATTAGTCTTGTCTGATGACATCATTCTGAATTCTGATTCAAACATGACCTCCATAGCAACTGATCTGCTTTTAGAAGAAATATAATTATGTGTTAAATATATTTAACAATTGGATACCCTTTTCAGGTTATCAGTAACTTCAGCCTTGATATGGTTTAGAAAAGCGTAGAACATTTTTTCTACAGGTTCCAATAAACAATAAGTTTCACATTTATTTACTATTTATTTCATAAAATTTATACACTGCTTGAGTGTAAAGAACAGCAACCTAAAAATAGTTTACAAAATGATAAAACAAATAAAATCAAGACAAGTTTACAGCCATATTTTAAAAACATATAGTTAAAATACCAATGGATTAAAATTACCTGAACTTTCTAAGCATCTGGGTAGGCTTGTCTAAATTCAAATGTTTTTAGCAAATGCTGAGAAGAATACAGTGAAGGCCCCTGCTTGATCTCAGTAGGCAGGGAGTTCCAAAGTGGAGGTGCTGCCACACTAAATGACCGAATTCTGACAAAGGCGCAATGGATATTACAAGGTACTTGTAGTAGTGCCTGTTCTCCCAATCAAAGCAATTGAGTGGGCACGTGTGGGGTAAGGGGATCTTGTAGGTAAACTGGTCCTAAGCTGTTAAGGGCTTCATATACTAATAATAGCACCTTGAACTTGGTCCTGTAGCAAATGGGCAACCAGTGCCGATCTCTGAACACAGGCGTTAGATGCTGACAAGGCCTCCCTCCTGTCAGCATTTGTCCTGCAGCATTCTGCACCAACTGCAGCTTCCAGATCAAGCACAAGGGAAGCCCCACATAGAGCGCATTGCAGTAATCCAGTCTTGCAGTAACCAACACAGAAACTTCCTTGGCAGAGCTTTCCCAGTCCAGGAATGGCCATAGCTGTCAAACCAGTTGGTAAAAGGCTTTCTGAGCTTCCAGTGACAGAGCTGGATCCCCAAACTTCACCCCCAAACTGTGAATCTGCTCCTTCAGGGGGAGTGCTGTCTCATCCAGGGTAGGCAGCTGACCAGTTACTCAGACATAGGAGCTACTCACCCCACAGTGCTTCTGTCTTGCCAGGATTCAAGCTTGGCTTGCTTTTCCTCGTCCATTTCACCACTGCATCCATGCAGTGGCTCGGGGAATTGCACTGCCTCTCCTGATTCACATGTTATGGAGAAATGGAGCTGAATATCATCAGCATACTGGTGGCACCTCACCTCCAAACGCCTAATGATCACTCCCAATGGCTTCGTGTAGATATTAAATAGCACTGGGCATAAGCGAGTCCCCCGCAGCACCCAGAATTTGCTGCCAAGGAGTGTGGTGGAGTCTCCTTCTTTGGAGGTCTTTAAGCAGAGACTTGACAACCATATGTCAGGAGTGCTCTGATGGTGTTTCCTGCTTGGCAGGGGGTTGGACTCGATGGCCCTTGTGGTCTCTTCCAACTCTATGATTCTATAATGTAGCCATTCTCCCAATGCTACTCCCTGGACTCACTTTTGAAGGTAGGATTGGAACCACTGTAAAACAGTGCCCCGAATCTTCATTCCCCAGAGCCAGTCCAGGACAATTATCACGGCTGATGGTATCAAAAGCTGACGAGTTCAAAAGCAGGAGTAAAGTTGCACTCCCCCTGTCCCGCTCTCTGCAAAGGTCATCCATCAGAGCAACCATGGCTGACTCAGTTCCATGGCCAGGCTTGAACTCAGATTGAATGGTTTTACATAATCTCTGTTCTCCAAGAATGCCTGCAGCTGCCCCGCCATGACCTTCCCCAGAAAGCCTCTCAGTGCAGTAGGAACCACTACCTCACCCAGTGAAGTGTTAAGCAACCTCTGGACCCAGTAGGGGTCAAGGGAGCACATGGTCAGATGGGAGCAATTGTGTCAATCACCTGCTTCATCTTGCCATTGCATAGGGAGACCAAGGCTTCAACAGGATCACCAGTTTTCTCCACTGGGAAATCCCCTGGAGCATTCAGGGACACATCAAGCTCCTTAAGTCTTTGAGGGCAGGCCATCCAAATGGGTCCACACCTCTTAAACAGGGGATTTGCCACTATCAGTCAGGCTTAACCAGATAATGGTCTGACCATGATCTTCAGTCTGTCCCTCATGTTACTTGCCCATGAAACATTTGCTCTTTATGCATATTGCTGCAGATGGTGTATTCATACTTCTAGAGAAAGTTATCCTAGTTACAGATAAATTATTCAGGTTGCAAAACTCTGTTGGTTGCACTTTAAAACACAATAAAAAGAAAACATTTAAGTTGTAGCATAGTTCTTAATTATCAGCTGGATAGCTTGGTTGGTTAGAGCTTGGTGCTGATAACACCAAGGTTGCAGGTTCGATCCCCGTAAGGGACAGCTGCCTATTCCTGCATTGTAGGAGGTTGGATTATCCTCAGGGTCCCTTTCTATGATAAAGAAGAACAAGCCAGTTAACACACAAATATTTTAATGATAATTAGAGTTCAAATAATAGTTACAGCATAAAATATTCTGCAAAAAAGTTTACAAATGCTGCGTTGTTCACTATGGAGTTCACCCTATGCTTCTGGAAGCCGTCAAGAGTGGTGGTAATTGGAAGGCCCCTAGTTTCAGTAGTCATTTTGCTCACAGGCCACCAATCCTGGTGGAATGCATCGTAGGCAGCTCATAAAAATCTCTGGCTAGTGATCTGTCTCTGCAGTTGCATCACCACCATGACACAATTTAGGGGAGAAGCTACCCTGGGAGTCATTTTCCACCTAGACAAATGGCTGACCATTAGCTGAAGCAAAATAAAAAAAATCCTTCCAGTAGCACCTTAGAGACCAACTAAGTTTGTTATTGGTATGAGCTTTCGTGTGCATGCACACTTCTTCAGTGTGTGCGTACACACTTAAACTTAGCTGTTTAAGTGTATGGGGAATCTAATATTTTGGGGTTGTTGTTCATTGTTGAAGAGATTCAAGCTTTTGTGTGACTAACCTAAGCAGAAATATGCTATCCTTCAACCTATTTGTTTCCCTGGTCCTGCTTCCCTCTTATGGAATCTTCTGTACTAGACAAAAGGACGTATTCTCCCCATGGAAAGAATCAACCTGAAGAATACCTCCTTCAATACATCAGAAGACCTAAACTGGTCCAAAGAAGTAGTCAGAGAGGCCTGCATCTCTGCAGTAAGTTTGATCTCAGACACTGACAAAATTCCGCACTGATATAGTAGATCCCACATTCATCTCTGTTTCCCAGATTGCCTTCTAGAATATTTGAAAGAACACCTTCCTCTGGACCAGAGATGATTTTGGGTTAATGAACTAGAACAGAGGTTTTCAACCTTTTTCAGTCCACAGCTCCCTTGACCAACTACATTCTTTCTGCAGCTCCCTTAAGGAGAAACGTGCTCTGAGCCTCAGAAGCCCACACCTTGCCTACAGAGCTGGCAGCCCCTCACCCCTTTTTGAACACCCTCCCTTGTGTAGTGTTCTCTCAGCCTCCTCTTCCCTCCCCCCTCTCCTTGGGAGTCCTCTGGGCAGCTGCTGCAGCTGCCCCTGGTCTGTGAGGCCCCCACCCACCCCAAATAGAGGTGCCACCTCATACTGCCCCACAGGGGCCTGGGAAGAAGATGCCCCAGCATTAGTGGCCTAATGGAGACTGCCAAAGGTGAATGTGAGGCCTTGGAAGTACTCACTTTGGTAGGAAGCAGTGGCAGCAGCAGGTACCTCTGGGCTTGCATGGTGGAAAGGCGTCCTGTCAGTGCCGGATACTCAGCTCCCAGGAAGGCATTGCACGCAGCAAGCACAAGAAAGGCTAGCACAGTGCCTGCCTGCCCAGCCTCCCACTTGTCTGTCCGTTCCCAACAGCAAGGGTTGGTGGACTAGCTGGCTGGGCTCCCTCATCCACTTCTTCTTTACATCAAGGCCACCTCAGCTCCTGGCAACCATTAGCCTGGGGAGCTTGTAGCCAGGGCCACTGCAACAAACAGCTGCACAAGCCTTTGGAATGCAGAGATGTGAGAGGGCATCAGAGGAGGGAGGGAAGGAAAGAGGGACCCCTGAGCATCATTCAAGGTGCCCCAGGGTGCCATGGCACACTGGCTGAAAACCACTGAACTAGAAGGATTACCAGTTGCCTGAAAATGCCCTCTTCAACTGACATTCAGAGGAGAGACTAGCTCATGTTCACCCCAAGGAGCTGTGAATCCACATACAGTGGTACCTCTGGTTCGAACGGGATCCGTTCCGGAGGCCCGTTTGCAACATGAAAAGAGCGCAATCTGAAGCGCCATATCTGTGCAGGTGCTCTGCGCAATTTGGCGCTTGTGTGCATGCACGAAGCGTGATTTAGTGCTTCTGTGTGAGCGGTGAAACCCGGAAGTAACCCTTTCCAGTACTTATAGGTCGCCGCGGGACGTAACATGAAAGAATGTAACATGAAGCAAACGTAGCATGAGGTATGACTGCACTAGTGAGACGGTTAACACAGCTATCTTTATTTTTACATGACAGATCTGAAATGGTTGGCATCCTTCTGTCTCAGGAGATAATGGAGGAGTGCGTTTTTGGTGATGAAGTCAAACTGTTGGAAGGCTACAGCGCCTACTGTGGCTGTAGAAACCAATATGGCATAGACGTGTTTTGTTGCATCTGGGGCCGATGAAGGCATCCAGTTATGCGGTTGCACATGCACCATGGCATTTTTTCTTCTCCGCATTCCTCCCTGCAGTCGTTACCATTGCTTCTGCCACTGGAAGAATGTCCCCCTCAATGGTGAGAGGGAGGCGTTGTGGCACATGGCATTATTGCTTGGCTTTCCTGACCCCTGCTGGAGAAGCCAAGGAGCAACGCTTTGTGGAATGCCTGACTCCCACCGAGTTTGGGGAGAGCCAGTGTTTTCCAGTGGTGGAAGTGTGTGAAGAGGGGCATGGTATGACAGTGGAAATGGGGATGTAGGAGGCAGCAATTGCCATTTTGCCTTGGGTGGCAAAATGGGGTGAGCCACCCTCTCTCCAAGCAGAAATCTACCAATTTTTCCACCTGTCTTTCTACTTACAGAGCAGGAAATATGGGTGGACTTCCTTGGCAGGAGATGGAGAAGAAGATTCCTGCCTACCATTGTTTGGGGTCTGTTTAGTGATAGAAGTGAATAGTTGAACCTAGTAGTGATAAGATCATAAGAGGTTTTGTGAGTAGTCTGTATCAATCCTTTTGAGTTGGAAGAGGCTGCACTACGTATGCTGACTTCAGTTCTCTTCTTAGATTCCAGTTCATTACTGGGCACTGTTTTATCCGAAGCGGACAATAGAGCAAGCACGTGAACTGGTCAGCATGATGCAGAAGATCTCTGGCTCACTTGGTATCCAGATAACTCCACCTGCTTGGAATGAATTGAAGGATGACCGAATAGAGACTTACGCCAGAGCTCTCAAATCACTACTAAGCAGTGAGGTATTTTCATAACGGAGTTTTGAGTATTGAAACTTTCTAGTTGGTATTGCTGAAATAGCAACAAAGGGCATTTTATTGTAGATATAGTAGTGGACATCTAATGAGTAGAAGTATTAATGATTGTAGGTGCAGTTCTGTGCATCTCGTGTCTTCTACATTTCACTGAAGCCTTATGGGAAACAATAATTGGCTATAACTGCCAGCTTAAATACAGTGGTGCCTCGCAAGACGAAATTAATTCGTTCTGCGAGTTTTTTTGTCTTGCGAATTTTTCGTCTTGCGAAGCACGGTTTCCCAAAGTCTTCAAAATCACCAAAGTCTTCAAAAACCTCAAAAAAGGCTACCACACCGCGTGCTATGAGTTGCTCCTCGAAGTCAAGTCGCAACTGCACCTCTTCAAGCAATGCACCCTGGGTAGTAACGGTTTTAAGAAAAAGGAAACAAACTTGCAAGACGTTTTCGTTTTTCGTCTTGCGAAGCAAGCCCATAGGGAAATTCGTCTTGCAAAGCAACTCAAAAAACGAAAAACTCTTTCGTCTTGCGAGTTTTTCGTCTTGTGAGGCATTCGTCTTGCGAGGTACCACTGTATAATGAAGTTTGCTGGGTTGCTCTGTAATATACAACAAATGTCTCCATAATATCCTGTCACCCGAAGTATAAATTGACTTGGCATTTATCCAATTAACTTCTATATAATAAGCTTCTTTAGCATTCCAGGTTTTCTAGTAGCCTGAATATGATGGGAAAGGGTGTGGTTTAATGGTCTAGTCAACATTCTACAGGAGCCAGGTGTTATTGGGGGTTGTTGAGGTGTTTTGTTTTTATTTTGATTATGTATTTTGTGGTTTTGTATTCTGATTTTATCCTGTGAACCTGAAAACTGCAGGTATAGGGTGGTATACAAACCTGCAGGTATAGGGTGGTATACAGATTTAATTATTATTAATAACAAGGGCGGAATTATATATTATGAACACAGCAGTCTGCTGATGAAATCTTCATGTCAAGTTCTCTGCCTTCTTGTTGGAGTGATGCAAAACACTCCAGTGCCTAATGTTATGAGGTTTCCTGCCTGTCACCAGCAGCGGTAGCGGCCTGTGATGAGGCAAGCTGAAAGTGATCATAACATTGGGAAGAACTCTGCATGGAGAGGCTGTTTTTCTAGTAGTACCATGTTGGGTGTATTTATCTTAATCCAAAATTGCCAGGTAAAATTGATACTGAGCCCCAACATGGGGGAAGCAAACTCTTATCAGTTTTTTTTTGTGGGATTGGGCAACCACTTTCATCTCTTCGGAAAGAGGGGATAATTCATTGCTTTGCTTTAAATTGGCTTTTATAACTTCATTGCACAATCACATCTGGCTACATGGCATAGTAATGTCTTCACACTGATTTGGCTGGAAAGAAACAGTCCTGGTTGAGTAAAAGTGAAGCAGCTGATGAGAGGGTTAATGCATAGTTAAGCATTGTAGGTTTGGGAAAAATATTTAAGAGCACCCTGGAAATCCATTTTTTAATACTGTAAACACTCAATTGTGAACATGTTGTCAAAATCCTAGGTTAGACTATTATGGGTATTTTATTTGCCCATAGGGATGCGGGTAGCAGTGGGTTAAGCCACAGAGCCTAGGACTTGCCGATCAGAAGGTCAGCGGTTCAACTCCCCGCGACGGGGTGAGCTCCCGTTACTCGGTCTCTGCTTCTGCCAGCCTAGCAGTTCGAAAGCACGTCAAAGTGCAAGTAGATAAATAGGTACCGCTCCGGCGGTAAGGTAAAGGGCGTTTCCGTGCGCTGCTCTGGTTCGCCAGAATGCTGGCCACATGACCCAGAAGCTGTACGCCGGCTCCTTCGGCCAGTAAAGCGAGATGAGCCCCGCAACTCCAGAGGCATCCACAACTGGTCAGGGGTCCCTTTACCTTTACCTTTATTTGCCATAAAGTCATAGCCAGATTGAAAACTGTGAATGCTCATGTTCTTTGATGAAATTTTGTGCTGCATAAATACCATTAAACGTTGGTCAATATAGCAGTCAGCCTGCTGTTTCACAGCTTGTACAGTTAGAACATGATTATGCAACTAGAGTATTTCCTGTAAACAATTTTAGCTCTTTCATTATTTATTTTATTTACTGCTTTTATATCCCACTTTTTTTCTCCAAGAAGCCCAATGTGGTGTGCATGGTTCTACCTCTCCTCATTTAATCCCTACAACAACTCTGTGAGAAAATTAGGCTGAGAGGCAGGGACTGGCCAAGGTCACCCAGTGAACTTCTTGGCCAAGTGGGGCTTTGAACCCTGAGCTCCCAGGTCCTAGTCCAACATACTAACCACTACACCATACTAGCTCTGATACAGTTCCCCATGATTATAGCATTTACTGTTCTAGTTTTTGATGTGGTAATGTTATTCTTTTGTAAGTCTAACCAGTAGTCCCTCCCCCTCCCATTTTTTAAAGGAAACTCTACAGTTGGTAGTTTGCATTATCACTGGGACTAAAGATGACTTGTATGGGGCCATTAAAAAATTGTGCTGTATACAATCTCCGATACCTTCTCAGGTAAGTCAAATAGTTGACTGCATAATTCTTATGCTGATCATGCTTTGGGCACCCATGCCTACCTGAAGGCTTGCATGAACATCAGATGTGCATCCAGAATCCACCCAACTGCTGGGTCTGCATATGCCTGGAAGGAGGGCAACTGTAGGGCCCCTTATGGACTTTGTTTGCACCATCTATGAAAGATTCTTGTATTCCCATATAGTACCTTTCTTTAGGAATATTCCTATCTTTCTTTCTTCATGCTGTACTGCTTTTTCATAAACGGGAAACTTTTTGTGCAGTACTGCCCCGGATTGGATACAAAGCGTTGCCCATTGAGACTGCTAAGCAACAACATTCACATAAAATAGGATGCTTCTGTGTAGTTTTCCATCAAGTTTTATTCAATATTTTCCCCACTTAACCTGCAACAACTCTAAAAGGAGCAGAGGAAAGAAGAAATATAAATGTTTTGGTTTAGAGTATGTTAAGGACTGCCTTCTTCCATATGTTTAGGGAGGTTTTTAATGTTTGATCTTTTATCATGTTTTTAGTGTTCTGTTGGGAGCCGCCCAGAGTAGCTGGGGAGGTCCGGCCAGATGGGTGGGGTATAAGTGATAAACTATTATTATTATTATTATTATTATTATTATTATTATTATGTTTATTATTATTATGTTTATTATTATTATGTTTATTATTATGTTTATCCCCACATGCTCTGTGCAGTGTCTGAGGGCTTGTTCCAGATTGCCAAAGCTGTGCAAGGTGTCACAGACACTGATGAGGAGCAAGACCTTCATGTTGGTTCCCATCTTGTGAAATGCTCTTCCATATGAAAACCACCAAGAACAGACATTGTATATCTTCAGACTGGTGTATATTGTTGAAAACCAGTTTGAAATCACATTGTGATAACCAGTTCAAAATATCTGCCCTGATGATAAACTGCATGAAGCCAACTTTGCTGACTCAGCTCTCCCCTGTCTCCTGCAGGGGACAGCAAACCACAGAGCAGGCACAGACCGGGAACTTTGCTCTGGTGCCGCGGCCATAAGCTTCTTTTCCAGGCAGGCTGAAAGGTGCTGGGAGCCGAGTTTAAAAAAATAAATAAACCTTGCCACCTTTAAGCCTCTTCTTTCCTCCCTTCCTATTTCCCTTCTCCCCTTCTGTCTCTCACACACCCAAGCACAGAAGGAGGGTTAGAGATCATACTCAGAATAATCTGAAGGTAAGTAAGATGATAGAGAGGAGCTTATTGTAGGTGATTGTTCCTTGGATAGCTCAGTTGGTGGAACATGAGACTCTTAAGGATTAAGAGCTCAAGAGTCTTTGGGCAAAAGATTCCTGCACTGCTGGGAGTTGGACTCTTATGGGCCTTTCCAACTCTACACAATAGGCTGGTTAGCGTTCAAATGGAAGGTGGATGAAGGGTGATTGGTTAATGTCTTGCTTGGTGTTAATGGTGCTCAATATGTTCTTCTTCCATCAGGTTATTAATGTTCGAACAATTACAACCAATCCTAGCAAATTTAGGAGCATAGCGCAGAAAATTCTGCTGCAGATAAATTGTAAGCTAGGTGGCGAACTCTGGGGTGTGGACATCCCTCTGGTAAGTTATATAAAAACTTACTTTTACTTGGGGAAAACTTAATTGGTAAGCATACCATAGTGAGACTTGCAGATCATGCAACAAGGTTGCAACTTTGTCTCTTTTAATTCCAGTGCTTTCTCCAGTGCAGTGGTGTTGTTTTTTAAAAAAATCTGTCTGTATTGATTGCAGTTTTGAATTATGGACACACTAACTACTGCACTGCAACGGGATTTTTTTTAAAAAATATTTTTTTGCTTTCCAGAAAAAGTTGATGGCAATTGGAATGGATGTATATCATGACCCCAGTAGGGGAAAGCGTTCTGTGGTTGGTTTTGTGGCAAGCATCAATCAGTAAGTACAGTTTGTTTGGAAAGACCTTTAACTTTTTGGTGTCTGGGAATGAAAGTCTGTTCCAGAACTGTGCTCACTGTTGTGTCCCAAGCAGCCATTGTTAACAGCTGTGGATGAAGATTTGAGTTCCATGTATCCTTTGACCAGTGTTTCAGAAAAGTTTAGATATAGCACAGCTACTTTCTCAGAAATCAGGAAATAGCTTCACACATTTCCAAGCCAGGATGAATTCATACCTCTTATGCAGGACTTTTTTTTCAGCCAGCACTCAGGTGGGCGTCATTGCCATTCTAAGAGAATGAAGGAGGTGTTCATGATGAGTTACAGCCTCTTTTTCTAGAAAAATAGCACTGCTCTTAAGGCTCCAGCCTCTTCATGTCTCCACTCCCCTTGCCTGTATTACACTAGAGTATAATAAGTGCCATGGCAGTGGTAGCAGGCTGGAAAGGAAAAGAAATTTCATTCTCCACTCCCTCCCTGTTTTGGATGCAGTGTGGCAAGCATAGTACCCTCTGGTAAATGTAGGTTTGCCATTTTTCAAAAAGTGGAAATCTGGACAGTTTTTGAACTGTTTTTAAGGAAAATTGTCAAAAACGACACTGCAGACACGGGTTGCCATATGTCCAGATTTTCTGGGATGCTTCATCGATTTCCGCCCAGACACAGCTTCCGACCGTCGATTGCCAACTATTTCCAGGAAATTTTGGACGTATGGCAATCCTAGGTAAATGTCTTTTCCTCAAAGGCTATTGATGTCATTTCTGGTAGGTGAGAAGGGAACCACCCTTCCTTCTCTCTGGCACTCCAGCCCAAAAAGTAGGTGGGAGTTAAAAGGAGGTTGGGGCTGGGTAGAGGGGGATCTGGGGGTGCAGAATTGAAGCTAGATAAGAGTCTGGAGGTTGTCATGGTCACTTTGCATTTAAGGCAAGCTCTATGAATGCTTGGGACTTTCAGGACATGGCACTAAATTCATTTTTGAATCTGATACCTGGGATTCTTTTTTTCTTCCCTTTTTTTGCAAGCCCAATATACTGTATTTTTCGCTCTATAAGATGCACTTACCCCCTCCTAAAAAGCAAGGGGAAATGTGTGTGCGCCTTATGGAGCAAATGCAGGCTACACAGCTTTCGCTGAAGCCAGGAGAGCAAGAGGGATCGGTACACACCAATCCCTCTTGCTCTCCTGGCTTCAGGGATAGCAGCCCAAAGCCTCCCGAGTGCAGCGGGAGCACTCCCGCTACGCTCCGGAGGCTTCGCGTTGCTTTTGCTGGAGAGGCGGTGCGTAGCTTTCCCTCTCTGCGCAGAGCCCCGTTTCTCCTCCCGCTTTGATGGAGAGGCGCTGAGCAGAGAGGAAGAGAATATTTTTTGTTGTTGTTCTCTTCTAAAACTAGGTGCGTCTTATGGTCGGGTGTGTCTTATAGAGTGAAAAATATGGTAGATTGATACTGGAGTGTGGAAGGGATTTGTTTAGTTCTTCATTCTCAAAATTGTCTTCCGGCTCTGTGATGCAGTTTTCAACAGGAAAAGGGCTAATCTCTCGTCTCCCTCATCCCATGCTGCAATCTGGATCCAGGTTGCATGTCTCCCCTCCTGTAGCTGCTGCTTTTTTCTTTTCTTTTTAAAAGGAACAGCTTTTATGCCTCCGAATACCAATTGCTGGGAATTGCAGATAGCGACTGTTCTGTTGTGCTTAGGTTCTGCTTGCAGGCTTCCCATAGGCCTCTGGTTGGCCACCATGAGAAGAGAGTTCTGGATTAAACTGACCTTTGACCTGATCTAGTAGGCTCTTATGCTTTCATGGGATTCAAAGATTCAGATTCACAGGTTGCTTGTATTTTAATAATCTCTGATAAGGTTTCCAGATGTCCTCTATTTCCCGGACATGCACTCTTTTCCCTGATTAAAATTTCCATCTGGGCAGATTTTTTAAATTGGGCAAAATGTCGGGCGGGGGTTGCTTGTTGTTGTTTGTTTGTTTACAGTAACCCCAGAAAAAAATCCTAGTGCATTAGACTCAGATCTAAGCTAATCTTCAACAGAGAATCACAAAACAGAGCAGCATCTTAAACTAGCTACATACTGTATAAATCCATTCTCTTGTGGCTGACTCACTGGCTCAGCTACGGGATCTTGGAGAAGAAGTCTGAGAAGGCAAGAGGCATCTCCCTGCCTGTCAGCTTGCCAGCTGCATGCGTTGCTGCACTTAGCAGAAAAACACTCCCGGCAGCCAGCCATAAATTCCTTTCTTTATTTTCTTCTGACAAGATTACATGCAAGAATAAACAAAGTCCATCTCTCATGACGCGTTGCTCTAACTACTTTCTCTTTTCCCTCTCCCTCGAGACCAACAGAGCCAACGGCTCAGCCCCTTCCGTTTTCCCCTGTGACGTGGATCCCCCCTCTCTGAAGCACCCCTTCCTCCCCAGACTCACTATCCTCTTCTCTGTCTTCTGAGGAGGACTCAGTACTGAGCACTGGAGATCGTTCCCTGTATCCTCTAATTCTTTCCTCCCTCGCTGCCTGCAGTTCCCTGACACTGCCCTTCACGAGAGTCCATATGTACATGTTCAACAGTTTAATAAATTGAGATGTGCACACTGATGTTCCCAAAGATGGGAACATGAGTCCCAATACTTTCATGTGGCAAGTAAGAGAGCAAAATGTCGTATGATTATTTGGTTGTGGAAAGTTAAGAACATTGCTACTAGCAATATATCGTAGCTTCTATAGCCTACATATAGTAGGGTTATTTAAAATGAAAGTCGTCTTAGCGATCCGTCGTTAAAAGTAGAAGTCCAAAAAGGTGTCCTCTTTTTGGCTCTTCAAAATATGGTAAACCTACCTATCACTGCTTTTAACTGCATGCCTGACATCTGACAGTGGCTTGTTCCAATTGCATTGATCGCTGATTTGTTTCTAATTCATTGTGCTTATGAGCAGTGTGAACATGTTTATTCGGGAAAGCTTTGGGTGTGAATTTGCATTTGACTGCTGATAGTAGTTGCAGGTGGCGGTTCGAATCCCTGCGATGGGCTGAGCTCCCGTTGCTCGGTCCCTGCTCCTGCCCACCTAGCAGTTCGAAAGCACGACAAAAGTGCAAGTAGATAAAAAGGTACTGCTCCGGCGGGAAGATAAACGGTGTTTCCGTGCACTGCTCTGGTTCGCCAGAAGCGGCTTAGTCATGCTGGCCACATGGCCCGGAAGCTGTACGCCGGCTCCCTCAGCCAGTAAAGCGAGATGAGCGCCACAACCCCAGAGTCGGCCACGTCTGGACCTAAAGGTCAGGGGTCTCTTTACCTTTACTAGTTGCAGTTAGTATTTTGTCAGTATTGCTTTAGATGACTGTGTGTTGCTCATTTTTCATTATGTTTAAACTTCTGAAGCGAGGTGTCTCTTTGTGATGCATTTCCTTTGGGGTAGGTATTACAAGATAATAAAGATAATAAATGACAATTATTGCCTACCTATATCTGAGTACAGGAGGGCAGCTTGGGCAATGAGTGTACAACTGATGGCTGATACAGTAACTCAGGGCATTTGAATACTTTAATTACTTTTTCTTGGTGTAATAGGATTCATGCTTTGTAACCCTGTCTTGTTTAACCATTAGTCAGTCAGTCAGTCAGTCAGTTTTATTGCACATAGCCAAAGGCTGCCACAATGTACACAGGATCATTCAACAATTAAAAGAAAATATGCTGAATTAATACAAAAAAACTTATAATATTTATATTATCCAGACATTACCTACTCTAAACAGAGCTATAAAAGTGTCAGGACTGGTCGTTGTCCTCTTCAGATCACCACACAAACGCGTCTTGTTCTTTTATAAAACTTTTTATTGTGTATTAACAAAACATTCTTATAAACGGTTCTTAACTATTATTCCTCAGAGTCACTTATTTCAGATACCTTCTGAGCTCTGCTTCTCCGTGACCAGCCACCCGCAAAATGGCGAAGGCGCCCTTCCCTTCGTTTTCCCGCTCTTTTTCCTACCCTCCTGGCTAGAGCTGGCCTGTATCTCCCCTCCTCCCAATCTGAGCTAGAACTGAACCCTTGCCTTTCCTGGGAACAGCCGGTCCCTCCCTGTTGTTCCTCTTGCTCCCTTCTATTAGATGCACTGCTCTCCCTCCCCCCTTGGGGAATGCTTTCTCCCTCTGAGAAACTGGAAACTTCTAACTCTTCCCTGACAAAAAGTACCTTAATATACAGGTTAAGACACTAAACAATAAAATTTATATGCTAAAATCACCACATGGCCACTAATATATTAAAAAATAATGTTAAGTAATACAATGTGCAATTATATTCAGAGTTTGGTGATAAAGATAGAATATAGCTTGATGTAGATAAAAAGGTAAAGGTACCCCTGCCTGTACGGGCCAGTCATGTCCGACTCTGGGGTTGCATGCTCATCCCTACAGGCCGTGAGCCGGCGCCGTCCGAAGACACTTCTGGGTCACGTGGCCAGCGTGACGAAGCTGCTCTGGCGAGCCAGCACCAGCGCAGCACACGGAAACGCCGTTTGTTTACCTTCCCGCTATAAAGCGGTCCCTATTTATCTACTTGCCCTTAAGAGTGCTTTCGAACTGCTAGGTGGGCAGGAGCTGGGACCGAACAACGGGAGCTCACCCCGCCACGGGGATTCGAACCGCCGACCATACAATCGGCAAGTCCTAGGCACTGAGGTTTTACCCACAGCGCCACCCGCGTCCCTTTTCTTGATGTAGATAGGGTCAAATAAATTCATCTCCTTTACAGTTGGTGGCTATCTTGGCTATATAATTTGCTCTAGTTTTCCTAGCGGCAGTTGCAAAGAGTGCTACACACCAGGTTACATACTTATCTATGTCTGTGAGGAGATATAAAATCATGTCAGAGGCGTTCTGGCCAGGGGACCTTGTCATTATATGTGCTAAAAATTGTTCTCTTGCTTCATTATATAAGGGGCAGCGCGAGATATAATGCATAAGGTCCTCTAATTCAGGGCATCCCCTAATGCAAACACGTTTGTTTGTTGGTATGCCTCTGTGTCTCCCATCTCTATAAGCAGAGTTTATTGTATTTAATCGGAACTATGTAAAAGCTTTCCCAAGTTGTACAAAAGTCAATTCATTGAAATAAGGTGTATGTTCGTGGACCTCTCTAAGTTTAAAATATAATGGGGTGCATGTGGATGTGTACATAGAGTTTAGGTCATTTTTAGTTGCCAGTGCCCTTATGGGTCATTTGAAAATATTTTTCTGGGAATATAAGGAAAGTTACTTGATCTCGGTCATTGAGAGGTCATATTTGCTCATCAGTTGGGCAGCGTGATGTGCCCATTTTTTAAGGGGTAATCCATTCGAGAGCTCAATCAGGCATTTTTTTGGTAGCTTAGTGTTGTCCATCTGTTGAATTCTAAACCAGTAGCAGAGGATTCTTTTATCTGTTTGGCTCTCTGTGCTCAACATACAAGTTTCCAACCTAACCATGGCAGATTGCATGTCTTTGGGTAAACCTAAAAGGATTCTTAAAAAATAATTCTGTGGGGATTCCAAACCAGAGACATTTGAGGTACCCCAAACCTCTGCACCATATAAAAGCTGGGCCATTGATTTTGCTTTATAGATAAAGCTGGGTTAACCAGATTTCCACCTTTACAAGCAGCGAATTTCAAAATAGCTTTTGCTGATTTAAAGGCTTGCAATTTAATATTGGATAGCTCTATATTTAATATTGGATAGCTGTATATTCCAAGATAGTTCATAGCATAGACATAACCATTATGTCTATGCTACAAATAGTACCCGTCACTGCCTTCCTCGCATTCACATACCTATGGTTTATTTATCTTGGTTTTGTTTGACAGTGATCTGTAGTTGTACATGGACAACTGGTCATCAGATCCCGTTTGGTAACATTTATTTTGCAGAATTTTGTATGACCTTTTTTAATTATTATTTTTAAAGTACAACTTCTTATAGTCTACTCATGGGAATTGATTCATAAAGGTCTAACAGGAATTGGGAAAACAAATCAGTCTTCTCTTTTACACGTCATTTTAAATTCTAAGTTTGGATTTTTGCAATGAGCTTTCTGGGGCTGCCCTTCGGGATGATCTAGAGGTTGTAGCTAGTGAAAAATGTAGCTTTTACTGTTCACTGGGCATAATATCAGCATTATATTAACCTGCTGCTGTACTGGCTGCCAACTAGCTGCTGTTATGTTCAAGGTGCTGTTATTAGTGTACAGAGCCCTATCAAACTAGGGACCAGAATACCTAAAAGGTTGTCTCTCTTGGCTGATCACTCCATTCTTCAAGAAAGGGCATTCAGCAGATGCCATCCTATCAGGAGGTTCGTTCTGCTATAGGGCAGAACAGTAATTCTGTATTAGAATTACGCCTAGCCTTTGGAACTCCAATTACACACACACACACACCCCAGTTGGAATCTGTGGTAGATTTGAATTTATTTTATTAATGTATTGTATACATGTATGTGTTTATTTGCTTGTTTGCTAATGTATTGAAACATTTTAATTGCTTGTCACCCAAAGGGTCTCCAAGTAACTTACAATGAAAACACATACTGTACATTATACCATAGAAGGAGAGGGGGAGGGCCATATAACACATCAATATTCTGATGGTGTTTCCTGCTTGGCAGGGGGTTGGACTCGATGGCCCTTGTGGTCTCTTCCAACTCTATGATTCTATGATTCTATTCCATGCAATGTATTGGGGAAACAAACAAACAAATCCACCACTCCCAGAACAGTGTTTTTGTTTTTTGTAAAAAAGCAGTACACACACAATAAACAAAAGAATATTCCCACCCACTAGCAGATAAAAATAAAGCCTCAACACCCAACATCCTATTTCCTAGCCCAGAAATCATTCACATCACTCTTCCATTGTCTCCTGAGACAAATGGATGCCAGCAACATTTTTTAAATCCCCACCGAGACGTCTGGCATCAAGGTCAGTAGGTGGGTCCTCCAGGGATGGTCTGGTGTCTCCTCTCCTTCCAGGGAGGACCAGAAGCAAAAGCAAAACAGAAATATGGTAAAACTGTTCTCTGCTACCTGCTCTGCAGTTGTTCCATCTGCTGCTGCTCTCTTGCTGCTGGTGGCAGGGCGTAAGACTGATGTGTCTGCCTGGGAATTTATCCTCCCACCCAGCTGTCTGGTGTCAAGGCCAGTTGCTGTAAATTGGGGTGAGGCAGGGGGAAGGGTAGGTCCTGCAGGGATAGTCTGGCATATTGTTTGTGTGTTTTAATTGTTTTTATATATGCAGTTGTTCCTGTCCTTGCGTATACAACTGATTTTTATGTTTTGATCATCTTCTAAATCACTTCAGGATCCCTCATGGAAAGAGATTTGAAATGAAATAATAATTGTAAACCACCATAAAGAGCAACTATGGTTTAAAGATGAATGTGTAAAATGTTAGTGGACAAAAAGAAAATTGTAGCTGATTTACTCCACCACCACTGCAGCTATAACTAAGGTTTGTTCTTTGCTAACCACTCATGGTTTAGAGAGAGACAAATCATGAGCCCCTGTTGGATAGCACTAAGTCAAACCAATGCTTATTTCTGGATAGTGCTTTGAGAGCAGGGGAGGAGCAAAGCAGCTAAACTTTTCTTCCTGTGCATTAGCAATGCTTTTAAAGCCCTAGTTCAGCTTAACTGTGTCTTAAAGCGATGTGCAAGCTGTGCTACTCAGATTGTAAATTTAGGTTGTTTCTTGTACTATTGAATCATATAATTGCAGGAATATTAAACTACTAAAAGATAAGGAGAGAGGACTTGAGCATTGTTAGGGCACTGATAATTCTGAGAAATTACCAGAGTTTGGCCTAATTATTAATAATTAGGCTTTGTGTCTTGAATTAAACATTAGCATTTAGTCCTTTTTTTCTTTCTACCACCAGCACTTTGACAAGATGGTACTCTAGAGTAGTATTCCAGCTGCCTCATCAAGAAATTGTAGATAGCCTGAAGGTCTGCTTGGTGGGTGCCCTGCAGAAGTTCCATGAGGTGAGGAAAACACAAGTTCTTTTCTGGCAGGGACGAACTACTGAGGAAAGCCTGACCAGGCTAATAACTTCCTGTACTGAAAAGAAAAAATATTTATTTGTGCTGGTCCTGAGATACCAATATGGTTGTCCTGCACACTGGTGTCAGGTGCAGTATCTTACCAGTAGGAAAAGCCATCTACCCTTGTTTAGTGGGCTCCTGGCCCATTGCAGCGCTGCTTCTGTAGAATCCCACTTGTACATGAGGGGGAGAGGGTGGGGTAGCAGCCGGTCTTCGCCGCACACCCATATGGTCTTATCTGATTGCAGTGCTGTAGGGTGTTCACCTGGCTCCCCACCCCACTGCAGTACCCCTGCTGCTAGGATAAGCCCACTAGCAAAGGGAAGGTTGCCGGATGCCCCTTGTGTGACCCCCACCCCCCACCTCACTGCTTCAGGGCAAGCATGATTACATGTGAGGCTGAGAATAGCAGCTTCAGCAGTGCCACAGCTGGGTGGAGCAAGTGGCGGAATGCATGTTGGGGGACGGACCACTGAGGGTAGCCTGCCTAGGCCCTTCAAAAATTAGAGGTGCAGCTTTGCTTTTGCTACTTTCTGAAATATAGATTCCAAATTTTGGGCAGGGACCTGTTTATATTGCTAATATTCTCTAGAATGTAGGTAGTGCCCTATACAGTGGTGCCTCGCAAGACGAAATTAATCCGTTCCGTGAGTCTCTTCGTCTAGCGGTTTTTTCGTCTTGTGAAGCAACCCTATTAGCGGATTAGCGCTATTAGCGGTTTAGCGGCTATTAAAGGCTTAGCAGCTTAGAAAGAGGGGGGGGGGCGAAAAAAATCTCAAGACTCGCAAGACATTTTCGGCTTGCGAAGCAAGCCCATCGGGAAATTCGCCCTGCGAACAGCATCGGAAAACGGAAAACCCTTTCGTCTAGCGGGTTTTTCGTCTTGCGAGGCATTCGTCTTGCGGGGCACCACTGTAAACTCAAGTAACAAGTGCTGTTCTTTTTAATGGAGAGGTATAGTCACAGGAGTAACTTTCCGCAGTCTCCATACAACTTACTCTTTTTGAGTTTTTTGCAGTCAGCCATGGCACTAATTATCTTGAATGAGAGCAGAAAGGGTTACAAATAAAGACAGTGCATTTGTGTCTGTATACTGGAGGTATCTAGAATGCCCAGAGGAGATGTTTGCCTGAGTTATCCAGGTCTCTCTGCATATATTACAACATCTTAACCTACATGTTTGGTCTCTTGAAGGTGAACCACGATCTCCCTGAAAAGATTGTAGTTTACAGAGATGGTGTATCGGATAGCCAGCTGAAAATGGTGGAGAGCTATGAAATCCCCCAGCTAGAGAAATGCTTTGAAGCTTTTGAGAATTATGAGCCTAAAATGGTGGTGATGGTTGTACAGAAGAAAATCAGTGCCAACATGTATTTGGCAGCCACTGATCACTTCTCCACTCCGTCTCCGGGTACAGTAATAGACCACACAATCACCAGCCGAGATTGGTGAGTGAAAAGCAGTCACACAGCCCTTTCTCTCCATATTTTCACAGGCTACTCTGCTCTTTTTGTAAGAAGAATTTGTTGCTTATAGTTGATTGATTTAGATATTTGCCACAGTTTAGTGCAACATGAATAAATTGGAATGAACATTGAGTTTTGCATGCTTCCTCCTTCCATGTGGGTGGGGAAGGATCTTGAAAGTTTCTGCTTCTAGCCTTCGTTATACATATATCATGCAGACCAGGAACTGTGTTTAATCTTAAATGTGGTTCACGTCAAACAGACTAACTTCAGTAACTGGTTTGAAGTTGGCTTGTTTGAAACTAGACAGTTAATGTCAAATAGAGTTGGTTGGTCCATATGACACAACAGTCCATTACTAAGTCAAAGCTTTCAAGCTTCTTGTCCCAGCCACTTGTGAAGAGGGGAAAGAGGAACGTGTTTATTCTTGCTCATTGACATTGTGTATAGCATGTTTGTGTGTAGGTTCCTTTGCTGAAATGATCTGTCTGTTTTCTCAAACTGTTAAACCAAAATGTACTCTCCTGTAACTTAAGTCCATTAAATGAGTCTGTCCTTTGGGGCATCCGAGAAGTCTTTACTATCTTCTGTGTGACAGCCCTTGGAGTATTTGAAAGATGCTTTGGTTTTCCCCCTCAGTCTTCTCTTCCCTCCAGTGCTCTTAGGCTTTCCTCATAGGGTTTGTTTTCCAAACCAACACTTGAAAGTCTTTGTTGCCCTCCTCTGAACCCAGTTCCATCTTCCCACCACCATAGAATAAATCAGGTGAAATGTGGCATGCTAGAACTATGTAGTCAGGTTACATAATGTACCTCAATATCAACTTTTACTCTTTAATCCAGAGGTTTCCAGTCTTTGGCAATAACCCTTCTGGAGTTCTTCATTGAACATCTTAAAGATTTGTGTATGAAACTTCTCACTAGGTTGAAAATCTTTAGGTGGTTTCCTTGGCAGACTAGATACTATGACACCCTCTGTCTTCCTGGTATCTGTGCCAGTCAAACTGGTGTTCATCTCTGCACTCTTTCCCTTTTTGATAGAGGAAAGAGCCATAAATTTAACCTGATGGGAATAAAAAGCTGCTCATCGGCAGCTGTGACAACAAGTTGTAAATTACTATGCCTATGTGGCTAGATATCAAATTTTCCTCTGGGGAAAAAATAATTTGGGTTTAACCAAGCTACCTGAAGAGCATAGTGCTTCTCAAGTCTACCAGAATGCCTCCAAGCCAACCAGACAACATGGCCAGGCACATGGGAAGTGGTGGCCACTGGTCAGTGATTTCCCTCTCCCTTAAGGGCTGTACATGACAAATAACCAGTCTTGCAATGTGATCAACAGGTAAGTGTGCTGCTTGTAAATAAAAAATATATCTTTATTGATATGTATTGTATAGATATATAAAATTATATATATATTGATAGCATTTTTTAAAAAATTATTCTTAGGGTGGATTTTTACTTGATGGCTCATTATGCACGACAAGGTTGTGGCATTCCAACTCACTATGTCTGTGTAAGAAATACTGCCAACCTCAGTCCTGACCACCTGCAGAGGTGAGTGCATTTCATGTTTTAGATGTAATCTCTTAATTCCTCTTAGGGATTTGTGTGTGTGTGTGTGTGCTTTTAGTTCACATGTACAGAAAGTAATATATAAATATTTATATCATTACTTTTTAAAAGATTAGAAATCGGGTGTTTTCTCATGTCTTGCCATTGCAAGTATTATACTGCTGCTCTGATAGTGAGATGGTCCTTTGACTAGGGTGAACAGTTGAGTGTGCCGAATAATGGCTCTAAGGATAACCCATCTGGAGGCTTGGGCTTTGACTAGCTTGCTGTTGGTGAGGATATGCTTTGCCAAAGTGAAAGACCAGGGGCTCACCTTGTGCCAACTTTAATGTCTTTCAGCACCAGCCATATTCTTTTGGTTTGTTTTCTGCTGTATTTTTTATGATTTTAGATGCTCTAGGTCCATGGGGATGATTTGATTGCTCCCTTTATTATATTATTACATCATTTTGTCTGATTGTGAATCCCTACTCCAAATAGTTGTCCTATTTTTGTACATCTTCTGGTTTTATTGCTTTTGTTCTTTTTATTTCTTTTAATTGTTTGTTGCTCAGATAACTCTAATCATAGGATGACTGATACATGTAGTAAATTTTATAAAACAAATGTCTAAGAAATTAGAGTTGACTTCTGAACCTTTACTCTGCTAAACTGAGGGTGGGGAATCTCTGATCTGTGGGTCAGGGTGTTCAAGTTGGCCCGTGAGGCCATTTCCCCCAAACCACACCTAACCATCAGCTGGTGTCATTCAGGATATCATTTGATAGGCAGGGTTAAATCCTACATTGACTGTGCAATCCTACACCCAGTAGCCAAACAGAGCAGGATTTAACTGTCATTGAACCCTGCTCAGTTTTGCAAGGGGTTTGCACAGAATCCCTTGCAAAATCAAAGGGGCAAAAACCATCTTGCACCTGCCATTGTAACATCAGGTGATTGATAGGTAGACAGCCCCACCCACCTGTCAAATAAGGCTGCTGAGGCTGATCCTGATAGGGTCAGGCCTGTGGAGTCAGAAAGGTTCCCCACCCCTGCCCCGAGCTATCAGAGTAAAAGAGGTGGCTCAATAATGCTTAACACTGAAGCTCCTAAATTAATCATCCTGTCTGAACAGCAGGTACCTTACCTGGCACTGCATTTTACTCTTTCACATCTGTCGGCCTCAGTTTGGCTGAGATCCTTGTAGAATCATTTCCAGAAATACTTTCCTTGCTTGGAATTGAACTGGAAGACAGCACTCTAGTTGCACATGCTTCTCTCGTCTTCCTCCCTGTACCTATGGATATTGGAATGCACATTGGATAGCAGTGGAGCAGTATATTCATAGAACTAACCGTGGCCATGATCCTGAAGTTCTTAACCCTATGATAAAGTGACTGGTGTTGCCCAGAACTGAATTGGATTAAGTATGGAGAAACTCTGATTTGAAGATCACCAGAATAATGTGAATAATGAAAATATTATATAAAGTGTCTTTCTGATGAAGCACTGTACAAATTAAACCAAACTATAGGTTCTTGGATCTAGGGCTCCACATAGCGCCTAAAGTAGTTATCTGGTATAATTAATGGCACTTCTTAAATCTGACAACTTCTCCTGTCACCTCTTAAATGGCCCCTAAAATATCCCCTCTTTCTCCCTTGCTTCCCACTTTGCTCATCAGTACTGCTTTTGCCACCTTCTCCCTTGTCCTTTGTTTGGGTTACTCCCCCATTACTTTTTCCTTCCCTTTTCCCTTTGTGTTTCTTGTTAATTGTAAGCAGAGCTCTGCAGCTTTTAATTCCAGGTGCAGGTATGCAGGTTGGGTTTGATTTAAATCACAATTTAAATCACTACTCAGTAAGACTTGATTTAAATCATTTTTTTACAGAAAGACTCATTCTTGCTGGTAAAATCTTAATATTCACAACCAGATGAAGGCTTCATTTTTGGAATAATAGTTTTTTACAGTTATATCAAAAATTACTGATTTGGTTATACTATTAGAAATACATAGACAGATAATTATGAAATTATTGTGAGGTTTAATAAGTTAACTTTATATTTGGACAATTTTTCTGCTGTACTTTATTGGAAGGAGAAAAATAATCATTTTCTTAATAACAATTTAGACAATTCATTTAACTAAAACAGTAATATTATAGCATATTTATCCATGTTTGTTAACCAATGTGGTTAAACAATCTAAAAAAAACTTAGACTGAGTTTTAGCACACATGTAAAACTTAAAACAAATCCTTAGTTCCTGATGAATAGCCTTTGAACTATAATGTAACTTAAATAGAAAACTATCTTTAGAAAGATTTTTCTTCCACAAGCATTTTATTTTAAAAATCTGATTTAAATAAAAAAAATCTGATTAAACTAAAAAAAAATCTGATTTTTTAATTTTAAAACATTGTTTTTTATCCACCCTGCAGGTATATTTTCCTAGGGCTTTATCAGCACAGTCACTGTTAAAGGTCAATCCTTCCTTCCAGAACAGGGGGGGGGGAGTTTCCAGAGAATAAGGTTGATATTCTGTTGGGGGGGGGAATTATCCTCTCTCCCTCCCACCTTTTTTAACAGGCTGACCTTCAAGCTTTGCCACATATACTGGAATTGGCCAGGAACCATCAGAGTGCCAGCTCCTTGCAAGTATGCTCACAAGTTGGCCTTTCTCTCAGGTCAAATTCTACACCATGAACCAGCAATTGAGCTCAGTGAAAAGCTCTTCTTCCTATAGTTTCTCCAGCCAGGAGCATGGAGAAGGCAGTCCCCCAAGGCAGAGATGAGGAGAAAATCTCCTGAATCACCCTGTTGGACAGCACATACTGCCCTTGGACCACTAACACACACGTGAGCTCTGCAGTAGCTGTTAGCGTCCTCAGTCCTATGCATGTTTACTTCAAAGTGAATACCCAACTATTCTTCAAATTTCAGCAGTTTGTAACAAGTAATAAATGGTAACCTAATTTCAGCAAAATAGCTAATAACTGGCAACTATTTTAACTTGGTGAATATTGCCTGGAATTTTCATTTTTGTGTTATTGTGTATGTTCAGTTAATACATATATTGCTTTTGTTTTAATAGGTGGTTATAATACTAGAAAACTTTTTTAAAAACAACAACCCATGGACATTCCCCAAGTATCTAAAGATTTTTCAGTTGGATTATTTAAAAGTTTTTTTCCTATAGTTATATACTTTAACCTTAATACTATCATGTTCTTTAAAAGGAAATGTGTCTTTTCTCTCTTTTTGTTAAAGGTAAAAATTCCTGTGTTAGGCTGGAATAAAAACAAAACTTTCTATATTTATCTGGCTGAACTAACTTTATGTAGTCTCCATACCACTAAATGCCTGTTTTTGCAAGTTGCTCTGTATTAACTATGTAGATTGTGAGTTGTTTAACATAGTTAAATCTCTGAAATGAAGAATATTTTCAACTGGATTTCAGATGTATTGGCAAAGATCGAGGCGGGTCGGGGCTGCTGATTCTTCTAGACCTGTCAGCAGCCTTCGACATGGTCGATCACGAACTCCTGGACCACCGCCTTGCCGACGTGGGGATCCAGGGCACAGTCCTTCAGTGGCTGCGCTCATTTCTCTCTGGTTGGGGACAGAGGGTGGCGCTTGGGGGGGGGGATTGTCATCGCGCCACTCCTTGGAGTGTGGAGTGCCTCAGGGTGCTATACTCTCCCCTATGCTTTCCAACATCTTTATGCGCCCCCTCACCCAGCTTGTCCGGAGTTTGGGGTTGGGCTGCCATCAGTACGCTGATGACACCCAACGCTATCTGTTGATGGATGGCCATCCTGACTCGGCCCCAGACACACTGATCAGATGTTTGGAAGCTGTGGCTGGATGGTTACGTGGGAGCCGGTTGAAGTTAAATCCTTCGAAGACAGAGGTCCTTTGGCTGGGACGGGACGATATGGGATTGAGGGGGCAACTCCCATCTCTTGCAGGGGCACAATTAGTGCCAGCACCGTCCGTTAAGAGTTTGGGTGTAATCTTCGACACCCCCCCTTTCCATGGAGGCGCAGATTGCAGCTATAACAAAGGCGGCATTCTTTCATCTCCGCCAAGCTAAGTAGTTGGCTCCTTACCACTCTCGCCCTGACCTAGCCACTGTGATCCACGCGACGGTCACCTCCAGACTGGATTATTGTAACTCGCTCTACGTGGGGCTGCCCTTGAGACTAACCCAGAAACTCCAGTGGGTGCAGAATGCCGTGGCAAGACTCCTTACGGGGTCCTTGCTGCGAGATCACATTCACCCAGTGCTATACCAGCTGCACTGGCTCCCGGTGGAGTACAGGATCAGGTTTAAGGTGCTGGTTTTAACCTTCATAGCCCTATACGGCCTAGGACCCTCGTACCTACGGGACCGCCTCTCCTGGTATGTCCCACAGAGGAACTTACGGTCTTCAAACAAAAACATCTTGGAGGTCCCAGGCCACAGAGAGGTTAGGCTGGCCTCAACTAGAGCCAGGGCTTTTTCGGCTGTGGCTCCGATCTGGTGGAACGCTCTGTCACAAGAGACTAGGGCCCTGCAGGATCTTTCCGCAGGGCCTGCAAGACAGAGCTGTTCCACCAGGTCTTTGGCCAGGGCACAGCCTGACTCCCTCCTTTGGCAATCCTCACAGAACTCTAGCCCAATGGTTGCCATTAATCTGATTGGAATTATTTTTATAATTGTCAGAGCTGCTTCCAGATCCTAGCTCACAGAGGATCACGCTAGCCAGCGATCATTAAACAAAAGTCTTTATTGAGTTACAGTTTCCATTCTCAAACTGCTGCGTGCAACTCTACGTCTCATGGTTAGACCGGCGAAGCTCCGTCTGAGTCTCCGCCCCTTGTACACCAACTTAATATCCTAGCCCTGCTCCACCTTTTCCGCCTGACTGTTCTTCTCTGGGTCCCTCTGCCCCTGGGGTCTCTTCTTTCCGGGATTCCTCTGACGCTGACGCTGACCCCTGACTCTTCTCCCTCCTTTCGGCGGGCTTTAGGACCTGGCTCCCTTTCCGGGCTGCCTACTGTGCCACCTTCCTGTGCATTTGAACTCAGCGCGCGCGCCCAACCTTCCACCTTCCGTCTGACCGTTTCTTCGCTCCCCGATGGAGGTGTGGCCACTCCTGACTCGTGCCCTCCCCCCTGTTGTGAGCTGCCAGCGCTTGATCCCTGGCTCCCTTCCTCTTCCCTGCTCTCTGGCGGTGACGCTGGTCCCGATTTCCAACTGCTCCCCTCTGAGTCCCCTCTGGCTCTATCTTCCTGGGGCGTCCCCTAGGCTCCCCCTTGCCCTGGCCACTGGTGCTCCTTTCTGTGAATCTTCTGATTCACTGGAAAGACTCGGAGATCTCGGGTCGTCGTCATCACTCATCTTTTCTTCTGCCTCCTCCCCCTCGCTCTCTGTTTCCTCCCTTGCCCTTGCCTCTGCTCCTGAACCCCTGACATCCATCCCCCCCCGCGAAGCCCCCGCGTCCCCCCGCCCCACCTTCCGGGGCGGGCTCTGGGTGCTGCCGGGTCAGGGGGACGAATGTCGGATACAGGTCGCGTCCCGTGGCGGGCCGCCATCTGAAGTCGTCCGGTTCTTCCTCCCTGCTCTCGTTGACGACGGTCACCTCCGCTTCCATCTCTGTGCCGCCGTGCTCGAAACCCGGGTCGTCCCCGAAAACGTCCATGTCCGTCTCTCCCTCGTTACCTTCTGGAGACGTTGCTCGTCCTGGACCCTCCAGCCACCTTCTGCGGAACTGCTCCTCTGGTCGATCATCCCACCAATACGAGGGTTCTGAAGCAGATCCCGAGGGTGACGCCTCCGGGGAACGGGCGTCTCGTGTCGGTTCCTCGTCCGAGTCGAACCCCCGGAACGTGCTGGCTGAAAGCGTGGGCGTGAAAAGCCAGTCGTCGAAAAAGTCTGCTGGCATTGGCCTATGTGGGAAGAGGGCATGAAACTCTTCTTTGAGCAGAGGTTCGTCTAAAGCGTAGCCCGGCACCCAGCTGTTGGCACTGGCCGGGGTGCCCTCCTTGGCGAGAAGGTATTCTACCCCCTCTTTCCCCCATCTGGAGTCCAAAATCTCCGTGGCTTCGTTGATGCGCTCCTCCCGTGCCACTCCCCCCTGCCCGGTTCTCTCTCGGAGCGGACCCGGTGCCGTTCCTGGTTCCTGAAACCTGTGAGGTGCCTTGTATGGAGTGAGCACCGATCTGTGGAACACCGGATGCATCCTGGAACCCTCCGGAAGAGCCAGCCTGAAAGCCACCGGGTTGACCTGTTCTTCGACTTGGTAGGGCCCCAGTTGTTTATGCCCTAGTTTCTTCTTCGCCAACGACCTGGCCGAACTGCGTGGGCTGCTAACCAGACCCAGTCTCCCACATGGATCTCTTCGCCAACCCTTCTGTGTTTGTCCGCTTGTACCTTGTATGCGTGTTTAGCCAGCTCCAGGTGCCGCCGCAGCTGATCGTGGACCTCCTGCAACTCCGACGCGAATGCATCTGCTGTCTGCGGCTCCCCACCCCATTCTTTCCAGTCCCGGGAAGGTTCTGGGGTGCCTCCCGTTGTTGGCGAAGAACGGCGTGACTCCCGTGGACACGTGCTTCGTGTTGTTGTAGGCGAACTCGGCGAGAGGCAGGTAATCCACCCACGTCGCAGGCTGTTGATTCGCATAACATCTCAGGTACTGCTGCATGATGGCATTGACTCCGCTCCGCTTGCCCATTGGTCTGCGGGTGTCTAGCCGACGCCAGGTTGATCTTGACGTTCAGGAAGCCCATCAGCCTCTGCCAGAAGTTCGAGATGAACTGTCGCCCTCGGTCGGACAGAATAGACCGCGGCAGACCGTGAACCTTGAACACGTGGTCTATGAACAGTTTGGCGGTTTGTTCCGCCGTGGCCACCTTCGCACACGGAATGAAATGTGCCATCTTGGAGAACAAGTCCACCACCACCAGCACAGCCGTCTTGCCCCTCGAGCTGGGCAGATCCGTGACAAAGTCCAGGGCCACTCTCTCCCATGGTTCGAACGGAGTTTGCAGCGGTTCCAGCAATCCGGCCGGCGGTCTGTGCACTGGTTTGGCCCTCTGGCAGGTGTCACACCTCGCCACGTAGTCCGCGACTTCCCTCTCATTCCTGGCCACCAGAAGTCTCTGGCTACTAATTCCACCGTCTTCTCCTTGCCAAAGTGCCCGGCAGTGGGCGCGTCGTGCAGCTGCTGCAGTACCTTGGCGCGAAGTTCGTCTCCCGGCACGTAGATGGCCCCTTTACGGATGAGCAAACCATCTCGCAGCTGGAACTCGTCGGTCGCTGCCGTGCCCCTGTGCGCCTCTGCCATCTTTGCTTGCGCGAAGGAGTCATCCTGCAACGCTCGTCGCACCGCCTCCAGGTCAACTGTTGCCGCCGTGCACGCCCACACTGTCGGTGCGAAGATGTGCATGGCGGCCGCTGGCGTTGCCTCCTCCAGATACTGCGGCTTACGGGAGAGAGCATCCGCCATGATGTTGGTGTCCCCCGGGACATACTCTATTCGGAAGTCGAAATTCGCAAAGAACTCAGCCCAACGTATCTGCCTCTGGTTCAGGAACTGTGCCGTGCGCCAGTGCTCTAGATTCTTGTGGTCCGTGCAGACCTGCACCGTGTGCTTGGCGCCGATCAGGAAGTGCCTCCACGCTTTGAACGCTGCATGAATGGCCAGCAACTCCCTGTCCCAGATGGTGTAGTTCTGTTCGGACTTGCTGAGCTTCCTTGAGTAAAACGCTCCCGGCCTCCAAACCCCTGCGGGTCCTTCTGCAGCAGGACTGCTCCCACGGCTCTGTCCGAGCGCCTGTCTCCACCCTCATCGGCTTGCTGGGGTTGACATGAAGCAGTTGCCCTTCCGACGCGAAGAGACGCTTGAGTGCCTGGAAAGGACTGCTCCGCCTGCTCTGTCCAGATGAACTTCTTTTCTTGGAGCTGAGCGTGTCCGTGATGGCCGCTGTCTGCATGGCAAAGCCTTTGATAAACTTGCGATAGAAGTTCGCAAAGCCGACAAACCGTTGGACCTCCTTCCGGTTGCGTGGGCTTTTCCAATCCAACACTGCTCGGACCTTGGCGCTGTCCATGGCGAGCCCTTTATCAGACAACTTGTAGCCCAGGAAATCCACCTCCGTCACGTCGAATTGGCACTTCTCCAGCTTGGCGTAAAGCCTATGTTGCTGTAGCCTGCTCAGCACTTCCTTGACGTGTCTGTCATGCTCCTGCTGCGATTCCGAAAAGATCAGGATGTCATCCAAGAAACAGACGCACGTCTTGTAGAGGAGCCCCGCCAACACGTGATGCATGAACGCTTGAAAAACGTGGGAACCATTTTGCAATCCAAAAGGCATAACTCTATATTCGTAGGTGCCCAGGGGCGTGAACATGGCTGTCTTCCACTCATCTCCTTCCCGCCGGGGCACGATGCAGTGTTCAGCGCAAAAGGAAGAGCCGAAGGTCAGCTGCCTCTGGTACCAAGCCAGCGTCGGGCTGTGCTTGTCCAGCCAACTCATGCCCAATACAATGGGCGTGTCCGATAGTTGAGTGACATTGAAGCTGATGATTTCCCTGTGATTCCTAAGCCGCATCACCATTGGTGGCGTCTGCTTCACCACTTGCCCCCCTAGCAGCTCCCTGCCATCCACCGTGACAACCTGCAGGGGCAGCGTGGCAGGCAGCAACTGTATAGCGTGCCGGTCGACAAAGTCCTGCCCTATAAAGTCCGCATTGCTTCCGGAGTCAATGGTGATTGGCACGTCCATGGTGATTCCATTGGGCAGCTGGAGCGACGCGGTGAGCCTCACTACTGGTTTGGGCGGGAGGGGGTCCATGGGCTGTAAAATCTCTGGGGACTGCTTCACTGACACGTCTGGCTGGGCCCCAGTGCCTCTTCCTCCAACCAGACTCCGTCGTTTCCCTGCTGTGGTTCTCCTTGCTGCGTTGCTGCAGTTACCATTGCTGAAGCTGCAGTGTGCTTGTGGAGCCTCTGGGGACACTCTTTCGCCATATGCTGTGGAGCATCGCAGATGTAACACTTCCTGTTCCCTCTAGGAGGCTTCGCTTCACTGCTGCCGGTGCTAGGGCTCTGGCTGCTGACTGAGCCCTTGCACCTCCAACCTCCATAGGTTCCGCTCCTCCTCCTGGCGGAGGCGTGGATTGCGCACGCGCTGCTTCTCTGGGAAGGAAGGAGGAGCCCCTGGCTGGTTCGCGCCCTCCACGCCCTTCGTCCCTGCTCCACGGACGTTCTTCCAGCCGCACCCCCACCGCCAGCGCCCTCTGAACGATCTCCTGCGTGGTCCGGGGTCTCTCCCCTCTCGCAATTTCATGTTTCACCGAGCCGTGCAATCCCTCCCACAACAGGTCTCTTACAGGAGCCGAATCTCTGTCCCATTCCAGAGCACTGACCATAGCGAAATTGCGGGCATGGTACTGCCTTACGCTGGCCCTCCCTTGCTTCAGTCCATGTATCTGCTGCCGAGCAAGATCCACGTCAATGCTTGATAAAAAGCACCCATCCATCGCTTTAATAAAGGCATCCGCATTTTGGAGCGCCGGATCCTTATCTCTCCACAAATTGCGCAGCCATGCTTTAGCATCTCCATGCAAATGGGACATGATGAATCCCACCTTCTCTTGCTCATCTCTAAAGTCTTTGTCCAGCAGTTGCAGTGCACACATTACATCTGCTCTAAAGTTGGGGTACTGTTGCAAATTCCCATCGAAGTGAGAGACCAGACCGCCTGTTCGTCTCCCCAACCCAATCCCCTCCGGTTTGGGTGTCAGTTGCCCTTGCTTCGTAAGCACTTCCAACCTGACCTGGAGATCCCTGTAGGCGGCAGCTGCGTCCTCCTCTCTCTTCCTGGATGCAAGAGCCTCGGCATTCAGTCGTGACACTGCTTCTCTGAGTTCCGCTATCTGCTGTTCGGCCGTCATATTGTCTGCCTTTCGTGAGCTCGCTAGTAGGCACCCGCTTTCTCTCCTCTCCGCGAGGCTGTAGATGCCCACAATTTATAGAGACGGAGCTTACTGTCAGAGCTGCTTCCAGATCCTAGCTCACAGAGGATCACGCTAGCCAGCGATCATTAAACAAAAGTCTTTATTGAGTTACAGTTTCCATTCTCAAACTGCTGCGTGCAACTCTACGTCTCATGGTTAGACCGGCGAAGCTCCGTCTGAGTCTCCGCCCCTTGTACACCAACTTAATATCCTAGCCCTGCTCCACCTTTTCCGCCTGACTGTTCTTCTCTGGGTCCCTCTGCCCCCTGGGGTCTCTTCTTTCCGGGATTCCTCTGACGCTGACGCTGACCCCCCTGACTCTTCTCCCTCCTTTCGGCGGGCTTTAGGACCTGGCTCCCTTTCCGGGCTGCCTACTGTGCCACCTTCCTGTGCATTTGAACTTGGCGCGCGCGCCCAACCTTCCACCTTCCGTCTGACCGTTTCTTCGCTCCCCGATGGAGGTGTGGCCACTCCTGACTCGTGCCCTCCCCCCTGTTGTGAGCTGCCAGCGCTTGATCCCTGGCTCCCTTCCTCTTCCCTGCTCTCTGGCGGTGACGCTGGTCCCGATTTCCAACTGCTCCCCTCTGAGTCCCCTCTGGCTCTATCTTCCTGGGGCGTCCCCTAGGCTCCCCCTTGCCCTGGCCACTGGTGCTCCTTTCTGTGAATCTTCTGATTCACTGGAAAGACTCGGAGATCTCGGGTCGTCGTCATCACTCATCTTTTCTTCTGCCTCCTCCCCCTCGCTCTCTGTTTCCTCCCTTGCCCTTGCCTCTGCTCCTGAACCCCTGACAATAATGAAATGATTTTAGAATGTATTATCATTTTACTGTTGTTAGCCGCTCTGAGCCCGGCTTCGGCTGGGGAGGGCGGGATATATATATATATATTATTATGATTATTATGATTATTATTATTATTATCCTGGATATCCATGCTCACTGTGTGGCCAGTATAGTTACAACAAGCTTTGGGGTTGAAGCAGGCTAAATATTCAAATAAAGAAATTACAAATCTACATTGGCTAGCTAGCTTTTCACAATTCATAAAGTGTTTTTTTACAGGAGGGGGCAGTGTAGTGCCAGAAACGTTGGGTAAGTTACTGGTTGGCATAGAATGTAGGCATCCACCCAAAAGCTAAGACTCCCTAATTATTGCTAGGCAAAAGTGCAAAGTTGTGTCTGCCTTCAGCCGATTGAAAGCAAGCTTTCAGTGAAAGCATGTGTGGCTACAGTTTCTAACCCAACTACCTAAGTATACTTTAAGATACCTGCTTTGCCTAATGTGCCTACTATCTAAATCATGTGGATGTGTGATATAAAACTTTCTTACTACCCTGTCTTCCAACCAGGTGTGGCAACCAGGAGTCAGAGCAGCTTCATTATGAAGGGGTGACTTGAGCTAAGCTTCAGCTGGCCCCTTGTAAGCACAAGCCTATTATGCTTTGCTGTCTGCAAACAATTGTGTTTCTTTCTGTAAACTCCTAGCCCCTCTCCCCCCAAAACTGGGAGAAACAGCTTGACTATTCAATTTATTTTATTTGCTTATTTCATAAAATTTATACAATGCTTGAGTGACTTAAAAAAGAAAACCTCAAAGCAGTTTATAATGGGCTTCCACACATCCTTAAGAAGGAGCAAAGAATGGACAACTCCAACGGCTGGCCTGTGCATTCTCCTCATTGCAGTACTACTTGTTAACTCTGTTTGCCTTCAGAAATTGGGTATGGAGAATGGTAGTTTCCCTCAACACTTAAGGAAGGAGTGGCCCTGGGGGACCCTCAGGTCGAAGGGAATGAGGGGGCCACAATGCCAGGGGAGCATCCTCGCTGTTGGGGCAATGGCAGCCGCAGGGGTCTCCTCCTGAGGAATGCACCAGCCATGGAGCCTCCTGGGCAGGTCAGGGATCGCATCCTAGAGAACATCTCACTCTCCATCAAGAAGTTTCAAAGCTACTTTGTTGTTTGCAAGGATGAAACTCCAGCCATTGGGAACCACATCAAGGTCCTGCAGCAGCTCTATGAGCACCTTGACCATGAGCTGCTGTATGGGCTCCAAGATCTCCAAGATCTCCCTTCAAGCTGCTAGGCCTTTCGAACTGTCTGGGCAGGAGAGGCCCCCTCGGAGTTGAGGGGGTTTCAGCCCCCATGGATTTCTCCTGCTTTTACATTGAGAGTCCAAATGCTCCTGTAGCAGGTGGTGACCACCATGGCACTGCAGGGAGTGGCCAACTGCCACATGTTCCTGGTAGCCTTCAAGCTGCTGGAAAAGAGGAGGAAGGAGGAAGAGCATAAGCAGAAGAAGAGAGGGGTGGACCATGCATAGCAGTGGACTTGCAGGAGGAGGATCATAGAATCATAGAATCATAGAGTTGGAAGAGACCACAAGGGCCATCGAGTCCAACCCCCTGCCAAGCAGGAAACACCATCAGAGCACTCCTGACCTATGGTTGTCAAGCCTCTGCTTAAAGACCTCCAAAGAAGGAGACTCCACCACACTCCTTGGCAGCAAATTCCACTGTCGAACAGCTCTTACTGTCAGGAAGTTCTTCCTAATGTTTAGGTGGAATCTTCTTTCTTGTAGTTTGGATCCATTGCTTCATGTCCGCTTCTCTGGAGCAGCAGAAAACACCCTTTCTCCCTCCTCTATGTGACATCCTTTTATATATTTGAACATGGCTATCATATCACCCCTTAGCCTCCTCTTCTCCAGGCTAAACATGCCCAGCTCCCTTAGCCGTTCCTCATAAGGCATCGTTTCCAGGCCTTTGACCATTTTGGTTGCCCTCCTCTGGACACGTTCCAGTTTGTCAGTGTCCTTCTTGAACTGTGGTGCCCAGAACTGGACACAGTACTCCAGGTGAGGTCTGACCAGAGCAGAATACAGTGGCACTATTACTTCCCTTGATCTAGATCCTATACTCCTATTGATGCAGCCCAGAATTGCATTGGCTTTTGTAGCTGCCGCGTCACACTGTTGGCTCATGTCAAGTTTGTGGTCAACCAAGACTCCTAGATCCTTTTCGCATGTACTGCTCTCAAGCCAGGTGTCCCCATCTTGTATTTGTGCCTCTCCTTTTTTGCCCAAGTGCAATACTTTACATTTCTCCCTGTTAAAATTCATCTTGTTTGTTTTGGCCCAGTTCTCTAATCTGTCAAGGTCGTTTTGAAGTGTGATCCTGTCCTCTGGGGTGTTAGCCACCCTCACAGTTTGGTGTCATCTGCAAATTTGATCAGGATGCCCTTGAGTCCATCATCCAAGTCGTCTATAAAGATGTTGAATAAGACCGGGCCCAAGACAGAACCCTGTGGCACCCCACTAGTCACTCTTCTCCAGGATGAAGAGGAACCATTGATGAGCACCCTTTGGGTTCGGTCAGTCTGCCAGTTACAAATCCACTGAGTGGTAGCATAGTCAAGACCGCATTTTACCAGCTTCTTTACAAGAATATCATGGGGCACCTTGTCAAATGCCTTGCTGAAATCAAGGTAGGCTACATCCACTGTGTTCCCTTCATCTACCAGGCTTGTAATTCTGTCAAAAAACGAGATCCGGTTAGTCTGACATGACTTATTTTTCAGAAATCCATGCTGACTATTGGTGATCACAGCATTCCTTTCTATGTGCTCACAGACTGTTTGCTTAATGATCTGCTCCAGAATCTTCCCTGGTGTTGATGTCAGACTGACTGGGCGGTAATTATTTGGGTCCTCTCTTTTCCCCTTTTTGAAAATAGGGACAACATTTGCCCTCCTCCAGTCTGCCGGGACTTCGCCTGTTCTCCAGGAATTCTCAAAGATGACTGCCAGTGGTTCTGAGATCACATCTGCCAGTTCTTTTAATACTCTTGGATGCAGTTCATCTGGCCCTGGAGACTTGAATACATCTAAACTAGCCAAGTATTCTTGTACTATCTCCTTAGTTATTCTGGGCTGTGTTTCCTCTGCTGAATCATTTGCTCCAAATTCTTCAGGTCGGGCATTGTTTTCTTTATCGGAGAAGACTGAGGCAAAGAAGGCATTGAGGAGTTCAGCCCTTTCTGTGTCCCCTGTTTGCATTTCACCATCTTCTCCTCTGAGTGACCCCACTGTTTCTTTGTTCTTCCTTTTGCTACGAACATACCCATAAAAGCCTTTTTTGTTGCTTTTAACCTCTCTAGCAAGCCTGAGTTCATTCTGTGCTTTAGCTTTTCTGACTTTGTGTCTACACGTGCTGGCTATTTGTTTGAATTCCTCTTGGTGGTTTCCCCCCTTTTCCATTTTTTGTACACATCCTTTTTAATCTTAACTCAGTTAAAAGTTCTTTAGATAGCCACCCAGGCTTCTTTAGGCACCTTCCATGTTTCCGTCTCATTGGTATTGCCTGAAGTTGTGCTTTTACTATCTCCTCTTAACAAACTCCCAGCCATCATGAACTCCCTTTCCTTTTAGTATTACTGTCCATGGGATCTCACCCAGCACTTCCCTAAGTTTTATGAAGTCGGCTTTCTTAAAGTCAAGAAATTGAGTCCTAGTATGCTTGGCTGCCCCTTTCCGCTGTATAGTAAACTTCAGAAGGGCATGATCACTCGCGCCTAATGATCCTTCCACTTCTACCCCACTAACCAGGTCATCAACATTGGTTAGGACCAGATCTAAAATGGCTGTTCCTCTTGTTGCTTCTCCCACTTTCTGGACAATGAAGTTGTCTGCAAGGCCAGTGAGGAATCTGTTTGACCTTATGCTCTTGGCCGAGTTTGACATCCAACAAATATCCGGGTAATTGAAGTCCCCATTACTACTATCTCCCTTCCTTTTGCATGCTTGGCCATCTGTTCCAGGAAGGCATCATCTATGTCCTCCGTTTGGCTTGGGGATCTATAGTAAACTCCCACAATGAGGTCACTGTTATTCTTCTCTCCCTTAATTTTGACCCAAATGCTCTCACATTGGCTTTGAGGTTCTAAATCTTGGCTCTCTTCACAGGTATACACATCCCTGATATATAACGCCACTCCTCCTCCTTTCTTGTCTGGTCTGTTTCTCTGAAATAGATTGCATTTCAGTTTGGGTTTCTCCCCCTGTAAAGTGCAACAATTCCCTGTAAGTCGCTCACTGTCTATCCATATTAACTCTCTTAAAAGTAACAGCCTCAATAGGAGATAGCCACAAAGGTGTTTTCCTTTCCAGCAGATTTTTATATTTCTCCCAAACTCTATACAGATTCTTCCTAAGAATGTGGTTCATAAAACCTTTATAAATTTTTGCCTTCCCATACCAAAGACATGCATGCCAGATGAATTTTAGGTCATGTCCTTTTAAGTCCAGGATGTCTGCATTATCCAATGTCTTTTAACCAACCCAAACAGACTGCCTCATAATACATTTGCAGGTCTGGCAGGGCAAAGCCTCCTCTTTCTTTTATATCTATCATAATTTTATGTTTAATTCTTGGCTTTCCCCCCTGCCAGATAAATTTAGAAATATCCTTCTTCCATTCTTTGAAGCAGCCTGAATTATTTGCAATTGGAATTGATTGGAATAAAAACAGTATCCTGAGCAGTATATTAATTTAATGGCTGAGACTCTACCATACAGGGAGAGCTTCATTCTCTCCCAAATCTCCAAATCTTTCTTAATCTCTTTCCACAGTTTAACATAATTATTTTCAAATAAGATGAGATTTCTTACTATCAACCAGATTTCCAAATAACTAATTTTTTTACCTATTTTCAAACCAGTTTTTCTAACATATTTTTTGACTGATCGTCCATGTTTTTAACCAACATTTTGGTTTTATCTGAATTTATTTTAAAACCTGCCACTTCTCCAAATCTTTTGATTTTTTCTAATGCTTTGGGAACACTCCCCAAAGAAATATCTTTAACATCTCTGTTAAGAGTGTCTGTGTTGTGCCCTTTGAAAAGTAACCACTGAGCTATAACCTGTTTCAGTGTAAACAAATAAAGTTCCTGTTTTGTTTTAAAAGTGCTTCATCCTTCCTTCCTTGGATCGATCCTCTGGTGAGGGCTGAGTGGTCACAGGTACCCCCTTCACCTAATTCTAACATCTTGCTGCTGCTAAACAAAAATACTACCACAACCAGTTAAAACAAAAGCTCAGGTGTGGGAATGCAGGCAGGGGTTTCTCTTGCAGCCCCTAAAATAGCAGCTGCATTGCACAGCACCCATAATAACTGGGAGTGTCTGTTGGAGAGAGAATGTGGGGTGTTTATGTGTAATAGAGAGGGGCAACTATGTCCATGCACTGTGTGAATGATGGAAGGGGGAGCCGTGTGTGTGTGAGGGAGGGACAGGGAAGATATGTGTGAGAGACAGAGGTAGGTAGGGGGGCCACTAGGGGCGCATTGGAAGATGGCCGACAATAACATCTCTCCGACCCACACGAGGTAATTAAGAGGCTGTAATGGGAGTATGCAGCCTCCCTGCCCCCCAAGGGAATGGGGGGGACTGCCCTTGCCTGCTGTGCCCATAAATCACCCCCGGATTCGAGGGGGTGAGGGCACTAGGCAGAACGCCCTTGTGTGGACTTCGGCTCTCCTGGACGCTGTCTCTGATTGCGCCACTAGCTGCAGCAACTTGAAAATAAACAATTAGGAAGAAGCAAATGCACATATTTCAAGTGAAGAATGGGGAGTAAAGACTGCCAATTGAAGGGACCTCTGTGAAAGAAGACGGGTCGGATAAACAGGAATATATCATGAGAAGACACATCAAGGCTCGGTATGTCAGCAGCGGGACTGGATGGGGGAGGGGAAAAACTTTTCTTTCTTCTGTGTGATTAACCAATAATCCCCCCCCACAAGTCAGAAATGCCGATTAAATGACCTAAGCTGGATGATTTAAGACTGTGTGAAAATAAACTTTAACCAAAAGCATGTTTTAAGGAGACCGAGGAAAGTACAAGAGCTTTGGGATGACGCAGTAAAAAACAGCGTCGCCATTTTGGCAAGTTCTGTCGAAAGATTTATGTCTGGGAGGAGGAATGGATCTGTTTTTATACTGCGGGCGAACCTCCTCAAAGGACTAAAGGCGGCGACAGATTTGCGAAGATTAATGATGGAAAGAGTGCTTTTATCTATGGAAGTGATGATATATGGAAACTATCTCGATATGGCTATTGGTCGAACAGAAAAATTCACACAGGATTACAACTTGTTTTTACCTGCTTAAGGAGATTATCAGAAGAGGTCGCAAAGAGAAAGGAAAAATATACGAAAATAATAAGATGAGATGTGGGAAACAGCAAGATAGGATTGGATAGAATTATGAACATTATTTGGACAGATTTGTGGACATTAAGGCAGCAGCAAGAAGATGATTGGACCCCCCTTCGGAACTTGAAATATGGGTACCCCCAACAAAAATTTAAAAATTCGGCTTTGTAATTTGGAATTTATGTGATGTGATGTGATTTGATTTGATTTGATTGGTCGGTTAATAAAAATTATTTTTTTTAAAAAAAGAGAGACAGAGGTAGGTAGGTACGTATGTATGTATGTATGTATGAGAGGATAGGTAGGCAAGTATGGACGCATGGTCAGTGTGAGAGAGAGAGGGAAAGTGTGCCCATGTGGGTGTGCCTGAGAGATGGAGAAACATAGATGGTGGGTGTGAGAGAAAGGAAGAGAATGTCCTTATAGAATGGGAATAGCCAGCAACTAAGGATGGCAAAACTCAGTTGCAGGGGTAGAGAGAGCCACAGCACTTAAAAAAGAAACCAAAGAGCTTGGAACCAAGCCTTCCACCGCAACTTTTGAAAAGCCACTTAAAAGCGTGTCTCTCACACACAAACAAAGTTTACTGATAAGGCTTGGAAAGGTACAAGAATCCAAGACCTTGAGAACAGTACAAATCATTCCCAACCAAATAACACACTTTTCATTTCAAAATACAGGGGGGGGGGGACGGGACAGGAACATGCTGAGTAAAACGTCCTGCTGTGAGTGCACAGTGTGGGTTTTTGTCTTATGCTGTAAAGGGACAGGTAACATATTTGTATTTATTCCCATGTAGACCATAAGGTATACAAATAAGGGAAAACACACTGAACCAAAGACAAGGGAGAACTGCTAGAAGCAAGTTGGAGAATGCCCCCTCTTCCCTCCCTCCTTGTAGACATCTGAACATAGGCTGCCTTGCACTAAGACAGGCCAGTGGTCCATCTTATGCAATAAAGTCCTCTCTGACTGGCAGAGGCCCCCAAGGTTTTCAGGCAGGGTGACCTCCCTGGCCTTAACTGAGCAGCTTTCTATGCAAAACGTGCTCCTGCTGTCCTGGGTAGATCCATGGTAGTAGCAGAGCTAATGGTGTTTAGATGCTGTTGGAGCAATTTCGTTGCACAGATGTTCCTTGCAAAAACCAGTTTTGCCAGCCCTATTTGTGCTTTGCTGAGCAAAGGTTTGGTAAAGCCCCTTATTCACCCTGTTACTCTAGTGCCCAACAAGCGGCTGTGTGTCAGGTGCTTGCAAAGTTATGTGCAAGGGACTTAGACAGCTGGGTGGGTCAACACACCTCTCAGTCATATGACACCAGGTGACTGATGGCACAGCCCACCTGTCAAAGTTGGTCCATGGGGCCCCAAAAGGTTCCCCACCCCTGCACTAAACCATTGTTTAGCATTACACCTGAATTAGGCCAATGCGCCTTCAGATGGTGCTGGAATAAGCCACTCTGAAGCCCTACAGGTAACTCTCGACGAAATTAGGCATATGGAGGTAGTTTTCATTTCAGGAATTGAATGGTTTCAGCATTTTGAACCTGCACCATTAAGTAGCAAGGCATAACACTCAGAACCTGGGCATAAAACTATATTCTTGAATCTTAGGAAGTCTGCTTCTCCTTCACTTTGGAAGAGGTAGTTCTTGTTACCTTAACCTTCTTTTCTTCTTTCTGGTCCATTGCCCTGACTTTGTTGTCCTTTCCATCATATGGCTTAAATTTGTACCCCACTGCATTTCAGGTTTCCCCCACTGCTGTCTGCTAGAGCTCTATAACTCTTCCTCAATACAGTGGTACCTCGGGTTACATATGCTTCAGGTTACAGACTCCACTAACCCAGAAATAGTGCTTCAGGTTAAGAACTTTGCTTCAGGATGAGAACAGAAATTGTGCTCCAACGGCGCAGCAGCGGCAGGAGGCCCCATTAGCTAAAGTGGTGCTTCAGGTTAAGAACTGTTTCAGGTTAAGAACGGACCTCCGGAACGAATTAAGTACTTAACCCGAGGTACCACTGTAGTAGCTTTCCTACTCCATCTCTCTCTCTAATAATATATGACCCCTTAAAGTAAGCAAGTGTAAGCTGTTAATCTGGGTAGGGTGTTGCATGTGCATAAATTACATATCTGAACCATTTTATTTTCTGTATGAAGGAAACCACAGCTCCCATCCTAATTGGGTCTGATGATCCAAGGGCACTCACGAGCACTGTGTGAGAGGCAGAAATAGCAATAGCACTGTAGACTCAAACTAGGGGGTGACCACATCTCTGCTAATGTGTGTAGGATGTAGGGACACATCTAGCCTTGCTTAACAGCACCATTATCTCTAGACAGTTTACCACCTCCACATACAGAATACCATCCTAAACCACCGAAAGGACCTATGCATGGGTAGCACATGCAGAAGACACAAATTCCTTTAGTTAAAACATGGCAATGCTTATGTCACACTGCCTGCCTTGATATCACTACGATTTAATGTGCAGTAAAAATGATAAAGATAAAATTTAGAAACACTGATAACACATACACACATCTGTTGTTGAATATTCCCCAACACATTAAATGACACCTGCCTTCTTAAAGTCATCCCTAAAACTACCTCCCCCCCAACCCCCCAGTAATCAAGATCCAAGTTTTTATTCTGATTCTTGCTCTGCCAGGGCCAAGCTGTTGTACTAGGGCAGGACAGTAGGCAGCAGCATTAATTAACTTTGGAAACAGCTGAATAGCAACCTCTGAAAAGTTAATGCACTTCTTAAAATTATGACAAAGAAGAAAAAACAAAAGGTTACATGGAGCATGGTGCACATAATAACTGCCAAAAGCTATTTACTAGAATGAGAGAGAAAGCAGACATAAGCAAACAGACCCAGCTCTTAACAAGCCGAGATGGCACCATGCCAAATGTGTAGCCACTGCTATTATGGGATAGGATTTTTAGCCCTCCTGAACAGCTCAGCCACAGATTATTTGAGTTAGACAACTAGGTCCAATCCTAACCCTGTCTACTCAGCAGTAAATCCTACTGAATTCAATGGGGTTTAATCACAAGTGTGGTTAAGACTGCACCCTTTGTGCTGGATCCCAACTGACTGAAGGACTAGCTTCAGAACAAATGCTTCAGGAGATGTGGACAAGTTTCAAAGATGGGAGGCTTCCCGTCTACCGTTTGCTCTCATCAATACAGTGGTACCTCAGGTTACAAAAGCTTTGGGTTACAAACTCCGCTAACCCGGAAGTAGTACCTCAGGTTGAGTACTTTACCTCAGGATGAGAACGGAAATCACGCGCTGGCGGTGCAGCGGTAGCTGGAGGCTCCATGAGCTAAAGTGGTACCTCAGGTTAAGAACGGTTTCAGGTTAAGAATTAAGTTTGTAACCCGAGGTACCACTGTAGTGTCAAGCCTGATCTACACATGCAGAAGAATAAGGTGTTGGGAAAGGCAACCAGCATCACTCACTCACTTGTTTATTTAGTTTTTATACCACCCCCTCATCCAAAGATGACAGTATAAAATCACAAAAACACCCAGGATGATGATGAGGATGATAATGATAATAATAATAATAATAATAATAAATAATAAGGCATTTCTATTGCTCCCTTCATCCCAAAGGAGTTCAAAGCAGTGGCAAATTCCTTCACACTTCTTCACAGCCATTTTGACTCTTTTACAACATCCTTTCACTCAGCATGCTCTTCACTTTCCTTTATTGCCAATAAGCTATATTCAATGTATACATCAAGATGTTTTTCAACCACAGCTCCCCCCTTTCCAATGCTTATTTCAAATAAGCATCAACACTCAATTCTTCAGCATCATACAAGCATACAATCTCCATTACATCTTTACTGATGCCTTTTTGTTATTTTTAAAAAGAAATTAAAATTTTATTGAAATTATTTAGAACATAAATCAATTACTCTGACAACAAAAACAGAACAAACCAATACCCTTGACCCCCAAAGCAAAACAAACAAGACAGAAAAAGAGAATCAAACAGTAAATGAAAGCTGAATATGATTAGAAGGGACCAGTCGGTTAAAGGTATACAGGTCGGAACTAAACAGTACAAATTGAGAGCATTTGCAGATGACTTAGTATTGATGTTACAGGAGCCAGAATCTAGTACTAAAAGGGTTTTAGAACTGATTCAAGAATTTGGTCAAGTGGCAGGATTTAAATTGAATAAGTCAAAAACCAAGGTTTTAGAGAAAAATTTAACACCGATTGAAAGAGAGAGGTTTCAGAATGAGACAGGTTTAACAGTGGTTAAGAAAGTTAAATATTTGGGGATTAACATGACAGCAAAAATGGGAACTTATTTAAAGATAACTATGAAAAATGCTGGTCTGAAGTGAAAAAGATTTAGAAATTTGGTCAAATTTGAAGCTTTCACTGCTGGGCCGTATTGCTGCGATAAAAATGAATGTATTGCCTAGAATGTTGTTTTTGTTCCAAACTTTGCAGATTGTGGACAAAATGGATTGTTTCAAGAGGTGGCAGAAAGATATTTCTAAATTTGTCTGGCAGGGCAAGAAGCCCAGAATAAAATTTAAAATACTAACAGATGCAAAGGAAAGAGGTGGATTTGCCCTGCCAGACCTCAAACTTTACTATGAATCAGCAGCTTTTTGCTGGTTGAAAGAATGGCTACTTCTTGAAAACACTGACATTTTGGACTTGGAAGGTTTTAATAATGTATTTGGATGGCATGCATATCTATGGTATGATAAGGTCAAAGCACATAAAGCATTTAGAAACCACATTGTCAGGAAAGCGCTATTTAATGTTTGGTTAAGATATAAGGACTTGCTAGAAAACAAATCCCCAAGGTGGCTGTCACCAATGGAAGCGAAAGCCTTGAAAAAGGTCAATATGGAGGTCAAATGGCCGAAATATTGGGAAATTTTGGAACAAGACGGAGATAGACTGAAATTGCAGAGTTTTGAAAAACTAGAAAACAAAGTGCGAGACTGGCTTCATTATTATCAGATAATGGAGGCATTTAAATTGGACAGGAAAATTGGCTTCCAGGTGGAAAGATCCAAATTAGAAACAGAATTGTTAGAACCCAAAACTAAGAATTTGTCAAGAATGTACAACTTGCTGCTGAAATGGAATACTCAGGATGAAACGGTAAAATCGGCTATGATTAAATGGGCACAGGACGTTGGACATAATATTATGTTTGCTGACTGGGAACAGTTATGGACCACAGGTATGAAATTTACGGCATGTAATGCCTTAAAAGAGAATATTATGAAAATGATATACAGGTGGTACGTAACCCCAGTCAAGCTTGCAAAAATCTATCACTTGCCCGATAACAAATGTTGGAAATGTAAAGAAACTGAAGGTACATTTTTTCACCTTTGGTGGATGTGCCCAAAGATTAAGGCTTTCTGGGAAATGATATATAATGAATTAAAAAAGGTATTTAAGTATACCTTCCCTAAGAAACCAGAGGCCTTTCTTCTGGGCATAGTCGGCCAAATGGTGTTAAAAAAGGATAGAACTTTCTTTATGTATGCAACAACAGCAGCAAGAATACTCATCGCAAAGTATTGGAAGACACAAGAACTTCCCACGCTGGAGGAATGGCAGATGAAACTTATGGACTATATGGAATTGGCGGAAATGACTGGTAGAATCCGTGACCAGGGAGAAGAGTCGATGGAGGAAGATTGGAAGAAATTCAAAGACTATCTTCAGAAACATTGCAAAATTAAAGAATGTTAGAGTGATGTTGGACTGAAAATAAGCGGTTTCCAGCTGTACAGGTTAAAGTTAACGATAGACTAAGATTAAAGATTAGGATTAAAGATGTTTAAAGAAATGGAAATTTGACATTAAGAGGGAAAATTTTAACGTTATATGATACTAAGATCAAAGATCAGGTTTAAAGAAGTTGAAGTTATATATTTCAATATCTTATTAAAGCTAAAGATTGGGATTAAAAAGTGGAAAAGAAATTGCTGGACAAACAATTTGGATTGGAATACAAAAGAGGGAGGTATGAGGAAGTCCAGAAAATAAGTAACTAAAAAAAACGGAAATGGAAAAGAGATATTGTTTTTAATTGTTATGTTTTTTGTTCTTTTATTGTTGAATCTTGTTTTTTGTGTGTGTGTTTTTGTTATATGTATTGTGTATGTTTTTCTTTTCTTTCTTTGTTGTTTAAAACTTTAATAAAAATTATTTTTTAAAAAACAAAAAACAAACAGTAAATCAAAAAATAAAAGAATTTGTTACACACACACACACACACACACACATATATATATATATATATATATATATATATACACATACACACACACACACCGTATTTTCCTTCCAAATTATTTTTCAACTTCCTTCATCCTGTACATGGTTTTCTATTTTCTCCTTCTAAACTGTCTCTTTTATGAATTATTTTTACGATATGGTTCTTAGGCTACAATTTGGAAAAATTTACTGATGCCTTTCGTGGCTCTAATAATCACACATACACCAAGTTTAGCAACAATATAGATTACTTCAATGAGAAGTAAATCAAGAATGATTTACTCAAAAGATCCCAATTCAGTCTTTTAGCCTGAACTTGTCTAGCCGGGTGAAGACTCCTTTTCTATATGTTATATTTTGTTCTGCTCCTGTGATGTTAAATCACAACCTGATCTAGGGTGCTCCAAAGCCAGATATACTGTATATAAGCATGAATGTCTCAACAACAGTAACTTACCAGGTTGCTCAATGCACAAGTTGTCTCTAGTGCTTCTGCTTAGACTTGTCAACTTACTAGAACAGGGGTGAGAGCAGCAAAGTGGGTCATAACAGTTATGCATTCATGACATGCATGAATGTCAAATATTTCTATTTAAGGTTTCAGATTCATCCTTTTACAGTTTTAAGTGGCTGTCTCTTATTTCTAAGCAGCAAAAACAGTCCCTGCCATTTTTATGTGTGTCCTCAGGCTCTCATTACTGCTTTGACCTACAAGAAGAGAAAGCTAAAGATCGAGCCGTGACCAGGCCAGGAAAACTGGGCCAGGTGCCTTTTTCTCACTCCCGAATCCAACACAGCCTAAGTACACTCTGTTCTCGTTGTTTCCCCATCAATGTTTGCACAGTGGATATGGCAGCATAACTGACATCCACTTGACAGACAGCCAATCTATGGAAGGCACCACACTGAGCCGCATGAAATGGAAGTCCATCAACCTCACAAAGAAACTTGCACAGGTACAGACTGATATCTCCTTTATAATATATATTTCAACTGCGTCAGACCAACATGGCTACCTACCTGAATCTAGAGCCAATCTACTGGAAGAGAAGTTGTCATTTCAGTGGGGCTTCCCTTCAACCGTACTGCTCCCCCGGACCAGGAAAAAAACCTTTCTTAAATAATTATTAGTCTATCTTTCAATCTTTGGGTCAACATAGGAGCTATCTTACTATTAAGATCCGGTGCGCTGCAAAGGCCCATTAGCACAGATGTGTGCCGGATGCATCCCAGGCACACCCTAATGTTTCACAAAGCTGGGAATCAAGGAAAGCAGACAAAGGTGTAGGCAGAATAAAAAGGCTGGAATGGACCTGCAGTTTCTGCCTGCATCTTTCTCTGGAAACGGTGGTGGAATGGTTGGCCCAGTGGTAGCAGTAAGGAAGGAGGAGGGACTCCTCTGCAGGCAGAAGCTGCAGATCCATCCCAGCCCTTTTCTTCTGCCTGCATCTGCCTGTCCCATGGCTTTGTTTCTGTCCAATATCCGCTAGTCACCTTTTGTGGAGAGAGCTCTGTGGGGATGAGGGGCTGCTTTGTGGTGTGCAAGCTAGGAGGAGCAGGAGCCACCCCACCCTCAGCCCTCCTGATCAGCCCTGCCTCTGGCCAGCTTTCCAAGAGTTTCTCTGCAGAAAAATCTTCTGCTTTGGCTTCTTGACCACTCTTGCGGTGGTGGTGGTGTCAGCTTCTGTTGTTATTCTTACTGTTCTTTGCTTATTGGTTTGTCATTTCCCTCGCTCCCGCCTTCCTTTGTTGAAATAAATCCTTGGGTGCACACCTTAATGAAATGTGCTGTGCACACCTATGCTCTTTAGAGAGTAGAAGACACTGAAGAGAAGTGGCCAGGCTGAGTGGCAGAGTCCATTTTTTGCATTCATAAGTTTTCAGTTCCACCCCTGGTATCTCCACCTAAAAAGGATCATAGATTCATAAAATTGTAGAGTTGGAATGGACCCAAAGAGTCAACTAGTCCAACCCTCTGCAAGGCAGGAATCTCTACACATGCTCCCCCATCCAATCAGAAACCATGCTTAGATCTGCAAATGTGCTAGCAGTTTTATTGCTGTAACCAGTGCTATTTTTCTAGAAAAACAGGTGCTGGAACTCACTGTGAGCGTGCTGTGGTCTAAACCACTGAGCTTCTTGGGCTTGCAGATCGGAAGGTCCGTGGTTTGCATCCCTGCAACAGAGTGAGCAAGCTCCTGTTGCTCTGTCCCAGCTCCTGCCAACCTAGCAGTTCGAAAACATGCCAGTGCAAGTAGATAAATAGGTACCGCTGTGGCAGGAAGGTAAACAGTGTTTCCGTGCACTCTGGTTTCTGTCATGGTGTCCCGTTGCGCCAGAAGCGGTTTAGTCCTGCAGGCCACATGACCCGGAAAGCTGTCTGTGAACAAATGCTGGCTCCCTCGGCCTGAAAGTGAGATGATCGCCACAACCCCATAGTCGCCTTTGACTGGACTTAACCATCCAGGGGTCCTTTACCTTTCACCTTTTCTCTTATACAGCGGTACCTCAGGTTAAGAACTTAATTCGTTCTGGAGGTCCGTTCTTAACCTGAAACTGTTCTTAACCTGAAGCACTTTAGCTAATGGGGCCTCCTGCTGCTGTGCCGGAGCACAATTTCTGTTCTCATCCTGAAGCAAAGTTCTTAACCCAAGGTAATATTTCTGGGTTAGCGGAGTCTGTAACCTGAAGCGTCTGTAACCCGAGGTACCACTGTAATAGAAAGGGCACCCACCTGAGAGGTGCTGGAACTGAGTTCTGGTGAGTTCTGGCTGAAAAAAGCCGTGGTTGTAACACTGTCTTTCCCATCAACTGCTCTCTGGCATCTTGGAGAGTCACTGCCAGTCATGAGTATACAATTCCAGGCTGGATGGACAAGTAGTCTGACCTGGTGGAAGGAAGCTTCCTCAGTTCCTCTTAAAATGCCGCAGGGGCAGGGCAACACTGGCTGTGAGGCTTGGCCACACGTGATCAACTGCTGCAACATCTAAGATTCCAGCAAGGACACAAAGTACCTTTGCAGCCCATTGCCAGGTACACCCACAACCCTGGATATAATGGGCCTGGATAGAGAAAACCAGAGAAACAACTGAGGAATTTACTAAGTCAGACCATTTGCTCAATACTGTCTGTTTTGGCAAACAAAAGAAGCATCCTTCTGTCAAGAGTTTGGGTGTAACCTTTAACGCCTCCCTTTCCATGGAGGTGCAGGTTGCAGCCACAGCAAAGGTGGCATTTTTCCAACTCCGCCGTATTAAGCAGTTGGTCCTTTACCTTTCTCGCCCTGATATGGCCACAGTGATCCATGAGACAGACATCTCCAGGCTTGATTATTGTAACTCACTCTACGCGGGGCTGCCCTTGAAGCTGACCCAGAAACTCCAGTGGGTGCAGAATGCCACGGTGAGGCTCCTTACGGGGTTCTTGCCACAGGATCACATTCATCCGGTGCTTTACCAACTGCGCTGGCTCCCGGTGGAGTACAGGATCAGGTTCAAGGTGCTGGTTTTGGGTTTTTTTAAAAAATGATATTTATTGAAAATTTTTAAAATTACAGAAAAAGACAAAGCAGAGAAAGAAAAAAGAAAAAACGGAAAAGAGGAAAAAAACAAACAAACCACATCCAACAATACAAATTCAAAAAACAAAAATACACCACAAACAGATAAAAATAAAACCAACATTCTCAAATCTTCAACTTTCATTACCTTCTTTCTTTGACCTCCTCCTCCTCCCTTTTTTGTATCCCAGTTAATAATTATCGCAGCAAATCCTTTCCATATTTCATAATATTCTGTCATTACATTACCTTAATCTATTTTCATCTTATCTTATAAAAAACCTTAGAACTTAAAACTTAAATCTTATTTTTACCCACTTCTCATAACCATAATATTCTTGCCTAATTCTTTAAACATTTTTGCTAGAGCCAAGTAATTTCGTTCCAACATTTTTCTAACAGTCATCAATTTTATAAAACAATCCTAGTGATAAAAAAAAGAAATAGAAACAATCCAATCTTCGTCCAGCGTCCCTTCCTCCTGGGTCCCGGGTTTTGTCAGTCCTTTTTATCCCATTGATCTAGCGCATTAACCTGGTAACCTTATATCCAAGGCCCTTAAGTCCCTTCCATGTCCCTTCCGCAGCTCTTCTTCATATTCACCTTTCACTGGTGGGAACTCCAACTTGGTAATGTTTTTGACCCTTTTCAACAAATCAGCCCCTTTTCCATAGTCCAGACTAAACTCCATGTAGTATTTAAAAACATGTTTCAGAATCCCTCCAAAATTGAGAGCCCCCACAGCTCCAAACATCTCACGGCCCATTGCCAGACTCGGAAAGTCCAAACATCCCTGCATAGGGGGGTCTATCCAACCCCCCATTTCCAAATCAGTCCAAACTTTATCTTTCCTAATCTGGCTTTTTCCAAGTTCATTTGTCAAATCCAAAAGCTCATGTTCCTGCTGGGCCGCAGCTCCCTCCATCTCTGGCGCCCAAGATTCCGCAACATCCTCTTCTCTCATCTGTTCTGTCAGGGCACACTCCTGATTTAATTCCTGGGTGGGCTCCATATAGTTTCCCACTACCTGTTCAAAAATTCTGGCCGCATTAGTCATCAAATCCGTCTTCTCAGTTAACTGTTCCAGTAGAGTATTTATTTTACAGAGAGCACACAACAGAGCTTCTGAATACATTGTCCTACAAGGTCACAAGCCTTTTCACACGATTGTAATCTGTGACAGCTGCAAGCTCCTGGAATTAGTTACAGTTTCCCAGTCTCCCTCTAGGGGAAAACTTCTAATTGTTCTTGCAACAAAGTTTCCCTTTTTGAGATATTTTGTCAATATTTGTTCCTTTAAAATGCGAAAGGAAACAGTGGAATCACTATGTTTCTCTTCTTTTAGCTATCTGTCAAAAACGTTTGTCTCTGGTCAATGAGCTTCAAACGTCAGTCCTGACACCCCGCTCCAGGATCAGGACGGTGGAAAGTTACTTTACTTTAAACTCACTTCTGCAAATTTAAACAGTCCGAAAAGATCCCCTTCTTCTCCTGCTGCCGAAGGGGGGTTCGAGGATTTTAAATGATGAAAGCCAATCCTTTAGAAGCGATTTTCTGAGCTCTAGTTTACGTTGTCTTTGCTTTGTTCTGTCTACAAAGAAACGGAAGGCTGACTTCCTGTTTAGACCTTCCCGTTTCAGTACCAAATTGAAGTAAATTTTTAAATCCAATTCCTTTCTGCTTGCAAGTCCTTATTTAAAGTCCAATTGTTCAAAGTTTAAGTACTCACGGGTGCTTATTTTAGAAGCCAAATTGTCCCAGGAAAAAGGCAGCGCTCTCCGGCAACAGCTATGCGGCTTCGCTCCACGGAAATAGCAGTTGACTCACAGCACCGCGCCACTTCCCCCTCTTCGCTTTGGAGCCCGTTAGTGGGTTCCTTTGTGGGTTGGGGGGGTGCTAAGGGTGCCCGCCGAGTCCCATGGTCACAGGCTTCATCCACCTGTGATTTTTAAAAGGGTCCCCGCTTCGCCGTAGCGGAAAAGACCCGTTTCGCGCGGAGCTAGTCCCTCCAGTTCAGAGGGAGACCGCCATTGCCGATGGCGCCACCCCGGAAGTCTCCAAGGTGCTGGTTTTGACCTTTAAAGCCCTATGCGGCCTAGGACCCTCGTACCTACGGGACCGCTTCTCCTGGTACGCCCACAGAGGACCTTAATAACACCACAAATAACACCACTTTGGAGGTACCGAGCCTCAAGCAGATTAGATTTGTTTCAACTAGGACCAGGGCCTTTTCGGTACTGGCCCCGACTCTGGTGGAACGCTCTGTCACAAGAGACTAGGGCCCTGCGGGACTTGACATCATTCCACAGGGGCTGCAAGACAGAGCTGTTCCGCCTGGCCTTTGGTTTGGACTCAGTCTGACCCTTATGTCTTCCCTCCCCTTACGGTTTTGATTTATGGGCGACTTTTAAAATGAGGCTGCTTTTTAAATTGCATATTAACCTGTATTTTAAGCTGGGTTGTTTTTGTTTGTTTGTTTCCCCCCCCCCCATTATGTTTCCATTGTAATCCTACTGGTGGTAGCCACCCTGAGCCCGGCTTTGGCCGGGAAGGGCAGGGTATAAATTTATTATTATCATTATTACAGTGCTACCTTGGGTTACATACGCTTCAGGTTACAGACTCCTCTAACCCAGAAATAGTACCTCGGGTTAAGAACTTTGCTTCAGGATGAAAACAGAAATCGTGCTCCGGCAGCGCGAGGCCCCATTAGCTAAAGTGGTGCTTCAGGTTAAGAACAGTTTCAGGTTAAGAATGGACCTCCGGAACGTATTAAGTACGTAACCAGAGGTACCACTGTATTATTATTATTATTATCCTCCTGCTGGTTCAGACCTATGGCCTCTCTAGCCCAGCATCTTGTTCTCACAGCAGCCAGCCAGATGCCTGTGGGAAACCTGCAAGCCGGACCCAAGCCCAAGAGCTGTGGAGGGACAGCAGAGCCTCCATTCCTACTTTATCATGAGGAGGTAGAGAATCTCGAGACAAGACAAGACCTTGACTTGACCATTCCGCCTTGAGCCTCTCATGCATGGATCTCTTCAAACCTGCACATACAACAGACTGACAAGATCAGCCAGCACTTATGAAAGTGAATGAATTCTAGCATTACCAATGTTCAACATTCATTATGGCTAATGGCATATTCTCTGCCAATTTACCTTTTCCCTTATTACTGAAGAACAAAGTCAACACAGCACATTATGTGCTGGGTAGGGAAATTTATATACCGTATATACTCAAGTATAAGCCGACCAAAATATAAGCTGTGGCAACTAATTTTACCACAAAAAACTGGGAAAACTCATTGACTCAAGTATAAGCCAGTTCACCACACCACGAACCTCTTGGTGGGCCGGAGTGCATGTGCGCGCGTGCATGTGCACACGGCAGAAGAACTTCTCTCCCCCTCAGCCCCTCCCATCCCCCTGTCTACCTAGGGTGCTGCTGAGAGGCAGAGGCTGGTGGCAGCAGAGGAAGAACAAGCAGCCCAAAAGGGCTGCTCGTTCCTCCTCCACCACCATCGATAGCGGCAATGGCGGAGGAGGAGGAGGAAGGAGCAGCCCAAAAGGGACCCTCACTCAAGTATAAGCCAAGGGGGCTTTTTCAGCATAAAAAATGTGCTGAAAAGGTTGGCTTATACACAAGTATATACGGTAAATAGGAAGGAGGAGCCTCATTTTAGATTAACTTGGTTAAATATTCTCTCAATTAAAAAAAAAGTTTTGCCTGTAACAATTTGTTAAAAGTGATAAAGCTAAAAAACAACAACCCAGCAGTGAATGACCAAAGAGAATGGTTAGCCCTCATTTGATTTCTGAGCCAAGAACGCAAAATCTCAACTCTTTTAGGGCTGGTCAATTTTTCTGGGGGCTACTAGGTCTTCTAGAGCATAATTTCCAAGGTACACGCCAAGAGAAAATTTCAATTTTAAATGAACTGAAGAATTCTGTGATCCTAAAGTATATCACTCACAGGGGATACCTGTTTTGTCTCTGTGGAATTTAGTACAGGGGTACCTCAACTGTTCTTAACCTGAAGCACCACTTTAGCTAATGGGGCCTCCTGCTGCCGCCGCGCGATTTCTGTTCTCATCCTGAAGCAAAGTTCTTAACCCGAGGTACTATTTCTGGGTTAGCGGAGTCTGTAACCTGAAGCGTATTTAACCTGAGGTACACCACTGTATTCTGGACTTGTCTTTCAGTCAGCAACTGTGACACACACAGAAACCAAGTGCCCACATTCTACCAGGTAGGTTTGTGTGTGTGTGTGTGTGTGTGTGAGAGAGAGAGAGAGAGAGAGAGAGAGAGAGAGAGATACACATTACACTCTGAAAACCAAACCTTTTCCTCTTTCAGAGGAATTCTATTTCAGTGGTGAGAAGTGTGTATCACAGGGAACAGAAGTTTAGGAAACATTTGTCTAAATGAGGGGTAGGGAATGACATGGCTCCCCAGTTCTCTTTTCTGATGAGCAGCTTTTGCATCTCACTTGGAAACCAAGGACCCAGAGTCAGGAAGAACAATGGGGAGGCCAGTGTGAAGTTTCCACAGTCTGTGTTGATTTGGGAGCCATGTCATCAGCTGGTGTTGGTCCACTGTGCTTCATTCAGTCCAGGGTCAATGCAGCTGTCTACCAGGAAATTTTGGAGCACAGACAAGCTTTATGGGGATGCTGACTTCATTTTCCAGCAGGACTTTGGCACCTGCCCACACTGCCAAAAGTACCAAAACCTGGTTCAATGCCCATGGGATTACTGTGCTTGACTGGCCAGCAAACTCGCCTGACCTGAACCCCATAGAGAATCTATGGGGCATTGCCAAGAGAAAGATGAGAGACATGAGACCGAGCAATGCAGAAGAGCTGAAGGCTGCTATTGAAGCATCCTGGTCTTCCATAACACCTCAGCAGTGCCACAGGCTGATAGCATCCATGCCACGCCGCATTGAGGGAGTAATTGATGGAAAAGGGGCCCAAACCAAGTACTGAGTACATATGCATGCTTCTACTTCTCAGAGGTCCAATATTGCTCTATTTGCAGTCCTTGTTTTGCTGATTTCATTTAATATTCTAATTTTCTGAGATTGTTAATTTGGTGTACAATCAATGACAATAAATATCAAATCCATCAAAAACTGAATTGGATTACAGCTTAAAACAACAACAACAAATAAATAAATCAAAGAACAATCTAATCTTTTGTGAATGGAATACAGTTCAGTTTTGAAGTGTTTAAAAACTCTGGGATTTATAAAGACACTTAACTTGAAGTACTGTATCCAAGCTTTCATGCTGGCAGAGATGGCCAAAATATGAAGCTGCCCCACTCACACCATTGGTCTAACCAGCATATTATTATGGTCTACTCTGACTGGTAGTTCTTCACAATCTCACAGGTGAAATCTTCCTTCTCCAGCACTGTGACCAATGTTGCTTTAACCGGGGATACTGGAGACTGAATTCAGGCTTCTGTGCACGCAAAATTCTCTACAATTCAGCAATGGCCCATGAAACAAGGTAAAAACAGCTTTGGACACCATTAAGGGTAGCAGAGTGAGAGACAGTAAGATCTCTTGCACAGTTTACACTGAAAGCCACCATTGTGTGTTTATGCAGCTGCTACTCATTTAAACTGGGTTTGCAACGAAGAGCTTTGTGATGAATTACCGTATTTTTCGCTCTATAGGACGCACTTTTTCCCCTCCAAAAATGAAGGGGAAATGTGTGTGCGTCCTATGGAGCGAATGCAGGGGGGAGGCAGGCAGGAAAAGCCCCCAAAAGCCGCACACAAGCTCCACGTGGCTCTTGCGGGCTTTTCCTCAGGAGGGACAAGGGACTGACGCGGCCAATCAGTCCCTTCTCCCTCCTCGTAGAAAAGCCCACAGGAGCCGCGCGCTCCTTAAAAGGTGCACGGCTCCTGGGGGCTTTTGCGGGAGGTGGGGGTATTGCCATAGCCCCGCGACCCTCTCCCGGCTGGAGAGCTGGCGCACAGCTATGGCAGCAGCCTCTTTAGTCGCGTGCCACCTCACCAGCCGGGAGAGGGTTGCGGGGCTATGGCTTCCTTAGCCCCGCGCTCGCTCTTCTGGCTGGAGAGGTGGTGCGCGGCTAAGTAGGCTGCTGCGCGCCTTTCCGCTGCTCCCCAACCTGCTCTTTGGGGCTGGCGGTGGGCTTCCCCCCACCAGCCCCAAAGAGCAGGTCGAAAGGACTCTGAAGCCTGGAGAGCCATAGGGTAGCCACCTGAAGGCGACTGAAGGCACCTTGAACAGCACCTTGTTTTAGAGGGGGAAAACAAGGGGGGGGGAATTCTCCCCCTCTCTGCGCAGCACCTCCTGCTGCTTCGCTGAAGGGGCACTGGGCAGAGAGGGGGAGAAATTTTTTTCTTGTTCTCCCCCCTCTAAAACAAGGTGTGTCCTATTGTCCGGTGTGTCCTATAGAGCGAAAAATACTGTATACTCAGGAATCCAGTGATTGTAGCCAGGATTGTACCTAGTGATAATTAGTACTTCCTATAACAAGATTTATTTAAGCATAACCCTCCATGCATTCCAGAACCAGTGCTCCCAACTTATCAAAGCCAACAGAAGCTCTTTTAGGCAATGTTGCAGAGTTTAGTTTCCTATAGATGACAGAACACTGGAGATTTATGACGTCTTCGTAATACTTATTTTCTTTACAAATCTACAAGCAGAGTATAAATATAGGCAAATATCAGGCACTGCTCCAAGATACCAAACCATGCCTGTTTCTTTTTATTATTATTTTTAGTGTAAACCACTCTTTCCATCACTTCCCCCTTAGATCTTCTTTCTATTCTTCTAGCTAGGAATAATCAGTTTCCAAATCTTGATGGTTCTCTCCTGCAAAAATACTCATCTGTATCTGCTGTTTATTATATTTAAGTAAGCCTGATCAAAGTTCATGGGTAGGGGCAGTATTGGAGAATAAAATTTGATAAGGCACCATCAGTAGTATATTAGATTTAACTAGGCAGAAAGGGTAAATTATTAACCAAACTATGGAATTTAACTGCATGAGGAATTTTTGTTTTCTAGATACTAGGATCAAGGAAACTAGATAAATTATTGTTCAGGAAAAACCATAAACATGCTAAGCAAAACCCTCCTGTGTCTGGTTTTTTTAGCACTAGAAACCAGCCTCTTTTAAAGTAACACCTAAAGCACTGGCTTAGCAAATAATCAGATGGAAAGTGTACAGTAATATAAAGTTTCCATTCCAGGCAGCAAAACCCCTTTGCCAAGAAGTATTTTGAGGCAACATATAGCAAAGGAGCTGCCTAGCAGAACTATCTAGATGAATGAGCAAAACTCACAGCTCAATATTCCATTTTCTATACGACAAAGTCTCTATCAAAACTGGCTTCAGCCCAAAGCCAATCATGGATCCTCTTGAAGTGAGGCATTTTGTATAGAACTGCTACACTGCAACCCTGCCTGCCTCCTTTGCAAGGCTTTGGAAGAAGAAGAAATGGTTGAACACAAAGTCCAAATGCAACCTTTCAGTTAAAGGTAACACTGTATCTCTTAAAGTCCCCAATGCTTTGTAAGCTTCAACTATGCCAACAGTTTAATAGTGTAAAAGTGTGTTCTACAGTAGACACATTTATCCTTCTGTTCTCTCATTAGCACCTGAAGAATTTCAGAGTCAACATGTTTAGATGGTCACCAAATTTTGCCAAAATGCAACATGAGAAAGTTTATTGAGAACTGCTTCAACAGAAGCATCTTGAGAAAGTTTAAATGAAATTCTTCTAGCCAATATTTCCCCGGGAGTGTTCACATGTCCCTGCTCCCAATGCTGTACAAATGGGGCTGGGTGGGAGTGGGGTGGGGGACACCCAACTGTTTGGATGTATACATCCAATGTGTGTGTGCCCAGCTTAGAATCAGAGCAAGGGACTGCAACACCCCCCCCCCACCTCCGAGAAACAGGAGAGGATAGAGAAGACGACTGCTGCAGCTTGAAACACCAGAGGTCTCCAGCAACCAAGAAAACACAACTCACACTCCTTCCTTTTTCTCTTGTTGGTCTTTTTAACCCAGAAGCATTTATTACAGGGTGGGATGGAGATGTATCTACAGGTACATTCTGCCACACAGGCCACCTCCGGGGGACGGGGAAGACCCCTGAATGAACGCATATCATAGTCTCATCTCTGTTAAAATAAAGGAACTTAAAATACCAACAGCTTTTTAAAAAAAAAACACTTGTCAGTCAATAAAGCTTGAACTATGCCTATCCATGGAGAACATATCATGGCTGGGATAACCAATGTGGCCTCTGCTTCATACAGATTAGTTCTCATAAAGGGGGGCATAAACAGATTAGCAGCACTCACCCACCTCCCTGCCATGGCCTCTAGGTCCCCCAGCAGTACAGTGGTACCTCGGGTTACAGACGCTTCAGGTTATAGACTCCGCTAACCCAGAAATAGTACCTCGGGTTAAGAACTTTGCTTCAGGATGAGAACGGAAATCGGGCTCCGGCGGCATCCTTCAGGTTAAGAACAGTTTCAGGTTAAGTACGGACCTTCGGAACAAATTAAGTACTTAACCTGAGGTACCACTGTATTACCTTATTATCTAAATCCAGTCAGGAGGAGGAGGCACAGAGGGACTTCCCTCCTGCTATAGAACAGGAATGTGAAGAGGCAGGATCCGCACAGACTCTGTGGGCACCAGCAGCGGCCAGGGCAGACCCCCCCCCCAGGCGAGGAAGCTTCTTTGGTTTGCAGTGGGGCTAGGAGGGGAGGAGAGGAGAAAAGTGGATGACCTCAGCACATCAAAGCCCATTCCTTGCAACAGGCCCTTTACTCAGAAACTCCACTCCGCCCAGGGAAGCCTGGGGACAGAGTCACCGGCTGGCCTAGCAGAGGAAGCAGCAGCTACAGGAACTTCCTCCTAATCTCTCAGCTTTGTTAAGGAAATGGCAGAGGCTCAATCCACTGCACCAGATTTGCCCATTAGCCTGCCGAGACCAGGGCAGAGGGGCTAGAAACAGGTGGAGATCCTGTCACAAAACGATAACATCCAGAGAGAGGGGCTAAGGAGAGGTGGGAGAGCAGCAAGTGAAGATTTGTCTGTACCTCAAGGTGGGGTGAAAGTGGGGCAAGACCTGGCAGGGTGTCTGACATATCCCAGCCACACCGCATCTTAAGTGTGGAACAGTTCCAGACCTCCCTGCCCAGAGCATGAATAAGAGATTACCATCGTCAAAAAGGAGGACCCGCAGCCTGCTCCCCAAAGGAGCAGAGGGCATGGGAGAGGCTGCCAGCTGAGCATCGACAAGCCAATCCTGCTCACCACTGCTAGCAGCCCTTGTACTGTAACCTCCAGCCAAGATGCAGCAAGAGAAGGCGAGATGCTACAGGATCTGGCCCTGGTGGTAGCTGCTTGAGGATTACAGTTGTTTGTTGGCCTATTTTACGTGTGTGTGTGTGTGTGTGTGTGTGTGTGTGTGTGTGTTTGTGCACGCGCCCCGGCCCCCACCCCGGCCCCCTTTGTCTCCAGCTGGGTTCTGCTGGCAGCTAAGCAGCCCTAGCTTCAAGCAGCCTCTGGCTTGTGAAGAAGGCCAACACCAAGAGGCTCCTGCAGAGTTCTTGCCTGGCAGCTCCTTGCCTGCCAGTAGGCTAATAACAGGACTCCCAGGAAGCCCACCCGCAGCACAGGCTGCCAATCCACTGCCAGGTGCTGTGGATCAAGCTCAGGGCATCCTCGCACTTCTTCCAGACAGAGCTGTCCTGAATCGGCTTGTGCAGAAGGTTGACCTGGTAGGTGCTTTTCCACATAGTGTCCAACACCAGAAGGAACTTCTCCAGTTCCACTGTGCAGCTAAAATAGAGCACGCAGGAGGGCAGGTACAGATTGCAGTCCTGGGCAAATTCCAAGATACAGTATTCCTGGCCAGCCTCTGTAGAGACAAAGACCATGCCTGCCAACTTAGCAGTGGCCAGCAATTGATACAAGATGAAGTTGCTGAGGACCAGGTAGCAGTCTTCCACTTCTCCTTGCCCAGGTAGTTGGTGCCTGCCTTGTAGTTCAGGGTGCCTTATTTTGTGATGGGGTGCTCAGCCATCATGTAGCCCAAGGGGACCAGTCCTGAAGTCATGTCCATGGGGTCTTCCCAGTGGATCAGGCCATAGAAGCAGACTATCACACCCAAGGTCTCTTGCTTAGATTCCTGAGCCACAAACTTGGCCAGTGCCAACTTCTCCATGGCAGTGTCCGGCAGGGTGCTGGCACAGGGTGGCTTCCAGCAAGCAACCTTTGAACATGGATGACTTGAGGTACACCAGGAAAAACTTGGTCAGGGTGATGTCAGCCATGTCCATAAGGAATTGCTTCCTGAGGTTGGTGAAGACCAAGTTCCTCATCTGTTGATCCAGGCCCAATGAGATCCAGTCCTCCTCATTATAGGAAACTGCCTCCTCTACCATGTCCGGCTTTTCAGTGGCTCCTTTGCGGCAGAGGTAGATGTAGCAGTCAGTCAGCAGCACATAGAAAAGCTAGAAGTTCCCCTCCATGTGCCCAGAACTGATGAGGATCATCCAGAACAGCTACTCCTCATTCTCCAAAACATGGAACATCAGAAGCAAAAAGTAGCTGTTGTCTACCCTGAACTCGGGAGGGGTGGGTTGTCTCGGAAGGGCTTCCCTGGTTGTCTTCTCATGGCGCTGCTTGGAGAGGGGCTGGCCCTGTCTCCCCTTAGCCTACTGAGGGCCTCCACACTCACCGCCTCTACCTCCTGAAGAAGCTGAAGAAGGTGCAAAAAGGGTTTTCTTGTGTGTGTGTTTCTTTGTGGCTGATTAGCTGCTCTCCCTGTGCAAAGATCAGAGGGGGCAGGGTTTCTGTTGAGGCAGGTGATTAGCTGTGGGAGGAGCTTATCAGAGCTTGCAGGGCAGCGGCGCGCGCCTAGCGGCGCACGCAGTTTGATCCATCTTTTAGATTTAGGGGAGCTAGTCTCAAACGTTTGTTGGGGGAGACCTAGGTTTTTTGGGGGGGGAGTTATTTGTCCTGTCTTCACACTTTTTATGATGGAGGACCACTGTAGCCACCCCCAACGACACGTTCTCAAGATAGAGGGGGAGGGAACAGCTGCAGTCGCCTGCGGTTCCTGCGCAATGTTTGCCATCTTGCCAAAGGTTGCAGGCAGCTTTACCTGCAGCAATTGCATGTTGATTGCCCTCGCTCCAAAGAATTAGAGAGCTGGAGCTCTTCTTGGAAGCAACAGAGCACACTGTCTCCACCAAGGAGGAGACAGGGGACTCCCCTGAGAAGGAGGCTAGTTCACCAACACAGGAGCCAGATATATGGAGAAACGTAACTCAAAGAAGTAGGAGGCCCAGGGTTCGCTCTGATTGTTTAGAAATACACAATCGCTTTGAGGTCTTCTCCCCTAGCATGGAAGACGAAGAGCAGACTCCATTTGAGGATCTCTCCCTCATTACAGTCGATCAGGTATATGAAGACGAGCAGCAAAGTCAGTCCTCAGGGAATGTGCAGGCGACCTTGGAACGGACAGCTCACGGAAGAACCCCGACCAAACCTAAGAGGAGGCATGTAGTGGTGATAGGGGATTCCCTACTGAGGGGAACAGAAGCAGTGATCTGTGGGCCTGACAAGATGTCTCGGGAAGTGTGCTGTCTCCCCGGGGCTAAGATCCAAGATGTAACTGAACGACTGCAAAGAATCAGACAACCCACAGCCAAATACCCCCTCCTCTTCGTTCATGTGGGAACCAATGACACTGCAAGCAATAGCCTCCAGAAGATCAAAAGAGACTACGAGGCTCTGGGCAGGAAATTGAAGCAATTAAATGCAGAAATTGTCATCTCATCTGTCCTCCCAGTGGAACAATGTGGCCCAGGGAGAGAGGGAAAAATAGTGGAAGTGAACAGCTGGCTTCGCAAATGGTGTAAACAGGAACGGTTTGAATTCTTAGATCACGGACTGCAGTTTCTTGAAGAGTGACTTCTGGCAAGCGATGGGCTGCACCTCACAACAGATGAGGGAGGAATGTTTTTGCCAAAAATCTCAGAAACCTCATCAGGAGGGCTTTAAACTGACTAATGTGGGGGAGGGAGACAGTGCTCCTGAAGGTAGGAGTCTATCAACTGATGAAGATGATCATCCAAATGTCCAAATGTCATAGACCAAATGGAGCAAACAGCACGCAGACCTAGTGGTGGGAGGAAAAAATCCTTAAGTAAGAGTCACGGGGGAATGATTAATGGACTTCAATGTCTGTACACTAATGCGCAAAGCATGGGAAATAAACAAGATGAGCTTGAGCTCTTGGTACAGCAAACTAAATATGACATAATAGGCATCACTGAAACCTGGTGGGATAAGTCCCACGATTGGAATGTAATAATGGAGGGATACAATCTATTTCAGAGAAACAGACCAGACAAGAAAGGAGGAGGAGTGGCGTTATATGTCAGGGATGTGTATACCTGTGAAGAGATCCAAGATTTAGAACCTCAAAGCCAAAGTGAGAGCATTTGGGTCAAAATTAAGGGAGAGAAGAATAACAGTGACCTCATTGTGGGAGTTTACTATAGATCCCCAAGCCAAACGGAGGACGTAGATGATGCCTTCCTGGAACAGATGGCCAAGCATGCAAAAGGAAGGGAGATAGTAGTAATGGGGGACTTCAATTACCCGGATATTTGTTGGATGTCAAACTCGGCCAAGAGCATAAGGTCAAACAGATTCCTCACTGGCCTTGCAGACAACTTCATTGTCCAGAAAGTGGGAGAAGCAACAAGAGGAACAGCCATTTTAGATCTGGTCCTAACCAATGTTGATGACCTGGTTAGTGGGGTAGAAGTGGAAGGATCATTAGGCGCGAGTGATCATGCTCTTCTGAAGTCAAATCAAATCAAATCAAATTTATTAAACGGTCACAGACCAGATTAACTCGTACAGCTAGTCAGCGAAGCATAACACCGGAAAAAACAAAGGACAATTTCAATACATAACTGCAATTTAAAATTAGACAGCATAAATAAAAAATTAAGTATTTGCCTTCGCCTGCGTAATGACATTGGAAAGCTCTTGTTTCCTGCACCTAATAGCGGCTACACAAAATTTGGCCACATTGATCGTAATTTCAGAAACCTTATCTTCTACCAAGGCTCTCATACGTTGGAGTTCTGGTTCATTTTTAAGCTTTTGTAGAACTGGGGCAATAAAGGTCAAGCGTAGATCCTCATAGTAACTACAGTGCAGCAATACATGCAGACTTGTTTCCACTTCCGATGAGCCACACGGGCAAACACGTGACTCATATGGTTTGCCCTCATATCTGCCTAGCAGCAGGGCAGAGGGCAGAACGTTAAATCTGGCCAGGGTAAAGGAGTGTCTGTACTTAGGTATTTGTAAATCAGCCAAATAATTTGCGGGTGAGAACCCTCTCCCAAAGTCTCTAATTATGGCATGTTTATCCATTTTGCCCATATGACATTGCAGCTCTATGTCCCTAATGCGTTGGAGCACTTGACTTCTGGCTCTCTCATATCCTGCCGCTATCAAGATCTGTGGGGAGAATCCCAAGCTTCTTATCTTTTCAAACAGGGAAGCTTTCCAGGTGGAATGAAAGGTGTCTAAGAGTGTTAAAGGAGCCAAACCGGCCAGGAAAAAAAATAAGTTTTAACCAGTAGTGTATCTTTAGAATCCACAGCCGCGCATTAACGGGTGGTTGTCCAACTTCTAAGCGGACAGCTATATTAGATACACAGGGGGATCCCAATAAACACCGATAGAATTTTGTTTGAAATGCCTCCATAGGCGCAAATTTTTAAAACTGCAAACCTGGGATCCATAAGTAAGTTGTGGGAGTATTTTTGCAGCAAAAACCTGGGAGGCCGCCGGAACGTATTTACCCCCTTTCCCGTGAAAAAATCTTGTAAGGGCTTTATTAGCCCTTCCTGCGTTGGCAATGGCGTTTTTCATCTGTTGATGCCACGAGACCCTTTCCTGAAAAGTTATTCCCAGGTATTTGAAAGTTGCTACCTGGTCAATAGGTTGACCATTAATTCTCCATTTGTGTTTCCTTCTTTTTTTTGAAAACACCATAATAGTAAACTTCAGAAGAGATCTCGGTGGGACCTCTTCTGAAGTTTACTATACAGAGGGAAGGAGCAGCCAAGCATACTAGGACTCAATTTCTTGACTTTAAGAAAGCCGACTTCATAAAACTTAGGGAAGTGCTGGGTGAGATCCCATGGACAGTAATACTAAAAGGAAAGGGAGTTCATGATGGCTGTGAGTTTATTAAGAGGGAGATAGTAAAAGCACAACGTCAGGCAATACCAATGAGACAGAAACATGGAAGGTGCCTAATGAAGCCAGGGTGGCTATCTAAAGAACTTTTAACTGAGTTAAGATTAAAAAAGGATGTGTACAAAAATGGAAAAGGGGGAAACCACCAAAGAGGAATTCAAACAAATAGCCAGCACGTGTAGACACAAAGTTAGAAAAGCTAAAGCACAGAATGAACTCAGGCTTGCTAGAGAGGTTAAAAGCAACAAAAAAGGCTTTTATGGGTATGTTCGTAGCAAAAGGAAGAACAAAGAAACAGTGGGGTCACTCAGAGGAGAAGATGGTGAAATGCAAACAGGGGACACAGAAAGAGCTGAACTCCTCAATGCCTTCTTTGCCTCAGTCTTCTCCGATAAAGAAAACAATGCCCGACTTGAAGAATTTGGAGCAAATGATTCAGCAGAGGAAACACAGCCCAGAATAACTAAGGAGATAGTACAAGAATACTTGGCTAGTTTAGATGTATTCAAGTCTCCAGGGCCAGATGAACTGCATCCAAGAGTATTAAAAGAACTGGCAGATGTGATCTCAGAACCACTGGCAGTCATCTTTAAGAATTCCGGGAGAACAGGCAAAGTCCCGGCAGACTGGAGGAGGGCAAATGTCCCTATTTTCAAAAAGGGGAAAAGAGAGGACCCAAATAATTACCGCCCAGTCAGTCTGACATCAATACCAGGGAAGATTCTGGAGCAGATCATTAAGCAAACAGTCTGTGAGCACCTAGAAAGGAATGCTGTGATCACCAATAGTCAGCATGGATTTCTGAAAAATAAGTCACGTCAGACTAACCTGATCTCATTTTTGACAGAATTACAAGCCTGGTAGATGAAGGGAACGCAGTGGATGTAGCCTACCTTGATTTCAGCAAGGCATTTGACAAGGTGCCCCATGATATTCTTGTAAAGAAGCTGGTAAAATGCGGTCTTGACTATGCTACCACTCAGTGGATTTGTAACTGGCTGACTGACCGAACCCAAAGGGTGCTCATCAATGGTTCCTCTTCATCCTGGAGAAGAGTGACTAGTGGGGTGCCACAGGGTTCTGTCTTGGGCCCGGTCTTATTCAACATCTTTATAGACGACTTGGATGATGGACTCAAGGGCATCCTGATCAAATTTGCAGATGACACCAAACTGGGAGGGGTGGCTAACACCCCAGAGGACAGGATCACACTTCAAAACGACCTTGACAGATTAGAGAACTGGGCCAAAACAAACAAGATGCATTTTAACAGGGAGAAATGTAAAGTATTGCACTTGGGCAAAAAAAAGGAGAGGCACAAATACAAGATGGGGGACACCTGGCTTGAGAGCAGTACATGTGAAAAGGATCCAGGAGTCTTGGTTGACCACAAACTTGACATGAGCCAACAGTGTGACGCGGCAGCTAAAAAAGCCAATGCAATTCTGGGCTGCATCAATAGGAGTATAGCATCTAGATCAAGGGAAGTAATAGTGCCACTGTATTCTGCTCTGGTCAGACCTCACCTGGAGTACTGTGTCCAGTTCTGGGCACCACAGTTCAAGAAGGACACTGACAAACTGGAACGTGTCCAGAGGAGGGCAACCAAAATGGTCAAAGGCCTGGAAACGATGCCTTATGAGGAACGGCTAAGGGAGCTGGGCATGTTTAGCCTGGAGAAGAGGAGGTTAAGGGGTGATATGATAGCCATGTTCAAATATATAAAAGGATGTCACATAGAGGAAGGAGAAAGGTGGTTTTCTGCTGCTCCAGAGAAGCGGACACGGAGCAATGGATCCAAACTACAAGAAAGATGATTCCACCTAAACATTAGGAAGAACTTCCTGACAGTAAGAGCTGTTCGACAGTGGAATTTGCTGCCAAGGAGTGTGGTGGAGTCTCCTTCTTTGGAGGTCTTTAAGCAGAGGCTTGACAACCATATATCAGGAGTGCTCTGATGGTGTTTCCTGCTTGGCAGGGGGTTGGACTCGATGGCCCTTGTGGTCTCTTCCAACTCTAGGATTCTATGAAATCAATGGAAAATGTTACAGCCATGTTACAGATTGGTTACAATACCATCAGTTACATGAAATGTTTAAATTAGATAGAAAGAATCGTTTTTCAGACCAAAGCTCATAGTTCAAAAAAGAACTCCTACAAAACAAAGAAACTTTTGTCTAAAATGTATAACCTGTTACTAGAATGGGAAACAAAAGACGAGCTAGTTAAAGCCTCAATGACACTGGGCAATAGATATAGGACACAATATAGATTTTAACCTCTGGGGAAAACTCTGAAAAAGTGACTTGAAATTTGCAGCATGTTATTCTTTGAAGGAGAACTACCTGAAAATGATTCACAGATGGTATTTAACTCTGAGTAGGCTTGCTAAGATGTACAAGACAGAAGCAGATAAGTGCTGGAGGGGTAAAGATGCAGAGGGAAAGAGGATAAAAGAGTATTGGGAAATGATCTATAATGAGTTGAAGAAAATGTTTTAAAGTACTTTCCTCCCAAAACCCCAGAGTCCTTTCTGTTGGGAATAATTCAGACTGAAATCCCCAGGAGTCAGAAAAGGTTATTTATGTATGCAAAGACTGTAGCCTATGTTTTGTTAGCCCAAAAATGGAAAACGAGTGAGTTCCCAAACAAAGAAGAGTGGCAACAAATTGACAGAATATGCACAACTTGCAGACTTAACATATAGAACAAGAGAACAAGAAGAACATCCGTTTAAAGAAGATTGGAAAACGTTTACAGTGGTACCTTGGTTCTTGAACGGCTTAGTTGTCGAACAACTCGGAACACGAACGTTGCAAACCAGAGTCCTTTCTGTTAGGGATAATTCAGACTGAAATCCCCAGGAGTCAGAAAAAGGTTATTTATGTATGTAACGACTGCGGCCCGTGTTTTGTTACCCCAGAAATGGAAAACAAAAGTAAGTGTTCTGGTTTGCAAACTTTTTTCAGAAGCTGAACATGTGAGTGCTGGACTTCCGATTTGAATGTTGTGCTTCCCTTCTGAGCGCCACGCTGAGATCTGTCGGCTGGCGAGTCCTGAGCACCAAGCAACGTGGAGGTGATATTTGGAGCTTATTGGTGCTTTTGTTTTTGCTATTTATTTTGCATTTTTGTTTTGGGGGCTTTTTTGGCTAATTTGTTTTTGTGACTGTGGAACCCAATTCAGTGGTCTTGTTAGTAAAATTAATGTTAAATTGCTGTTTTAGGGGTTGTTTTTAAAAGTCTGGAATGGATTAATCCATTTTGCATTACTTTCTATGGGATAGCACGCCTTGGTTTTGGAACACTTTGTAAATTGAACAGACTTCAGGAACAGATTAAGTTTGAGAATCAAGGTACCACTGTATTGAATATACGGAAAATAATTGTGTACAGCTGAAAATGCTGGCAGTGTTAAGATAAATTCAACAGTGTAAATAAGTTTTGATGGATGCAGTAATGAAAAACTGATGGATATGTTTTTTTGTAAAATATACAGGGATTTAAGATATGTAAAATGAACCATGGAAAGAGAAGAAGGGAAGTCATTGATATCTAAAGGATGTAAAATGAATATTTGAAATTGTAAAACAGAAAATTTAATAAAAATTATAAACAAAAAAAAAGATGTTTAAGATATTTCTGCACACTTTCAACCTGTCAGTGGACAGATAACTTCATTCTAGGATGCCTATTGTTTTACACTATCCATAAAGCACTTCCTGCCCCACCTATAATCTTAACATTTTGTACAGTTCAATGAAACCTTTTCTGCCATAGACAATCCCTGTCACTACCTTTAACTAAGAAGAAAACACTATCTGATGGGTAGAAAAACGCTACCAGAAGGTGCTTGGACCCTTCTGCCCTCACAAAGTCCCTCCTGAGCCACAAACAAGCCCTTCCACACAGAGTCCTTTCTAACTGCTCACTGTCAGTATTTAATTCCCCCCACCTCTAACTGGGTGTACTCACGAACTGACTGGTTGCTGGGTCCCCAAGAAGCAGACCCAGTGCCTGTCCATCACACTCGCCCTTTCATGGCATGTACCATACTTTTCTGTCTATAAGACACCCCCATGTATAAGACGCCCCCTATTTTGGGGGGCTATAATTTAAGAAAATGTGGGGAGATGGCTATATTACCAGAGTTGCTGAGCTTTTGGGGGGGGGGTTGCCCAAGGTTCTTGAGCTTTTGTTGTGGGGGGGGGGGAATGCAGAAAATCACTAACCCTAAAGACAAGAGCTCAGAATCGCTTGCATCGCAGAAGGCGACAAGTGTCCATTCGCAAACACAAGCCAGAAACCAAACACCCAATTGCCACAACAGCAGCCAATCCAAAGCAGCCCTTGACGCAGCCAACCATCACTCCCAAATTGCCGCTTACAAGCTGCAGCTTGCAGCGGCAACCAATCACCTGGTCTCCCAATGTACTGCCTGTGTGTTAGACAAGCCCCGTATTTAAACACTATTTTGGAGTAAAAATCCCTTGTCTAATACATGGAAAAGTACAGTATATTGTTGCTCACCACCCCAGTCTCCAAGCAGTAGGAGCATCGAGGGGTTCCAGCCACTTGCCCAGGGCTCGGTGCCCTTGAATGGGGGACAATGGAGACCGTGGCATCATTAGATGGTTTATTTAAACATACATACAACCTGAGCCTGCGATGGAGAGGCTCCCAGCATTAACAGCCCAGGAGGGCTTGCTTCTCCCCTAGCCACAGCCTCGGATTCCAGCAGAAATCAGGCATGGCTCTGTCTCCCTACTGCCCAGCCTGCAGACTTGCTACTAGCTTCTACCTCACATACAACTCAACTCTAAAACGCTGACCTTTGTCTTTCTAACTACCAGCACCTTGAGGGAGGAGGACCCCCCCCCCCCATTTGCCGTCTGGCACAGAACCACTTCCTTTGTTAACCTGTGTTTAGAGGGCAATTGTCTCCCCAGGAAGCTAGCATGGCTTTCGTGGGAATTTAATCTGTACTGGATCCAGGATTTAGAAGGGGCCTCCCCCCCCCCCGACTCATAACAATATATACACAAACTCCACACATGTATGTATATCCTCCCTGTCCCTCACACACAGCTCATCCATGCCTCCCTCCCTCCCTCTCACTCCCCCCACTATCACAAACCCCACATGTACCTCTCTTCTGCACAGGTGACTCCTGCAGACACTTTCCTATGCAGACCAGCCCCCTCTCTCCATCCCCACAGATCATGGACCTGCTCACACAGCTGAGGCCTGTGTCACATGCTGTACATGTCCCTTTATGACTGTCCCCCTTGCCCCCACAAGTATATATACCTTTCCCCTCTTTCTTTCAGACGTATGTGCTTCTCTGAAACTAGTTGCACTCTTCCCCCCCCCCCATCTCACAGGCCCCTCTCACAAGCATACAGGCATGCCCTTCCCCAGCACACACCCCTCCCTCTTTTACATCCCCCCATATATTTCACTCATTTACACAGATCATGCTGCATATGCATGCACACACACACCTCACAAACTTGCTGTTTACACAGCTGATAAACCCTGGCCAATGAAAACAATGTACATGTAGATGAAAAAATATGGCCAGTTAAAACTATGTAGTACAATAGGAATTGGGGGGCAATTAGCTTGTTCAATAAATGTGAAGAAGATTAAAATAAAAATTAAAAAAATCCTTCAGTGCTGGCATGGTTAAGACCTGTGCAGTGCATTATGACAGTCCTGACCCCTGAACCTGGTCCTTATTATGCAATTCAACAGTATGACCTCAATCTGTTGTCAGAAAAGAATTAATTGGGTGCAGACCAAGGATAGTTATTCTTGAGTTTACTCTGGAGCTCAGAGACCACCAGTGATTCATCTCCTACAGTAAACTGCTAGCCTGGGAGTGGGCAGGTACCATGCTTTTCTGTGTATGGGACATACAGAAGCCTCTTTGTCTCTTTCCCTTCAACAATCAAGGCCTTCATCTTGAAGGCTACCTTCAATATTAAGGAAGGCCACACTTAACAATAGTGCACAGACTCTTAAAAGAGCCCCACAGTGTGTGTTTAGCACATTAGAAGACACTGATTTTGTAATAACAGGAGCAGCAGCAGATGTTTCTTTTAAAGTCAAGGTGATGGGAGGTGCCATTGTTCCTCTGATGTAATTTTTGTGGCAAGCCAAGTGGCTGTAATTGGGGAAATTGTAGGAAAAGTGCAAGTAATAAGCTTGAATGGGGAACCCTTTAATTTAACCTGGTTAAATCCAGGTCACAATCTAATGCAGAGCTTCTGACTCTGCCAATTATCTACAGACAGGGTAGCCAATGTGGGGCCTGCAGATATTGCTGGATTCCAACTCACATCAGACCCAGCGAGCAGAGTCAACGATCGGGAAGGATAGAAGGTGGAATCACTAGAGGGGATGCTGCTGTAGATGTCTCTAATTATAATTAACTGCATTTACATGCTTCCCACTTATATATATATATAATGAGGCCATTTTAAAGTTGAAATGCACAGCCTACCATCTTACATGGTCTCCCATCAACAGATGCTTTATATGATAGAACCTAACCACTACATCTTTCTGTACTGAAGAATCTGCAATAGATTATGACAGGAATTGTCTGTGTAGCTTTTATGGGTTTAAAAAGCTGGAGAAGAGGTTTATGAGATGGAGAAAGCCCCTGGTTTTCAGACGTACTTTGGGTCGACCATTTACATATCATCGTATGTATAAAACTGTTTGGAGGGGGGAGATGGCGGAGAGAAAGAAAGACATACATTCACTTTGTACATTTAAGTATGGCTTCCTGCAAAGAATCCTGGGAACTGCAGTTTGTTAAGGATGCTGGGAGTTGGTCGCTCTCCAAGGGATCTTCTAATAACTTTTAGTACCTTAACAAACTACAGTTCCCAGGATTGTTGGGGGGAAGCTATGGCTGTTAAGTTAACGTGACACCAGAGGGCTTTAAATGTGTCGTGTGGGTGAAACCAGAGAGAGAAGGTGGCCCAGCCCTCCTTCCTCACCCACCACTGTAGAAAGAGAAAAGGTTGCCGGCCCCGGGTTAGGGGATGTCCCATAGCTCCAGGGTGGAGAACTGTGGTGAGAAAACATGTAATGTTCAATGGAAATAATCTTAGGAAGCCGAAGCCTTGAAGAATTTCTGCTAGTCAGCACAATCAATACTAGTGGGCTAGTTGGACCAATGATCTGGCTTGCCATTTTACAGGGGTGGCTGGCTGGTGCCCATTAGCAGGCAGAACCAGCACTTGGGTTTCCCCCAATGCTCTTCCCAGCTGAATCCTACAATGACAACACTGGTGCTAAGGAGGAGGTGGCGGCAGCTCCTTGGACAGGTCGTCAGTAAGGCAGGTGGGTGGGAGCAGGCTGAAAACAGACTGAGATGCCTGGGGGCCGTACGCCATTTGCCCAAAAGGACCAACCACAGCATATTTATATGACATGTGGATGAATAGGCTTAGGATTTTATATAAGTTAAGTGATGAATCAATATGTATAATTTCAAAAGGTAAAGATTGAAAGATGTTAAAGCTACAGATAAATTTTATAAGAACTGTGATCTGGAAAACCGTTAAATGGATATGCATGGAAATTCAACCAAGGGGAAGCGAGGAAGTCACTTAACAGTGTTAATGAGTATAATTTCTAATAAGATTATGATTTGTGTCTTGTTTGTTTATAATTTTGTGAAAATTAATAAAAAAAATAGGGGGGGGATATGACATGTGGATAAGGAAGCTGGTTCTCTGACGTGTCCTGAGAAGTATTGCCTAGTGTCCCCAGGTAATCTGGCTGGTGTATAGATCGGCGGGGTGGGGGACGGATGGACGGACCTCTGGCTTGCAGTCCTCAGAACTCTCAAGGCTGCACCACTCACTGGTCCTTCTCCATACCCGCTTTGAGTGTTTTTGTTTGGCTATAATGTGTCCTTGAACACTAATACAGTGGTACCTTGGGTTACATACGCTTCAGGTTACATACGCTTCAGGTTACAGACTCCGCTAACCCAGAAATATTGCTTCAGATTAAGAACTTTGCTTCAGGATGAGAACAGAAATTGTGCTCTGGCGGCGCAGCGGAAGGCCCCATTAGCTAAAGTGGTGCTTCAGGTTAAGAACAGTTTCAGGTTAAGTACGGACCTCCAGAACAAATTAAGTACTTAACCTGAGGTACCACTGTAATGCCTCATGCTTGTCTGGATGGAGAATAGAGAGCTGTGACAGTGTAAGGAAGCTAGTCTATTGTACAACCGTAAAAATTGCATTACTTTCTCCACCCACTTTCACCTCTGGCCCCCCACCAGAAAGTTGCTTGGGAGTGTGGCTTTGGACAGAAAAATATTCCCCATCCCTGCAGTATGGCAGGAGACCAGCCACTGCTATGGATGTGGCTCAGCTGTGGAGCAGCAAGGTGTGAAGGAGCTGCCTTGGCCTGGCAACGGTGCCTAGGGGAACTTTGGGACAACGCAGTGTGCATTAACTTGCCAGCACAGCCACATCAGCCTGACGTAAGAGCCTTGCTGGATCCGGCCAAAGGCTCCTAGAATCCAGCACCCTGTTCTCAGAATGGTCTGTCAGGTGCCTACGGGAAGCCTGTAAGCATGACCGGAGTGAAACACCACTCTCCCCGCTTGTGATTTTCAGAGCCATGTTGCCTCCAACAGAGAACATTACAATTGTGGCTAGGAGTCACTGATTGCTCTATCCTCCATGAATTTGGCTATCCCAAGTTGGTGGCCATCATTACATTTTGCCAGACAAATTCCATAGTTTACCTATGTGCCGTATGAATAAGTACTTTCTTTTGGGCTGTCCTGAATATTGCCACATTCCGCTTCATTGGATGACCTCAGGTTCTAGTATTATGAGGACAAAACCTTTTGTCTACTTTCTCCACACCTTTGCAAAACCACCAGCATGCTTTCCCCCTCTAAACTGTGAAGCCTCCCAGATGCTGCAACCTTTCCTCATACTGGAGTTGCTGTAGCCCTTAAAAAAATTTCTTGTCCTTTCCTGCACCCAGATATAAAAATGTGACATGAACTGCAAATGAACCTGTCTCTTCGCTGGTGCCAGCTCTGCTTTTCTGACTTGCAGATACTTTTTTCTTTTTACTTTAACACAAGAGGGAGCATTTCAAAACAGATCCCTTGCCCCTCTGCCCCACTTGCCGTCACATGCTGCAGAATGAGGGGGTAGAACTGGTGAGATCGCTTCAGGCTAATGGTGGAGAATCACCTTACTGAATTCTCCACTATGCAAAAACCACATCCACTCCCTGGAAGTAGCTCAGCAGGGAGGGCTTAAACAAGAACTGTTTGTGTGTGTTCTTTCTTTCTTTCTTTCTTTCTTTCTTTCTTTTGAGAGTATTCGGAATGAATGTCTTGCCTGCCACCTGAAGAGGTGCAATCCATTTTACCATCTCTCAGCATACACCACCACCCCTGCCTGCAGACAAGGCCTCGCTCAGGCAGTGCACCTCTTGGCCTGAAACATGGGGCTGGTTGGGTAGCTCAGCTGGCAAAGAAGGATACTCTTAATCTCAGGGTCATGGGTTTGAGCCCCAGGTTGGGTAAGGAGATGCATTTTCCAGATAAACTAAGTATTTCACAGGCTTAAACATAGTAGTACAGGCACAGCTCCTGTTAAACTTCCTTTACTCAAAATCAGTTGTTACACTTCAGTTTCTGTTACTCCTTTCAGTGGTGAAGCTGCATGCTCTGGCGGGGGGGGTTGTGGAGGGCAGGTGGGAGCGTGGCTGGCGGCCCTGGGGCGTGGCATGGGTCCTGGGGGCGTGGCATGCTGCTTGCAGGGGGTGGCGCTTGGTGCAGTGGGGGTGCGCCACGCCCCCAGGATGCATGCCACGCCCCCACGGGGTGTGTGGCTGCAATGGTACCCCCTCCCCGTTGGTGCTGGGGGGGTGAGCTCCCCCCGCCCCTCCGCCAGTGACTCCTTTCTAGGTCCTCACTCTTAGGTCAGGCAGATGCTTCAAGTCAATGCTTTCAACAAAGTTGAAATTCCACTCCTGAGGTGCCCCAGCTGGTATAAGACCCAGGGGATGCCCTCGCCCAAAGGGGTCTTCTGTACCTAGAAGCACTCTCCCTTCCTGGCTAGACTGAGAGCCAGGGGTCCTATAGTCCCACAACTTCTCCCTCTCCCACTTTTTCCTTTTGTTAGTCACTTTGTGTTGGACATTATTATTATGGGATAGCTTGGTCAGTAGAGGGTCGTGGGTTTGAGTCCCACACTGGCCAAAAGATTCCTGCTTTGCAGGGGGCTGGACTAGATGACCCTCGTGGTCCCTTCCACCTCTACAATTCGGTTATTCTATATTTATTTATTTACAGTCCACCTTTCCCCAGACCTGGACTCAAGGTGTATTATAACACAAATAAAATACAAAAACTAAAAACCATGTAAAATGGTTTAAAAAGCAATTAGTAGGATTTCAGCAACATAAAATCAGATCTTCTAAAATGCATAGCACTGTGAAAAGCCCTTTTTTTCTTTTCTGAAAAGGCGTGACGACTAGAGCAGCCTCTCCGCCAGGCGCCCCCGCCGCCCCGGGGGACAAGCCCGGCTGCTGCGGCCCCGGGATCGCGGGGAGATGGGGGCGCGGGGCGAGGCAGGCCTTGGCATCGGGGGGGGGCCGGGGGTTCCTGGGAGGCGCCCCCCCCCCCGCAGCCTGCCAAGGGACCAAAGTCCAGCGCCTTTGTTGGGTAAAGCAAAGTGCCGCAAAAGATTACTATTCTTATCATTATTATTATCATCATCGAGAGCGCCCCCCCCCGCGGCCCCGCCTCCCCTCGAGGCGCCACGCGGGACCGGCTCTTCGAGTGGGCGGGGCCCATGCAAATCAGAGCCCGAGTTCCCGAGCCGACGAATAGGAGCGGGCGGGGGGGGGGCAGCGGAGGCGGGGCGCCCTCCTTCCCCGAAAGGCGCATGCGCGGCGGCGGCCCGTCACTCTCTCCTCCGGCCCGTCAGGCGCCGCTTCTTCTCCGCGCGGCCTTCGCTGAGGGAGCCGAGCGGCCGGCGGGACACGCGTCGAGGGCTGGCCGTGCTGCGGGGACGTGACACGCGTCGTGAGGTAGAGCGGGGCGGGCGGGCCAGGGCCGAGGGGAGGCCGGGCGGGGCCCTTCGCCTGGGCTCTTCAGACGTGCCGCATCCATACACGTGTCATGCTGCCCCCGGGGCCTTCCCTCGGGGTCGCGCGCTCCGCCCCCCCCAAGTCCCTTGGGCGAAAGGTTTCCCGAGAGGGCCAGGGCAGCCCCCTCCCCCCCATCTGCTCCACACAATGTCCCCTGTGGGACAAGCATCCTTCCATCCCAGCTACTCGACCCGCATCCAGGGAGCATCTCCTTTCCCTCCAGCACCCCCACGCCAAAGGGCAGCCACGCGGTGTGACACACTCAGACAGGAGCCACCATCCAGGCTGCTAAGAACATATTCTCCCAGCCTAAGGCTGCTTATTTGAATGTACTGCCTGCTCAGTGGTCCCTGAATACACTGCCATAAATGCTTCCTGTAGGAGATCCCTGCCCGCCCCCTCCAGTGCACACTGGTCTGCCGCTTTTCTGAGATCCCCTGCTCTTGTTGCACAAGGACTTCATTCCAGGATCTCATCTTCTCCGCTTCCTCTCAGGACTCTTCATGCCCCTAGTGCCCAAACTTCTTTCAAAGAGGGCCAGATCTGATGAAGTGAACATGTGTTCACTTCAAAGTTGTTGAGCTTTTTTTAAAACTTTACCCCAAAGTTGTTGAGCTTTTCGAAATGGACTTTGGACATGCCTGCCCTAGTGCCTAACCATGTATCTGTCTGACTTTCCCATCCATTGTTATCTCCAAAGATTCCACAAGCCTTGTATACTTACATGCTGCTTCATTTTTGTACCATAACCTAGGCCATTTTTGTACCATAACCTAGGCAAATTAAGCCCCGGGGGCCGGATCTGGCCCAATTGCCTTCTAAATCTGGCTCACAGATGCTCCGGGAATCAGCGTGTTTTTACATGACTAGAATGCGTGCTTTTATTTAAAATGCATCTCTGGGTTATTTGTGGGGCATAGGAATTCATTCATTTTTTTTCCAAAATATAGTCCGGCCCCCTGCTGAAAAAGTTTGCTGACCCCTGGCCTAGGCAATCCCTTCCTAACATACCCAGATCCCCCTTATAGTAGATCCTCACTTGTTCTCTCCTTACCATGTTGGGAGTCACGTATGAATGTGTGCAGCCTGCATATTTTTGAGATGCTGTTGAATACTTATACTTCCAATACAAACTTGTAAATAGCTGTTGGGTTGTTCTTCTCAGAGTTTAATGGTGTGCTATAAGGGTTCAATGGAAGCAGGAATAAATTTCCCAGCAGTTTAAGGTGTTCCCAGATGCTAGATGTGAATGCACTGCTACTCCCTATCTTGCTGCCTGCTTGAGCCTTCAGTTGCTGGACAGGATTGAATAGTGCATAACTCGCATGACAGATGTGGAAAATGTTGTCACGTCATGGAGGTTTGCCTCTGAGACAGAGTTCTGATTTGTGGGAGGGAATCTGTATACTCTACCAGCCGCAGTGTATTCATCAATCGCTCTCTTGTAAGGGTAGCCAACCGTTGTGGTTCCATAGGCACAGTTGCAATTTGGGTAAACTGCTGTGTGCACCATGCACACACATGTGCACTCATCACAATCACATACATGCATATTCATTATCCCCCTGGCAACAATTGCACTTGAAAAAAGCCTTCCGTGGGCTAAAGTGGAAGGGCTCTTTCAAATATTATTTTTGAGGAGGAGGGGGCAGAAATGAGACGCTGCAAAACACAAGGGAAGGCCTCTGAGGGCACTGTGTTGGTAATGCATGTGTTAGCGGCTAACTGCACATTACACAATAAAAGCAGCTTTGGAAAAATGGGTTTTAGAGGAGAGAAGCATGGCAGAAGCATTCCTCATCCAATGTTTCTCTGCTGCAAACTGCTCCACTGCAGCTGTTCATGACTCCAAAAGCATTTTTGCTAGGGCAAAAGTACCGGTACTTTTCAGCTTTGAAGGGGAGGGGAAAGTCACTTGTAGAAGCAGATACAAATAGTACAGGGAAAGGAGTGCTCTGCAGAAGCTAGTTTTGATTCACCTTACCTTTCCCATATTTTATTTATTAAAATGTTTAAAGCACACAGTGTCAAGTGTTTCTACATTTCAAAACATAGAGCAACAATGTTCTGAATCAAAATAATAAATAAAAATCGAATAATAAAAGGTAAATAAAGTTAAATGGACAGTTAAGTCCAGTCATCGGCAACTATGGGGTGCAGTGCTCATCTCGCTTCAGGCCAAGGGAGCCAGTGTTTGTCCGCAGACAGCTTTCCAGGTCATGTAGCCAGCATGACTAAACCACTTCTGGCACAACAGGTCACCATGATGAGTGCCAGAGCGCACAGAAATGCCGTTTACCTTTCTGCTGCAGTGGGACCTATTTATCTACTTGCACTAGTGTACTTTTGAACTGCTACGTTGGCAGGAACTGGGACAAAGCAACAGGAGCTCACCTCGTCGTACAGATTCAAACCACCAACTTTCTGATTGGCAAGCCCAAGTGGCTCAGTGGTTTAGACCATAGTGCCACCCGCTCCCTATCAAAATAATACTGTAAGTCAGTGCAGTGGTACCTCAGGTTACAAACGCTTCAGGTTACATACGCTTCAGGTTACACACCCCGCTAACCCAGAAATAGTGCTTCAAGTTAAGAACTTTGCTTCAGGATAAGGACAGAAATCGGGCTCTGGCGGCGCGGTGGCAGCAGGAGACCCCGTTAGCTAAAGTGATGCTTCAGGTTAAGAACAGTTTCAGGTTAAGAACGGACCTCTGGAACGAATTAAGTACTTAACCGGAGGTATCACTGTAAATGCACATTCAACATAGATGCTGTTTAGATTGTTTGGAAGTCTGGTTCATATACGTGCAACAGACAAAGAAAATTGTGTGACAATTTCAAAATGAAACAAAACACCCATATACTTTTAAACTTTTTATGTGATTTTATTATTGCCAAAAAATGAAACTCTCTGTCTTTTCCCTAATTAAGGAGAAGTATAAGTAGTGCTAGTTTTCTGTAACTAGAACACAGAAGTTTAGCAGCACCTTTTATAGGCAGTCATAATATGCTAAATGTATACTATGGAATTTTTCATCCATATCATGCCAAATATTTTGCTAAACATCTGTATTCTACTGGTTGTTAGATCCATCTGTCTCAGGAGACAACGGAAGAGTGCACCTTCAAGGGTAAAGTCAAACCATTTTGGAGAGTGAAGTGTCTCTTCTGTGGCTTTAGGTTAATGGAAGGATGTATACAAAATTGTGATATTGCCTCAGGTGAATTCTCCATTCTGTCATCTGATGGTCTCTGTGGTGTCTCACTTAAGTGTCTGGATGATGCAATGCAGAGTAGTTTATTGGGTGGGACAGGGTGCAGTATAGGAAGCCTTGTGACTTGATGGGGGCTGATGCTGAGTTGCTGATGGCAGCTTCTTGGCAAAGCAAGTGGTGTGAAGGGGGTGATGCTTATTAGCAGCTTAGTCTTAACTTCGTGAATGCATCATGAATAACTCATTTCAGTGAGGAAATTCTTCTGTGTGTTGTGAAGAATCTGGAGAGACTCATCTAGCTAAATTGTTAAGGTCTGTTGCTTTCTTACTTAATTGCTAGTGGCAAAGTAAAACGAAAATGCTTAATGAAACATTGCCTCCTTTTATGCTTATCAGAGGTTGTGTCAGGAGTTCTTATATAAATACTCCTTTCTTATGATCCTTATAGGGTGGTTGTAAGGAGTGCGCTGAGCATTTTTAAATAGGAAAGTGGGATAGAAATAGTTTAAATAAATAAGATAATGTATGCAGTTTTTTAAACACTTGAAGTGCTGTACAAATGTCAAATATTATTTTCACACCTTTGGTGTCTCTTGTAGCAACCGTGACATGATAGTGGTAGAAAGTTTTTAGCCTTCCTAATGCAGGGATCATTTCACATTGAACTGCTTTACTGTAGCTTTCCTGGGTCTTAAACGGCTGTAATCTGGGGAGAGGGGCAGAGCTGATCTTCTAATATTACATTGTTATAGCGACACTTTACCTTGAAGTGCACAGAATGCTATTGACCCTTTATCCAAGGTCAGCACTTCTCATTTCAGTTTTATCTCTTCCTTCTCATGGAATTTTAAGCTCCGGTTGTTAAAAAACACCTTTATAAACTCTGAATTTGTGCAGGTGCCTATGCACAGCTGTGACAGACGGCAACACCTTGTTCCAGTGCCAACCCAGGAAGGTACCCCGCTGGCAACAGGTGCACTGTTGTGCTATGTTCCTCTTGCCACCAGCTGCTTATTTGTCCCCCAGGGCAAAGAGTATAGGATTCCCACTGCTTCATGGTGATCTACTTGGGAGTAGGGCTGAATTCCAAGTCTTCTGCCTGGCAACTTTGGCCTGTCACCTCTCCTGACCACCCAGGTGCTTTAACCCAGCAGCTTAGCTCAAGCAATCCACCCTGGAGTGTGTTCAGCAAGCAGCCCAGTCCAGAAATCCCGTAAAGCAGTGTATTTAAACAGACTATTAAAAGAAAGGGAAAGGTGGAGAAACAGTAAGCCACATTCAGGGATAGGGGATGTAGCTAATCCAATACTAGGCAAGCTTATACAACAACATTGACACTTTCGGTAGCCTTTGGAGTTGGCTGAAGGGGGGGGGCAAAGTATACAGGCATGATGCCATGTTCTGTGCTCTTTGATTGGGTTGATCAAGGATACCTCACAGAAAGCATCATGATATGGAGTCTGCTATTCTAACCAACTCTAGGAATTTTTTTAAAATAACCACCTGGGCAATTTTGAGGGTCTTTGGCACATTTCAGGTATGCTACCTGTAGTATGTCAGGAAAAGGAGGTGAAGGACTGTATTCTTCTTTTTACTGTTAGTGTATACTGCCCTTTATCTATAGATCACAACATAAAAATACAAAATGAAAACACAAAATACTTTCAAAAAAACCCCAAGCAAACCAGTAACCCCCATCCCACAAAACATTTAAAAGGCCATATTTTTATTATTGTATGGTGAACCTTGATATGAGGTTATGACATCATGGGTAGGTTTTATGAAGCTGTGAAGTAGATTTGGCTCCCCTTGAAAAAAATTGATATAGTGTCTGTGACTGAAAAGGTGCACAGGTATAAGCCTGCAAATTTCCATTGAAGGAAAGGGCTCTGGTGTTTTGCGTGTTTTATACTGTTTTTATACGTATTTGTGGCTACATTTTGTTCACTTCTTTGACATTTTAAAATATGGCTTATATATTTTCTAAATGTGAATGTTTATTCATAAAATCTGTTTAAAAGTGAGTTATAAAGTTGGATGGATCACAAGAGTACATCATCCTTCTGTGTACATAATTGTCTGGAGCAATTTGACCCTAATTTAATCTTGTGGCAATCTAGGCTAGGCTGCCATGTGGCCATCTGTTTGCACTCCTCTGATGCTGTAGCCCCCACGCAAAAGTTATTGCTGTAACAGTGATAAAAATGGTTTGGATAGTGTGCCTTGTGACTGTACTTGACAATGTCATTTCCTAGGTTTTGGACCTGAGCCAAAGCTATGGGGCAGGATTTCGCCCAGTTGTTATGCAAGAGACCACCTGTCTTCCTTCCTTGTTAATATGCACCGTGTATCCAGTTGGTGCTGCGTTTTCTTGTGGACTTTGGAACTTTTATCAGGCGTGTTCCTGGTCTCTGGACTGCCTGATCTGATAGGGCCTAATCTGCACTTGACCAATTAAAGTGTCCCATTAAAGGTGCTAGTAACTGAGGTCTTTAGCACAGTGTCTGCCATAAGGGCAGCAAATAACTGGTTGTTTCTCTACTTGTAAGAGGATAGTTGTTTTCCACATCCTCTGACTATGGGCTGTGTGTATCAATACACACTTCTACCATTTCAGTGTGCTGTACATTCTGAAAGTTGCATATTGTTGAAAGGTTGACAGGAAGAAGAGAGAACGTATTTTGTGTGCCACTTGTGTGCCCCTCTTGGATTGGCCTTTTTCATTTAAATATAGTTCTAGTGGGATAATGACTCGTGTGCCACTGAGAGCACAGCTTGTGATTTTTCACTTATGCAGCACTATAGACATACAAGGCTCTTCACCATATAATGCAAGGTAAAAAGATATGGTCCTGCCCTAGAGGGCTTACAATGTAAATGACCAAATATCACACCACCCCAGATCAGCAAGACATTTACATTTTCACTAGCAGCTGGTAAATGTACTTCATGTCTCCTTCAAACTCCTTCAAAGGATGAGTCTTTTCTTTTCTTTTTAAATAATATTTATTGCTTTTATACCTTACAAAAAGAAAAAAGAGAAAAGAAGAAAGAAAAAAAGAGAAAAAAAGTAAAGAAGCCTAAAGAGAAAACAATACAATACAATATATAAACAATACAGAATGCAACATTAACATTAACACATTAACAAAACAAAAACAATTCAAAAAAACCACACATCGTACCATCTCAATATCCTCTCTTTCATTCCCTTGTTTCATCGACCTCCTCTCACCTCCCTTTTTGTATTCCATTTCTACTAATTGTTTCAGCAAATCCTTTCCATCTTTCTCTATTTTCTGTCATGTAATTATCTTAACATATTTTAACCTTATTTTCCATTAAACTATAATACTTATTTATGGCTTGACAACCATATGTCAGGAGTGCTCTGATGGTGTTTCCTGCTTGGCAGGGGGTTGGACTCGATGGCCCTTGTGGTCTCTTCCAACTCTATGATTCTATGATTCTATGATTCTATGATTCTATGATTATACTTAATTCCTTAAGATATTTCTACTAAAGCCATATAATTCCCTTCCAACATTTTTCTAACACTCATTAATTTTACATTATTTCCATGTATAGGTTTTAAACTTTTTCCAATATTCTTCCACCGTCTCTTCTCCCTGGTCTCGGGTTCTGCCAGTCATTTCCGTCAATTCCAAATAGCCCATCAACCTGGTGATCTTCTGTCCGAGGCTCTTAATTCTTTTCCAGGTCCCTTCTGCAGGTCTTCTTCATATTTATACGTGCACTTTACTTTGTCTTCTCCTGATCTTGTTCTTATTTTCCTTCCTTTGATGCTGAAAAGTAAATCTCCGGGAAATTCCCATCTAGCAATGTTTTTATTCCTTCTCGACAAGTCAACCAAATCTCCATAATTAAAACTGAAATTCAGAAGATATTTCCAATCGTGTTCCAAAGTTCCTCCAAATCTGGCAGTCCCCACAACTCCAGTCTCCTTCTGACCCAAGTCCAAGTCCCAAAAGTCAATCTCCAGTCCAAGCGGGGCTCCAATCCTATTGTAGCCTCCTTTGGAATTTGGTCCTCCTCTTGGAGCTACAGAAAAGAGGAGCATATCACTATGTACATCGTTATGGAGCTAACAGTGTATTCCGAAATTCTTCACTAGGTTCAGCCACCTTGCCTAAAAAAAAGAAAATGGCCAGAGGCAATTTCATAGAATCATAGAATCATAGAATCCTAGAGTTGGAAGAGACCACAAGGGCCATCGAGTCCAACCCCCTGCCAAGCAGGAAACACCATCAGAGCACTCCTGACATATGGTTGTCAAGCCTCTGCTTAAAGACCTCCAAAGAAGGAGACTCCACCACACTCCTTGGCAGCAAATTCCACTGTCGAACAGCTCTTACTGTCAGGAAGTTCTTCCTAATGTTTAGGTGGAATCATCTTTCTTGTAGTTTGGATCCATTGCTCCGTGTCCGCTTCTCTGGAGCAGCAGAAAACCACCTTTCTCCCTCCTCTATGTGACATCCTTTTATATATTTGAACATGGCTATCATATCACCCCTTAACCTCCTCTTCTCCAGGCTAAACATGCCCAGCTCCCTTAGCCGTTCCTCATAAGGCATCATTTCCAGGCCTTTGACCATTTTGGTTGCCCTCCTCTGGACACGTTCCAGTTTGTCAGTGTCCTTCTTGAACTGTGGTGCCCAGAACTGGACACGGTACTCCAGGTGAGGTCTGACCAGAGCAGAATACAGTGGCACTATTACTTCCCTTGATCTAGATGCTATACTCCTATTGATGCAGCCCAGAATTGCATTGGCTTTTTAGCTGCCGCGTCACACTGTTGGCTCATGTCAAGTTTGTGGTCAACCAAGACTCCTGGATCCTTTTCACACGTACTGCTCTCAAGCCAGGTGTCACCCATCTTGTATTTGTGCCTCTCCTTTTTTTGCCCAAGTGCAATACTTTACATTTCTCCCTGTTAAAATTCATCTTGTTTGTTTTGGCCCAGTTCTCTAATCTGTCAAGGTCGTTTTGAAGTGTGATCCTGTCCTCTGGGGTGTTAGCCACCCCTCCCAGTTTGGTGTCATCTGCAAATTTGATCAGGATGCCTTTGAGTCCATCATCCAAGTCGTTGATAAAGATGTTGAATAAGACCGGGCCCAAGACAGAACCCTGTGGCACCCCACTAGTCACTCTTCTCCAGGATGAAGAGGAACCATTGATGAGCACCCTTTGGGTTCGGTCAGTCAGCCAGTTACAAATCCACTGAGTGGTAGCATAGTCAAGACCGCATTTTACCAGCTTCTTTACAAGAATATCATGGGGCACCTTGTCAAATGCCTTGCTGAAATCAAGGTAGGCTACATCCACTGCGTTCCCTTCATCTACCAGGCTTGTAATTCTGTCAAAAAACGAGATCCGGTTAGTCTGACATGACTTATTTTTCAGAAATCCATGCTGACTATTGGTGATCACAGCATTCCTTTCTAGGTGCTCACAGACTGTTTGCTTAATGATCTGCTCCAGAATCTTCCCTAGGAATACAGGAATTTAAACTGACCCATCATTCCACCTAAGGTCTTGTTTGTACAAAGAACTTAACTCCTCCCAACCCCAACCCCCCAGCTGACTTCATTTCTTAAGGAATTCCTGACACTTTTGTGAAACAAAGTTCTTGGAGTTGAACTAAGCTCTTAAGACTATGAGAATGTCTATCCCCTTTTAATAGGAAAGCAGTGAACGTTGTGCCACAGCACAGGGAGTGGGAGCCCCTGCTCAGTTTTTCAGGATTGTGTTGGGAGAGGTGACTCGCAATCCCTTCCTTTCCTGTCTTGCTGTGCTGTGAGGGAAGATGAGGTCTCCCTGGTGGCCAGATCAGTCCTGGTGGGCCTTGCCACTTCAGGGATAGCTTTGACCACAATCTGTCTGGCTGTGGTACAATGCTGCTCTGGGTCAGACTCCAGGAGACTAAAGTCTGCTGCATATCAGCAGATATGTTCAATATGGCCATGAGCCTAGTGAATGGGTGTGGAAATATTATTCTTCCCTAGTTCAGAGGCAGTGTGTTTTGCAAAGCGCACAAACTTCCAACAGACACACATGTCTCATGAATTCAGCATTTGATTCATCTCATCAGATGGTGTCCTGTTAAGAAGTTTTGTATCCAGTTTTGTGTTGCTTCCTCTAAGTGAAATTCTGTGACACTATTTCTCTTTTTGCTCATTTCTAATGCATTGACCATTCAGAGGAATATACGAAGCTGCACTTTGCTGAATTAGAACATGGTCCATCTAGCTCATTGGTCTTCATCTGGCGTTCTGGGATGCACTGCAGGGGGTCTAAGATGGGTTGAAACAAATATGTGGTAAAAATTAAGATATGAGTCTCCAAATGAAGGTTTGGGTTAAAGATTGGTCCGAAGTCTGCATGATTCTGGCACTCTATAAATCAAGGGGACTTGATAGTTGTTGCAAGTAGGATTTGCTGGAACTGGGTTGCTTGCAATTAGGATATCTAATTATTAATTTGGTAGCAGGAGATAAGAGATTAGTGTGGCTGGAATTGGCTTGTGTATTGCACTGACTGATACGTACTGATCCAAGTGCACGTGTCTCTCTTTTCAGAATTTTTGCCATGTTTTGGAATGTGGGTCCTTGGAAATGCGTCTTGCCCCTACAGCTTTGCCTGCTGGGTTTTGCATGCTCTGTGTGGGCCAGCTCAGGAGCCTTGCCACAGACTTCTATCACAGCAGATTCCTTCCTGCAAGACCTCTTCCTCCGGTATGGCAAACATGACAAGCTCACTTTGCAGCAGCTCAAATCCCTGTTGAATCGCCTTGATGTGGGAGTTGGAAGGAACAACATTAGTCGCACAGAGCAGCAGCGTAGAAACATCTCCTGGGTAATGTATTGTATTTATATAAGCTATTTCTCTCCTGCTTTTGAAGGTAGTGAGTGGGTCCACAAATCACCCTACTAATGCTAAAAACCTGGCTATTATAAATGCATTCCACTGAAAAATATTAAAATGATAAAACCTAAAGGGTCTATAGTGGGGCACCTTTAATTAAGTCCACTCAATTGATCTTGAAAGCTTTCTGAAATAAAACTGTCTTGAACTGACACCTAAAAGTTAACAGAGAAGAGGCAAAAAAGATGAACCTCTCTGGGGAGCAAGTTCTGCAATGTTGGTGCTGCCCCTGAGAAGGCCCTGTTCAGCATCACTACCCTCCTTGCTTCTTTCTGGTGGAGGGGGGGCAGGGTCTCCCTGTTATAGGTAGGTTTATATAGGGAAAGATGGTCTATGACATGCCCAGGTCTGGACCATTTAGAGTGTTAATGGTCAAAATCAGCACCCAATTATGGTTTAGTAGCAGTAGTACCCATATTACTTTATTATTCATTGCAGCTGCTATCTTAGAAATATTTAAAATTATTATTATTATTATTATTTATATTTATTTGTGCTTTTATCTTGTATTTTTATCTCGTGAACTTCCCTGAGATCATTGGATGAAGGGGGTGTGGTTGTGTATACCATATTTTTCCGTGTACAAGATGATGTCTCTCCCTCCCCCCCCCATTTTTCAGTCAAAAATTGGGGGTCGTCTTATACACAGATTTATATCTTAAGTCTTGGGTCAGCTGGCAACTCCTGGCATCTCCTGTGTGGAGTACGCTGTATTCAGGGCACTGGCTGGAGAGGTGACGCAGTTCCGAGGTGAGGAGGGAGCTTGGCCGCAGTGCCACCAGCTCTCACCTGCTGAGGCGAGGCAACGCCAGATGCAGGCTGGAGAGGTGAGGCGAGGTGAGGCTGTGCCGAGATGCGGGGTATCGCCCCCAAAAAAAGCAATTTCCCCCAAAAGCAGAACAACTTTAACAAACTGATTTCTTAATTTTGGGCTCCCAAAAGTAGGCGTCATCTTATACATGGGGTCGTGTTATACATGGAAAAAGACTCTGTGTGTATTGCAGTTTTAGTAGTATTAAGACATATTCACCCTACCCTCCAGCTGAAAAGCCTCCTGGAATGGTTATATAAGATCTATACAAACAAGTCCTTGCCCTCAAGCATCATAAAACTGCTATGTTTTTATACTCACCAGCTTGAATAACAACAGTTCAGGGAGAGCAGGAGCCAAAGGGAGCTAGAATGGTGACAGGAGGCAGTGCATAATTTGTGGTCTTCAGCAAGTATGGGCCAGTAAAGCTCACTGGGAAGCCTTCAGGGTGTGAATGCTAACAAAAGGCACAGCTCTGGGATTTTCACCACGCCTTGCTCTCTGTCCTATAGTGCTTCAGTTCCTCAGAGCTCTTTTCAACCCACAATCTGAGTGAAGACTCCAGCCTTGGCAAGAGTGAATTCCGAGAGTTCTGCCCAACCATCCTGCAGCAGCTGGAGTCAAGGGCATGCACGTCTGAGAACCTGGAAAATGAGGAAGATGAGAGGACAGAGGAGGGAAAGCCCAGTTCCTCAGAAGGTGTGTGTGCAGTTAGGCTAGCAAAAGTTTAACAGCTAGTCTTTTAAAGCAAGAGCTTCCTGAGAAATGCCTTCAAATCCTGACCATCCTTGTTCTCCTGCAAGTTGCTGTAGAAATGGAATGCCAGCCAGAACTGTAAGCTATTGTTCTTAATGGGGTTTCCTTTTCCAGGTACAGGTTGACAGAATGCCCCATACACCCTACCCTTCTTGTGTCCTTGCCTAGGAAAAGTCAGTTGATCCACCCCCCTGGTATGATTTCATTGTGCTGCAGACTGAGCTGTCAGTGCTGTCAAGGCAGCTCCATGCATCTGCTGGCTGCTGCATACTTACAGGTGAAAGTGAACCTTTGGAAGTACAGGTATTGCTCTCAATGAAAGACAAAATTAGAATTGTTTAGGCTGTGGAGAAAAAAGCATGAGGTTGTATTCAGTGTTAGTTGTGCTCAGAGCAGACCTATTGAAGTTAACGGGTATGACTAACTTAGATCTATTAATTTTAGTGGATATTCTAAGTAGAACTTGGCTTGATACCACCCATGGTGTTTACACCTTTACACACAATGGAACAGCCTATAGGCTGACTCTCAATTTTACTCCTGTCATTCACAAATTTGTGAATTCACAGATCTTCCTGTTTGTGGACAGGAAATGTGGGTCCACAATTAATGAACCATATATAACACACTTTCCCCTAGTTAAGGAACTATGCCAACCACCAGGTCCTATACTTGCTTACCTGAGAATAAGTCCCTTTAAACTCAGTGGAATTACTTCTGAGTAGACACATACAGGATTGCACTGTATGACAAAATAGAGAACTTGGAAATACTATCTATTGAGAAGAAAAAGCTCAGTATATAAATAAGAGGTCGTCCCTGCTGGTGGGTATTTGCAGAAGAGCCAGTGATTACAACCGCTTTTGTAGATCTTAAGATGGGTATGAGTCAGCATTGAGGTGTTACAGGAATATTAAACAAAAAGGCAACAGGATAAGAAACAGACCCAGGCCAACACTATTTTCAGTTGCAAATACAGGCAAAGATGAAATAGTGTTTGTAGTCCCTTCTGAATCTACTTGGTGCTTCCAGTGCTTCAACAGAGGTATTGTATTCACTTTGGAGTCACCCATTTTTAAAAGGCACAAATAAATTTGCACAAGTTTCAGTACAGAAAAGGTGAATGGATGGTTGCCTTAGTTGCTCCTTCACAGCAGATCCTGACCTAGTGTCTCACTTCCAGGTTTGATCCACGGAATGCCAGTTTCTTGATGGAGAGATTTGCTTTTCTGGGGTGTTTTGTGCAACACATGTTATGGGAACAGGTGGACCTTTGCCTGTGGATCTACTCATGAGTAAGCACTCCAACCTTGAGTCCTCATGCAAGAGTCAGATCTGCATGTGTGAAGGATTCAAGTGTGCCATTTCAACAAGCAGGCTGGATCCTTCATAGTCAGGTTCCAGTAGATCTAATTACGATGAAACACTTCAGTCTTGCTCCTGAGTAGTATTTTTTTTCTTAGTGGATGTAAATGTTACAGCTGCAAAGAATAGCAGGAGAACATTGTATCCCAAGGACAGGTGTCTTGTCTCTCCTGCTCTTAGAAGAACAGATTTTGCCAAGACATGATATAATTTTTTCAAATCCCTACAAGAGCAAAACAGGTTTAGGCAAGAAATGTCAATAGAACAGGTGCAACTGTTATGGAGGCTCTTCAGAATAAGAGGGGTTGGAATCAGGTAAGGTATCTGGGAGGCTGCTGCATTGAAGGTGATGCCCTGATGACCTCTGAGGTCTCATCCAGCTCTGATTCCAGCTGGGTGTACTTTAAATATGTATGTGTGTGTTTGTTTGAAAAAAGGATTTGCTTAGTGCATACATTTTCACTGTTAAGTTTCCACTTTTATTTCACAGATTTTTTGAATTTGGGAGGAGGGGTTCCTTCTACACTTCCTCTGCCTGCTGTGGCTCCTCAACCCAGCACTGGCAATGTGTCTCACAGGCAAATATGCAGAAATCCACACATTCAGTTGTTTACATACAAACCGCTGCTGCATATAAGGATCTGTGGATTGGGGAAGTAATTCTACACTATGGTTAGAAGAGGAAAAGAGTTGGATGCCTCAGACCCTCTCCAAGCCGTCCATGAAGAAACATTATAAGAAAGCTTCACCTGCCTCAAGATCATCTCCCTTGCTGGAATCTGGTGCACAAACCTTCCAGATATGGCCTGTCACAGATTTTGAGTAACCTCGTAGATGTATACACACAAAAGGAGGTCAAAAATGACCCTAAAGAGTTTATTGTTGACATTCCAGAAATAAGGAAGTGAGATTAATGTAATATGATTATTCTTTTCAGCTTTCTTTGTGTTGTTCACAGACATTGCCTGAAGCCAGAAAATTTGGGTCTGCAGTTAATGAGCAACATAGATTGCACACGTTTTATCTAAGGAGCTTTAAAAATGGTTAATCTAAATCTCTTTTTGCCAGTCAGTGAGCGATGGCAAGTTTCAACTGGCAACATCCTGGGTAATCTAAGCAAATTCCTCACTGATGTAACCTGAATGGCAGCATACTCTGTTCAGTTTTTGTCTTATGAACCTTGTTTTGTATCAAATTGTAATATTTTTAAGCTACCTGAAATCCTAAATCACAATTCCTGCTGCCTCTACATCATGTTTTCAGTTTCTTAATAGATCCTGATATTGAGTTGGTATTGAGTATAGCTCTCAGTACCAAGTTTGAGAAGAACTCAGAGGCTGCGCTTCTGTCTTCTGGCTATCCTGGTGCTGTACATCTTAAACTCCTAGAGAATTGCAATAAAACCTTATTTCCAGTGAGATCAACTTCAGCCTTCCCAGCTGTGGCTGTCTATAGAGGCCCCTTCCTGTTTTCAATTATTTGGGTAAACTGGCCCTCCTTTCTATTTGTTTCACAGTCTGGGGCTTTGGATTTCTCAGTGTTTCACTGATTAACCTGGCCTCCCTACTTGGCGTCTTCGTCGTGCCCTGCACCAAGAAGGTCTTTTTCGCCCGAATCCTAACGTATTTCATCGCGCTCTCCATCGGGACATTGTTCTCTAACGCACTGTTCCAGCTGATCCCAGAGGTGCAGTAAGACACAGACACATGGATTGAGTCACAATCTACTTTTCCTGTCACTAAGTTCTCTGCTGATAGGCTGCTCACAGTTTAGAGCAGGCATCCCCAACCTGTGGTTCTCCAGATGTTTTGGCCTACAACTCCCATGATCCCTAGCTAACAGGACCAGTGGTCAGGGATGATGGGAATTGTAGCCCCAAAACATCTGGAGGGCTGAAGGTTGGGGATGCCTGGTTTAGAGAGGGGGAAGCTTGCCCTGCCCAGTGATTCCTTTTGAGGATGACCTTTTCTCCTCTGAGCATCAGGAAGCTTCCTAAGATCAGCTGAGAGAAAAAGAGCAAATTCTCCTGTGTGGTCCCTGTGTAGGCACATACATGAGTTCTGTGCTTGCTCAGAGCACATCTTGGGAATTTTCTTGAGCCATAATTCATGTTTCCTCATTTCAAGGGCAGAAGCTTAGCACCACTTTCCTAGTCCTTGTTTCTTGCCATTCACAGTCATCCAAAGCAGCAGTGTGACTTTAAAGTGCACCTTGTGGGTGCTGCCAGCGCTGGGAGGATTTTGCCTCTTGACTTCCATTCCACCATTGATGGAAAGGGGTTGATTGTGCTTTTAGTGAAAGGTTTCTTCAGTTGTGCAAAAGTGTGAAAAGGAATGTTGGGTTTTTTGGTCATTTCTGCTAACTAGCACAATATTTCTTTGGGAACGTTGTGAGGGCAACTTCACTGAAACAATGGAAAATAGTACCTTTTACCTAAACCTAGCCAGCTAAAGTAGATGTTGCCTAGAGTGACCTGGAGGAAGAGGTATACATTAATCTGGCTCTATGTGTGGACTGTTTCTGTAGGCTGAGTCCTTCCAGGAGTCAAGTTCATTCACTGGCCTGATGAATGAGAGTAGGTAGGGGGGAAAGTGTGGCTGTCAGCTTCAGAGACTGTTTTGCAAAGGAACACCAATATTCTGGAGAAAGATCTTTTATGTTTTTTCTTGGCTTCTCTTTCAATAATTGATCTGATTTTACCAACAACAAAAAAAGAGGTTTCTTGAGCAGTGTTGGACTTTGCCAGATTTAATCTTGACATAATTTTGTTTGAATTGCATGTTCTGGGGCTGCCTAAATACAAACAAGAACACTCTACTTCCTGATTTTGGAGTTTGTAACCCTTGTCTCCTTTACTTGCTCTGTTTTTCTCTTCCATTTTGACTTTGCATATTGTGGTAAACATTTGGGGGGCAGTGTTTGCAGTTCCGCAAACTTCTAAAATTGTGGGCTGAAATAAGACATTGGTTTGTCCATGGTATGAAAGAGCCACCCTTTGAACCCAGGACCACCTTTGCTGTCTGTCCTGGCCACCTCACCAACTGGCTTCTTCCATTGAAAAAGGCTAAGGTCACAAATCTTAGCAATACTATCCAGAATTTTTGAAGCTCCTATGTTGTATAGCTAATTTACTGCCTGTCCAAGGCATGACGTACTGTATTCTCTCTTGAATTTATGGTATTTTCAGCTCCAAAACTGTGCATCTGATGAAGGGGGAGGAATTTGTTGCTTGAAAACAAAACTATATTTGTGATCAAACTGTAACAGAAATTACTGTATATGCTTCACCTCCATGGTTAAGTTGCCTGCCCTGGAAGAACAACTGGTGTGCAATTGCATCACTCACTTAGTTGGATTTTGGGGACTTTCTGTAGTTGTGCAGCAGAGACTCTGTAATTCTACAGATGCCCATCTGCTAGGTAGGTATGGCCACATGCGTATCATATGTACAGGCAAGTAACTGTTCACTCTGGCCAGGCAACAGACCATGGTGGTGGGGGGTGTAGGATGCTGAGAGTAAAACAGGTGCTCTTCATGACACTGGAACTCTGGCCTTGTCCCTGTGCTAGAAAAAAGAGGGAAAACGTGACTGGACAGCCCCACCAACAGTCTGGAGAGCTAGGGACGTTAAATGCTCTCGTCAGCTATGGTATGGACGTCTTACAGTTGTGATCTGAAGCATCACTTAGGGACGGCTTGAATGGAATTACAAACTTATGCACAAACTAATGTGCATTTATAGAGGTCATTTGTAGCAGGACTGTCTACAGAATACATGAGATATGGAGAGATCCCACTCTATAGAAAGCGGAAGTCTCCACCTTGCTTGTGAAGGGACTGGTCTCCTCCATATCTCATATGGGTGCAAATGTCCCATGATGAAACTACCACCTATTGGAAGTGCACAATTGTCTTTGCTGGAGTTCCAGAGCCAGAGTACACCAGGTACTCCCAGCATGCTTAAAGCCATATCCAATTAAACATCAATCACTAATGAAAGTCTCCTCTCTCCCTCCCACCCTCTCTCCTCTCTCTGTGATTTAAATTCATTTCTGCGTATTCCTGTGTCCTGACTTCCATGGCATTCATTCCACCTGTGATTTCACGGTGGGCGAGGGGCTGGCATTCACACCGCAGTCTGGGGTTATGGTTTCCTCTGTGTGACTGTCATCTCCCTCTGCTCCCTGGTTGGAGCCAGTGTGGTGCCTTTCATGAAGAAGACCTTTTACAAGCGACTGCTCCTCTACTTCATAGCTCTGGCGATTGGTACTCTCTACTCCAATGCCCTCTTCCAGCTCATTCCTGAGGTATGACTAGGGCCTCTTGGCCTTCCTTGTGTGGCTGTTTTTGTGTCATCTGTGGTGAGAGGAATTCTAGTAGAAGAGTGATATTGTGCTGGTGGTATTAGTCTCGGATGAGTTGTGAACTGTTTGGCATTTCCCTGGGTTTTCACTCTTTAGAGTAGTGGTAGCCAGCGTGCTGCTCTCCAGAGAATGTTGAAATCTAACTCCCATTATCCCTGACTGTTGGTTCTGCTGGCCTGGGCTGACGGACATTGCAGTGCAGCAGCGCGGGGAGGGAAACTGAGCTGGCTACACCTGCTTCAGAAGTTAAAAACGGCTTGGAAGCTAACTCACACCTGACTGTAACAGTCTGAAAGCAAGGGCCAGTTAAGATAATGACAGAGTCCCATGCTGAGAGGTCTTTGTCAATCTCATGCCTTTAAAGACAAGGCTCCTGGGCTAGTACATAAGGCTGCACAGATGACACCTGCTGTCAGGAGCATGTGGAGATTGCAGCTGTCCTCTGTGCTGCTTCCTGGGTGGTGCCATCCAATGCAGGGGGAGGCAGGCTAGAAACGAAGCTGTGGGGGAAGCCATGGGGTTTGGAGCCTCACAGTGCTTCCATAGCCAATATAAAGCGCTGGGTGCTGGTCCCTGGCTTGCAAGCTGGGAGGCAGAGAATAGAAGGGTGAGCAGAGCAAGCAAGGTAAAAACAGAATAAAGGGAGGGGAAAATAGGAGAAGAGCAGGTTGCATTGTCCTAAGGAAACTGAGGCTGAAGGAAAAGACAATATGAAGAATGGAAAACGGAAAAGGACTGCTAATCCTAAGCCAAAATAAGGAGTGGGTGATGGTCGAAGAAGGTAGTTGTGTGTGAGGGTCTAGTTATGGTTTAGGAGCTAGACAGGAAAGTGAGAAGCCATTGGTGGTTGCACGGTGTCTTTGTGGTGCTCGTTTCCTCCTCATAAAATACCTGACTAACTTCAACATTCAATGGCATGTTCTTGGGATGTTTTCCTTTGTAATGAAAGTGTTTGAGACAAAGGAGCATATCTTATCTAGAAAGGGGAGGGAAAGTGGCCTTCACACAATAAGAAAAAAACTGTATAAGATAGTCTGAGTCATAGGAGGCAAGTCAATGAATCAATGGGTCATAGTGGAATCCCTCTTGTTCTTACACCAGGTGAGATACAAATGAGCTCTGGTCAGATGATCTTGTGCTTTAGGAAGTGGTAAAACTTATGCACCACTTTGCGGATGTGGATTTACATGGCTGAATACTACTACATTTTTTTAATGCACCACATATAGAAAACTAGCCAATCAAACAGCAAGTTTCTAGCCTTGCTGACTTCTGTCAGACATGGTTTCTGTATGAAAGGAGCATGTGGAGAAGCATTCAACAGTGTGAACCCACATCCCACTTGGCACAGCCGCGACACAGGTTTATTGCTGCCATAATGTGAATTCAGGGAGCAGCCAGCTGCCATCAAGATATACTTCTGTAGGTCAAGTGATAAATTCCTGTGCTCTGCAGCTTTTTATTTCCTCTTAGGCCTTCTCTTAGATTGAAACAGGTGGGAGGCAATGTAAACTGCATAAATGTGCTGTTATTTAAGTATACTTTTCACTTACCTTTTCCTGCCCCTACTCCACAGGCCTTTGGATTCAATCCTCGGGAAGATGATTATGTCTCCAAATCGGCTGTTGTCTTTGGGGGCTTTTACTTGTTCTTTTTCACAGAGAAAATATTGAAGATGCTTCTCAAGCAGAAAGACACGGTGAGGGAGGAACCAAAACACTTGCTGATGAGAACTACTTCTGGTGCAAATCTCCCATTACTTTTCTTTTAAACAAATATTTGAATATTGTTTGGCATCAGATGTAACAATGTCATAATTTTGAGGGACAGAAAGCTAAAGAAAATAAGACAATAGTTTTCCCTTTAAATATATTAGAAGCAGAATTCTTTCCAGAGAATCAGCAGTTTAAGATGGTAGTTTGCAAACTTTTATATGCAGTGAAACTCTTTTCCACACTGACCTGCCTGTTGAAGAGCCCTGATGGATCCAGTACCAACCCTGCACCTCCAACTATTTGGCGATGCATTTTTGAGAGTACCCTGGTTTTGTGTGGGGCAGCAGCCAGGCCTGTTGGCTGTCACTATGTGTGTGCCAGAATATATCCAGTACTCTCTCACGGCTACATATTTCAGGGCACTGTTTGCAGCCAGCTGTTTTTCAGGGAAGCTTATTTGCCAATGCTGATTCCTCCAGAGCATTTGCAGATAATGTGAACCCAAACGAGTAGGATGCCCTGCTTCTCTCTGCTTCTGACCAATAGCAGACAGCAGGGTGAGGCAGCGGCACTCACCTAACTTACAGTTGCCTGCATCATGGCTGGATGCCAAGAGAGGCAAGACGACAGCAAGGTCAGCACAATACGCATGCGCTAGCAGAGCCTATCAAGCGCTCTTGCCACCATGTGAGCTCGCCAGCACCTCACTTCTCTCTGTCCCAGGATGCAGCGGCAACCAGGTCAGATGAGAGTCTCTGCCTCATCCTGCCATCGTCCACTGATTCTCATCTCTAGCTCTCAAGGGATCTAGATTGGAGAATAAATGTTACTGCTTCTTAGTCTCAGAAGCCCAGAGTCCATCCTGCAATCTGTCTTGCATCTGTTGAGGCTATTCCAGCTAAATCTGCTCTTCCTTTCCATCTTTAGAGTGCTAAAAAACCCCTGCAGACTTTGTGGCGCCATCATAATGCCTAGCCTTTTCTCCTCCCCTTGCCCCCAGCACTTGGTTTAACATCAAGCCTGATATAGAGCTCCAAGGGACTTGCAAGCTTGCTCACAGTGTTCTGACATTTTGGTTGGTGCTAAGAAAAAAACATTACCATGCCATGACTATTCTGGATTTTATTTTATTTTGACCTAATGGACCAACATGGCCAGCTACAATTTTAAATGTTAAATAGTAAGTCACCAGGACAAACAGAGCTCTGAAAGAATGCAAAATAGGATTTTGCTGAACCCATGACATTGGCATATATAGCATCCCTCTGCCATCCTCGCTAATGGCAGTAATAGCAATCTTTACAAAAGCCTCCAAAGGTATTCCAGAGAGGCTTCCTTTTAGTACCATTCAAGTCTGTCAAAACGATAGTGTAAAATAAAACACTATAAACCGTTTAGAGACAATCCAGTTCCTAACCACTTCCCTTCCTGTTCACTTCCTTCTCATGCACGCAGCCTTGTTCAGGGGTCTTCCAGGCCTTTCGGTTCAGTCCTTGGACTTTCAAACATTTGGTGCCAATAATAGCAGATTCAAAACAACTGTAGAACATTTGAGTTAGGGTAGTTTGCTCAGCTGCTTTAATGTTAACTGATAATGTATGGAACAGTCAACAAGGATATTGCAGTGAGAAAGCATATCTCATAAACAGGATCATGTCATTGAAGGTTCCTATATAGACGCAAATTAAAGTTGATACAACTGATTCCAGTTGAAAAAAGGCTTTTTATAGTCTACATAGCTAACATACTAAATGGAAAGCTCTTTTATGAATCAGTAGGCACAGAGAGTTACTTTTCATGATAGAGAAGTCAGCAGTGAACTACCCTAAAAATACTATATTGTGGTGTCTGTGAACTGTGAGATCATAAAACTTGCAGATGTGTCGTGGAATTCAGAAAGTTACTAAAGAATTATAAAGAAGTGTGGTGTGTGGTGCCTTACTGGTGAAAAGCCAGTAAAATTTAATGTGAGGAACTGAAGCAGCTGACAGTGGGGAGTATACCCTAAGCCGTGTTGGTGCAGTGTGGGGTGAAAGGTTACTTGCTGATCTGGCTGGCTTGCCCCAGCCATTCTGGGTGGCTTCCAGCACAACAACATCAAACATTAATAGTAACAATCTGATCCAATATAAAAGTCACAATAACTTTAATAACGTACATCAGACAAAGCAACATTCAACAATACATCAGAATCTTATCGTAAACAGTAAAATTAAACACCAGCAAATAATAATTAAACAGTTCACACTTATCAACCACAATAAAGAATTACCAATCTATAAAATAACAGCAATTCACATTGCATAAAATACCACAAAACATACGAGACCATCTAAAAGGATCCGATTGAGAAACAAAGACACACAACTTATAAAACTACTTTTTAAAAATATCCCTGAACTCCTCTCTTCCCAGCTGCTGCTGCTGTCCTCAAAGTCATAGCCTGGGAAGGGCTGGGTGGGGGCGTCAAGGCAGGTGGAAACGCCATTGCCTGATGAGGAACAGAAAGCCCCCCCCTTCAGTTCTTCCATCTTTGTATCCCCCAGAGTCACCATGGGCACAGCCACTACAGCACTGAGACCCTTCCTTCCAAGAAAGACCAAGAGGAGGGGGTCACTGAAAAACTGCAGAATGGTGACTTGGATCACATAATCCCTAACAAGAATAGTGACCTGGAATGCAAGAATCCATCTGTTGATGAGAAGATTGTTGGCTCCTTGTCTGTTCAGGTACCCACCTATACTACTAATGTATTGCTTCCAGCCCTGCTGGAGATAAGTTGTCTTAGTTTGCAAGAAATAGACTTAATGGGAAGACTGATCCAAGATAAAGCACCTCGTATGTATCTTCGTCTGCTTTTGTTGGGAAAGGGTAGAGGGAGTCTGCCTTTGGCCCATGCAGACATAACATCTTCTGCTTTCATAGCCAGTTAGGAGATTGGCAGTGTGCTGTGACAGCTCCTGACATCTGATGACTTATTTCTGCAGAAGCAGATGGATATTGGCACAATCCTAGGTGGGTGGTTTGCACTGATGTACTGGCAGAACATGGAAAATAGCAGCAAACCTGATACCACAAAATTGCCAGGCAAACAGCTTGCTTGGGTAGAGTGGGGAGATGAGATGAGGCAACGTTGGAAGTCTGTTACATTTCACATTTTGTTGGTTAGGACATTGCTACTTTAAATTCCTTGCTCTGCTCCACATTTCCCAAAGCATCAGTGTGCTTTTGTATCTCCAGTTGTAAGCTCTAGGTGGCAGTGTGTACACATTGTATGATGCAGGCTCCATGTGCTCTTGTACTGCAGGAGTTGATGAGAGAACTCTTAATTTCAAGCACTGATCTGCTGCCTTTTCAGGACCTCCAGGCTTCTCAAAGCACTTGCTATTGGCTGAAGGGCGTGCGCTACTCTGACATTGGCACCTTGGCTTGGATGATCACCCTGAGTGATGGTCTCCACAATTTCATTGACGGCTTGGCCATTGGTGCCTCCTTCACTGTGTCCGTCTTTCAGGGGATCAGCACTTCTGTGGCCATTCTCTGTGAAGAATTTCCTCATGAGCTAGGTATGTGCTCCTCAAACTCTGAGATAGGACTGAAGCAAATGCCAGGAGTGTGGTGTCTGGAAATTCTCTTGATGTCTACAGGACAGAACCATGTATACAGCCTTTTCTAAACAGAGGTGCAAGTGGGAGCACTTTCCCCATGCTTCAGAGGGATGGCTGGGCCCAGTCCTGTGGGACTCCCTCCCTCCCTCCCTCCCTCCCTCCCTCGACAGGGCCCCTCCCCTGCTGAACTTTAGCTCTTGACAAGGACTTTCCTGCTTCGGGTGGCATTTTAAGGTAGCTTTCTGATTCTGGGATAACTTTCCATTGTTCTTATTCTTTGTATTTTTTAAATACACCTTATTCTGAGTATTAAACAGGATATAAATACCTGAAGTAAATTAATAAGGAGGTTGCAGAGTAGGGCTATTGAGGGTCGTGACCCAGGAATCACTTAATTTAGTGTTGGGTGGGGGAAGTCCCTTGAACAGTTAGTTAGTAGCTTAATATCTGTAGCAGATGGGTCAGAGGGGGCAGGGGAACAAAAGATACAGAAGTGTGGGCCAGATTCAGTCAACAAGTCACACAAGCGGAAGCCCACACTTGTCTCAGAATAAGGCTAGTTGAAACAAGTCACTACCCTCAGGCACAAATGGCTTTGTGGGCAGATTATTTGGCTGGAGGGCGCAGTGAAATTCTGTGTGCTGTCAAAGGATGCTGGAGCTCCTATTAACCATGTGTCAGAATACCATGGGGAAGCAGGCTTAACCCACCACACCACTGCAGGATCCTTGTTATTTTCTCCAAGTGTAGAGAAAATGAACGTGGCCTTCAGGCATCTCCTTTCTCTGGCGGCCACAAGGAATTCATGGTAGTGTTTGAGCAGCCTTCACCCACCTGGCACCTGCCACTCCCATCAGCATGGGCCACGTTTGTGAAGGCTTTGCTAGAAACTAGTTTTATGTACTTGTGTCCCACTGTGAACCGATCCCTTGAAAGGAGGATTAAACCGGACCCGTCAGGTGCTTGGAGGATTGTTAGAGTGATCAGCAATGCTTCTGTTGGCCATGCAAGCACTGAGTTTTAATGGGACTTGGGAGACTACAGCTCTCTTTGCAAACCTTCCAGGTAGTTACCCCCCCCCCCAGGTTATCTGGTGATCTAGTTGAAGGAGGTGGTTGAAGTGTGTCAGGACTGCCTCAGGTCTCAGCTCACAAAAGACCAACGCCAATCTCTTCTTATATACAAAAGTGTTTATTGGAGTTCATTGTTTGCTTCACATCCGAGGCGCGCAGCCCCACGTCTGTTACTCTTAGACCGTTGAAGTCCCCTCTGAGTCAGTCCCTCCCCTGCACCAGTTTAAGAAGCTTGCGCTGCTCCACCTCTTCCTCTCTTTCCTTTTCCGCAGGGTCTTCCTGCCCCCTGGGGTTTCGCCTCTCCTGGATTCCCCTGAGGCGGAATCTCCAGATTGCTCTTCCCCCCTCCTGCGAGCTTTGGGACCTGGCTCCTCCTCCGGGCTCCCTGTACTTCCGCGCGCCTCCACATTTGAACTTGGCGCGCGCGTCCAACCTCTAACCTTCCTTTTGACAGTTACACTACTCCCTTCACTACTCTCCTCCCCTTCCGGGAGGGTGGCTTGCTCCGACCGACCTCCCTTCTCTGCTGCCGGAGCTGCTTCCCCTGATACACTGGAACCTCCACTCCCTTCGCTGCACTCTGGCGGGGAGGCTGGTCCCGACGCTCAGCTGCCACTTTGGGATCCCCTGCTGGCCCCCTGCTCCTGACACGTCCCCCCTGGGGCTCCCCTGGCCTTGACCACCGGCGCCCCCTTCTGGGAATCCTCTGATTCGCTGGAAAGACTCATGGAATCTCTTGAGTCATTGTCATCCTCTTCCTCGCTGTCCTGGGATTCATCCCCATCGCTCTCCATCTCCTGCCTACCCTGTGCCTCTGTCCCTGAACCCCTGACAAAGTGCTTTAGTGAATTTGAGGTGTCTGAACTGTATATCGTATATAGAGTCATTAGGGTTTAATGCTTAACCAACGCTTTTGTGCATCACCATAAACCTGAGAAAGTATATCAAACAAATATTTTTGATTTGCAAAATGCTACTGTTGATTGAACAGGAATCTGATTAAACTTTGATCCCCCTGACCTGATGCAATCTCTCCTTTTTCACTTCCTTCCCATTGCCCTTGGTCACGCAGGTGACTTTGTCATTCTGCTGAATTCTGGAATGTCCATCCAGCAAGCGCTGTTCTTCAACTTCATCTCTGCTTGCTGCTGCTATGTGGGACTAGCCTTTGGGATATTGGCGGGCAGCCACTTCTCTGCCAACTGGATCTTTGCTTTAGCTGGTGGAATGTTTCTCTACATTGCATTGGCTGATATGGTAAGTCCTCAGTTTGGTACTTTCCTGTTCAAAGGAATCTTGATTCATCCCTGATCAAATACTGTGTGATCTTCCACCGCAGTTGGACCAAATGTGCCTGCAGTTTCAAAAAGGTTGGTGAGTCCTTGTCTAACCATTGCACAACATTGTTATATCCCATAAGTAAAGAAATAGAGGCATTGCACATAGCATCTGGTAGATGCTTCCTCTGCAGACTTTGTAGTCCTAGCAGGTGCCCAATACTGAAGGGAGGCCCTGGCTAGCTGACACAGGTAGGGGCTGTTAACAGAGGGGGCATGATCCCTCGGCTGAGTTAGAATACTGTGGGTCAAACCTCAGCTGCCTTTGTGGTGGGGGGCAGGGAGGGAGTTGTAATCAAATCTGGCCCTATCTGACCCATGTGAAGGGCTGCCCTGCCTTCAGGGGGCCTCAGCTGGGTGGGCAAAATAGAAGGGGATGTTGTGTAGGGGAGGGGGCTAAAGCAGCACAATCCCACCATGGGAAAATGGCTGGAAAAGCGGTGTCCCAGTTCCCATACCTACTCTTTCCTTTTTTATTATTATTTTATTTTATTTTATTTTACTTCTTTATTTCATGAGAGGGCATTTATGTGATTTTCGCTTATTCCTGGAATGTAACACCCGCCTAAGTCAGGAGTCACCTGTATCTATTTCACATTCCCATGTTGTGTGCTTCCCTTCAGATGGCAGGCAGACAAGCATAGGAGCTCTAGCTGTGTTATGAATTAAATGGCATGTGGGTGTCCACATTTTCTGTAATACATCTCTCTAACTAATTTTGAAACTACCAGAATGCAGAGTTGTATCTTGTTGGTGGTGAGCCTCAATCCAGCTAAATTTGTGGCTAGGTTGAATTCAAACCAGATTAGTCATGGGTAATTTAGGTTCCAATCCTCAATCACAATAAAAGTTGGATAGATTGGAGCTCTCTGTGTTGAAAAGACTAGGTCCTGCATAAAATTAAGTTTTTATATCTGGTAGGAAATACTGTATAGCCTCTTGGAAGATATGGCTTTGTGTTTGCTACAGAACTAAATGTAATTTCTTTCTTCTCCCAATAGTTCCCAGAGATGAATGAAGTCAGCCGAGAGGATGAAAGGAGTGGTGGTGCTCTGATTGCCTTTGCCATCCAGAACGCAGGACTTCTGACAGGATTCACCATCATGGTGCTGCTTACCATGTACTCGGGTCAAATCCAGCTTGGATAGAGGCATGCATCTTACTAATGGAAGGTGTATGGACTGTGTAAAGCACAGAATCTTCTACAAAAATTACAAAAAGAGGCACTTTGATTACGCCTGCTTCATGGATTCCTTCCTGGTTGACTTGCAGTGACTGATGAAACTCCCCACTGTTGGGTTAAGTGACCTAAGGGCCACTTTATCGTGCCGCAACAGCATTCCCTCCTTCATCTTCTGAAGAACTCTGGAGGTGGAGGAAAGCTTCTAGCTTCTTTTTACCTCCTTAGGGGACTCAACCAGAGGGGTTCAAATACCCCATCATTCTTGGGCTGACAATAGACTGCTGCGTACACAGGTCTGTGGCAGTGTGGTTTTGATAGCAGAGAGCTCTTCCCACCTCCACATGCCCAAATTGCTTGAAGTTAGTAGATTAGAGTTTTAAATGGAGTATTGATGCTTATTCAATTGGTTAGTTGGTTAGGTTTAAAAGATGGCTCAATTTTAAAAAGGGTAATATGGCTCCAGACTTCAGATAAAATAAATAATACAAGAACTTACAAAAATAATGGGTGACAGGTATCTTCTTAGAGAAGGCATTTGAGAGGGAGGGAGAGAATGTGCTTGCCGTGGTGCGTGCATGTATGATCTAAACATGTAAGAATATTTTTATTCTAAAATACTATGCTTCATACAAATTATGCAATACGAGTAAGGTTTGTATGACTGACCTTAGATTTCTTTAATCAGGTAGCAGCGTTAGTTGTAAACTCTTAGGGACATATGAATGACTGTCGCCCCTGGTTTAGGAGTCCTTCTTAACTCCCTCCGCTATGTTTTTAAGAGTGCCCCTTTTCCTTGGACACTGTGGGGCGAGATCAACCTTCCTCTTAATCTATTCTGTCTTCCTTTTGTTAGCCCACTGAGTTGCTTCTCTTGAAGGTGAGCTTCTGCAGGGCAAATGTGGCCGGGGTGAGTGCATTTATGCCCAGCAATGACTGAGACATAAAGCAGTTGATTTGCATCCTCTGGTTGATGTGAAGGCCTTGGAGCAGTCTATGAAGTGAACCCCAGATTTGGAGAGGGGGTCTTAGGGAGCTTTCCTCCATGATTAGACTTTCCCAGAGTCACTAGGTGAACCAAAGTATGATTATCATATTGATAATATCAAGTCCTTCAGCTTAAGTGTAGTAAATTTTCCACCTCACAAATTCTCTTTGAGAATTTGTGAGCGTGTCTCATCACCAAAAGGAAAGCCTAGTTCTTTAGCAGAGAACAGCCATTCCTTGGTAGGACTCCTAGAGTTTTTAATCTTTTGGGGCAATGCCTCTGTATCACCCTGTCTTGATGTGTAACGGAATGAATGTTGTCCTCTCTTTTCCTCTGAAAGGGGTTTGAGATGCAGAAAACAGTTGGATCACTTCCAATATGTTCCCCTATTATGGAAAGGCTGTATTGGGGCTGGATTCCGCACCCACCAGGCCCAATATATTGTGGTGCTTGAGGTGGCAAATCCAAATTCCTCTTCCCTGGCAGCCACAGGAATGTCCTTCTGCACAAATGATTGGAAGCTTCCCAAGAGCCCTTAATATGATGCTCAGATTTGCTTACGTGCTTTCTCTCATTGTAAGGCTACCTCTCCCTTCTTACCCATGAATCAAGAAACTGAAACACCTTCATACTATTCTGAGGTCTAACAAACGCCTCCTCTTTCCAAGTAGAATGCGAATTGATTAGAAGATAGTAAGCGTTACCAATAGTCATGCAAGATTGGGACATGATCCATGGGTAGAATAGAGCTTTTGCATTTCCAGTAAGGGGTGGGTTTACTATGCCAACCAGGCTTGGCAGTTCTAACCGGCAGTCAGAATCATTTGCACTGTCATTGGGCAGACGGGGGAAGTGACTGCTGAGGATGTCTCTCTCCCCACCCCCGGCCTTTTGAACGCTCGGCTGTGATGAGGGCTCAAACCCCCACCATGTTTTGAAGGCTGCTTCTCAGGGCTTAATAGCTCTTGGTTTGTTTTTTGTGCCAAGGAGCTTGGAGAAGAGGAGTAGATTCCCTCTTTCTGTTATAGGGCTCTTAAGGCCCACATGGGTGGGGCAGGGGAAAAATGGGACTGACGTTAGAAACACCATAAGCAAGCTTGGCCCCCTTGAAAACATTTTAATACTATGGATTTTGATGTTTTTGCTGTACTTTTTTGTGATTCTGCAAATGTAACTATTGATTAAAATTGCTGTTCAAACTTGGAGCATGCCTAAAAGTTGAGGCCCATGATAGCACAATGTGGAGAGCATTTGCTGGGGCATTGCTTATTGTCATAGTTAGGGGGGCACCAATTTGAGTTTTCCCATGGAGTTCTATTGCATAATGCTGCATTAGCTTTTAGAGGCATTGTGTATTCATTTTTTTATTAGGACAACTGGCCGTAATATAATAATGAGTTACAGTTTCCTGCACAAAGAAAGTTATGTTTACTACTCTGCTGTGACCCTTGTGGTTATTTTGAAAAAACAGATGTAGAACAGAACTTTACAATATACCTGCATGATCAAATAGTCATTATGTCTTGAACCATCTTGCATTGCTAAAAGGCATTAGCAACATTTCATTCAACAATCCATTAGTTCCATTTAATTCAATAATACTATTTCCCCCTTATTGCTGCCACATTATTATTTCTAAGGCACCTTATATATATTTATGATTGTTATAGGATAAAATCTTTTTGATCATCACTTCCCACTGTGTGTGAGTCACTGTGAACAGGGAAACGCTCATTCAGACCTCCTGGTGGGGTTTGACTCCTCCCCTCCGTGGTACATTTTAAAAAAATCAGACCAAAATGAAGGTCCCCCTTTGTTCCTTAAAAAGTCAGAAATGAATTGCCCAGTACCCACTTTACAGTTCCCTATTTTTTTCTTGACAGCAAATTTATGAGGTCTGAAGTGATCATTCCAACATATTTCTTCATGGTTTTCATCCAGGAATTAACTGCTTTGAACAAATACAACAATTTTTTCAGACTAGTAGCAGGGAGGTGATTTTCTAGCCATTAAGATAGTTTTGGCATCCCTAAATGCAATAGTATGCATGTTAAGGTTCCTCCCGAGATCAGTCCAGTATTTAATCTGGATAGGATCTCTGTCCAGTATCTTCATCTCAACAATAATAGATTCCCCTTTGCAGCAGCTTTTCGCTGTTTAATTCAGTTGTTTCTGTAGCCTCTAGCCTACTTTCTGTGTGGAGCTAATTAAATTCATTTTGTAGCAAAGGGGTGTTGGTCTGCTCTTGACAGCTGGAACAGTATATGAAAGTAATTATGAGATCACGTGCAGCTGGATCCTCAGAAGTTGGTCCTCCTGAATTCAGTAGGGCCTGCTCTCAGGGAAGTGTGTGTAGAACTGCAGCCTTAACTCCTACGGACCTTAAGGAGGCTGTGGATGCCATTATTGTACATGTAATTTTGAAGAATGGAAAGAGAAGGTACCATGTCTGTAGGTTATGCCAGAATAATTTGACCTTTGAGGGGAAAGGTTTTGAGAGGAGAGAAAGCAAAACTGACCAAACTTCAATTTGTATTTGTTTCTTTAATGTGCTTGGTTTTCTAACATAATTTTCCCATCTCAGTATTTGAATAACTCAGGAGTTGTAAGAAAGTTTGTGGAAACAAAGAACATAACTTATGACACATGACTTGTAAAGTTATTTGTAAATTCCATAAATAAACTATATTCTGTAATGATATTGTGAAGTGTGTCCCGTCCCCCGTCCCCCCAGAGAAGAAGAAGAAGAAGAAGAAGAAGAAGAAGAAGAAGAAGAAGAAGAAGAAGAAGAAGAAATTTTATTTATATCCCGCCCTCCCCAGCCGAAGCCGGGCTCAGGGCGGCTAACAACAATAAAACAGTACAACAGTACAACACAACACGACACTCTAAAATCATTCATTATAAAATTAATTCAAATCAAACCAATGGCGATGGCAACCATTGGGCCAGAGCTCCACGAAGATTGCCGAAAGAGGGAGTCAGGCTGTGCCCTGGCCAAAGGCCTGGTGGAACAGCTCTGTCTTGCAGGCCCTGCGGAAAGATGTCAAGTCCCGCAGGGCCCTGGTCTCTTGTGACAGAGTGTTCCACCAGATCGGGGCCACAGCCGAAAAAGCCCTGGACCTAGTTGAGGCCAGCCTAACCTCTCTGTGGCCTGGGACCTTCAAAATGTTTTTATTTGAAGACCGTAAGTTTCTCTGTGGGACATACCAGGAGAGGCGGTCCTATAGGTACGAGGGTCCTAGGCCGTATAGGGCTATGAAGGTTAAAACCAGCACCTTAAACCTGATCCTGTACACCACAGGGAGCCAGTGCAGCTGGTATAGTGCTGGGTGAATGTGATCTCGCAGCGAAGACCTCGTAAGGAGTCTCGCTGCAGCATTCTGCACCCGCTGGAGTTTCTGGGTCAGTCTCAAGGGCAGCCCCACGTAGAGCAAGTTACAATAATCCAGTCTGGAGGTGACCGTCGCGTGAATCACAGTGGCTAGGTCAGGGCGAGAGGGGTAAGGAGCCAACTGCTTAGCTTGGCGGAGATGGAAAAATGCCACCTTTGTTATAGCTGCAATCTGCGCCTCCGTGGAAAGGGAGGTGTCGAAGATTACACCCAAACTCTTAACGGACGGTGCTGGCACTAATTGCGCCCCCGCAAGAGATGGGAGTTGCCCCCCCCCCAATCCCATATTGCCCCGTCCCAGCCACAGGACCTCTGTCTTCGAAGGATTTAGCTTCAACCGGCTCCCACATAACCACCCAGCCACAGCTTCGAAACATCTACTCAGAGGAGAAGCCTGGAAGAAAGTCATTGGTGCTTTTGTTACCTAGACACTTAAAAATGATGATTCTAGTCCCTGTAAATGTAAAATATTTTCCCAGCTTTGTTACTGAACAATGAGAAAAATATTCCTGTAGATACACACTTGAGAGAATAGATTTAGAAAGTTGCATTTGGTGATGAACAAGTTCCCTGAAGGGTTTCTTTAATTTCACATTTATTTATTTTTGGCACAAACATTCTCAGGAAGGCTAATAATAAAATAAAATCATTTAATAAAATGGCAGAAGACAGCCAGGAAGAGCAGAAAATGTTACAGTGGTTTTAAAGAGCAAAATAATATCTTAAAAGTCTGGGAGAATAAAAAGGTGTCTGAATGGTACTGAAGAAGAGGTGAGCCTCTTTGGGGAGGGTATTCCAAAAGTAGGACATCAAATGGAAAAAGCTGTCTCCCTTGCTGCTACTTGCTTCAGAAGGTAGGAACACACACAGGCAAGCCTTGGATGGTGACCGTGGTGGGCATGCAGATTGCTGCTGGGAGTATTATCCAACTACAGTACTGAATTGTGGAAGGGCCCATAGCTGATGCCATGTGTATCACATGTACAGTGGTGCCTCGCAAGACGAAATTAATCCGTTCCGCGAGAGTCTTCGTCTAGCGGTTTTTTCGTCTTGCGAAGCAACCCTATTAGCGGCTTAACGGATTAGCGCTATTAGCGGTTTAGCGGCTATTAAAGGCTTAAAGGCTTAGCGGATTAGCTGCTAAAAGGCTATTAAAGGCTATTAAAGGCTTAGCAGATTAGATAAAGGGGGGGAAAAGCGGGGAAAAAATCTCAAGACTCGCAAGACATTTTCGTCTTGCGAAGCAAGCCCATAGGGAAATTCGTCCTGTGAAGCAACTCAAAAACTGAAAACCCTTTCGTCTAGCGGGTTTTCCGTCTTGCGAGGCATTCGTCTTGCGGGGCACCACTGTACCAGGCTCAACACTTCAAAACTCCAGTCAAAATGGTCCGATGACAAAGACTTTTACCTAGAGGGGCTTAAGGAATTCAGTCTTTGTAAATTCTAGTATTAACTGATTTTCATAGAATCATATAATCTTCGAGTTGGAAGGGACCCCAAGGGTCATCTAGTCCAACCCACAGCAATGCAGGAAAGACTTTGACCTGTGCCTCCTAATGTGTAGGCCAAAACATAGTTATCTTTCAGATTTCTTACTTCTCTAAATCTTGCAATGCAGTTTTCAGCTCAAAGAATGTGTCAAAATGCATGTTTTGAGATAAAATATGTTCACAAATGCATTTTTGGGGATGGATTTTTAAAAAACACTGCATATTAATGTGGAAATAGGGCTGAATGGACTTATGAGCACATTCAGAACTGCAATTAACTGGAAATAGATTGTTCCACGCATCACTACCCTTGCCTCAGGCCCTGTAGAGTCACTGCCAATCAGTGTAGACAACACTTGGCTAGATGGACTACTTTATAAGACCTAGTGTAAGTCGGCTTTCAATGTTCCTAACCACCAGTGCTTTGAACTGAGCTCAGAAACTGACAGGGAACCAGTGTGCTGAAGCAAGCAGTCTTGCATTACCTGAGTGTACAAAGTGGTAGAACTTTAATAGTCCATTTCTGCAGCCTTTATTATTAGTTATTTACTGCCCATAAGGAAATTGGCTTTGGTTTTTTTAAAAAAATAATATTTATTAAGATTTAAAAGGTTACAAAAAGAGAAAATAGAAAACAGCATATTAAGCAAAAACAAAACATCACATCACAATAAGGAAGGAAGAAAGGGAAAAAAAAGATACAATGAACCTTCCCATAACTTATCTTTCATTTGCTTGTTTCCTTGACCTCCTCACACCTCCCTTTTTTGTATTCTAGTTCAGTTAGCTATTTCAGCAAGTCCTTTCCATCTTTTCCAGTTTTTGTCCTATATTTTATCTTAATATAATGTAACTTTACTTTCCCTCCTTTCACCATTTAACAATCTGTTTTTTCTTAATCCTTTAAAGCATTTCTGCTAAAACCACATTACTTCATTCCAACATCCTTCTAACATTCCTTAATTTTACAATGTTTCTGTAAGTATACTTTAAATTTCTTCCAGTCTTCTTTCACCGTCTCTTCTCCCTGGTCTCGGATTCTGCCAGTCATTTCCGCCAGTTCCATGTAGTCCATCACCTTCATCTGCCATTCTTCCAGAGTGGGTAGATCTTGTGTCTTCCAGTACTTTGCAATAAGTATTCTTGCTGCTGTTATGGCATACATAAAGAAAGTTCTATCCTTCTTTGGCACCAATTGGCCGACCATGCCCAGGAGAAAGGCCTCTGGTTTCTTCAGAAAGGTATATTTAAATACCTTTTTCATTTCATTATAAATCATCTCCCAGAATGTCTTAATCCTTGGGCACGTCCACCAAAGGTGAAAAAATGTACCTTCAGTCTCTTTACATTTCCAACATTTATTATCGGGCAAGTGATATATTTTTGCGAGCTTGACTGGTGTCATGTACCACCTGTAAATCATTTTCATTATATTCTCTCTTAAGGCATTGCATGCCGTAAACTTCATACCTGTGGTCCATAACTGTTCCCAGTCAGCCATCATAATATTATGTCCTACATCTTGTGCCCATTTAATCATAGTTGATTTCACCGTTTCATCCTGAGTATTCCATTTCAACAGCAAGTTATACATTCTTGACAAGTTCTTAGTTTTGGGATCTAACAGTTCTGTTTCCAATTTTGATTTTTCCACCTGGAAGCCAATTTTTTAATCCAAATTATACGCCTCCATTATTTGGTAATAATGGAGCCAGTCTCGCACTCTATTTTTTAGTTTTTCAAAACTCTGCAGTTTTAATCTGTCTCCCTCTTGTTCCAAAATTTCCCAATATTTCGGCCAATTGGCCTCCATATTGAGCTTTTTCTGAGCCTTCGCTTCCATTGGTGACAACCACCTTGGGGTTTTATTTTCAAGCAAGTCCTTATATCTTATCCAGACATTAAACAGTGCTTTTCTGACAATATGGTTTTTAAACGCTTTATGTGCTTTGACCTTATCATACCACAAATATGCATGCCACCCAAATACATTGTTAAAACCTTCTAGGTCCAGCACGTCAGTATTTTCAAGAAGCAGCCATTCTCTCAGCCAGCAAAACGCGGCTGATTCATAATAAAGTTTAAAGTCTGGCAGGGCAAATCCACCTCTTTCTTTGGCATCGGTTAATATCTTAAATTTTATTCGAGGCTTCTTGCCCTGCCAGACAAATCTAGAAATATCTCTCTGCCACTTCTTGAAGCAATCCATTTTATCCAAAATTTGCAATGTTTGAAACAAAAACAGCATCCTTGGCAATACATTCATTTTTATCGCAGCAATTCGGCCTAGCAATGATAACTTCAGATTTGACCATATTTCTAAGTCCTTTTCACTTCCATCCAACATTTTTCATAGTTATCCTTAAATAAATTCACATTCTTGGCAGTCATATTGACCCCTAGGTATTTCACTTTCTTAACCAATGTTAATCCTGTCTCCTTCTGAAACCTCTCTCTCTCAGTCACTGTTAGATTTTTCTCTAAAACCTTAGTTTTCATCTTGTTCAACTTAAAACCCGCTACCTGACCAAATTCTTGAATCAGTTCCAGTACTCTTTTGGTATTAGATTCTGGCTCCTGTAATGTCAATACCAAATCATCGGCAAATGCTTTCAATTTGTACTGTTTAGCTCTGACTTGCATACCTTTAACCATTTGGTCCCTTCTAATCATGTTTAAGAGAACC